GAGCTGTTCTGCTCTATGAGCGACAAAAAAAGGTAATATTAGGTAGCATGTAGTATCTAGTATCTTATACAACGATAATAAATCCTAGGTGTTTTGGAAGAATACTTTTGAAGTCTGTGCATTTGGTTTCGTAACTCCGTTTTTCTCTTTGTTGGTTGGGTGCGAGTATGTGGAGAGTACTGCATCGATACGACTTACAAAACAAATCGTGCTGGCTCCGAGCTGTTTGGGATAATCGCCAATGTGAATGGTGTTGAGTATCCCATCGCGTACTTGGTCTACCATGGCTTCCGTGAGGCTGGACCTTTGACCAAGACCGAAACTCTTACAGAGTTTTTCGGTCAACTAAAGGAAGACGGATTTGATCCTTCGTTCATGTTCTCGGATAAAGATGCGGCACAGATGAATGCTATCGAGGGCGTATGGGGACAATCACGACTGCGCCTTTGCCTCTGGCATATGCAACGGTCAGTGGATAAAAAACTGGCCGAGGACAAAAGCAGAACCCTACCTGCATACAATGTCCATCAGGCACGAGAAGATTTTCCCTTCGTCGATATGCATTTTACACCATCTATCGGCGGTCGTACTGGGATCATTTGTCGAAAAGAGGATCGTCAGCATATTGTTTCGCTCATGACAAAACATTATCACCAACATCCTTTGATCCCAGATGGTAACGTCTTCGCGTTTGTCTCACATCTTTGACCGAGTTACTCTATATATAATATGACTTCATAAATCATGTGTAAGTTAATCGTAGCGATTTTTCTGTATAGGTACTGTACAACGCACAGCCGAACAAATCCATCAGCTTGCTACCTTAGAAGTCTACATGTTTTGCGTCACAAAGAATTACATAGATGCCTGGATATATCTATACCGCAATTGGTATCAGCCGTCTACTTGGAGAAAATGGGCGCGCAGCAGTATTCCAGACCGTATCCCAGCAGGAAAAACAACAATGCTGATTGAAGCGCATTGGAAGGTTTTGAAACGTAATCATTTGCACCAATTCAACCGAGCACGACTAGACTTGCTCGTATACGTGATTGTTGCGCGACATTTCCCTAATCTTCGTCACAAGTTCAACCGTGATACTGTTCGTTCTCGCTCTGCGACCCGTTGGCATCAGATGTTTACCCGTGCATGGAAAAAGCTGTATGGCCGAACAGAAAATTTAGCAACCGAGACTATCTACCAGCCATCGGTCAATAATTGGATCTGTGGCTGCAGCAGTTATCTATCAAGTCGGTACATGATTTGCAAGCATCTTGTCTTCCGTTCTGGTTTTGGGCAGATTGCCCCCAACACATTCTTTATTCAACGGCAAAGCACAATCCCCTTTGTTCGCATACGACCGGTAGGCTAACAATAAATTATCTCTATTCTGCCTATCAATTACAGCACCGATATTATTAACATCTTTTATTAATATGCATCTACTACTATCCTTTCAATACTATTTTGCTAATACCGCATACCGGCTCCATGAAAATGTTTTCAAAGATATGGCGCTGGACGAGCATCTTGCCGGTCATCATCGTTCACGAGGTGCTGCCGCCATTGCTACTACTACAACACCGACTATTACACGTACTACCACTACCAACGCTACTACTACTGCTAATGCTACTACAGCTACTGTTACCACTACCGCTCCGCCGCAAACGGGCAGTGAAGAAGAAGACGAACCACTTATTTTGAATCGTCGATCTCGCGTACAAACACAACAACAATCAAATATCATTGATTTGACCGAGACAATCATCGATGATCAAGAGCATCAGCGCCTGCGTTGGGAGCGCCAAATGCAGCGTCTCCGCGCCCGTCAACGAGAGTTGATAGCGCAATTACAAGAACGTCCCCACAAGAATAATTAGGAACGGGCACAACACATCATATTGCTATATATGAGACGGGTCAATGACCGGTCACGCCAAAAGAGACCAAAGCAGGATGTAAGTATTCGATGCTCCCGAAGAACTAATAGAGCCATATACCGCTAGAACCAACCGGCTAAAGGACTGGAAACTTTGTGGACGTTATAAGAAGAAGGCTCGCCAGCAATATCGATGCAACGCAAACCTGCACCTCCAAAGCCGGTGAAGGCAGCCTTGCAAGCATAAGTACGAGGAGGCACGAGCACTTCAAATCATAGCACCAAGCGGCAGCAACTCTTCCACCTGCCGACCGCAGCACGCAGCAAAAATGGCGGCAACAAGATGGGTGAAAAAGGTTTGTCAAGGGCGAAATTACGTGTATACTTACTTTGTGAGTGCACTGCGGCAAAGAGAACTTTACGGCTTGTATGATAGTGCGCTCACGGATAGGGCTCGCTGCAATAGCGATTCGTGCACTGCGTCACAAAGATCCTAATGAAAGTCGCAAATGTACGCCGAAAACAATAACGAATACTGATTTTGCACGTACACACACTCGGACCCAAGTAGCAGAAGACAACCCTCGTATCGTTCAGTAAAGTGGAAAAGGTGGAAAAGATCTTTCGACAGTGAGGAAGAAGTCCTGTTCTTTTGTAGGCGTCACAGTTTGACCTGTTTGACCATCTGATGTTCCACAAAGATCGCGAACAATGGAGGGCAATCTCTCAAGGGCCATGCTTCACACTGATAACACCTGCACCTTGTAGACGCTTCAGGCTCCATGCACATACTCGTCCCATCTCGCTACTTGGCGAGCACGATGAGTTTCGTTCTTTTCTGCTCACCTAAGCTTGCCTCTTATCGGTGTACCATATGCATAAGGGGCAAGAGTCGAGTGGGAACATTTCCAAAAGTGTGTGTAACGCTAACGATTTCTGATGTTTTCATGCATGAACGGTGCTTCGGAAAGTTTTTCCAGGGTACCAATTCAGATACCATGGAAATCGCTACCAAGTAAGTCAAAATATGCCACAACGGCCTATTCAAATAAGTGGCAGTGACGGCCGAGGGGCACAATCGCAACAATCAGGATGTTGATGAGCAGAAGAAGTAGAAAGGAGAGCAGCAGCACCGCCAGGAGCGACAACCTGTCGATGTCACGTTAACAACACTCGGCAAGGATTTTTGGTATCCTAATACCACCCTATGATATGCATCCCGCTTCCCTTTATTTCTCAACTAAATAGGTAAAAATACCTCCACCGCGCATCTACAGGTCCGTGCTAACAATGCGGGGAACAATGACAGATCTTCTGGTGTATCGTAGCCGACAGTAACACGATCACAACGCACTTTCTTAGTTTCTGTGTTCGCGCAGTTCTGTTCGCGAAAATAATAGAAAGGAAAAAATTGTTGGGAAGGTATGCACACCAGCAACAACGGCGCTTAAGGCAAGTTGTTCTAAGCTGAGAGAACCGGTTTAATGGTATGTTTCGCTTGCCACGCCCCTTTCAACCACTTTATTAACCGAAAACATCGTTGGCACAACTTTCACTGAATAATAAACCCACATAGAAACATAAGAGAAAAGAACGAGTCCACGTAAGACGAACTCATGTGCTCAGAAGCAAGGCTAAGATTATGCATGCTTGACTCTCGTACGAGCCGACCATCCTGCTTTTTTTTTTGTATCACCCACACATACGCCGATTAAGCTACACCACGTCTGATTGACTTTGTATCGCTACTGCTGAGGGAGGTGGCTGGTAAAACGAGCAAACCAAACAACAGTATCAACCTGAAGAAGCGGCCTGTATGGATAATAGTAGCTCTAGGATGACGCGCATACTATGCTGAAATCAGCCATGCTCTCTATAATCTGCATTTGACAATTTATTTTAAGCTGCCCACATCCATCATTGCGGGCTTGGAGGATCGGCAATCGCTGATTGTCGTGGGCATATACTCGTATTAGAGAGCGTTTTTTATTTTCGCTACGCACGCCACCACAGTTGATACAACAATAATGTTTCACTGGATCCCATGAAGACGCTGGCTGCGGCGTTCAGCACATATTTACTCCAGCCCAATCCAATACACGCTCAGTCACCCTGGTGATAAGATATTAAACAACTTGCATAACACTATCTGCTATCATGCCCCAGATACCTTTCCTTTTTTTGGATTTGAATACGCCAATATAACTTGTGGTGACAAGACAACCATTCTGGGTGCATCATCAGCCGCCCTTTTCTTAGTAAATGATCGTATAAGAGATTTAAGAGATCACAAATGACACACGTCTATGCATCATGTCGCGTCAGTCCATATCGGGTCATAGCCTTACATAAGCTGATTCATCCGAGTATAATGTATACGTGCTTTACACAAGTCGGTTGGATTGTCTCTATGCTACTACAGTGCTTAGCTGGTTGTAGTGGTAATTGCTGTGTATGCTTTTGTTTGATATTTAAGCGAAAATCTTATGCTGATGATGTTTCAGGCAGTGTAATAATGCACAGTGTAGTTATATATGTGTTTGTGCGGGCCTCAGTACTTGCTCTTTCAAAACAGTTGCAAGAAGATGGGTGAATATTCGTTGATTAAGTAATCAGAGGAGACAGTGTGATCTTCCAGGCACTCAGCCTGAATGTTCTGAATTAAATGATTTCAGGGATATCGTAGTGCCTCCAATAGTAAATCTGCTAAATGTAAATAGGGCTAACATCGAGCTCTAAGAGATTGTTTGCAAATCAGCCAGCTCTTTACGGTACTATAATGTCTTGTATCGATATCACTCATTTAATTGGCAGCGTTCTAGTGTAGATTTTGACAACAGTATGTCATTAGGTTATCCCAGTGATTAGTAAGCATCGCTACTTTTAGAAAGCTACTCCTCTCATCGTGTTACTAAGTGCTTTATACTAATTTCTTACATGAGCCGCAAAAGCAACACTAAAACAAGGCCATCTATCAGAGCCCATGCTGTCTTGAAGAAGGTGACTGCAGGAGGAGCAAAACTCATTAAAAGTTCGTAAGCATCCAAGTGTTGGATGCACTTTAGGTTTCAAAAGATCGGCAAAAAGAATTTCGAAAGTCTATTCAAACCCACTGGGGCGATCGAGCCAACTTGCAGCTTTAGGCTTTTGACAACTTTCTTCATTTTTCCAAGGATACAAGCAGTTTAAAAATGTCTGCACCTATGGATTTCACAGCACGCCCGGTACATTCATCAACAAATGAAGCAGAAAGACGAAAATGGGATGAACTAGGCGATCTATACAACACTCAAACCTCGAAAGCAAATCGTACGGGATCTCGCTGAACATTCGAGGGCATTCTTTCCATTTAACTAATTTGCCCTTTATCAATTTTTGCCAATAGAAAAAGACGGTTCTGAAGAGAGTGTGACAAACAGCGAAGGTACGCTTTCATTGAAGTTTTAATAGTCAATCTTACTGTTCACTCATTATCTTTTTTCTTATATATAATTCGGCAGAAGATTCGACTATGGGACGATTCCCGCCTGCCGATAAATCCGACGTATTGCAGGTAACACTTCGATACTTGACATCGACTGAAAAAGTGAAAATGACTGAAGAAAGAGTGAAAACATAACAAGATGGTTTGGTGAAGGAAATAAAATTACACATACCCGAGAATGCATAATGTAGTAATACGTCGACGAAATTTTATTAGCGGCAACGACGTAAAGAGCAAAATCGAGCAGCGCAAAGAGCTTTCCGCGAACGCAAGGAACGCTATGTTAAAGAACTCGAGGATAAAATTCAAGGGATGCAGAATTCACACGCTGAGAGCACACAGCGACTTCAAAAAGAAAACGATGAATTGCGCGAAGCACTCAAACGAATGGAATCAGAAATGTACACACTCAAAGGAGCAGCTATGGCGTTTGAAGTTTCGATGAACAAGCTGCGAGAAGCAGGTATCGAAGTGCCACCCTTAGGCGAGCTCTCACCACCCGCATCGGATCGATACTCCTCAACATCATCAACATGCGATATGCTATCGCCAGCAGCTTCGCATGACCAGCAATCATGCTCTCAACAACAACAACAACAGCAACAACAACAACAACAGCAGCAGCAGCAGCAGCAGCATAGGAGTCGCGATGAAGAAATGCGAGAACACGAGGAATTTGCAGAGTCTGCGAACGAACGGTTCGAGCATATTCCGGATCCTATAACTCTGACGGACGCAAAAGTGATCCCTACAGCAGAAGTCTGGGATCGCTTAAGCATGCATCCACGATTTGAGGAACTGAATATGGCGATGATGTGTGCTGCTATTAAGAAGAGGTCCATATGTTCTGGAGCTGGACCAGTCATCGAAGAAAAGGAACTCCATGAACTTGTGCGCGAGCAGCTGGGAGAAGGAGTATAGTACCTCTATCTCTTTCCTCGCGCTTTTTCTCGCTCTTGTTCTCATACGTGCTCTCTGTCCTTGTTTGCCGCACCTCCTTTTCTTTTTTCCGTCATAAGCTTCTCCTAAAAACCTGTCATCGAAGGATAACTTTCTCCATCATCAACTCACACTTGTTTTTTCCTCTATTCGTCAAGTCTAACTCATCTAGTATCAATTACCTCATGCTTCTATCTGTTCGACTCTTTGTACCTCTTCAATCCATCATTTATTGATTAAAATCAGGCATCTGCTAAACTGGATAGAATGAAATGATGTCGGGCTGGGCGGTAGTCATTTCATTTCACAAAGCAGTGTCCCGCTTACATTAAAGGCAGTTAGATAAAAAAAAAACTCTGGTAGTAATCAGAAAGGGAGTATAGCAGCATGTGCAGACTTAGGGCTAATTGTAATATAATCCCTTGCCACCCAATATGCAGTTCGCTGTATATATTTCGGGCGAATACAGTTTCATCAAGTATTTCTTTGGAAGCATGCTTTTTTATGTATTTCCAGACAGCAGCGGCGCTTCATGAATTCTGAGGAAAATATAAAAAAAGTTAGATGTATGTACATACATGCTTAGACGTACTAGGAGCCTGCATATCTGCAAAAGCAATGTATACACTGTAGTCCTACATTAGTTGCATAGTGACACAACTGGATTTTTCTTTTGTTTGTGTTTCGCTTAATGTTTTTTTTAAAAAGTGATACCATCGCGAAGCATTGTAGAAACATTCGCTTCACAGAATTAGAACGGAAAAATTGGGGCATCCGCATCTATCCAGCAGCGATCAAACGCAGTATAGCCTCCTTCTAAACCTTTTTTTGATGCACAATATCTCTCCTCCAACATTTTCCCCTACTTTAAGCCCACCGTGTATACATCATTACTGTATTCTTGAAATTCGCAACTTTGTTGTAGGTGATATCAGTAAGAAACCAGCCCCCTTTAAATTACTAGCAGATAGCTTCGTTTAAATACCAAAAGAAGCACCCTTGCTCTTCATCTCTTAGCTTTTTTTGTCTTCTTTCTTGTAAAATAATGAGCTACCAACAGCAACCATATTGGGTAGTCCATAATCAATCCATTTACTCTCGTAGAGTCCCTATGGGACATGCTCATGTCATTCCTCACTCACCTCCACCTATACCACGACAACAACCTACTTATCGAAAAAAGCAACAGCAACAACAACAAAGACCGGTGTCAATGGGATCAGTGGTGATCCCGCAGCAAAACTACTGCCATGGTAACAGCGTTGCTGTCCAACAACAAACACCGATGATTCCACAACAACACTATCAGCAACAACCGGTATACCAATACTACTATCAGATCCCCTTAGTTTCACAACCCCAGCCATCATCACCTCATCATCATCGTAATGTTCCGCCGTCACCACTTAAACCAACTAGCAACTTGGATCACTTTCGACGGCGATCTATGAACGAAGTGCCAAGAAAAACTGCTTCTTTGGATATACTACCGTCGCAGCATCGAATGCCCTCTGCCGAGTACGTTTCACCTGGTTTGCACCATCGATCTTCAGCGGACAATTTACCAAGAACTACATCATCCATATCACATTGTCGCTTGTCTCCATCTTCTAGGATCGCATCACAGCAGCAGCACCCTGGCTCTTATTACAACAAGCATCGCTACCACTGTCAGCCCAATATTACCGCTTTGACACGGAGCGCATCCACAATGACGGGTAAATCCATTTCTTCCTCCTTTAATTGCGACCGGCCTATATCTGCCAACCCACGGCGACGTTCAGAAGAGCCGCCGGCGCGTGTTAGCGCAGGCCCTGCACGGAGGGTTACACCCTTCAAAATGGAATCTATTGCTGAAGAGCGAAGGGACATCAGTAGTCCATCGTTGGAAGATGAAGAGGAAATACCTCTCGCCATGCTCCACAACAAGCAAGAGCGTGCTAATATCGGCGAATTTGTAGCCCCAAGATCAGCAGCAGCAGCAACAACAACTATGAAGCGACCAGATATTCAATACACAAGTATCGAAATGACCAGTCGATGCAACAGCTCCAGTACTGCAAGTAGTAGCCGGCCTTCTTTCATCAGCAATCACAGCAGCAGTGGCGAAAGTGCAGTTACTTCGAACTGCAGCAGCGTCCATCAAACCAAAAAACGCACATCTCCGCTCCTATCGCCACCATCATCTCCATTTTCGGATACCACCACTGTTGCTGCTCATGATGACATAAATGATACCGCACCATCATCATCTTTAAAGCCGCAGCAACAACAAGGACGTAAACCCTCTATGACTAAGCGCCTGTTTTCTTCTATGCACCGATTGTCCCGAGCAGTCTTGATCTCCCCTGCATCGTCCAGTAATGTGAAGTCGGTTGATAAGAAGCAATAATAGGGTATTTCAAATACTCCTCCTTCACTCTCCTCCCTCCCCCTTTTAATATCTTTTCAATAGTATGTAGCCACTATCTAAGCTGGTTTTTTCTTTTTTCAGAGCGTAACGCAACATCATTTACTTGATATCAACAAGTAAAATGTTTGCCTCCACAGCGCCATGTAATAACACTACTTCATATCTAAATGATTGATAATGTTTCATAACTTTATTGGTGATGATTGATAACTTTATACAGTAATAAGTAGGGATGAATTGTTGTAAAAAATGATATTTTGCAAGGGATAAGATAACAGATTAAGCAGCAGCAGCAGGAGCAGTGTTATGTAATGAGCAAGTTACATGCAAGTGTGCTTTATATATCCTTAATGTCCTCCAGATCTTGTACTTCGTGCTGCATTTCGATTTGCTCTCGTTGCCGTGACTTTGGCAACAAGTAGAATTCTTCGCACTTTTCAAATACTCGACCGTTGCCCTAATATAGACAGATATGGAAGGAATCAAAGGTGCAAGTTTAGTAGTGTATGATACAATTTTAGATCTTTTCACATTGTTGATAAACCTACTCTTGGCGGAATGGGTATCGGGTACAGAATGGTGTACCAAGGGCTAAACGGATGTACATACAAACAGTTAGTTATCCAAGGTTTGTAAAGAAGTTATGCGTCGAATGATTAGATGCACAATGGGGGTGTTTGTATTTTCTCTTTAAGGCATCTCCTAAAACCCAAATGCTTACAATTGCTCGCACACGTTGAAAAATCGGCGAGCGTTCTCTTTGAACCCAAAATCGTACATATTGATAAAAACCTGAGCACAGCCGAAAAAACCCGTTTAGCCATCCATCCGATCTCCATCAAACCTCCGTTAATGTTACAGGCCGTTCTAGAGTTACCTCTCCTTGCCGTTTGCACTGTTTCTTATCGTAATAGTTGTTATAAAATTCGACTGTTGTTTGGGCTGTGAAAATCTAGGAGCATCCAAAACAAGCGGTTGCCATGGTAAATATCGGCATGATGATCTTCAGGGTTGATAAGAGGGATCATTGTAAGCATAAAGTTTCAAAAGGTACACTTACCAGATAATAGTGCCACACACAAAGCGCGCCTTTTCCCCCGTAATTGTATGTCGATCAGTATTAGAATGTCCCGTAATATAGTCCATATAGAGTTGTAATTTAATATCACTTTACCTATTGCAATGCCCATGCATATCGCCAGAATCATCGAGAATGCCATCAAAGGTCGTGGAAAGTAATATGGCCACTAAAGAACGTAGACACATAAAAGGTTATGATGAAAAATTTAAGCTGTCGTATCAATCTGACAGATTTCTCGGTGTATTTCTTTTCCTGAGCTTACATCGCTGGTGATCAGATCTAAAGACACAACAAAAGGACGCCAGCCAAACGCAACAAAATATGCTGCCGAAACCACCAAATAGGTCATGAACAACACAAAATACCGATGATTATAGTGTCCTACGCAATTATGGATCCAAGGGCCTACGAAAAGTTTCCCTGTTAAGTCCCAACCCAATGCACATCTCCTTTCCATGCCTCCTCCTTCCATCTTTCTATAGAGGCTTACAGTGATGGTCGAAACGCATAATGCATTGGTTGCATACACTACAATGATGTGCTCGCTCAGGTTTCGGTAAATGGCCTAGGCTAATTATGTCAGCTAGCTATCCAAAATGCGGATCTGTAACAAAATTATATAAACGAATTTTGCAAAACACGAACATTTTTTGCAGGTTTTTGGACAGTCAGAATATTCTTCCATATCAAGAAGAACTTCGTGTACTTGGACCTCGTTCTATATAGTTAATATATGTATGCCTTCCATTTAAGCCGAAAGTAGAACAACAAGAATGGCTGGGTCCTTATAGTGCGTCGTTTTACCTCTGGCATCGTGGATCCTGACGGCCGGTCTAAATCTTTTGAGCATATTTCGGCCATTGTACCCGGGTGTGTTTTGATCGCCATATAGTAGTGGAAATGAATGCAGTAGACCATGTAGACAGTGAAGACGAAAATTAGGATAATGCATAGCTTGCCAAAAAATGATGCTTCGGACCATTGGTGTGAGTACGGAAAAACCACGAAATAATATGCTAAAGCGCACATGTCAATAAGGAGCACGGCAACCGCTATAAATACTGGGCCGGCCTTGTCAATGGCCTGATCGACCAATTGTGCCATGTGTGATTGGAGGAAAATGTGATGTGTTGACGGAAGAAGACAAAAGTTTAAGTGTCCGGCCTCTGTCACAGAGCGAAAAATCATGCGCCATGTCTTGGCTTCTCTCGCCGGCGATACACAAAGAATCAATTTCCCTTTAGATGTCTCGCAAGAAGTACTGGTTGCGTAATATATTTATAAGACACGGACTAACGTTTTCATTGTATCTGTCGATGCGGGTTATGTAACATGTGAGACTATAATCAGTTTTGCACGTACAGCGAGCACACCAGTAACAAGCTGCTAAAGCCTTAGCACAATTTGAACGGGAAAGGATTATTTTTAGCAAAAACCCCCTGCCAAGTCCGACGAGTTAGACTTAATAGAATTATATTTTAAAAGATCGCCCTAGCAGACCTGGTAGGCAACCGTCAACCTCTTCTTTTCTACGTTCTCCACTTTTCTCTCCTCTCCTTTTCCCACAAAGTTTAATACAACTATCATTAGCACGGCTCTACGATGAAACTTCCGTTCCTTGCACTTGGTTTTGTCGCCGGAAATGCTATTCTCTCGACGGCTTTACCGCTACTATCAACCCGCGACGTTCAAAACTCGACCAGCACAACAACATCCAATAAAGAAGTCGTAATCCACAGCGGCGATGATTTCTGCCTCTTTTTGCCTCCCCAACCAGGACTTGAAGTGGCGTCTCATGAGAATGATGGTGCTCCCTTCTGTTCCATTTCGAATGATGTACCTGGCGCAAGTCAATTTCCCCAAGGTAGTAGAGTAAACAATCAAACATTTACTATATGTGACAACAAAAAGGTGGTCGTGCCTTTGAAGCTCATTATCTATTTCATACAGACTTCATTACCACCGCACATTACGAACGATCTGAAGCTTATGAGCAAGTCACGGGCTTCTTCGACCGAACAAAGTATAACCTTCAAGAAAGCGATGGTGGAGGTAAGGCTGAACCGCCTATAATATTGTAACAATGTTTACCAACCTAATCCAACATCTTCATTTAAAGGTCAATACGATAGTCATGCCAGTCATAAACCGACCGGAGCCACTTGTGCAGGCTATCCGTATTTCGTGAGCATGATTGAGCCTTCCGAGAATCGTTTTTGTATCCGTTGCTGTCAGAACACCGTAAGCGCTCAAAAGAAAATATACCTAATTAGGAAAAATGATACTAAAAGATTTTTTATTAATTTATAGGAGGATTGTCCCACCGGCCGATCAGAATACGGTTGTCTCAGGATCATTCCTGGTGATTACTCTCAGGGCAGCAACACCGACACTACACAGCAGCAGCCAACACCGGAGCAATCTCAAATGCTCCAACAGAGCGGCTCTTCTGCCGCTCCAGCAGCATCAGCAACAACCCCACAACCCCCTAATAGCGACAACACAACGTCCCAACAGAACGATGGCTCATATATTTTGCCACATGAAGATGTTGCTCCACAAAGTCTAGAACAGCAACCCTTGAGCGGATGGGAGGTTCCAAATGTAGAACGCGCATTCGACGCTTTTCCCTCGGTGGTCAAAACATTGCAAACAGAGCTGGATAACGGCACCCCAATAGACCAGATTCAAAACCATTGGACCAATTTCCTCAACAAACTGGCTGTCAAGTTCCCTGATTCGGAAGAATACATCACAAAGATGCAAGACATCACTGCCGACTTCGACAAAAAGGAAGACTGGGAAGAGCTTACTAGAATTCTCGGTAACGACACTTCATCTCTTGACCAACAAGGGCAACAACAACAGTCAGAGTCATCATCAGCGCCAGCATTGCCAACAGCACATCAAGATCAGGCTTCTTGGTAGACACAAAAAGAAGGTCACACTACCTTGGATATGGTTTTATTTAATTGTGTAGCGTAGATAGCAGTAGTATTAGTTGTATTAGTAGTAGTGTCAATGCTATTGCTAGTTGGAAGTTATGTACATTTGAAGAAAAAAAAATATTTTAACTATTTGCACATTTGTGTGTTTTGTTGTTGACATCTTGCGGAGCCCAACCCTTCTCCCATCCAAGTAAATAGTCCCAGTGAGGATTGGTGTGATTTTCGGTCTTGTATGTCCAGAAGAACCAGCCCACACTGCTTGTTTCGAAGGAATCCATCTGATATTCCATGAAGGAGTTGAGGAACGTTCGGTAGCCTTGGTCCCAGTTTTTCCAGTCCTCGACTTTCTCGCATGTACACGTTGGACATGATAACTGTTTCATCTCGCTTTCGCCAGGAAACGTATTTTCATACCGCGTGCCAAGACCGATACCATTAAGATATTTTCCGCAATCGTTGGTAGCGACCGAGAATTCGCCTACCATGGTCGGTGCAGCGTTGCGCGTTGAGTTCTTTAATATTTTACGCCAATTGTGACACGGGAATAAAGCCTTTTTTTCACGAGGCATCGAAACCAACTTTTCGTCAAACATGATGTACATGTGCGTTTCTGTAATAATGTTTATCACGTTGATCAATTAGTTTGCGTAAACACTACGACAATTGGCGGGAAAAAAATCATACCGAGGAAAACACGCTTGTAGTGTTTCTGGTCAAAGAATCCGTTCCATGAGTCGAGACCAAGAAATCCGTCATGATACGTCAAGTAGGGACCTCCATCTTCGCCAGTAATGTTCCTAATCGCATCATGACTATTTCGATACCAGTCCTTGGCTCGGTTTGTTTCAATATGGTAGATTGCTGGCTCGTTGAGAACGCCAAAAATAGGTGCTACATCGTGCCATTCCGGCTTGCTGAAAAATTCAACCATTTTCTCGACAACCTTGAGTGTTCGGATAGCATTGGCTTCACCTTGCGTCCCATTTAGCCAACCTATTTGACCGTATCTGCCCGAATGATTCCATCCATTTTGCGATCCCGGTGCCGTGTGCAGCTCGACCATTACTCGTAAGCCGTATTTACGTGCCCACTGAACGGCTCGCAAGAGATATTGCCAAGAAAGGTGTGATACATAGGGCTCACCTTCGATGGCCTCAATAGACCAGTGACCCATTGGAATACGTACATGGTTGAAACCCATCCGAGCAATTTTTTCAAAATCTTCTTCGGTGATAAATGTTTCGTAGTGATTTTGAATCTGCCGTCGTGCTTCCTTGGGTCCAAGTTTCTGACACAGCGTGTATTCATCGACCACATTCGCAGATGGTGGGAATTGATCAAAGAGGCTTGGGGTAATAAATGGTTCGATCACCAGCCAGCCTCCTAGGTTGATGCCTCGAATTGGCGTTGTTCCGTATGGAAACGGTTGTGATAATGGCGGTGTATACGGGTTTGCTTGCACCGAGTTATTGAACTTGTTATCTAGCGTAGGCGGAAATCCTGGGTGGTGTTCTTCTTGATGTTTGGTTGTGGGAGGAGGTGGAGGTGGCGATCGAAAGGCAACCAATAGCAAAGTGGGTATCAATACTGCAGCTGTGACAATGGCCAGAGCGAGGATGATACATATCTTGTTCCGTTCTATCCATCGAATAGAGCGTCCACTAGAGGCTACCTCACCGTGATTTTCAAAATCTTTTCTTGTAGCAGCTTTTTTCTCTTCGTAACCTATGCTGCTGGCGGTTGACTCTGCTACTACTGCTTCGTCATTATTTTCTACTAAAAATGATTGTCTGCTTTAGTGATCTACAGGAGCACTACAAATAAGCATTCAGAAAATTTGTCACCATACCATACATAGTGCGGAAGTTTGTTTGATGTACAAGAGAAAAAAGATCGAGAATATACAGAAATATTCAAATGTTTCTAACGCTGAAACTTACACAGGCATATTTTTTCCGTTAGACATACAACACGGAAGTTTGTTTTTTGATACGCACACACTAAACTTAATGATGAGAAACTCACCGGGTTTTTTTAATGTAATATGTCCTCGCATGGTAGATCCGACCTCGGTTATGATCGCTGTCTCCGTCATGCGATAATTTTTTTTAGGGAAGTTCCTGGTCGGAATTCATTTTTATTAAAGTGTACAAATATATATAACTGCCAATAACGTTACAAATATCATAATGTAGTGAAAACAAGGGATTATGGCACACCGATGATATAACTATGGATACCCTGTCACTAGGGAGAAAGAACTATGCAGAACTTGTCATAGGGATAACCGCGAGTAATAGAGCTTTCATCAAATCCATAGAGATGGGAAACCAAGCAGCCGGATTCGAACCAACAACCTCCGCGATGGAGGTCACCCGCCTTGACCGACGTCTTCAGGGCCTAGCGCCCCGTCATGCGATAATGTATGTATTGCCTGTAAATTTCAAATATACATATAATATTAATATTGCTATTATCGCCATTAGCCATGTTAGATTATGCGAGGTGTGCGTGTAGTACCTGCGGTGCAAGAGCAAGTGCTCTACCATATGCTAGAACTCGTGGAATGGGGTTTCAGCGTAAGGCTTTCGATGAGATCATTTAAATCTTATAAGACGCGCAGGTCCTTGAATGAACAAGTGAATCATTTGACAGGCGAATATCTTAATCTCTGAAGGAATAGATACTGTAGACACCGAAACTCTTGAGTCTGCTTTCAAGAGATCTCTACAGTAATACATGTGCATAAAATAGTGATGCTGAATATTACAAGCGTTTTTCTTTCTGCACGCTAATATAATGTATGTAGAAATACACTGATTGCCAACGAAGTACTCCTGCAACAATAAAGGATAATACTGTAAAAACTTGCGTTTATGCATGGATCCTATCATTAAGCGCCAACGAGTATTTGTCGACTGTTATCATACTATATGTACACCACCCAAATGCAAGTCTAAAAACGAGCCGCTCAAACACAAGTACTGAGCTATGCAATAACTCTTATCCATTCATCAGAAACACCAAACAAGTATATTTAGTATTGCACCAAAAACTTTATATTAGAAAAATTTGTGAATACCGTATGCATAATAGACTATATAGACCAGCTATATGTTCATAAAAGAGATATCAAATACAGTGATTAAGTATTTTATGGGCAGAAGGTAACAGTATATTTGTTGGCTTTGCATCCAAAAGTGCTCTTGGCATCATCATAGGCGTAGCTGTAGGCATCAGGGCAGCCAGACTTGAACCCATCGGCGTATTCACTGGCCTTGCACTTGTCGGGAGAGTTGTAATCGCCTGTGCAGCAATATTCGTCGGTGCCAAAGGCAGCGCAGGCACTCTTGCAGGCACCATTGTCGCCCTTCAATTCGTCAGGACACGATGGGAGGCTTGAACAAGTAGGCGCGCCACAGTCGTAACCATCGCCGGACTTGCCTTCGGGCTCGATGCTCATTGGGAGGTTGAAACCATCAACAAAGGAAATGTCATAAAAATCGCTGCCTTCGTAACCCTTGAACAAAAACTCGGCAAGCGAGACAGCAGAGCCATAGGAGCTGCAATCACCGCCTTCACAGCCCCAGAAACGACCAGCCCAGTTGGAATCGACTTGGAATTTATGGGATGAACCAGCAGAGACATCCTGGGATTCTTGAGCACCGCCACCGTTGGTAAGCTTGTAAACCTTGAGATTGTTGCTGCAACTGTTCTTGACAGTAACAGTAACATCGCCATCTGATGAGGTAGAGTTACCACTGCTGCTGCTCGAAGCAGAGGCACCAGAGGAAGAGGAGGTAGCAGAACCGCTAGACGATGCGGCTGAAGGAGATGAAGAAGCAGATGCGGTAGGACTTGAAGAAGCAGCGGCAGAGGATGTGGAGTTGGTGGGAGCAGCCAAGCTAACGCCAGCGATAGCGAGGATGGAGGCAATCTTGATAATGTTCAACATTATTGTCCTTTTTGGTATAGAGAGAACTGAATGTGTGATGATGAAGAAGTGAAGTCCCTGATTGATCGACGCCTATTTATATGCTGATCCGTCGCTGGTCCCTGACTTTTTGAACTAGCCAAGACCTTCAAAGACAGTGAAACCAGTGTCGATCTTTTTTTTTCTTAGGTCAGAAAGCCAGCCTTCAGTTTCATGACGTTGGATGGAGCCGAAACAGATTATGTAAATCAAAGATTAACGAATAGATTCCGGTAAAGCATGTATGATAGCATTGAATTCCGCTGCAGCATGAGTTATTATTGTTACAGCTGTTGAGTGGATTTGTAAACTGAGTGGGTCTCCTGTAATTACTTAACTTGGGCCTCGCCTATTTTGCGTCATCTAGCTACCACTTCGACGATGTATAGCGCAGTGAGCACACACGCCCATCGTCAAACTTAGTGTCTTTTACTATAAGCTACGATGCTGTCTGACGACCTCAATTAACTTCCCAACGACTGCCAAAACTAGTGACAAGAAGCTCAAATCTATTAAGCGGCATATATTGGTAGTAGATCTATTGTTTAACTACAAACTTTTTTGGACGAATGATATTGAATACTGAGTATTTAAAGACAGTCGATACCAAATCTTTTCCTCACCTTGCTGCTGGTTTAGGTCTTCTGCGCTTAGTGTCAAATTTCGTTTCCAAATGATGTAAGGAAACGTTCGTTTAAGTCAAATTCAGTTTTACCAAGTATAAGCACCAATTAGTGCTAAGACAATACGTGCTTCCAATCGAATTCGTGAGACAAAGCCGCTGTTTGTCGTTCCTGATGTCTAATAACCCAGCGACGTAAAACCCTGGCGATAGACTGATCGTTCCAGACCGCCTGTCGCACCATTGATCAGGGCAACGGTGCAACAATTCGGACCGCCCAAATTTAATGACTTCTGTTGGCTAAAATCCAGCTGCACACCAGCAGCGGTGTTTATTCTACCGCTCACGGTAGCAATGTGCTTGTAATGCATAAAAGTTTGTACCTTTCTTGGTGAGATTGTAGGATAGTCAGCAAAAAAATTGAGTTACTTTTTATTTCCATCAAATAGGACAACCATAAGTAAAATGCATCACATTTTAGATGTATCAGTATCGAGTATTAGTTTCTTAAGCAGTCCTGGGACGCAACTGCTATTGGATGCTCTTTGTTTATCCGCTATTTTTCTCTATGGAGTATCATTTTGCTACAGGACAAACTGGATCCTATGTTTCACTGTCTTTAAACCGCTTGGCTGAGAAAAGTAATCATAGGCACGGAGAAGAAGATAAAAAGGTATAAAAGGGAGAGAGGCGATAGCAATCGAATCCTCACATCACATAATCTCTATACCAAAAAGGACAATAATGTTGAACATTATCAAGATTGCCTCCATCCTCGCTATCGCTGGCGTTAGCTTGGCTGCTCCCACCAACTCCACATCCTCTGCCGCTGCTTCTTCAAGTCCTACCGCAACTGCTTCTTCATCTCCTTCAGCCGCATCGTCTAGCGGTTCTGCTACCTCCTCTTCCTCTGGTGCCTCTGCTTCGAGCAGCAGCAGTGGTAACTCTACCTCATCAGATGGCGATGTTACTGTTACTGTCAAGAACAGTTGCAGCAACAATCTCAAGGTTTACAAGCTTACCAACGGTGGCGGTGCTCAAGAATCCCAGGATGTCTCTGCTGGTTCATCCCATGAATTCCAAGTCGATTCCAACTGGGCTGGTCGTTTCTGGGGCTGTGAAGGCGGTGATTGCAGCTCCTATGGCTCTGCTGTCTCGCTTGCCGAGTTTTTGTTCAAGGGTTACGAAGGCAGCGATTTTTATGACATTTCCTTTGTTGATGGTTTCAACCTCCCAATGAGCATCGAGCCCGAAGGCAAGTCCGGCGATGGTTACGACTGTGGCGCGCCTACTTGTTCAAGCCTCCCATCGTGTCCTGACAAATTGAAGGGCGACAATGGTGCCTGCAAGAGTGCCTGCGCTGCCTTTGGCACCGACGAATATTGCTGCACAGGCGATTACAACTCTCCCGACAAGTGCAAGGCCAGTGAATACGCCGATGGGTTCAAGTCTGGCTGCCCTGATGCCTACAGCTATGCCTATGATGATGCCAAGAGCACTTTTGGATGCAAAGCCAACAAATATACTGTTACCTTCTGCCCATAAAATACTTAATCACTGTATCTGATATCTCTTTTATGAACATATAGCTGGTCTATATAGTCTATTATGCATACGGTATTCACAAATTTTTCTAATATAAAAGTTTTTGATGCTACTACATATACTTGTATGGTGTTTCTGATGTCTATCTTGGAAGTGCTTTGCAAATGATGAATGGATAAGAGTTAATGCCAACCGTGGGGTTAGAAATATTTAAGTTCAGTACTTCCGTTTGAGCGGCTCGTTTTTAAACTTGCAGCTTCTTAACCGCGCTATGCAATCTACCTCCCACTTACCTGTTTCGCAATTTCTACGTCTGTTAAGCAAATTTCTGATTAATGTAGAAATATAGTACATTCTAGACATGTAATTTGTGGATTAAATATCATTGCTGCTTATCGAAGACAAAACTTTGCTCACAAAGAAGCGCGGATATGTCAAAATAATACTGTAATAAACACCAAGTCCAGCAACATTGGATCATACAAAATTTTGCTTGTTGTAAACCAGGTGCTGCAGGCACTGCAAAATGTTTGACAAACGTTCTTTGTGTTCTTGCAGCTTGACGGTATGATAACCGATTGTAAAGATAACCCATGTATTAAATATTATATATGTAGATATATTTAAACATAATGTACAAAATATTTGTGAAAAGAATTAGCTGGCATCTGAAAAGGACCAGATACGCACAGAAACCTTTTCACGTTCGCTGTTGACTTTGCTTTCATCCCGGACCACTGCAACGATCTTATCGCTATCAAACTGCAGCCACTCCATATCTCGAAAAGACACATTGTCTTTTGATGTGGTCTTTTCGATTGCTCCGTCGATGGATACGATATACTCAGTACCAGTGATTCGTCGACGCTGATAGAATGCGACCTGATCGTTGCTATGGTTACCTGGTTCGTCGTGTTTCACATTCAGTCTTCCGCTGCACGATATGTCCCATACTTTAAGCCCGAATCGGTCGCCGCTCACCAATCTGCCTATTGATGCATCAAGGGCAAGTGCACTGACTTTGGATGTGTGTCCGTACAATGTTTGCGCATAGATAAGTTCCATCTTCTTCTCCGAAAACCGGACGTAGTACTGCTTGATCGTATTATTGGCATGTGCCGTAATCAGGTACGGTTCGGAATAACTAATGGCTGTAATTGGTTGCTGTGAACATTCGGGTAGCGTATGACTCGAAAGTGGTGATGCAAAAAATAAATCTTCTTGGCTTAAGGCGGCACAATGCCTTGATGAAATCAACGTATCCGTCGATAAAATCACTTCCTATAACAGTAAACAGGATGGACAATAGAACGTTAGAAAATTGGATCAAAAACGATAATTACGGTTGATTTTGAATTTCAAAGGCTTACCTGTATACCAACTGAGTAAGTATTCAGTCCCACGGGCATTCCAAAACATATCATTGCCCGCCAACGATTCTCTGTATGATCCAACTTGTCTAATTCCACTGATATCGGGCTCCATTGGATATGGCTCTGTAGCTCATACACGAGCCGTGCTTGTGCAGTAACTTTGCCCCTCGTGCGAGAGGAGCTATCGAGACAAAATGCAGATAATCTCATATCCGACGAGCATGTCAATAGCATCGGATAAGATACACCAATCGATACAATTCGTCCCATCCTCGTTACCTTGGGCGTATATACGGCTACTTCTGACGCAGAGCAACGGCCACTGTCAGTCCAATTGATTTCCCAAACCGACAATCCTCCACCGACATAACCAACGACCAAACGGTGGAGGCCAAGTGTAGACGTATCCAGTTTTAAACATGATATTTGCTCTATGTTTGATACCGGCGTTGTCGTCGTCGTCGTCGTCGTCGTCTCGAGTTGTCTTAGCATGACCGGATGTCGACTATTCTTGATATGCCATATTTCAATCAATGGCACTGTTGTGTAGGCAATGTATAATATGTCGTGGGCGAATTGAACGTAAGATCTAACGTTGCTGACGCTATCTGTTGTAACAGATTTTTCTTGTTCGCCACCAACGTCAACACAAGTCAACCGGCATTTTCCTAGTGACAATTATGATAGACATATGTTCAGTCAACCTTAAAACGAGGTCATAAAAGAAGCAAGAGCAGAGAAATATCTATATACATATATATTCATGTCTAATATACCTGATCGCCAGTTGTGATTCGTCTTGTACATGCTTTTCCATTCTAATCGTGCTCGCTTTTTACTATGATTACGACAGTGTGCTCGTTCGGACCATCGTTTTAATAATTTTGGATGCTCCTTCATGTCGACCAGCAACGGATTACGAAACCTGCGTAAAAATAAGGGCTTCCATAACTGATAGAGAGAGAGAGAGAGAGTAAAGAAAGTCAATTTCTTATTCTATAATTGTCAAAAATAGCCGTGCGAAAGATCTTACCGTCTCATCGTTGGCAAGACGAGACCAACTTGTGCTGACTTTCGCACATCGGGCAAGATCGCTTGCTGATAGGAAACTGAATATATGCAAAACCAGTTCATTTGAGAGTAAAGATTTGGTAAAGTCTAATCGTTTATAGTTGTACGGTCGCTTCAAAACTACTGAATGACTTGATGATGATAAACATTTTCGTTTCCTGGACAGCTCTGGCATGAATTAAACGGATTACAGCGAGAGTTATAGGTATAGTGTGCAGGTGAAATAACGTAGGACAGACCGGTTAGTAATTCAGGGTTCTTCTCCGCACGGCCGAGTAACGATAATTATTTGTCTATGTTTCATATTGAGATATGGATCGATTTTTCGATTCGTTGATTTGATATGGTGTGATAATTCAAGTGGATCCGGCCCGGTTTTTTAGTTCCCTTTTTTCAATCCGATCACCCTGTAGTAATTGAAAGCGCTGGAAGAAGCCCGTTTTGAGGCACACGTATTGGGTGTACTAAGCGCCAGCGGAAGGATTCTTCCAAGCTTACTAAAAAACGTGCAACTTTGTATCACTGTTGTCGTATTTTAAGAGAAAAGGAAAAGAACATGTTGTATTTCGCTCCGCCATCAAGTCAAATGTATTGATCGAATCAGTGGAATCGTATATCATATATTGTATGTAATTGATGGGCTCATGAAAGGCTTCATGCAAATCATTCGCGATTATCCGACTGACCGTAGCTAATTCTTTTTGGGGATAGTCGGTAGTACAAAGACACATTGCCCATTTCATTTCCACACATCATGCAAGGAACGAGCAGAATATTTACTGTTTTGCCTCGTGTAGTGTGACAGTGTTGACTCGTATAGTAGGTTTTTTCTTTTTTGCTAAAGAATGCTAGTATTAGTAAATGATGCGTTGACGAGGTTAACTTTCAGATACCCAATGCAGACATGTCACTGGAACTAAAAAGTTAGTTGTACGGTTGAGCAAAACAATGGCAGCATCATTAAGGTTGCTGGATACTTTTTTCTTCCACTAATAACTCCACATGCATTAAACGGAGAACACATGGATCTCTTTTTCTGGAAGTAATACACATCTCTCAAACTCGGACTCACGAAGCACAGGAAGAGTAGTTTAATCCGCCACGCTACACAAACTATACAGCCAGGAATTCCTAAAAGCCTTCTTATTACATATACGCAGTTTATGTCTCTTCATAGCGAGATAGAATAAGATAAACAGAAAAAGCGGAAGGCGGCCTGTGAATTTGTGCGCTTGCCAGCTTGCGTATATAAAGCCTGCCAACTTGATCAGAAAACAAATCCTCCCAAAACAACGAAACACTTTTCCTTCTCGTAATCCTTACACACCCTACAAACCCGCCCCCATTCCTTTCATTCCTTGTATTTTATACTGCCCTGAGAAAACATCATGAAGGCCGCTCTTTCCATCCTTATTTTCACCGTTTTCGCTGCTGTCATGGTTGCAGCTCAGGACCAGCCCTACTTCATCATCAAGCCTACCCCTGGTGAGCCCGTCAAGGCTGGCGTTCCGTAAGTTGATACATAGGCGATGATTGACCCTCTTTTCCCCTTGTAATTACCGTTCTTTATAATAACGAGCTCTCTATCTATCCTGTAGTTTCGATTTTGGTAAGCAAATCAGCTACTAAATACGCTTTTCTTTTTCGTAATCAGCCACGATGATAGCTAATAGTTACTATCGCTTTTTCCCTTTAACTAAAATAGAGTGGAACAATGGCGCTGATGAAGAAGTCACCATTCACTTGCTCCAAGGCAATGGTCGCGAGAGCATGCTTCCTACCGGTACCTCCATCAAGGCCGACGGCAATGCCGGCAAAGTTAAATTCGAGGTCAGTTGTGCTTCCCCGAAACTGGGCATCCCCTCGTGGCGTGACAGCCCTTTTAGGGAACCATGCTAACATCGGGGGGTGTCGAAAAGTGTAACCTTAATAATTACGTCCGTGGCATTCTTGCTCGTACTTACCATCCGATATTTCCATTCAATATATGCTTCCATAGATTCCCGCTGACTCTGATCCCAAGGGCAACTATGCTTTCCGCATTGACTACGTGAGCGACAAGGGCAGAAAGTAAGTATCCATACACAACATTACAGATAGAATGCGCTTGGAAAATCCTCGTCTCTTGCTGTTCCCTCAAACTGACTTATATTCTTTCTTCCTTGTGAAAAGCGCCAACGCTTTCTCCATGGCTTTCCCTCTTGAGGCTGCCACTGCCAACAACGATGCTACATCGACCAACGCTGATGCCTCCGCTGCTGAAAGCTCTGAGCCCGCCAAGTCCTCTGACGCTAAGACTGAAGAGTCCAGCCCTGCTGCCAAGGAAGAGGAGAACAAGGAGGAGGAAGAGAAGAAGCAAGAAGAAAGCAAGCCCGAAGAGGAGAAGAAGGAAGAAGAGAAGAAGCAAGAGGAAAGCAAGCCCGAAGAGAAGCAGGAAGAAGAGAACACCACCTCTGAGTCTCAGGAGGAAGACGAAGACCTTGAATCTGCTGCTGTTACCTTCAAATTGGCTGCTTCCATGATGGCCGTTCCCGCCATTATTGCTGGTGCCTTGCTTGCTTAAATGAAGGCGATTTCGCAACCCCATCAGCTACTCACCCCTTCATTCACTCTTTAAAATTTTCAATTTCGTGTACTTAGCATATACCATTAATAAATGTGCGAGGTTTTGAGTTAAAAAAACCATTGTTATGCATTTTTTTCTTTACTAATTACTGCTAATCAAAATGTACAATGTGTTCCTTTTTACAAGAGACCGTCGTTGCGGAAAAGCATCATGTATTGGTATCCGGTGTGAGCTGTGCTGAAATCATGGTTGCTTAACCCGACAAGTTCGTAATCATATTCGTATTCACAAGATAATTGTGCAGTGGGTGGGACGACAGATTCGACGAATTCGCGAAGTAAATCGGTGGCCATGTTGGGTGCTGAGCATGGGTGATAATTGATCTGTTTGATTGTTTCCAGGTATCTTTAATCATCATGTATAGGCGACTGAACAACGCCGCGAGCCACTCTTCCTTTCCTTTCCCTTCTTTTCTATTTACCTCTAGCAATAAGCCTTTATATGTCGATCCCAAAAGAATGTTTGCTACTCGTAATGTAAAATCGCCAACTTCGAAACTTGTGCCCTAAATACGTATACATCCATCCGCCGTTTTCATAAATCCGTCTAATGTATCGTAAATACTATCCTCCTTTTCCTATAATGCTTTACCTCAATAACAACATTATGTCGCATGATCCAAAGGTTTTTTAATCGAGACAAAATGATCTCCAACTCCTTCTCGGCTTCAACGACCACGCTTCCATCCACCATACAATAAACCTGGCCTGGCTGTTGTCCGAGCGCGACTTGGTACATTAATTTGCTGTCTTTTTGGTTTTGTTGCTGATGAAGAGAACTCTGCATCATTTGGTGTGAGCCGCGTGCGTTGCTGTTCTGAACAATGTCTCTATATAATTTGACACCCAGGGACCATGGGCCAGTGTTTTTGCCGTGTAATGACTTCGTGACATGTTCTTGGATATATGAAAGATCGCGCATGCCGGTTGCATTTTTCCATCGTACTAAACTAGATTACTTGAGTATGAGTTGGAACGCAAAGTTATTCTACTCAGAATTACAAGAAACAGAGGGAATAAGTAAAGAGATCTAACCATGTTACAACCATCGCGCTAGTTTGTAGAGAGAGCGAGTAAGGTAAAAGGGGTTGCGCTCGGTGCTTATATAACGCCGCCCACTAGCGGGATATCTACCCCACACTAACCACAGCATATATACAAGGTTTACTTTGCAATATCTGCTTTAGACCTAGCAACGCTATTCCAAACGAAAGAATGTGTTCATTCTGAGATATTTGCGTAACGTGGCAACGCTATTCCAAACAAAAACACATGTTCCACTTGCAGCATCGATGTAGTGTTCCCAACTAAAAGTCACTCCAACAGAAATTGTCACCATGCAAGTCGCTCTGTGGCTCATCAAACTGTCCGGAAACTCGCCAACATATTATATAAAGTAGCCATTAAACAGTACTTGAACGAAGAATGGGAGCATATTGAGCAACATTTATCAAGCCAAGTGGTGAAACCTTATTACTGATTTCTCGTATTAACAGTACAATGAATTTTCGATATTCAAAAAAGTCGTTGCTGTTGCCAGTGATGTTGCGGACATTGGGTCGTATAATTAAAGAACAAAAAAAATTTATGTGATTGCGAGTTCGATCTGACATCGTGTCCTACCTTTCTTTTGTGTAATGGGCAATATATTTTCTAGGCAAGGTTCCGAGAAGAGCGTTCTCGGTAAAAGACGAGCCGAGTCGCATAACGATGAAAGCGAATCGAAAAGAGCACGTTTCCAACCCAAAGAACCAGATGCCGGCATCACTGCTTATGTAAATCAATCGCTTCCGGGATTCCGCGGAATCATCAAAAATAGGTATGAATTCAGGCATTATGCGAATAGCTTATATAGAGGTATGTCGACTCTTTTTTCGTGCGACAAGAATCTGATACGACATATTTTTGCTTTTTCAGAATTGAGGATTTCTTGGTACACGAAGTTGATCTTGATGGACGCGTTGTAACTCTCGAGTCAATGGAGCCTACGATTATCGAAGAAAAGGTAAAGAAAGCAGTGCTTTACTCCCAAAAATAGTGAGAAATAGTAATAGCTAATTCTACTCCCAAAAGAAACGCAAAATAGCTGCGGCGACAGAGCTTTTGCACGAAGCCGAATTTGATGCAGAAGTAGCAAAGCTGTTCGACGAGGAGTTTGCAAAGCAACTGCGCGAGTTATTACAGGCCGGATCAGAAAACAAAGAGTTGTCGGCCTCTGTTCCGGTAGGAAGGAACTAGTCGTGATTTGTAACGATGTTAGACACTTTACTGAATGATATGCTATTATTCTTATAGTCCACCAAGGAAGCACGGTTTGATTTCTACAAGCTTGTTGACAGACATTTGACGAAAGAACGGCCCTTAGCGCTATGCAAGGATGGCGTACTTACCATGCGATGGGCTGTGGATGCGGAAGAGCAAGGTAAGATACAGTTATTGCAAAATCTTGGTGATACAGGACCATAAATAATAAACTTTAATGCGGTTTCAACAGCAAGAGAAGCACCGCCGAACTATAAAGCTCTGGGTGGCGAGTATTTGCAATTTCATGTGTACAAGTTTGGTATTGAAAGCGCAAAGGCAATTAGTATCATTGCAAAGTACGGCAAACTCAAGAATTCACGGATTGGCACTGCTGGAACCAAGGATGCACGTGCAATTACTGTGCAAACGATGACAGCCCCCAAGGGAAGAGTGCAGCAGATGATCCTTGCCAAGGAGCAGCTGGAACAGAATAATATTTATATCGGCGACTATGAGTAAGTGTACGGCCTTAAATAGCAGAGAGTACGTTGGGGTATCTCGGGAACCTAACTGAACTGCGCTTTGCGGGATAGTTACGTACCGAATGGATTGACGCTAGGTGACTTGAGTGGAAACAGATTCACAATTGTCCTGAGGTATATTATATAATTCATTTTTTTTTGCCCGCTCTATGCTGTGTGTACGTTTCGTTGGCCTCCTTATATTGACTTTCCACCTCCCGCTAATTGCTAAATTAGGGATGTGTCTGGTGCCACCGAAGAAAAGATTGTCGAATCCATGGATTCACTTCGCGATCAAGGATTCATCAACTATTTCGGTATGCAACGGTTCGGAACAGGCACGATCATGACGCATGAAATCGGCCGTGCGATACTGAAACTTGATTTTGAAGAGGCTTGTGATTTGATTCTCAAGCCCCGTCCTGGAGGTACGTGTATCCCTGGTAGTTTTTTTTGATTTAACAAAAACGTCTATTATGGAAGGGGTGTGCTATACTGACGCTTGACAAAACGAAAACGATTACCTTCTTTCTATCATCTGTGTTTGATTATTATTTTTACTAGAGCGAGACGACTTTGCTGAAGCGCGAGAATTATGGCAAGATACCAAGGATCCAGAGGCAACTTTAGAAAAGTTTCCTGGACGATTTGGACCTGAGAGAGCCATTTTGAACGCATACAAGCGTGCTCCTGAAAACCATCGAAAGGCAATTACATCGGTAAGTTTTACTAATGTGCCCATGGGTCAACCTAAAACCTTCGATTAACCATACATATGGAAGCAGCTTCCACGACACATGTTGAGCATGTATATGCACGCCTACCAATCTTATGTATGGAACCATGTCGTATCCGAGCGAGCCAAGCGTTTTGGATGCGACAAGCCGCTGGTCGGCGATTTAGTCCTTGTTTCCCCAGCAGAAAACAACAAGGATAGCAACCGAGCTAGTGTTCTCAACAATAATGCAGGTCGTCGCAATCCCTCTGAGGTATGTGTGCTTGGATACGGATCGATGGTTTTCAAAGTAGATCAGAGGGGAAGGGAAAGAAAACGGATGGTTCTCGAGAGAGAGCAAGAGAGCAAGAGAGCGAGAGGGACCAAACTAAACACAGACACTTGTACCGTATTAGCGAAAGAAACCCAAAGTTTTGAAGGATGAGGATTTGGGATCGTATACGATTGAGGATGTGGTGTACCCTGTGCCAGGGCACAGATCACAGTACCCCAAGAACGAGATGGGTGAATTATATCGAGAACTCCTCGGTAAGTATTATTACATTTGTGCACCTACACAACCCACGCGCACGTACTTGCAGATACACGTACATCCCTCCAAAACACCCCTTTTCTCCCCCTTCCCCCCGCGCGCATTCCTGGGCACGTACACGCTTACACTGCCCCCATGCTCTTTCATTATCCCGTTTTTCTAACCTTCTGAGATAGAAAAGGACGGTGTAGAGTTCAATGCTCGTGCAGACAGCATTATGAAGTACGTCTTTGTATCCCATTCTGCTATTATTATTATTTGTTCCTTTGTTCTATTATTGTGCATACACTAAATCATGATCATCGATGATGATGATGATGCTCTATAGGGATTTGGGTGGCGATTATCGACCGCTGTTAGCTAAGGCTGGCGATCTCACATATTCATTTATACGTTATGACGATCCTGAAGCCAATTTATGTAACACGGACTTGGATCGCATCAACGGCAAGCCTGAACCACAGAGCATAGAAGGTAATTCTTTTTTCGTTTGGGACCCTTTCTGTCTAGTTTTTTTAACAGCCCTTTGTTCTCTCACTCATCCTCTCCCTTTTTCTTTGTTTTTTACGCAGGCGCAAAGTATATGGCTTTACGGATGGATTTCACTCTAAAGACTAGCCAGTATGCAACAATGGCGCTACGCGAAGTATTGCGAGATGATACATCTTCGCGTAGTCAAAAGAGCCTTAAGCACTCTGAATAAAAGGTTCTAGTTTCAAAACCGACTGTTGATCTGCGTTTAATGCTTGGATGACAATCTTCTTTGCTCAGGGGGATGGGGGAGGGCTTACTCTCTCTTGGGGAGCAGGACGAAGAAAAAAGGTAAGTTCCATCATAAAAGAAAAAGCCCGGGTCATGCTGAACAATGCGGTTCGTGCGTTATGCATTGACGCACCGGATAACTTACTCGATCTGCGCACAAGCACGCAGTAGGCGCATATGTGTGGATGCAAAAGAGAAGAGGGAGGGAAGTAATTCATAGACACCTTGTGTGTGGCCATATCAGGCACATGAAAATTGGCGCGCATCCTTCAGTTAATATTCCATTCAGCAGTATGGAGGGAGAGAGTAAGCCGGGTCATCGTGGTGGGCAGCACTCACATCATACATTCATGCTTTCAAGGGTGATGTACGTACCATATGAACTGTGAAGAGAAGAGCAAGCGAGAGAGCGTGTACGTGCGTATATGTGCGAAGAGAAGGATAGAAAGAAGGGGGGGAACAAGTTCCATTAGTGTAATGAATTGGGGGACAGTGCGTCGGTTAGGGATGAGAGAATGGACCCCAATGGCCTGTGCGGGGCTGGTCTGTGAGATTTTACTCCCTCTCTCTCTCTCTCTCTCTCTTTCTTGCTTCATCAGCACACGACAGCTCTTCTTTGCCCTCAGCGGTAAAAGGTTCCTATTCTCCTTCCTATTCCTTCTCTTTTTCTCAAACCACCCTTGCTCCTCCAGGCAAATCATAGTAAGGCTTCTACGGGTGTGCTTCAAGGTACATGCATATCATACATCCACCTAGAGAGCAAGGAATTTGGATGGATCGAGCACGGTCCGCCGAACCTTTCCTTGGCCCACCTCCGCTCCCCCAACCACTCCTTCTTAATAAACAAGGTGGGGAAAAGAAAAAAGATATACAGAATCTTCCAACAGTGGCGTGGTAGCAGTAGTGAAAGAAGAATAAGTAATGAAGCGCTTTCGCTCGTAAAAAGGGGCACAATGATAACTGCTGTGCTTTGACATGTCCTCGCTGTGTGGAACCTACCGCATTTGCATTCTCCAAAAAAGCTAGTCTTCTTATCACGTAACACAAGGCAAAAAAGCCGCACGTCCTGGAAAATTCTAAAAACGACGGGAAAGCGCAGATCCGCATTAACAAAAAAGAGACGACGAACGACGATCACTGACTGTCAATCCTATGCTCAGGAGAATCGTCCTCAAAAAAACAGAAGAACTGCCTTTGTAGCACTGGAAAAACAGTCTCTTCTATTCAGTATGCACTGTAATTGGTTCTCAAGACCCGACATTCTTACACACAGCCAAGAGTTGCATTATTAGTATTATTGGTCATCAGAAAGTCGAGCATTATTGATGGCAGTGTAAGGAGCACCTGTTTTTTGCCAGTCTCATTAAAGAAGCATCATGCTAGAGAGATGTGTTCAAGTGAAGCATATAGCGAATAAGCCCTAAAAGGAGTGTGAATATTCCCAAAGAGGGAGTGCAAGCAAAAGACCCACACACGCAATACCAGATTAAAAGAGAGGGCTGGGGGATTTCTTTGAAGGAAGGAGAGAGACTCTTTGGCGAATTAGGAAAGATCTTAGCCGTATTGGTGAAGTTACCGATGCAGGTGGTGATGGATTCTCGGGGTAGGGTATACTGAAAGGGGCATATGAAGATGTGTTACTCTTACTGCTATCTACAGTACCACTGCTGCAAATTATCCATTTAAAGTGTACCTCCCGCCCCCCTCTTCTTCCTTGCTTCCCTGCTTGACAGAGATAATGCAAAAGAATGTACACCTATTTCTTATAGGAGTATGCGCTTCAGTGTGTGTATTTGTGGGGGGGGGGGAGGTATCTGTCTCTTCTCTTCATCACATCAGCAATTACACTATGTACTTGGTGGTATGTAGTAGCTGCAGTAGTGGAACACGTACTGATCCTACATACACGGTCTTCCGTCGGCTAAATAAGATCCTCTTTCTTTTATTAGCCCTCTTCTTTTGCGACCCTTCCCCTTTTGAAAGGGGGCTCCTTTTGCCTCATCAGCACACTAAATGGGATTGGCGATTATTACTTGCATAGAGTTTTCCTTCTTCAAAAGCGTACGCCTGGAGCCAAGCAAAAGAGTCTGGGGATCTCCGAGGAGATGAGTTGGGAGCTTATGTATTGTGTGGGGGTACGAAGGTTCAAAGGGCGGAAAAAAGAAGTTCATCGACAAAGAGCGCCAGTCGCTAAATCGAGAGATAAAAAAAAAGATCTCTGTTTTTATGTACTACCTACGCGCAGCAGCCTACATTGTCACTTGACAATTCTTATGTTGTTGTCATGGTGTTTTATTGTTGTTGTTGTCTGGAGTGCAAGATGTTTTATTCTTGACTGCATCCCAAAAAAAAAAAAAATATGTCGCTGTTGTTGTTATTGTTGTTGCTGCTCTAAGCCTTCCTCTCTTTCTCTCTGCTGACATCTTTTCCCATTTTCCCTCGGTACGTGTGGGGTATGTATCTTTTCCCTTGACCGTACATTACATGGGTGCATATGAAATAAAGGTACATCTGAGACGCGTGGATATTGCCGAAATGAATGAAAAGAATAGGAATAGGAATAGGAAGAAAAACAGGTTTTGAGCAGGATACAAGCATCATCTTTACATTCATCTTACCTCATGATACTGTATACATCGGCAATGAGTGTGCAATATGAGAATACATAGAGAGAACGAGGAGGAGGAGTAGCACTACTACTCATAGCACTCTTTCTGTGCGTACGCGTACTGTGTGTATAAAAATATACATGTAGGATCTTTTGGGGGATGCAAAGAAAAGTAGGAGATGCCATCTTCTCCATTATTCTGTATGTGTCGCTCTTTCTCTTATCAGAATTAGTCTCACTTGCTTAAATGATGCAATTACGACTAACGGCGTAATATATAAAGTTGTGAGGCGTTTTTTTTTCTTCTAGACCGCAACATATTCAGAGAGGAGAGGGCAAGCCAAGAAGCATGCGCACATGCATCCGATCTCATTTGCTAAACGTGCCTAATATTTAGCAGTGGCTGACCGAACCTTATATACAATATCATACATAGTACATAAGAGACGTAATTGATCTCGATGAGCTAAATTCGAAACGCTCCCGAATAGCCAGTACATTTATTTTCTATATCTGCAAAGAGAGATATCGCCTCTTTGCCGTTTTTAGGATAGAGGCACAAAAAGCCTTATTTCGCAAGGGCATACCAGTTGCGGTGTATTGAATGTGCTATGTGTTGTTGTCGTTAGCCACTTGCTTATCCGCTGGTGATACTACTAGAACGGGCGGTAAGCTCATCTGAAAAATACAAAAGTTTTTCTTGTTTGTGTTTACGGTGCATGCTGTTTGTATTTTGTTGTTTTTTTCCTTTTGAAATATGATCGGGCGGAAACACTATGTTGTTCAACATTTAGAGTTAGTAAACATGTAGGTTATATTGTCATTCGAAACTGTTTTTCATTTTGATTCCGACTAGGGCGTTACGTTATTATTTCTATTATTATTTTTTTCTGATCCCGTTACTTATCCTGTTTTGTTGCACAGTGACATCGATAAATGACGGAAGCCTCTATCTCTCTCTTGCTTGACGGCACACAGTGTAGAAGTTTATATGCCAGCAAAGCGCAGATGAAACCTTGTAGAACCTTCAGAGCAATCTTGTATCGTGGTGTTGTACATATTAAGGCTTGTCCATAATAAGTAGATCCTCCTAATTTGTGTTATGGAGCAACAAAAATAAAATATCAGAATCATACATGCCACATTGGTTCTCGATAACAGATTATATCAATCATGTATGGTGTGTGTTACGCCTGCTCTAATTCTATCTACTGCTACAACTGATGGTGTACGTATGAATCTCTGTCTTGTCTCCTATGAAAAAGCTATTTGGGAACTCAAAAGGGAGCAAGTTGTTTGGAAATTAATGTGGAAAATGTCGCAATAGCAACAAGTACTACAGCTTTACATCATCAGCATCGTCATCAGCATCATGTTTAAAGATCCATCTGTTCTTACTGGCTATTATATCCACCCACATCGTTTCCTTCTCGGTCTCTATCTCTTTCAGTGTGTGCAATACATTGAACATTGCAATACCCCCACATACTACTCCTTTTTTGCAGGTTCCTTGCATAACTGCTCTTTGCGTTGTATGTGTGGAGCACAAAGAGAACATACACAAAAAAAGGACCCTCGTCCATACATAATACGCACACGTACATACATGCATTACATGTTTTGTCAGCAGCAAGGCGGTAGATTACATGCATCCTTTTTTTTTGTCTGACCAAACATCCGTGTCACGCATGGGTTTTTTTCTTTTGGGCGACATCATTATTAAAAACCTAAACACATAAAAAAAAGGCCAAGCGCGTTTTGGTATTATTGAATAATGTAGGTGAGTGTGTGAGTCATCGGAATCCCCTTTATTATTAATATACTATATGCTTGTATCTTGCCACGATCTGGAAAATCTTGGAGAGCGAGAGAAAAATAAAGTAGAATAATTTAGTAATAATAGTAGTAGCAGTAATAGTAGCATGATTATGTAGAGCAGTGATGATCTACTTGACCCGTATCACACATACCTTACTATTGTATGTACAGCAAAGTTTTTTTTTTTTACCAAATCGTAAACCTCCCCTTTCCGTGCACACCTCCTACTACTAGCTAGAGTAGATCCGGCGAATCCCTTCTACTATAACCCCTCCCTCTATAATTCCAGTTCAATCTCTCGGTCCGCCTCCCAGGCTATACTCTCTTTGCATATGATCTCTCCCTTTAAAAGTAGAAACGAGCCAGTAAATGCAGTGAAGCAGAACGAGCCCGGTTTGTTGCGCACAGAAACATTCCGGAGGTCGATAATTCTCTTTTTTTCCACCACCCACCCCCACCCCTCTTCCGCTTCACACACCCCCTCGATGATTATTATCTTTTTTTTTTACCCTTCCCCCACTCAAACCCTACATATTAGAGATAGAGAGAAAAAGAGGAGAGATATTGTGGTGCAGCAGGCAAGCCCACATACACCAAAGTAAAATAAATGAGTGATAGGGTTCTCATGCAGCTCTAGCATATATCGTGAAAGGCAACAACAACAACAAAACAGCAAAAACAAATGGTGAATTGGGCGTGTTGTTGTTTATGCTTTTGATGGACAAGAGTCCACCGACTGCACGGAAGACGAAGAAACGGAAAATTGATGTCAAGACTATGTTTATCACATCGTGAATATGTGCGTGGACGTGCTTATATGTGTATGTATGTATGTGTGTGGATATATAGAGTATTTATACAATTGTGCATGTATGTAAATAAAGTATATTTTGTACCCCAAAAAACAATCCCTGTCCCTTCCGAGCCAAAGTATATAAAGCAGGCCAATTTCAGGACGACAAAAAGACAATAGTATTATCTTTCCCTCCAATTATCTCTTCTCTCACTCTCACTCTACTACTTTACTACTTTACTACTTTACACTTTCCACTTTTCTATTTTTCCAAACACATACTCAAACACACACACACACACACACAATGAACAGTAAGTATCATCTATTATGCGCTTGAGGCGGAATCGAGGAAAAGAACGATCTGACTTATAGTTTCTTTGTTTGTTTGGTGTACAGTCGCTGATATTTTGAATCCCACTGCACCCAACAACACTTGTACGCCCACCATCTACGAAGAAGAGCATCGACTACTTTCACCGCCCTTGTCGCCATTCCATGCAGAGGACGTACACTATCTGCAGCAACATCAACATCCTCATTACTACGGTGATAGCAGCAGCTCTGATGCAAACGCCGTCGCTAACAATTACGGCAAACCACGAAGCCGTTTCTCAGAATACGAGGATGCAGTTATTTGTGAAGGTGTTGCCAGGGGCCTGACCTGGGGCCAGATCTCTGGCCAGTTGCCACACCGCAAGCGAGCGACATGCTTTAACCGATACCGAACACTTCAAGGCATTCGCAAGTCGCGCAAGCGATCATCCATCGTATCTGCAAAGTACAAGCCATTGACGCCTCCTTCGTCGCGTCGCGCATCCATCGTTTCCTGCTCAACGCGAACCTTCTTTACGCCATCGCCATCTCCGCCCCTTGCTTCTTCGCCTTGGTTACCGACAACCCCGCCACTGTCGACTAACAACAACAACATCGCTACTGGTAACCATAGCAACAACGATGCTCGTTACTATGGCGACTATGATCTTGTACGAACCCCTTCGGCATTTGCTTCGTTAAGCCGTCCATCGACCCTGTGGATGGAGCCACGCCCATGTTCATATTACCAAATCTAACTTAATATTCTACTTATTCTATCAGTCTATAATCATTTCATCCATCCATCATTCATTCATTCATCATCACTCTCATTTCTTGGTTCTCCTCTATTCTATTTTTTATATGAAACGTGCATGCATAGTTTCATTTCAACTTTCTTCTGCAATTCACTCACTCTCGCTCGCTCAAATCAAATGCAATTCAATCCCCAACCCTTTTAACAATTCTCTTATAATCATTCATCATTCTTTTGGGACTCTATTTCTTTTCTTCTATCATATCCATCCACTTCATTCTCTCTCATGTTGTTGGGGTCTGGTTGACCGTGACCCTGACGTTTTTATTTCCCAACCCGCTTCTTGTAGATAGTAATCAGCGCATATTTTTTTTCTTTTTGTTTTTATTCAAAAGAGGTCTATATGGAATCTAATGTAAATTTACTCTTAATAATCCCTCTTCTGCACTCTCTCATTTAACAACAACTCTTTTTCTACGCAAAAAAAAGAAACTCAAAATTATGCCTCAATTTTCTTTTTCTACTAATTTCCAGTCTTAGTCCAGTTTCGCTCGTTTGAATATAAAAAAAAAGAAAAAAGTTCAAAGATTCAACATCAATAACCATCGTATCAATCATCTTCTTCATGGGTAACATCATTGTTTTTCTCGTAATATTCATACATGAGTGTACATGTGTGCGCAACGTGTAGCAACAATTCAAATGATCTTCAATCAATAACAAAATGAACTCAAAAAAAATTGCGCCTTTCCAGTCTTTACAGTAACATGATTTCTTGCATACGCACATGAACGCACATTTAGGGAATAATATAAAGTTGCATGATGTGTGAAGAATGTATAATTGCCCAAATTTGTGATACAGTTCCGAGCTGGTGTGTGTAGTATCTAGTAATATACTCTTAATTCTAATTACCTATCTGTTTGGGGGAAAGGACAAGAGATTGATGACACGAGAGAAAAATAGAGAGTAGAGGAGGAAGTTTTTTGGGGGAGGAGCTGAAGAAGAAACCTTAAAGAAAGTTGACTCCCCATTCAGCATTGTACTAGATCAACAATAACAACAACAAACAAACAAAGATTATTACTGTTTGTTATTTGATAACGCACCAACAACAGCAGCCAGAACCCTATCTAACTCGGACATGTCTGTTCCATCAATGATATATAAAGTCAATCACTTCTCTCTATGTTAATCAATCTGCTACTACTATTAGATACTCTAGCCAACCATGACACATTATACTAAAGTTCAATTCGGCATCCTGATCATCTATACACAAAGAACATATTTCCTGATTCTGCCGAATTGGCGATTATCTTACGACGTTGCTGTCGTCCACGATTATCGAGTATCCTGCTGCCAAGTTTAGAACGTTTATCGCAACCTTCAATTACATGTGAGCTAAAAAGAAAAACATGTCACACGGAACTCGTTCTCTCCTATTATTATGTCTTTCCATCTTTGATGAATATGGCCGTAAACTGCTGTGGCAACACATGCAGCCATATCAGATAGAATATAAATTTTAGCCCCAAATAGAGTACTACCTTGAAAGATTTCAGACATAGCATATAGTAGCTTAGTAGCATAATGTTGGAATATATCACGCAACATAAAGAATGTGTAAACTTAAGGAGCACCCAGCCTCGTCATCAACACCTTCATCCTTAAAAGTTCATCATCGAGATTGTCCAATGAAGTACTGATGATAATGTTTCAGCATCAATCATCATCATCATCGTGATTAAAAAAAGACGATACATAAAGACATACTGCAACGTGTCATCCAAGTGTATAAACAAGTGATCATTTCATGCACACAATCCCGAAAAGTTGTTTTTATTTTCCTCTTTCTCGGGGTGGGGGGTGAGGGGAGGGAGGGAAAATAGAAAAAGAAAGGAGTTGTTCCGATAATTTGACCCTTGTTTGCTTCATTTGTTACCTTTTTCAAGTAGCAGTGCTGTTGTCCTACATAGAGCTCAAGATCATCTTGAGCTATCAGGGAAAAAAGAGAGAGAAAGAACATGAGGGGAGAGGGGAAGTGTTGTTTTGTTGAATGTAAGTTTGTAGTTTGTTGTTGAGCATAAAATAGCCAGCCAGTATTAGGAGTTTCTGTGTTTTTTATAAGGATCGGCTCCGATAGATATTGGACAGACATATGTTGTTCATATCGGCGCAAGGTACATATATAGTAGAAGAAGAGAGTATTTTAAAAAATGGAAAAGAAGTCGATCTCTCAAGGTGCTATGCGATATAGGGAGCATTGAGCGATCTCGGCGTCTTCCTGCATAATAGCTGTATCGTATGCACCATAGAAAAAAAATAGAATAACAGAGTGTTGTTTTGTTTGTTTGCTATAAAAATTGCAGCTATGATCCCGTCGTTGTCGTATGTGTTCTCTAGTTCCTCAACCTCCGTCCCGTTCCTCTCTTCTCTATCTCTTTAGTGTGTTTTCTCCCTTCTCGCTCCGCGTTCCAATGTCGGCGCATGCCTGCAGAATCTTCTTCCAATGGCATTTCTAGATCTAAAATGTATCGTTAACAATATATTCTAGCTATTGCCAAAGATGGCAATAGCCGAAAGAGAATGCTATCTTTTTTTATTACTGTTATTTTAATTTTTTATATATGTGTATGCTCTCTTCATGTTCCTCTGTATTTAGCAAATGTCTCCTTGACGCCGTAACCTTGTTGCAACGCTTCCATACATTTATCATCAATTGCAACGTATTTTGTGCAACTTTGGACCACATCCTCCACTAGATTGACGGGGATGCAGATAACACCATCCAGATCTGCGACAATGATATCGCCTGGCGTGACAACCACAGGTGAGGTCGACATGGTGATGGGCACTTGGAGCTCGGATGGTCGAACAAATGCATTCTGCGGCAATGTCGAATGGGATTTAGCAAATACCTAAGTTTATTAGGAGTATACGTTAGAGTTTATTCTCTTCTTTGCTCTGTGAACTGTGGGGTTTTCGCTCAGATATCGCAGCACGGATGATAGTAACAGTGATAGTAGTACGACTTACGGGATATTCCATCGATCGATGCTCACGCAAGTCCCGGACGCGGCCATCAATCACCACCCCTTTAACATTCTTCGCCTTTGCACGAGCGGACATCAGGCCTCCCCAACAAGCACCCTTCACATCTATGTACAGGTTGTTATGTTGTGTATCTTTAGCCTTTGTTTTTTCCATCCTTAATGTTCCTTACTTTCATGTGTGTGTGCCCTTTCGCCGCCTCCCTTTGTCCCTCTGGTTACTTATTTTACCTTTGGGTGCCGAGATAACCATAACACTGTTTTCCGGAGCAGCATCTGCCTATAATGTGCAATCAGTAAACTTCCACTTATAAGAACAAGAGATAGTGATAAAAGAAAAAGAGACAACGTTCAAGGGATCATCACAATGATAACAAAACATAAGACTCGTTACTGTGATAATCAAAGAACTTACAAAGTGCTCGGGTGGACTTGGAGCAGTCGTGTTGGATCGTTCAACCATCTGCATATATATTTTTCTTACTTATTACTCGCTCTGTTTTTTTTGTTGGTTTGGTTTTATCAAATAATAATTTACTTTGACTGTAAACGCAGGACCAACAATACGAGTATCGCCATCGCAGTAACGAGGAGACCACATTTCAATATCTGGAATGTATCCTCCCCAAGGTCGTTGTCCTAGTTTGAGAAGGGCATCTGCAATCTAGTTTGCGTACAGCATAACCCAACACACCCCGCATTGTCAGAGTGAGTTTCTGAATACAATACGAATTGACTCGGCGCGTGGTCATTTCTCCAAAGAAGCTTGAGATTCATATACCTCACAAGAAGAAAACTGCTTCAAGGCATTCAAGGTCGCGGCTGCTACTGCTACTGCTACTGACATGACTTGGTTTCAAAGACTTGAGTATTTATGCAATATGGAAGGATAGATATGTGTACGTGTCTTTTGAGATGAGTTCCACGAAGAAGGAAAAACGCCAAATCTGCAGAAACGCCGAAAGTTTCCGGATCATTGCACGTGAATTAAGCTGGAATCTTACTCATATTCATGCTGCAGTAGTAGAAGTAGTAGTAGAAGTAGTAGTAGTAGTAGTGTGTTGATATGATTGTCTTTGACTAGCACTGTGAAATAATACTTTAATATGTCTACAGAAGATAGACACATAGCTGCAAACAGCAGAATCCTGAAAACATACTTCTACTGCAAAGCATTGTCTTTGATAACGTGAAAGGATCCAGGTCATCGCACAGGGGCACAGCTTGCATGCAAAATAGCAACGGCAAGGAGAACAACGCTACAGACGGCAATCTCGTGGCCCCAAAGAAGTGCTGCTACTACTCATCAAATCAAAATGATACATAACAAGTTGTAGTTTGTCTTTTCCCGTTAATAGATAGCTGTTGTTTCAAACGTTTTGCCGAGTATGATGTTTCTGTTTATTAGCAAATGGAACTTGTGATACTTTAAAACAGCCCGTTTCTATAGGTGTGATGACAACAAAACTGTCCTCCGTTTCCCCCACCCCCCAAAATGCAGTTTCTTGGTTCTGGTACTATATATTTTTTATACTGGATGATGTTGCTGATGCACAGCACAACAGTTGTTGAAGCATATGTATGAAGAACTGCATCGCCAGATGGACTTTGTTGTATATTTATAGGTGTTGAATTATCGATCCAAGAAAAGGTCGCCAAGGTCAGACTTATGTTGTTCTTTTACACAGTGGTGACCATCGCAGAGTTGGGTTAGTAGTAGTGAGTCGCAATGTTTCAATAACGCTAAATCCAAAGCAGCTGTCGAGTCGTGCTACCTGAAGCGATGAGGCTCTGCATATATGATAAACCCATTTTTCAAGTTAAAATGCTATGCTATAAGAACGTGCGATTCAATACGGATATGCTGCAGCATTACCCATAATTAGGATACGGGCCACAAACCATATAATTGTGGTGGTCATGAGTTATTTTAACTAAAGCAACGCGTCCATGTATATATATATGGCAACATGGTGAAACGTGGAAGGAAACCCCATTGTTCCATGTGGATCTTATTGTTGTCATCCTATTTGTAGGTAGATACAATCAAGTGAGCCCAAACTATTGTTCAGAATGCAGCTACATCTCCTCAGCAAACAAAAGCAGCTTACAGATTGCTTTATTAAAAATAACAGCATAAACATTAATGATTTCATTCACTTTATAACCGCAAACAAAAACTTTGAGGATAAGGTTATTGACACTGCATCTGTGAAATTACGAAACGCACAAGTAGTCTTCTTGCTTCTATTTTTGAAGCAAGAACTGAACATAAAGTGCATCTGAATGGAAGCTTCAACAGTGGCGAAGAAGTTTCTAATCATACTAAAAAGCCGATACAGATACTGTTGCAAATCTTTTACGTGATCATGTTCAGCCCACTCTACAACGCCACAAGTTGGTTGATCATGCTTCGTCTTGCACCACCCAGCTCTCCCAGGCTCCAACGAGCCTCGCCTACATAGTTTAGGTCTTATTGGTCGTTGGTTGGCAAAGTTATTGACTCAAAAGACCAATAATTACTGGCAAGCATATAAGATCAGCCGAGTAAGCCGGATGGTAGCATACCACTGTACACAAATCGGCTATATATATATATATATATATGTTTCTTTTATACTAACAAAAAGAAGAGATTTTTAGTGGCCGGGCAGACCTTCGATATCATTAATACTTATATTCAACGTCACCAGTACTAATGGCTTTCTAGCATGTCAAAAACAACAGTACAGCTATATCAGATTTAAATGGCCCAAATACACGCTTGTATTGGTCGGTGGCACGGTTTAGGCCCACGCTCCATATATCCTCCTGTGCCTGATATTTTTATCGGGGCCGCCATAGGTTGTCGGTCCAGGTCCGTAGGCAAAAAATACCTGATCCGTCAGGCATATGAGATCGATAGATATATTTTTAAAAGGCTTGGCACATTGTTCGTGGTTGTCGTTTAGATACGTATGGGTAACATTGCCATCAGAGCACGATCAAAGTGTTCCGACTATATATCCTCCTTTCCTCTGTCATTGTTTTATTCTACTTGTAAGAACCTTGCACAGACCTCATCACACATGCACTACTACACTGGCTTAACTTTTTCCTCCTGACCAGGTGAGGGGGTTTATTAAGTTCTTGCATATATTCTTTATATATAACGTATCTGCACGAACCGTAAGGAAAGTGGCCGCAATGTCTATTGGCGTAGGTCAACAGTCTTCTAGAAACAGTAAAAACCAAAATCTTCATCTACTAATGGGTAACCGAAGCTTTTACTATACTTGATAAACGAGATTGAAATTATTGCAGATCTGTCAAGAATAGTAGCCCCATTATCGCTCACATAAATATGCAAGCACTCATACCCCTTTTAAGTTTGCACATCATACTCGAACAAACTTTCATTTTTTGACAGCCAAGTAGTATGTTGCTGTTCTAGAAGAGGTCCTTAGATGGCATGTTCGGCAACATGTCACATTTTATATAATTCGTTGGCACGCGCTACTGTATGGATAGTAGGTGGTGATTTAGAGTTCGTTGTATAGTTACGGTGGCCTCTGGTGTCAAACAAAGGGACGAATCTAGAGGAGCGGATCATCCTCAGGGTGTCACACACACACACACACACACGAAGCACAGCGCATCAAATCCAAATTTGAAACGCAAGTCATTTCCACCTACTGGCGGTCTTTTTCAGTTCCCTTTCTCTTCGTAACTTTTGCTTTTGCACCCTATAATACCATAAATTAGCCCCTCTCCCATTCATACAATGAGCGACGACAGCGAATCCTATCTGTACCAATTGGAGCAAGTTGAACTTGCATTATCCAAAGATCCAGAAAACGAAGAATTTAAAAAATTGCAACAAGATCTGAAAGAGCTGATTGCATTGACGCAACAACTTGAGCAGCAACAAAAGAAATCGACAACACAGAGTCCAAAAACACCGATTTCTCCACAGTCGTCATCTCAACAAGGACTTGAGAAAAAACAAGGAGGGAAGAGCACAGTTACAGTGTCACCGACACCCGTGTTAAAGACCCATCAATTCTCAGTAGGTCAAGATGTCATGGCACGATGGTCGGGCGATGGACAGTTTTATCGAGCGACGATTACAGCGATCGGTGGAGCGGATCAAGTATTTTCAGTGTCCTTTCGAGGATATGCAGAGACCGAAATGGTAAAGGCAGAGGACGTGAAGGCACTGGACAGCAAGAAGCGACAAGGTATTTTTGAAGGCGTTGGGTCATCTAGTACTGCTGCAGCAGCAGCAGCAGCAGCAGCAGAGGAGGAATTACAAGAGCAGCAACAGCAAGAGCAGCAAGAACAACCACCGGCGAAAAGGGGCAGAAAGGACAAGTCGCAGCAGAAGAAAAAGGTGTCAGAGGTGGAGGTCAAGAAGAACGCGTGGCTTAATTTTGCGTCAGGAGCCGATGGCAAAAAGAAGAAAAAGAGAATGGCAGCAACGCCAATCAACAAGAAGAGCATCTTCAAGACGCCAGATAATCCCGAAGGCAAAGGTTAGCAAAACAAACTCAATTCGTCGTCGTCGTTGTTGTTGTTGTTGTTGTTGTTGTGATGATATGCTAAGCAATCCCCGCGTGTGTGTAATGTCTATGACACATCATCATCTGTGCATCTGTAGTGGGCGTCGTTGGCAGTGGTCGCGGCATGACGTCGTTCCAACAAAGAGGCAAGCATTTGTATAGTGAAAATAAGCATGATGAAGAGGACTGATCGATCTGCCTTACCCAGCAGCAGCAGCAGCAGCAGCAGCACGTTACTCTAAGAAAAGATATGCCACTACTACTACTACTACCACTACTACCATGGTCCGTGATGATTGCGTCGTAACACAAACATTCTGTCCTGCACCCCCTCCCACCCCCCAATGTTTTCTTGTGTGTGTGTGTGTGTGTGTAGATGTGTGCTGGTGTCTCTCTCACTCTCCCACCCACCCCCACCCCCCCACCGCGACAACTGAAAGGAAAAATAATAATAAAAAAAAAAGTACCGCTACTTAACAGAGCAGAACAGACCCCTCCTTTCCCTCTCTTCTTCTTCTAAACTCCTTCCGTTTGAAAGCGCACCCTCTGTTTCTTTCTTGTCTTCTTTCTCTTTCTCGTTCTCTCTCTCTCTCTTTCTTTCTCTCTAGTTTCAACCCTTTCATATTCTATATGTTGCCACAGTTTGGTTTTATCGTTGCTCAGGCCGGTGCTGATGCGCGAATGGCCGCTCCTGCCGGTCCACCATCGGGATTGCCTCCACCTCCTCCTTCTCACAACTCGAGCATCGCCTCCATGTCCAATCAGTACCGGCATGACGGTTCGTCTGTCACACCTCCTCGCGATCGGCCATACTATTCACGTCACTCGTCTCCAGCACCACCGTCTACTACTCCTACTACTAATACTACTAATACTACTCCTTCTTCGTCGTCGTCGTCCATGCCGCATCCTCCGCCTGTGCTACCTCCTCCTGTTCCGTACATGTATGCTGGCTCAGACTATAACTATCAACGCCCGTATTATCCTCCTCATCCTGCTGCTGCAACGTCAGTACCGCCACCTCCCCCACCATCAGCACATCCACAACAAGTGATACAACAGCAGCAGCATCAGCATCAGCATCAACCGCCGTTGTCTACCTCATCTTCTTCTGCATCGTTTCGTCCGTTGCCTCCCAAGTGGCGTGACGAGCCACAGTTGATGCAACATCACGCGCCCTCAGCAGCGACAGTAGCAGTACCTCAGCGACCACAAACCCCTCCCGCACCATCGTCTGTGTGGCATGCACCAACGCCTCCACCTCCGCCGTCACAGCAACAATTTGTACAGCAACAACCACCCCCGCCACAAGTGCCTCAGGTATCACAGCAACACGTACAACAATCAAAACAACAGCAGCAGCAGCAGCAGAAACAAGCATCATCCTCATCCTCATCATCAACAACAACAACCACACCTGCTGCTGCTGCTGCTGCTGCTGCTTCATCGTTCCATCAGCATCAACCCAAGTATGACTATGACCCGTATCACTCACATTATGAATCACAATGGGATCAACAAGGTAAAAAATCACCTTTATCTGTACTCAGTGTACAGGGCTATTAAATAACACACCCATAACAGATGACCAGGGCGGGTCGTTGTCGGAAGCACATCAAAACAAAAGGATGCGCAGCTTGCGCGAATGCAATGATCTGCTGACCACAATGAACAATGAGTTTCTCGAACATAGCACAGTGTACGTCACTACTCTCTCCCTTTCTATCTTTTTAGTTCCGTGTTAATTGTTGTATTGAATCATAGTATCTACCACAACAAACTGCAATCGCTACAAGAAGAGCTGCGCAGCATACAAGAAGGTGAACACATTAGTTGTACGTTTGACTACAAAATTTGGGGCCTGTGTTGTATGTTGCTATACTGATGGACTGTAACAGGGACCCACGAGGCGTTTATGGAAGAAATAGCGGACTTGGAAAAGCAGCGTGAAGAGGCGATCTTCAATGCCCAGTGTTTGATGGAGTACCACGTGTCGGGGCTTAAACGACGTTATGAAACCGACGTGGATGCGGCTGAGCAGGACTACGACCTCGAGCGACAGCACCTGCACGATATGATTGTTGCTGCGATTGACGACCGTCGGAAAATGGTCCGGGAGGACCGCGACAATGGAGTCGATGTCAAGGAGCTCTTTAGGGACGCGTATCATCGTGTCAGTAACTCAAAACGCAGCTTGCGGAAACGACATCTCGATTACCGGTCGCAGAGTGCCGCGTCTCCTTCGCGGCATGAGAACTCGCGGAGAAGACAGAGTAAGTTCTTTCGGACCCCTGCTCCTATCATGATGGACTTGAGAGATCTTTTTAATCATGCAACTTGCATTGTAGCTCGACCAAGCAACATGTACAGTATCAATGGACCGATGTCACAGAGGGAGGAAGAGGACCTTGATCAAGAGTTTGCATTTATGAAAGGGTTGAAACGGGTGACAGCTGCAGCGCAATGAAAGGGGGGTGGTTGTTCTCTTGATGGGTGAGGAGAAGGAAAAGGGGGGGGTTTTCTTTTCTTTTGATCAAGTTTGACACCATGCGTCATGCATTGCATATCTCTCTCTCTCTCTCTCTCTCTCTCTGTACATAATACACATCCATTACACAAAGCAAAAGACGTGTTATTGTTGTTGTTGCTGTGTGTATACTGTGTGCGAAAATTCAAGATTATTTATTGAAACAAATTGCTGCTGCTGCTGCTGCTGCTGTTATTGTTGTTGTGATTCGCAAGCAAATGTTCTGTAAAATAGAGTTATGTGCAAAGTGGAGGAGAGGAAAAATGTGTGTCAAACTGTGCAATAGTTATAATGGGATTGTGATTGTGAGTTATGTGTGGAAATAAGTAATAGAAAGACAAAGAAGCAAAGTTAATGCGTTGCAGTCCAGAGGCTTGATCCCGACGAAGAAGCGGATGAATAGCACGGGAACAGCATCAGGGACGCCCGTCTGGAGGAGGACGATGTGGAGGAAGATGCTACTATCGTTGGATGGAACTGTTGAGACATTGTCGACGACGATGACGATGGTGGTGGCTGTAGCGGCGCTAGTGGCGGTGGAGGTAATAATGGAGGAGACGGGTCATCGGCAAGCAAGCCCGGCGGCAACAAGCTTTCTGCATCGGTTGGCAATAATAGTGGATCGTCATTTGGCTCTCTTTGTCGACTCACAATAGCCGATTGCTGTCTTTGTTGTCTTTGCTGTTCTTGGTGTTGGAGATGCTGCAGCAAGAATGAGCAAGTTGGCTGTCGTGGTGTCAGTGTCGGTGTTATTGTTGTTGTTGTTGTTGTTGTCAAAGAAGCCACCGCTGTTGACGTTGATGAAGCCTGCTGGTGTTCTGATAAAATGGGTGACAGGGATGGTGGAGCCATATTGACTGCAGTAGCAGCAGCAGCAGTAGTAGTGGTTGTTGTGGTTGTTGCAGACGGGGGTATTGACATAGTAATAGTAGTAGGAGCAGCATGAACGGCGGTAGAGTTGATTGTGACTGAGCCATTCTGATGACGAAACGTGCAGCGAGCACCGTAAGGACACGTTCCGGTTTGACAATAGGTTCGACACACTTGGGTCTTGTACTTTGGATGTCGCTCAACGTCACGGAGATCGTCTAGTCCGTGCGCATACTGGCACTTTGTGCCGTACCTTTTGTTTATTTTTATGTACACCTTGGCTTAGTATAGGAGTTGTTGTTGTGATATATGTAATGCATATACAAACAAAGCAATCCGCTGTTATCATACCTGCAGTGATCCAGTTCCTCCCAGTTCCGACAGAGTTCAGTCTTGTACAGACGCTGCTTCTTTTCTGAGCCCGTAGCCGTCGTCGTAGCTGTTGAAGTAGTAGTGCGCATTGACTGTGCCGCCAAAGAAGACAATGTCGACGACACATGTGATCTGCAGGGCTCGGAATGGCGCCGATAATCGCCACTGCCACCGCTGCTGCTGCTGGTGTTGCTGCTGCTGGTGTTGGTTTTTTTTAGGTTTGTGGATGTCGGCGAAGAGAGGGAAAGTGATCGCATGCGTGTTGACATATCACCGCCACCTGTGCTGTTACTGTTATGGGTTTTATCATGCTGCTGCTGCTGCTGCTGCTGTTGCTGCTGCTGTTGCTGTTGACGCTGATGGCTCTTATTATTAGATGATGACTCTGCTGATCCTAAACCGCAAAAAAAAAAAAAATATCAGCACACCCGCAAAAATCTTTTTTTTTCCTAGACAAGGGTTGATTGTACTACATACCACCTTTACTTTGTCTTGAGCGTTTTCGACCGCTGCGACGTGAGTGACTATTATGTTGCGGAGGTGGTCGGGACTGACCACTTTTGGAACGACTGTCCCCGGCCTCCTGCTGCATAAGAGCGTGTAAAAGGGAGAGAAAAGAAAAAGGAAAAGTAAAAGGGCGCGATGGAAAATTTTGAAAGAAAGAGCGAAAGAAAGAGAAGAGAAAAGGAAAAGGTTAAAGCAAGAGGGGTGCTACTGTGTATTAATAAAATGACAATTGACTTACAGAAGGAAAAACAGTGGTGGTAGCAGCAGCAGCAGCAGTAGTAGTAGTAGTAGTAGTAGTAGTAGCACGTGAAAGGAATGGGTGTGTGGCCTGGTTTTGCTGCAAATCATCGTGTCTCAAATGTTGGGTCCTGCCCTGTGTCCGGCAGGCGTGGTCTGTGCGGGTCTGTCTGTGTGTGTGTGTGTGTGTGTGTCTCTCTCTCACGGCACGGAGTATAGATTTGCCGTGCGACTATTCCCCCCCCCTAACAAGACATCGGCACACACAGATTAAACCTCAGAACAAACAAATCCAAAGGAAAATACAAACTAACTTTATTTTCCAGTGTCAAGAAACGACTCGATCTCGTCTCTCTTATTCATCCACTAATACCAACAATAACCTGGATGCAGCCTTACTTGATCATCTTTACGACAAGCCTAATAGCAGCAGCAGCAGCATCAGCATCAGCAGGCAAGTCACCGCCACTGAAAGCGCAATTCGGAGTCAGCTTGACAGATTCCTGCGACTGTGGCTACATGGATGAAGGCAACACCTGGAGCGACATGTGGCACATGGACTTCCAGCCATGGCACACTACCCAAAAGATCAACGACATTTTCGTCGCGCGCTACAACATTGAGGCCAAATACGAAAACACACGGGACCGCACCTTTGACGTCCAGAACGTCAGGCTCAATCCTGCTCCCGGCGGTGGCCTGCAACTCGCTGTCACCGTCGAGGACAGCGGCAGCACCATACGTTGCGCCGGCTTTGGCACCCAGCGCCAAGACTTTCTGTACGGCTCATTTCGAAGCTACGTGAAGACGACCAACGTCAATGGCACCGTCGCTGCAATGTACATTTACAATTCCCAAGAAGAGATTGATATTGAAATCTTGAGCGCCGTCTCGCCGCCGCAGTCCTATTTTGCGATCCATCCGGGACTTTTGGAGAACGGCCGTGCAAGCCATCTCACGCACGACAACCATCACCTAGGCTTTGATCCGGCGGTCGAGTTCCACGAGTTTCGCTTCGACTGGACGCCCAACCTGTGCATCTTTTATGTGGACGGCATAGAGGCGCAGCGCATGGTCACGAATATTCCCAGCTTGCCTGGACGGCTCATGTTTAACCACTGGTCGGATGGCAATCCCAACTTTAGCCAAGGCCCTCCCGCAAGTGATGCCATTTTTGAAGTCATGAACATCACCGCGTTCTTCAACTACAGCATGACGGACCCTAAAACGGGATTTAATACAACCGCCCCGGCAAAGTGTAGCAAGACTCAGCAGCCCTGCAATATCCGGGGTACGTTGGTTTACAATGGATAGATGGAATGAGTTTTATTGGGATAGGATGATGGAATAGTCAGGGAAAAAAGAAGAAATCTTAACGGGTGATTGATATATATATATATATATATACAAAAACAAAACAAAAAAATCAACAGGTATAATGGACTATCTCGAAACGAGACCGGCGGAATCCCAGGGTGCAATGTCTTCCTTGCCACCCGAGGCAACCCGAATACCGACTTCGGACGAACTACCGACGGATAGGACAAGGACGAGCGATGGTGTTGCGGCTGTTGCTGCTATTGTTGCTGGGAGAGAGACACTTGGCTTGCTTGGGCTGCTTTATGCCGTCATGATGCTTACATGATGATGGTAGTACAAAACAGATACATAACAATTAAACACATGATCATTTTCTTCTTCATGTTTGTCTGCCCTTGCCCTTGCCCTTGGGATCATGATGGAAGGGTGGTGGCGAAAATGAGGGTGGTGGTAATGACGATGGAGAAGCGTGCGCCACAAGCATACGCAGTCGTTCCAAAGCAGTCGCAGTAGTGGTTGAGGTAGTAGTGGTTATAGCAGAAGAAGAAGTATGGGTGGTATCATCGCTGTTCAGCCATGCAAGGAAATCCGAATTCAATAGCGCCTCAGCATACAAGCTGTCACCGTCGTCATGCTCGAGTTCTTTGGCCTGTGAAGGGCTCTCCTGGAAATCTGAATCAAGTTCGTATTCGTAGTAACGAGGCAACAGCACATCGATCACCGAGTCGCTGCGTTGCCATGATGATGATGAGGATGATGACCCGCTTTTAGGAAACCTGAGCATAGTAATACCAGTCGTTGCAGCAATGTTTAGCGTGTGGACAAGTAACCAAAAAAAAAAAAAAAGAAGAAAAAAGAAAAAAAGGACGATTGAACTACGAAAAAGAAGAAAGCAGCTGATATAATCTTCAATTCATATTAAGACAAATCGGAGTTTTATTGCAAGTTCCATGATATAAAAAAAAATAAAAAAGCATATGAAAAAAAAAAAAAAAGGTTTTTATTTCTTGTCCTCATTGAATAACCGTAAACGATCGACTCTGTGAGCTAAATCGTCTCGGGCCGCTGCGTCCGATGCAGATGTGCTAGACGCGGATGACGATGTGCTGGACGAAGACCAAGTGGATGTGCTCGAGTCACTGCTGTATCCATCCTTCTCTGCTGTCTCCTTTTGCTTTCTCTTGGCCCTGCGTTTCTCTTTACGAGCCGCTCGTTTCGCCGCCCGTTTCTCTTGCTTGTGTTGTCGTCGCAGTTGTCGCATGTCACGCTTCACTTGACGTTGACTTTGTTTTACTTGACGTTGCCTTTGTTTCAAATCTCGGAGATCCGGGTGATCCTGGAGGAGCGCTTCACGTTTTGCTACAAAGAGATCGGCTCCGAAATTGGATGACGAACACGACGGTCGATGGTGGAGATGGTGATTGTTGGCATGGCGATGATGGGGGTGATTATGACGGTCACCCCAGTGTGGCATCGGTGGCACAGGTGGCATGATTGGTGGTGGAGGCGGCGGCGGTGGTGGTGGATGCATACCAGCTGGTGGTGGCGGGTGATGCATATGATGAAGAGGTGGCGAATAGTAGCGATGATGATGGTGATAGTGAGCATAGGGCGTGTTCCAACCGAACGACGTTCCCAAAGATGAACCAACCGATTTCAAAACGCGGGTCCACAATGGACCTGTGCATGGTGGAGGCGGTGGGTAGAGCGACGGTTCCATGTATCCACGAGCCATTGGTGGTGGCGGTGGCGGTGGTGGCATATGCATGTGTTGCTGCTGTGATCGATCCCAAAAGAACTGGTCTTCATAGCTTGGTGGGTCGCGTTCTTCATCATCTTCATCTGGTGGTGTGATCCATGTTGTATCGTCAGCTTTTCTCTTTTCTTGTGAAAAAGAACCAGCGTCGGGTGCTGTTGGCGGTGGATACAGACTATCCGTAGGATAGTATTGTTGTTGTTGTTGCTGTTGTTGCGGTGCTGATGATGATGGTGGCTGCCTTGATGTTGATGATGCATCGCTTTGTGAACGCTGTAGATTCGATTGAGCTGTGGCAGTGGTTGCTGCGGAGGCAGCCTGATGGTGTGTAGGATAAGAAGGGCCAGTAGAAGGCACAAGTGTTGCCAACCATGATTCAAGAGGACCCAGATCGATTTTTGTGTTTGTGGTAATGGTGCTGGTTATCGTACTGGCCATCTGACTCATTACCCGCATGACCTCGGCATTTTGCTGGATAACTTCACGGTACTGGTCCATCAACTTGCCAAGCTGCTCGAATGTTGCTGTAAAGTCGACACCGTTGTTCACATTTGCTGAAGCTTCTAAAGTACTGTTTGCGCCACCACCACCAGCAGCAGTGGTAGCGGCAACTGGTGTCGCCGATCGAGGAGAAGGCGTAGCAGCATCTGTTATATCGTCTGCAAGATTCACTTTTTGTTGTTGTTGCTGAAGGTCGGCTTCTTCGGGTGCAAACACCCACGCCATTGAATTGTTATCTTGTTGATGACGCTGGCCATACAAACGAATGTTGGATGAAGCTTCGGGCTGACGCAGCAACTCGATGAGCTCCATGTCGCTCGACAGAGTGATCACGTCGTGGTCGCTGTCACGATAGTACAGTACGGTTTCATTGGGGTTCGAGAGCTGGAACGAAGACTGCAAGACTGCGCATAAAGTATGCCATGAAGTATACTGCTCTGGCAAAGAAAATCGTCGGGTTTCGTCTCCTATAGTGACCTTGAAGTTGTATTTTCCCGTGGCCATTTCTTAAAGTAAGGACACCGGGAAGAAAAGAAAGAAAGAAAGAAAGAAAGAAAGGTGTGTGTGTGCTGATCGAGAAGAGAAGTGAAGAAAAGAAAAGGGTTTTGCTATTGTTTATACTTTATACAAAACGAGCAAGCCATTCTTGGCGTGATTGTCTCGTTCGGGGTCATGTCGCCAAGCCTTGACTATGTGGTTCCTTTTTTTTATTAACTGGCCTTGTGTAGCCTCCATGTTCATTTCCCCTGTCTGTCTCTTTTACTATGGCCTGCAGCATGATCGACGTGCTGCTGCTGCTGCTGCTGAGATCGAGGAACAGCCAAGCTGCGGATGGCAGTGTGGCGGAGTGGCCAAGACTTCTTTTTGACAACAAACGTCTGTCTCTCTCTCTCTCTCTTTCTCGTTTACATGTCCTTTTTAAGACTATAAACGGTGATAAATGCCCGCCTTCCCGCAGCGGATATCAGTAAATAGTTTTACTACGCTACCCGAGTGATTTCAGTCATCGGACTCTGGGCTGTATGAAGTTGCTACAAGGATAAAAGGGACACGTACGTTTTATCGCACAACAGCATGTAATATGGGCAACTTAAAATGAGAGCACGTGGTGAAAGGACATGGGCCAGGTCTTGCAATGCGGGTACAACAAGAGAGTGCGGCGAGCCATCCGTTTCACTCCGAATTGGGTGCGCGCCGTATGAATTACTTCCATGATACACGAATAGCATCTAAATGAGACAAGTGTTCTTCATTTTGCTCTACTTCTGGCACCGGCATCATCGAGTGTCACAAAATATCCTTAGTATATAATATACGATAGGCTCTAATCGCTCATCAGCGTCTATTCTGACGACATATGGCAGATATATCAATCAACGAGTCTGAGATTGTTTACGCATTGGTGTATATCGATGAGCAGCAGTTATATCCGCTACGAATATATCTTTTTTTTAAGAAAGAAAGCTAACACAGGAGGCAGTGACCGATGAGAGCTTAGTATATGAATTCACTACATCGAGAATCCAGAGGGGTGGCTAATGAAACGAAATTGTGTATGTTGTCCCACTTTACCCTCGGAGTGGTCCTTGTTCGCTCGCTGTACTTTGTATAATGCATGACATATTCGCAATGTGCTAGGTTACAACCGGTTTCTTTTTGCGAAAGAACGGCGTTTCCTGTAAAAGTATGTTCCTCGTTCCGCTTCAAAGCATCAGTGTACCTGGGATAAAGATATGCACTGCCATCGTCACTATACCGGGTAGAAGAGCTGACCTTGTAACCATTTGAACCGTTTCTCGTTTGCAAGGCCGGACCTACCTGTATATGTATCGCGCGATTTTATTGTTGCATATAACTTTCTTTATACCTTATGCTTCCTCGTCTTTTTGCCTAGATATTTTCTTGTTTGCAACCGAATAAATCGATCTGATGTCGCTTGTAAACTCGCCCGATTTTCATACGTGACCCTATGTAAGGGCACTCTTGCTGTCACTGCATGCATGCCACCGGAAACCCTGACCCGCTAATGGTTTCTTTTTCTGTATGCATTGATTCTTAGTTCTCATAATACATAATGTTGGTGGCTGTGGATCGTCACCTATACGCGCAGAGCACATCGTTCCCGTACTAAGTTGTCCAGAGATTTGACGCCGATATAGTAACTAACACAAAATAAAAGGTGCTGTATTCAATCTTTCGTAGACTGTGGTTGGATCGACGCATAAGTTCTATGTAAGGGCTCGTCATCATGCAATGTTCATGCAGGACAACAACAGGGTGGAGCTGGCCTTTCCGAGGGGATACATGTTGGATGTGGCAAAAAACCAAGGTTGTACGCAAGAACAACCGATATGGCGTACAGGAGTACATGAAGCAATTAATGTGGTGTGGCGTTTTGCACATACTGTGGCCGGTAAGACGAAGAAGAAGGCAATCAAATGAGATGGGATGCTTTACAAGAAGAAGGACGAGTATTCTGTGTGTGAATTTTCTTACTTCCTTGCTATCCGGCGCATGCGGGCTGGTACGTTACGGGGTGGGACCGAAATGCAAAGAAGAAAAGCAGGTTGTGTGTACAGTGTGACAAGGTGCTTCTTTTTGTATTGCAAAACACATATTTTAAACATCGCCCACACGTCTGTTTCGCCCTGTTTTACTCTTTTCCATACACACCGCATGACAACAACAACAGCAGCAGCAGCAGCAACAATAGCAATAGCAGCAGTGCATCTGTTATAAAATCAAGTATCCGTCTTCTTCTCTTTTTTCTCTTCTTGCTTTTTTTCTTCCTCCAAAGTACCCCGTATTCCTTGTATATATATACCCCTCCACCCTTTGTTTAAAAAAATGGTGCATCGCTCGTCTTCTTTGCAACAACGGTACTACGATGATTATGACTATTACGACGACGATCCATTCTATGATTACTATGCTTTATCACCAGAGACTACTTCTGCACGCCGTCGACCATCAAAAAGCAAATCAACCGCAACAACAGGAACAACGAGACGAACAAAACAACGTTCAAACAAGGTGTCCGGAGAAAAAACACCTCGTCGACGCAACAGCAGCAGCAGCAGTGGTAGCAAGAATAGAAGATCCAAAAGTGTGATGAATGATGATGAGCACCAAGGTTATTATGGACACTATCCGTGGGGCCTAGTAGGACAACAGGACGAAACAGCTCCTCCGCCTCCTTGGGGACCCATGTTTGAAGGTCACGACTCCTATAATGACGATTACCTGTATTACTATGGCTTGACCCCGTGGCCGCACGGACCGATGCCGCACCTTGCTGACAATGACGATTATGTTCTCCTCGATGATGATCATCCTTCCCCTTCTTCTTCTCAGCGCAAGGCATCCATTTCCAAAAAGAAAAAGAAAAAATCGACGTCCACTTCGCCACTATTACCACAACAACAGCAGTCTGCAATTGACAACAATTTCAACATGAGCAGTCCTAGCAGCAATATCATTATCAGTGACGAACCATTTGATGACACGGTAGCCTATATCCCCCCGCAACGACGAAGCACAATCCAGGGCGCTGCAGAATTCCACCATACCCAACACCAGCAACAACAAGACGATCATCACGGTCATACGCTAAGACGACGGCATTCCTTATATGAGCAACCGAGCACAAGCATGCTTTACAGCCCCATGATGCTTGAACAAGAGCCAGTCATTCCCATGACACCGGGGACAGCGCCGTCCCCATGGATACCATCCATGCCAATGGCGAATAATGTCATGGCTCAAAACTTTCCTAATTCTCAACACAATCAGCTGTCCATGATGGCTAGACCCCCACCGCCTCCACCACCACCTCCTGCTGCACCCATGATGCAGCCGTCAATGACGCAGTTTTCAATGCCCATGATGCCACGACTACCGTTTATGATGCCCCAAGCCATGCCGCCCGTGCCCCCACCATTTGCACAACCAGATGTGCTAGGAGGGTTCCCACATCAACCGATGATACCGCCTATGCCGCCAGGTCTAGGCCCACCCCTACCTCCACCTCTGCCACCTGGACCAGGTCTTCTTCCACCACCGCATCACCCCGCACCAATGCCGGATCCAGAACCAGCATTACCACCACCGGCGGCTGCTACATCGACTGCAGCAACAAGAGCAGTAACACGAGCCGCATCGCCTGCAGTCAAGAAAGAGGAAGCGAAAAAAGAGGATGCAAAGCCAAGAAGCAAGTCACCGGCAAAAGAGGAACCGAAACCAACAGCAGCAGAGGAGCCACCTAAAGAAGAAACCAAAGGTGACGATTCGGCACCAGCGGCTGAAGAGCCAGTAGCAAGCGATCCAGCACCTGTTGAAGCAAAGGAAGAGCCGGAAGAATCAGTAGCAGCTGCACCATCTAAAGCTGATCCTCCTCTTCGACGAAGTCGATCATTGTTTGGCGGTTGGCTAGGCGGCGGTGGCAACAATGCCAAAACACGACTCATCCATGACATGTCACGATGGGATCCATCTAGGGTCATGCCAATTGAAGACGCAGTACTGCCTCCAAAAACGTCCACAGTAATGACCTCGCGTGGGTTACAGCATCCATCTTTTGTGGCTGGCCATCCGCTCAACTCGCTTTTTCCTGACCCACCAGCAGCACCGCCGGAAAATCCTGTCAAGCGAAGCAACACATTATCTCGCAAGGAATCAACGCGGATCATGAACAAAGCGGACCAACTGCGGGTACGACCTTTTATATGGTGCTTCCGCCCTATGGATCCGATATTAGCAGAATCACCAACGATCGTGTGGGCTGCTTTTGATATCCGAAATCAACAGCTCCTCGATCCTCATATTGACGCCGTGGTACATCAGCAGCCCCCAGTTAATCCATATGCTACAGTTTACTTGGCTGCTCAAAAGGAGCTGCCTGGTCAGACGATCGTCCAACCAATCATGGGCATGGGATATAATTATCGAACGAGCTTGTCATCCAAAGCCGTTCGTTTGGAGATCGTATGTTTACCCAACAATGATCCGTCAAAGCTCATGGTGAGACAACCCCTCACAAACCAGGGAGGCGAAAACATGGATACCGCTCCAGGATTGTCATTCGCAACGACTGGTCCTGGGATTGCCGGAAAATTGCTAAACATGTTATTTTGAAGGAAGAGCCCATTTCTTAACATCATAATCCCCCTATCTCTCCATCTTTCCCCATATTCATACTGTATCATCATACATTATCAAACCTTTAAATCATTCATTTGTTTTTGTTGCATAAAATATGCACTTTGTAGTAATAATAAGTTGTCAGTTTTCTTTAAACGACTAATATCAGTGTTATGACTTGGTGAAGATGATGATGAACGGGATCAACATGACTGACGACACACAGGATTTGTTATAATGGGATAATTAAACACGGTTGCTTCTGTTATGTAGTAGCAAGGTCTGTATCGGTAAGTCACTAACCTATACTACTGCCTCTTCGTCCCGAAATCCGTTCACTGCGACGTAATAACAGGTGGTAGTTCGATACACAAACGATACACCAACAAGGTCAACTACATTTTCATTATGATGTTTAATATACTGAATGCATACTGTATAAGTAATTTAACACGTAGTTTAGTACACAGGCACAATCAAGTGGAAACAAAATGGGTGGTAGCCTGAGTAAAGGTTTCTCTATGAAAGGATGTAACAATACCTTTGGATGAAAACGATATTTCGCGCAAGGAGTTGATAGGATACACATCAGTTTTCAATTTGGAGTAAATATGTACTGAATGCCGTAGCCAGCGTCTTTATAGTATCAGTGAGACATTTAGAAAGTCTCGACCGTTGTATTGACGTGATGTAACAAAAACAAAAGACACTCTCTTATACAAGTATATAACCACAGCAATCATTCCCCAAGCCCGCAATGATGGATGTGGCCAGCTTAAAAAATGGTTTGTCAAAAGCAGACTATAGAGCAGCATACAGTAGCTGTTTTCGACATAGTATGCGCGTCATCCTGGAACTACTAATATCCATACAGGCTGCTTGGTTTGCTCATTTTACAGTATCAATCACCTCCTTCAACAGCAGTGACATAAAGCCAATCAGACGTTGTGTTACTTCCTCGGCGTATGTGCTGGTGACGTATGACACATGCGAAAAATAAAGGGCGGTAGCCTCGTACCCTCCGAGCAATATCTTTCCTTTCGATTATTTTCGCGAGCAAAATTACGCGAACACAAAAACTAGAAATAAAGGAAGGTGAAAAGCGCGTACAAAAGTGTGATAAAGCGCGTTGTGATCGTGTTACTGTCGCTACGGTAGAAGATCTCCCATTGTTCCCTGCATTGTTAGCACGGACCTGTGGATGTGGAGATCGGGTATTTAAAGCGAAGCGGGATTTGAACGTGTGCACATGAAGGCACCCCAATTTCCGCCGCGTGTAGCTTCTCGCTTTTCTTTACCACACTTATTTTTACTACCACGTCATCGACCACCAACTTCCGGAGAAGCCAGTTCTTTCAGCCAAGCCAAACTGATGTTGGCAAGCAACTGCTGCCCATATTGCCCTGACAATATGACCAGACCAAAGCTTCTATAAGATCACCTTGAAAATACTTTGAGACGTAATTTCACAAGTGAGCGGCGTAAAGCGACAAAAGAAATCACCTTTGTGACGGAACCAACAGCAAATCCACGAACCTGCTCTCGGTTGCTGCTTCTGCTTCTGTAAGAAGTCTTTCGACCATGAAACAGTGTTTAAAAAAGCACAATGAAAGTGATCATGTTATTACGACAGTGGTAAGTTGGTTTACCTGAAAGAAAGGGTGAGTGTTTAAATTCTTTTTCATAGATCGATAATCATAACCGCCGCACTTGTGCATACGATATCAAGATTGAAGTGATCTGAATGGCCGCACAAATTACTGTGACGGATGTCGTTGTTGGTGCATGCTATACGGTAGTTTGGGTCGCTCTGAAGATATAACGTATGGCAGCGGGAGCAAGAACATATTTGCGCAAACGATCCGGGTAGTCCAGAAAACTAGCAATGCGACGCAAAGTTGCAAGAGATGAAGGGATGACAATGCTCGGGTGCAGATCGCCAAGAATGACTGTTATACAGTTTGCTTATGAATTTTATTCATTCAACTGTAAACGCAGATGGATACCCCATGTTGGAGAAACGTCAAACTGGCCACCGCTAAATGCATTTGCGCAGCAGAAGATACGGACAACGATGATGATCTTCTGGCTGCCGAAATTCTTCATGCATTGTAAGCTCACCGAATCAAACATGTCTATTAGTTCACTTTTATCTAAACATATCATTTATAGATCGGGCCGGTTGATCAAAAACAACCATGGGGAATGCATGCTAGAAGATAGCTTCGCGCATCAGTATTGGATCCCATCTTGGAAACTATTTTTGGTTCTAATGAGTACCTCAAGCCTCTCTACATCTTTTCCTCTTTCTCAAAGTAAGTCTGCCTTTACCTTGTTGTTTTGCCTCAAACTTTCTCTACCTTTCCTTTAGATGGTTGCAACTATCGTCGTTAAAGGCGTTGTTACTCGGGGTACCGTTTACCGATCCCGACAGCGCATGGTTGGAGAAGTCTTGATTGACCAACCGTCGGCCACTTTCTCGGTCTACTGCGACGAGTTTACTACATATAAGGTGATCGCTGGCCTTCCTCGGCTCATTACGTTCTTGGTAGAGAACAATGTCGCGGATGGTGTGTCTGTGGTTGCGCAAACCAGGTTGTGCGGTATTTGCAAATGGTAACCCGGTGATTACTGTGATTGGTACCTTAGAATTGAAGGTAACATATAAACAAAATCCTGGGCGTGTGCCAGATTATGTGAAGCTGGCAAAAAAAATGAAGTTGGTGCTGCATTAATTGATACATCGTGGTGTGGATCAACCTATTGCTTGTGGGATTTTGATACATTTCTTCAGCAGCAACAGCAACAACAGCTTCTCTCTCCTCCTTACATTCCAGCATTTTTGCAGGATTTTGAGGATGTTGAGATGGATGTTGTTGAGGAAGCAGTAGACATGGAATGGGAGACGGGCGATGAAAGAGACATGGAATGGGATCCCACTCCCACTCTTGTCGCGGTCTACTGGCCATATTGCAGTCCATAATTGTAAGTAAAAGGTATGCCTGAAATTGACACAGACGATAAGCATAATTAAACATTTCTTTCATTTGCTAGGATCAAAATGCGAAACGTTTGTAATGGATTTGTCCTACAATGGTGTTTATCGTTTGATTAAGTTGTCCAAAGCAGACCTTTGTCTTTCCTTCGGACAACAACCACTTTTCCCTTACTTCTTCGACGACATGATGCGCCTACGGGTATGATGAGACATTTCCTGATACATGCAAAAGACCAATCATTCACTTTGTTTTTTTGGCTGATAGGCTCTAACACTGAAAGTTGCACAGGCTGTGAAAGAATGCCATGTAAATCGAAATCTAGGGAAGAGAAACGCAAGATAAGACACCTCTGGCATGGTTACGGAAAAGTACTACAAAGGTCGAAAAAATATCTTTGGCATAGCGTGTGATATTTCGGAAAGACGATGGTAGAAGATAGAGATATGAAGATATTACTTGTTCACTCCACCACATAATAAACACAAATTTTTAAAGCAAACAAATGCTCTTGGTTTCTGAAAATATAGCGGGAGTTATTTTTTCTTTCACGATTAGTTTGAGTCCGGTATTGTAATAGCATCAGAGGATATCACTGCACAGCAGAAGGCAAATAACACAGCTAAAAAGTGGGTTATTTGCTATAGTATTTTTAAAGATAACACAGCAAATAACCCAGTAGTTTATTCGACATCTAAAAGTGAGATTCCTGGGAATACACTAGGTATTCGCGTAATTCAAGTATGAACAGCGTAACACCCCATGTCTCAACTCTTTATATGCGGACGATAGTATCATACATTGCATTGCAGAAGGGTCTGGGTACTCCGTGTATTTGATTAATTAGCGATAATGTGCGTATATGGATTGCAGCAGTAATTCATAGTGACAACAACAATAATAAAGGATCTTATTTAAGTCATCCATTATGTATCTTTGATAGCGACAGTAGCAATAATAACGGCTAATACTGAGTCTAAGGCTAATGCTATGGTATGGAGGGGACTACTAGCAGCGGGGATGGATCCAATAAGAGGAGGAAGCTTGTGGATGTAAATGGCCAGGGCCAGAGCCAGAATTAAAGAGGTAGATTGGAAGCGGATGTGGAAAGGTAAAATGGTACGAAGCATACCTGCAAGCTAAACACCGCGGTAAAGGGCCTACAAGAGCAATAAAAAGTAGCTTTGACGATAATCTCATAAAGTAGTTACACAGTCTAACACATTCCAGTGCTACTAACCTACAATCGTTTGTTGGAGAAGCTTAAATGTTACAAGCGCACATGAAAAGAGTAAGTACAATAAGCCATAAACTATGATACTGTATACCTGGATCATGCTTGATATATCATACTTACACAATACGCTAGATACTATAGAAGCTGGCCTGAGTTGGTTCAAGGCTGAAGGACACGTATATGCTGGTGTTACTGCTATGAACCCGCGCCCTAAGTACGAATGGTGGGAAGACGAGAACTGGGGCCGTTACCGTACAGAAGCGATAGCATTAGTACAGGAAACATGGCAGAAACGGATTCGGATTGAAGTCGATCCGATTCGGATCCGTCAATGAATACCCCTAATTCCCACTTGTCTACTGTGTTATTTGCCCACTACTGCGCTCACTGAAACAGCAACGCTGTAAGAGCAGGTCAAAAATGCTGTAAGAGCAGGTCAATGTTCTTAAATAATGGAAAGGAGTGACTTCCTCATCCCAGTCCATAGCATCATTTCCTTGCTCATCAACTGTTCGACCTTAATCATCTTCATAATAAAAACGAGTAGCCATCTTATTAAGAAAAAAAACGAAAAGAAACCGACTCTTGAAAAAATGAAAAACCGCCCTTTGGCACTAGTGGTCCAGTATACACCACCCTCCGATAATGTCGCCGCTTGTTTGGGGGTGGTCCGTGCACGGCACTGTGTCAAGGGAAATCAAAGACACGAATGCGAATGAGCATGTAGATTTACGGAAGAAACGCTTTTCATCGAGCTAGTATACAGAATACAATCAGCGTGCGCTGATAGACTGAGATGTATTTAGCTGGCAAAGTAGTAGTGTCCTTGCATGTCCGGGTTCTATGAACGACCGAGATGAACAGCAGCCTACGCTGGCAGCACACACTGTATAGCACAATCCTATCTATTAGCCTTCCTGTACCGTGGTATCTCTCATGGTGTCAAACTATGATATGTATATAAGTAACCGAATTTTATTATGCAGATTGTCTGGTGATGGGACGATCTTTTCGTTTTCTTGGTAAGATGTTAGTGGCGCTGGTAGTACGTGGTTTTTTTCCCTGGCATCCATTGCCCCTGGTCCAACATTAGTATCTTATCATAACACGATCCTCCCAATAACCGCTTCCATTCCTTTCCTTCATCCAACAAGTCAGACAGCTTGTGTATAGCACACGGACCTTTCTAATTTATTATTATCTATGTCTTTCGACTATATGTGTGGTGCATAATGTTGTGTATGCGCGGACATAGATACAACACGCTTGACCCCATAATTGCAGTATATAAAGAAGACCCTTTATCTTTTTTAACTGAACTGTGCTCCTCAACTGCTGTTATCTGCCAACAGCTCTCCCAACGACGCCGTATGCAGTGGGTTTGCAATTGACTAGCTTGAAGAAAAGCCTTTCTCCAGTTTCCCTTACCCATCTGACCAATACTCATTCGAGTTAAACATTGAGTAGACCTTCCTCTGAGGATCTGCCGTGTTGAATTGTATTGTTGTTTTTATTACATCGATAGCAATAGCTGCTTCAAGAGTAATCGAAAGAAAAGCAATATGAAGAACTAAGCGCTTGACAGATTTTCCCACTTGAGAAAGCTCCTCTCTTGCCCAGCACAGTGGCTCTGCTGACTGGCCTTACCATTACAAACCAGCTCATTCCCAGTATATGCTACTTCTGGTAGATGATAATCCTCCATCCCGAGTGTATGCTGGTGCTGGTAAAGTACCATCCTCCATCGCGAGTATGTGCTGCTGCTGATAAGTTGACCCGCTCATGATACGTATACACTGCCGCTAGTAAAGTTGACTCGTCCTTCATTGCTTTTCAATCCTGCTAATAAAGTAACTCGGATCGTTTGTTTTTGAGTGGTCCTACGTTCTTTTTGAGAAGCGTTCAGGATCAATTGGACGATTAAAAAACAGCACTATGAACGATGACTTACTACATCTTTCGACCCTTTAGCGCGTAATTTGCCATCCTTTTGTGCATTTCGGATGATTTCTCGAGTGATGCATCTACTACTGGCCGCAACGAGGCCGAACCAACGTATATACGCGAGAACCCCTTGTATCCATCGGACACTCTAACTGTCTTCATCACCAGTAATGCTTTAGTCAGCACGTCACAACAGTTGGGAAGCGACTTTAGCGTCTGATAACCATATCTTTTGCCCGAGTCCCCATAATTCTCTTAGGCCCATTCGCATGTCTGGTGACTTCCAAGGAAAGAAAGAGAGTTGACAGCGTCACTTGCCAGCCCAGGTGATGCCATGTTACACCGACAAGCACACTCTGGACACACCGTACTATGGGTCTGTCATCTCCCGAGGCATTGGGAATGCAACCTCAATGACATTCCCGCCTTGCAAAATGCACACTCCAGGCTACACGTACACACTAGTCTCGTCTTTCTACACGGCTCTTTTGAAGTGTCTCTACTTGATTGACACGCTTTTCTTCTACTCGACACTGAGGTTACACAAGGCCTAGACTATCGATAATGGCGCATGACGGGGGCATTCTTGTCTTTCGAAAAATCTATACCGGCGATTATTGGTCTCCTCGTCCTTTCACAGAAGCGTCTGATGCTGGGCCTCGAAACCATTATGGCTTCATTCTTGTTGCTGTTGAGGCTGCTGCAGTTCATCGTGGTTGCTATTGCTGCTGTTGACGCTATGTACGGCCATTGTTCTGGTGGTGTTGTTGATGCATTGCTTATCTACGTGTCACCTTCGTCACGCGTCCGCTAGTGCTTGTCATTGCCTTTGCTCAGACGTTCGTTCCCTAAAAGAGAAGTGGGAGTGAGAAAAGAAGTGCTTTATGTGGACGAGGAGAAGAGACGGAAGAGAGTGGTTTTGATCGGGAAGCAATATAAATCAAGTCTCTCTTTTCTTGTTTAAATAGCACAGAGCAGCTCGCATTAAAACATAGATGCTCGACCGGGTTACACGCAGTCCGTAAGGTCTCATAATGCATGTGCACACACCAGGAACATCAAGATGGCCATCATAGAGGAAAGCGGATGTGCGTTTAGCGTCATCGATAGTGGCGTCTATGTATTAGCTTTCTCTCTGTCTCTCAACGACATATACCTACATGTGGATATCGTACGGTCAATCTAAATTTGAAATCCCTGATCGTTACCTGTTTTTAAGAGTCCTTCGCTGGGCCGAGCGCAGCCGTCTTCGTCTTCGTCTGCAACGGCATGGACAAGTGCGTTGAGCTGTGTGTTCTACACCCTTGTCTTGCTCCCCAGAATAACGCCCTCCAACAATTTGGTGGTTATTTAATCAACTAGGCTACAAACACCAGAGAAATGGCTTAGACCTATGTTCTGCAAGCTGCCTGTCCCAATGGTTTCATGAAGCTCTTTATATTGCATGTCGCTCTTGAAGATAGCATCGAGCGCCTTTGATACTGTAACCTGAAGAAGATGTCTAGCATCCGATGATTACGCAAACGCACTAGGACTAAGCACTTCAAGTTCCTCAGGGGCTCAGGTCTACTCCAGTAAAATAAAAGCACTTCAAGTTCAGTTTAGTATATGGTACGCATCATCATTATAATGCACGTAAATGTCAACAAGATAGCATAAAACACTTTTCCAATCTGGTATGATTTCGGTAATCTTAAACTTTCTACTTAAATCTTGAAATTGATAGGCTCGCTTTTTACTATGAATCATCAAAATCAGGTCGTACTAATGTAGTAATAAGTTACGAAGCGGTAGAACGACAAGGAAATTATCAATGCAAACTGAGTTGCTGGCTTAACAATACATACTTGGGAACATTTCATGAGCCTTTGACTTGAGTCGTACTTGGAGTCGGCTTTGAGAATCCTACGCCACGTCTGAATAAAAATTTAAAAACAAAAGAGTCAAGAGGCATATTAATGCGAAACTAACAGGGGGCGACAGTATAATGTCGCCATTGAGTTATGTTTGCATTGGAAAAAGAAAAGCTTATCATACTTATGTATATGCAAGATAACCGTCAATGTGAGGAAGATTACATGCCAATGGATCATATAATACATGCAAGTGTAATGTGACAGTAAGAGTCAGGTGAGGCATTGCGTTATGAAACGAGTGATGGCTCTCTACTATGGTAATATTAGTCTACGAATATCGCTACCTCTTAGAATGTTTTGAAAACTACTACCCAACCTGTAGGTCCAACCACTTCAACCCGACTAATGATTTTGGTTGCTCTAAGTTAGGCTAGTTACTTATCATAACATTCTCTTCAGTACAGTAGTAGTCATGTTGTACATAATGTGTTCGGCCATAACATACAAAATCTCCTTCAATTCTGTTGGTGAGAATGAATTCGTAACTATTAACTTGAGTGAAGTTTTCGCCAGATAGGGCACATTCACTTTACATATACAACCTTTTTTGATGATAATAACACTGTATGATGTTAATTGTGATTTGTAATATCATCAAGTATAATTATTATATGCATTAGAGCGTTCGAGTAGTGATAGTCCAACAAGACCACCCTCAGAACGACATACAATGCATCTTCCTATTGGTGGTCACTGGTGCTGTTCAATACACCGTTGCATTGTTTCTGCACTGACTTTTTAATCTAGAAGACATATGATCTATACAGTGACCGGATGTATTTCATAGAACAATACAGTAGTACAATCTGGCTGTCTTTTGCGAGTTCGCTGTTAAAAGGCCGCATCGGCACTTTTGCGTAAGAGCATAGAACATCCGCATATCATTAACATGCATAGTGATATCTAGAGCCGCTTAATAGTGCCACTTTTATGACATCTTGCTCATAATATGTACAAGTAGCGAGCATGTTAAATAGGTATACTTTTTCCATGAATCCCCAAGCAAGCTGCTGTCAAATCATATCTGTAAAGGAGGATTCTCTCAGTCATCTGCGCCTTGTGCGTTACTAGTCGTGGACGGATAGGTGAGAAGCTCCTCTGTAAGTTTCTTCATTCACATTTTTACAATCATTCGTGGTTAGCGCGATTAATCCCAAAGAATAAACATTTTAAACAAAATGTATCATATCCAGGGGCTTTTCAGGTATTGTATATAAGATTGATAGCAAAGAATGTCATCTAATCAGAGTAAAGGTTTTAATAACTTTTATCTGTCTTGCATCAAAAACAACAACAACAACAGCTGTATGATATAGACAATGATAGCCGTATAGCTCATGACGAGATGCTTCGTATTGTGGAAGTCTGTACAAGATGGTTGGTAGCATGGTAAAATTGCCTGAGGACGAGGATACTCCCGAGAAACGAGTTCAAAAGATCTTTGACTTGATGGATTTGGCAAGTATTTGGGTTCATTGTTTATTTTTTGCTTTTTTTTTTCTCCTCGAGAAACTGCATCGGTACCAACAACACCATCTAGAGGGAGCTCTCAAGCAAGGATCGTATCACTAGAGAAATTGTGTGACAGTGTTGTATATGATGAAACTACTTGCCCTGTCCCATCAAATATAAGCGAACAAAGTGTTCGACATTCGTTTTGACAAGTTCTCCTGTGTGACAACACACTAAATTCTCCCCTCGAAAAAACACGCCTTATCGTCACCTTTGCACCCAGCCAGCTAAAACAGTTAGACACCCCAGACCCAAATTATTTGCCTATATTCGGACGCCGTACGGGCCTCTACAAGCTCTACGGAACATACCCTGTGGCCTCTGCGGTGTCACGCCGTGCACACCGTAGAAATTATAGTATGCTCAGCCTACCATAGCACCTTCTTTTTCTCAGAATAATTCTCACTACATTGCGTCCTCCATTTCGACAATGAGCAACCAGGAACCCCAACCAGAGCAGTCAAATGCTTCCAGCGACAAATATTACCGCCCTAAGGGAACCAAAAAGTGGTCCACTTGGACGCGTTAACTCACTTCCTTTCTCAAGATAGCACTGACGAAGAGCGAGAAGGTTTGCTATTTTGTATATAGGTAAAATGAGAATTTTTACTTATCTAGTATATATAATGGGAAGATATTATCAGACAGTATAACGATGGAGAGTTGACAACGACAACTGCTCAACTGGCTGCGATCTGTGCTCGCATGAACGAGGAGCACCAGAAAAAGCTTGAAGAGAAGGTCAAGCGCATAAACCATATGATGGAGCAACCGGCTCCTATGGATCTAGATGTTCGTCAGCAGCTTGGGAGAGCTTTCAGACGCGAGATCATGTCGGTTAACCACCGTGCTAGCGTGGCCATAGGATGGAATGTCGGCACGCTCATGTCTCCCCAGTTTGAGACCGATTGGATGCTTACTACACCTATAGTCTCATATAGTATGTAAAGTAGTAAATCTGTTTCTTAGAAATGCTCATATTCAAGGTTCTAATACCAACTATTAAGAGAAAGCTCAGAACGCATTGAATAAGATGGGAGGGCGTCCAAACTTCCATCGACATTGTCAAGGTTAATACTATCATACACTGTGATAGTAACACGTTATCGAGAAAAAGGATTATCTATTTATTAGCTTTTCTTAACAACAATCTGTCACTATAGGAACAACAGGCGGCAACTATCGCTAACACACCATAGCATTGTTAAAAGGAGCTACTAATGTATATTATTCGTTTTCGCCAGGCCCTCGTTTGACCAGAAAGCCTACCAAAAAGAAAAGCACGGTTAAGGACCTCATGGTTGAACTCTGTAGTATGTTACAAGCAGTGCCTGCATTGCAGTTATCAATGTATCAATACTTGTTAAGGAATGTATGTAGACAACGAAGTCGACAAAGTTTCCGTGGAAAGGTTTCAAGAGGGTGTCAGACGGTGGCATAATTCGCTACAGAAATGAAACATTGGGGTGCGAATTCACGGGTTTTGATTTTGGCGAAAAGGCAGATACTGCTTTGTGCCCGAGTGACATGCCGTATAAGAGATGGTCAGAGCTGTATGATGCCCTTATCAATGGCCAAATTAGTTTTGAAAAGTTTTAAATTAAATGGTTTAGCACATTTTAAAAAGTTGCTATTGATAAAAGCGACATATTAGCATCCAATAGGTATGTTAGTTCATTTAATAAATTACAGATCATGATTTTACTGTGGAAGACAGAGTGATCTGCGCTAGGGGACATGTGGTCGTTCCTTGACATGGACAAGGATACTATACATATACAAAGAATATGAGTCCATAACTGAAAAAAACCGCATAGAACAAAAAGAGTTAGACGGTGTGGTGGTAGATGGGTAGAGGTGGAGCGAGAATGATGAAATTATTAGGAGGATTTCTTCGTGCAATTTGGAAATAACCACAGTAATACTCTTAGAAAGCAAGGAAATTTGAAACAGTTCCTAGCATCCAAGCATTTTTACCCTATTACATAACGTACTTCTGTGTACAAAAATAAATTGTGGATTAGGGGATCGTCATAAAAAAACTACAGGAAAAGAAGCTTTCCTCAAGCGCGTGGTACTTTTTTGTCAACTTGCACGTTTACTGAGCAATAAACAGAAGTGATCAACTTAATATGTGTTGCAATATAAATATAGAGAACTGAAATGAAAAATAATCTTTTGAAGGTTCTTAGCTACAAAGTAACAAACAACAGACCGCACCATCTTATTAGCACTAGATCATGAGTTTTAACGATCGGTTCAACGAAGACGACGCCATGGACCTAGTGGAATCCACGATGTTGAGCGATGGGAAAACGAGAACGAAAAGCCGCAAAGTGTATGCTGGTGACGATGCAGTTGTAGCTTCTGCTCCCACTATAAGAGATACGCGTCAAAATTCACAGCATGATCAATTAGGTAACTGATTCGCTTATAAGCACACTAAATCTTTGCTTATGATAACATATACTTTGTAACGCGAAGATCACGGAGAAACCGATGATCTCGACTATGACGGTCCTGGTAGCGCTTTTAATGAAGGCTTGACAGTGTTTCGTCTGAATGACCATGACATCGAAGAACATAAAAGGAAATTGGAAGCTCTTGATGAAAACTGGTCCGAGGTTTTTAAGGTGCTACCGAAAGACTATGTAAAGTGCAAGGGAAGTAGCGACTATAGTCTGGCCGATACGACTCCGTTTTTCGACGCGCGCTGCACTACATGCGATAAAACAAAGGAACGGGAGATCCTTTGCGTTTTCATTACCGGTAACGCATTACGTTGCATTAATAATTACCAAACATACTGTGATATGGACAACTGCTAAAACATTCCTATAAATGCCGTCCAAAACAATACGAAACAGGCATTAAAAGTTATAAAATACCATTCTGTGAATGTAAATCAGACGCCTCAACCTTGCTTTACCATCACTTGTTTCCGTCATCTCCCGCCTCGCCGAGGACAGCATTTCATCTCCCATTGCTTGATTTCTATTCTGCGCTTTTGGCTGAAGGTCATTTAGCAGCACAAGCCTTTGGAAATGCTTGCTCTTATGTGCACAAGTTTGAGGTACTGTTACTGCTAATATAATAATCAGATGATAACACAATGGAGCGAAATCACTTATCATAACAGTTATTCTAATGTATTGTATATACATTTGAATTTTATGGAATAAAGAATCCTGATAGAATTCGAAAGACTTTAGGAAATGCACATACAGCATACATGGAGCTGAAAGAAAAAGTGACGGATGAAATGGTTAACGAGCTCAGCAATAATACTCCAATGGAGCGAGATGCGTGTCTGGCTTGTCCCAAGGTCTCCTTCTCGTTTTATAATTTAGTGCTGTCATGATATTTTGATGAGCTAATGACTCAATATACAATTTACACAGGAAGGAAAACTGTTCGTCGCAGTCGATGGCAACATGCAATTGCGACGACGCAAAGCACATGCAAATGATACAAAAAAAGCTGAAGCAGCGACGTTTTTCTCGGCTGATAACATGCATGACGTTTACGAAAAGCATGAAGTCACCAATGCCGTCAATAAGCGTTGCGAGAGTGAGCTCAAAGCTGTTACGTCCGTTTCTGATGCTGTCGAGAAGTTCTATGAAAGTGGAATAGTAGGCTGTGTATGCGGCAGACACAATGTTCCACTTCAGTTTACGAATATCTTTGCTTCTGGTGAAAAGTAATTTTAATACTTTTTACATGCATGCAGTCTATAATCCCTAGCGTATAATATGCACTTACATGTTGAGCTTTGTATAGGTACAAATATGCTCTATCTGTGCTTGCTGTTGCCACTAAGGGATACAAAGATGTCAATATTTTGTATGATCTTGGTTGTCGCTTTGAACCATCATTTAAGGTATTTTGCCGTGTCTAAGAATATCATCGCATCCGGTAAACAAACTGATCTTTAATTACTTATGCACCATTAGCAAGCATTTCCCAATTTTGCTCAAGCTGGATCACAGATGGCCGTCTCCGTTTTCCATGCATACGCCCATTCAATGTCTTGCCAGGTCGATTATCATCCACGATTCATAAGCGGCTTTGGACTGACAGATGGAGAAGGACTTGAGCGTCTTTGGTCCTACCTTGGAGGATTTGTCTCAATGACTAGACAAATGAGCGCCAAGAGACGTCTGTTCGTTTTACAGCATGCGATTGGTCATTCGAAAGCCAAGACTATAATCAATATGTGTATGCATGATTTTAAATGAAGTTATAAATGATTGCGTGATACTCATAATAGTACCGATAGGTTACGCGCTTAAAAAACGGACGAAAAGGGCAAAGGCAATCATCGAACAAGCGTCTGCATACTTGCGACACAGAGCTACCCTTGTAGCTTCCGGCGGTACGCCATGCTGGTGGTGAAACGAGGACGGGAAGATAGATGAGCTCAGATTCGAAGAAGAATGGAAGACGTACAAAGATACCGTCCATAAAAAATCGAAAGATCGTACTATATTCACTGGTATCAAACCTCTATCAGTAAAAATACAGTATTATGAAGAACTAGAACATTTTTACGCGGTTGAGTGAGTTTACAAAGTGTTTCTGTAGAGTACTGTAAAATACTTAGACAACTAAACCATTCGGAAAACATCATTAGAGCGGAGCGCATTACTTTATCGAGGGAGCTTCAAGATCCAGATAAATGTGCCAATATGACTATGGCGGAAGCAGGTATGTATAACGATTTCTACTCCCTTTCGTTTATGCGTATTAAGCTATTGCTATCATCAATAGACGAGAAATTTAGATTGCTTCGAAAGCTCTCAAGAAAGCTCGAGATCGCTGAAGACAATGTTACCAGAATTTGAAAGGGTGCTAAAGCCTGAACGAAGATGGCAGATAAATAGCACAGAATACGCAAGCGCAAAAGAAGCAAAAGCAAAGCGAGAAAAGGAAGATAGCCTGTATAAACTAAAATCACATATAATCTCGCGTAAGATGATGTATGATCAGCTGCGTAATCGAGAGGGCAAAATAGGTATTGTATATCTGTTTTTTGAAGTGTAAAAATGAGAAAGCGCTGCTGATGGATATAATTAATTAATTATGAAACAGGCGAAAGAGTAAGCACGAAAGTTAGAAGCGCAATCAAGAAACAAAGCACTGCAGCTGAAAAGCAATTGAAGCTATACAATGCTGCTTGCCATCTGTTGTTGGAGCCTGAAGTCCAGTGGGAGGATGTCTGTCATCTGGAGACACGATTTTGGGAACAGCACCATATAGCAGAAAGCAACGACGTCGACGTTCTCAGAGGTATTATAAACATTAAGCGCGCCGAGGAAGAGCTGATAATGATCGAGGTTAGTGCTATGGTACTTCATTGAAACTCCATACTGTGATCTCAACTTTCCACTTAGGACGAAGAAAAGAATCTGGAAGCATACGCTGCAGCACGTTATAGCGCCATTCAAGATGCCATAGAGGCGACGCATGACGATGGGTGGCAAGCTATTCTTGGTGATCTTTTGGAACAAGCTGAACGTCTCGAATGTAATATCAGAAGCAGCAAACCGCGTACTGTTGGTGAAATTTCACAGATCGACAACGACGAACAATACGGTGACGATGCGGACGATGAATATGACGAAGACGTTTACTTTGTCCATGCTGAGACATATGAGGATATTGAGAAGGAACATGACGAGCTGATGTATGAGTATATGCCGCCAGTAGATTATACTATGCCTGACGAAGATATTTCTCTGCCAGATGCAGTACTTTCAGAAGAAACACTATAGAGCCAGCAATGTATATACGCCGTTGTAAATCAAGAGCTCTTTTATAATCCTTATTATGCTTACTTATACATTGTATGTTATTAGACCTGTTTTGCGGATATGATTTTTTATTATGTGTAATAAGCACCTATTCTGTTACTTATTTTCTCAATACTGCGTTGAGCGTTAATCCTCATAATTTAAATCAGATACATATATATAATACTGTATGCTACCGGAAAAAGATGCTCTGGTTGGGGTTCCTGGTTGCTTATTGTCGAAATGGAGGACGCAATGTAGTGAGAATTATTCTGAGAAAAAGAAGGGAGAAAGCTGGTGCTATGGTAGGCTGAGCATACTATAATTTCTACGGTGTGCACGGCGTGACACCGCAGAGGCCACAGGGTATGTTCCGTAGAGCTTGTAGAGGCCCGTACGGCGTCCGAATATGGGCAAATAATTTGGGTCTGGGGTGCAGTTAGATTAAGGTGTCGGAGTAGCTAATGTCTGCATAATTTTCGAATGAGATTTCTGAGCATCCGCAAAAGCTTTCGTCTTTGTGGTTTTGGAAGCTGCTTCCGTATCAGCAAAGCTCGATTCTCGCTTCTGCCATGCTTCTTTTTATTTGTGAGATTCGTTGAAAAAAGTGTCGTTTGGAGGAGTGAGTCAGCTGTATATGATGAGCTAGGCGATCCATGCCGTGCGCGTACGATTCTGTAAAGAAAGAGCGAGACCCATCGGCGTAACATACCAGCTCGTAATATTTTTTTCTGTTTTGTGTAACCTAAAAGCCCTAATTAGGCGCCTCATATAAAACAAGTCCCATTTAAGATAGCGCTCCACCGCCAGTATGGTACGCGGTGCCAGACCAAGATCTCTTCACCCAACCCACATAATCCACATGGCAAGGTAAATTCAATTCGTAACGCGGAATGCCAGTTACCCTCCCCCTCTTCATCCTCCCGCTTTTATTCTTTTAAAGCTTGATACCCGCTCTCAATCTATTTTCTTTTCTTAGAGGGCTCTAATGTATGGCAAGATCAACGTGCAAAGTCACGTTTTCTACAGTGTAAGTATTGTACTTTACGGACCTCTCTTTAAGAAACGTTGAATCTCTCTGTAGGGTGCAATCATTCTTAACTTTTTGTCTGGATGACGCTGTTTTTTGATATAGACTATGCTGCGACGGTACGGCTTTACAATGGTATAGCCCGTATTGGTGCTCCATTTGTGGTCAACGTCAACCGTGCGGTTTGTTGACTGCTTTTGGATGAACCATGAGAGAGACATTCCTACCGGCATCGCTGCAATGCAATTGTAGTGAGAAGTAGGGAGATCTCTGCTACGGGCTTCCTGGTAACAATATCTTAGCCCATGAAGAGGTGGCCCCAAACAATGATTCAGGGAACCTTGAGAGAGACGGACCTGCCGGCATAAGACTAAGGCAGTCTTGGGTAGGAATGCTCTGCTATGGGCTAGGCGTGCATCATTATGGAACATCGTCCGATGCTGTCTTGATGCACGGCCGAAACCGACCGTCGCTAAACATGGCTGCTGGACACGCCTTCCTGTAAGTACAAATTATCTTGATTCACCCAATAGATCTGTTATCTCACTTTCTACTCATCTTATAGAGTCGATCCTTCTTGTCTCCACCTCCAACTTTGGCTTCCCACCCTGCGACGGTACGGCTTTACAATGGTATAGCCCGTATTGGTGCTCCATTTGTGGTCAACGTCAACCGTGCGGTTTGTTGACTGCTTTTGGATGAACCATGAGAGAGACATTCCTACCGGCATCGCTGCAATGCAATTGTAGTGAGAAGTAGGGAGATCTCTGCTACGGGCTTCCTGGTAACAATATCTTAGCCCATGAAGAGGTGGCCCCAAACAATGATTCAGGGAACCTTGAGAGAGACGGACCTGCCGGCATAAGACTAAGGCAGTCTTGGGTAGGAATGCTCTGCTATGGGCTAGGCGTGCATCATTATGGAACTTCGTTCGAAGCTGTCTTGATGCACGGCCGAAACCGACCGTCGCTAAACATGGCTGCTGGACACGCCTTCCTGTAAGTACAAATTATCTTGATTCACCCAATAGATCTGTTATCTCACTTTCTACTCATCTTATAGAGTCGATCCTTCTTGTCTCCACCTCCAACTTAGGCTTCCCATCCTTCGACGTGTACCCTTCGACGTGTTTTGTCTTTTGTGGCAACGAGGACTGCTGAAATAGTATATTACTCTCAACCATGCACACTCACACACTCAAACATAGGCCTTTTTGTTTGTTCTAACTATTTAGTGTTCGCCAAGGAAGCACACGCCGTCAACGTGCTTGGTACGCCAGCCATGGCTATTTAAACGACTGTTCCTGAACAAGATGTTGCCGCATCGCCTTGCCGATATATATCTGATGTATGTACACTGCTGGATTGAATCTTGGGCTGCCATGCTGGCAAATACGGGCTAACCAAAGCCATATTAAGAAGGCACCAGCTTATACTAACCACACATCTATTCATCACTCTTCTTTTTATAGAGACGACAGCCGCTTCCATTCCACACATCAACTTATTTTTCTGTACTTCCTCTCCTTCTCTTCATCCTTTCAATGTACTTTTATTTGTGTTTGTTTCAATGTCATTTGCATATTCCTTGTATCGATCTTCACAATCTTTTATTTGTCACAATAGCATTTCCTCCGATAAAACATTGTTAAAGTTTATCTCCACGTTTTCGCATGGCTTCTTAGCCTATTATTTAGCAGCTTTCAAGATTTGGTTCGGTCAATCTTCTACTTTTTAAAAAGCAATGGGTCTGTTCGAATTAAAAGACGATTCAGCGCCGCTCTTGTATTTATATCATAACAGCGAAAATATTGATTTCACCTGGATGTAATCCTATCATTGATTTGGATTTCAAAAGTAGCGGCTGAAAGAGAACATGTCCATAATAACTGCCCATAGAAAATACCAGCAGGGACACAAGATTTACGGCTTGCTTCCTTGCTATGTAATACGCACAGACGCAGTTAGCACCATATGCTGGCCATCAGCACGATTGGATTCACATAAAGACTTAGGGTCGTACTGATATACACAGGTCGATCACCGTCAAGGTCAACCTCGTTAGCGTTAACTCTCGACAGCATTAACAAGAAGCATCTTTTACACAAAATTATCCGAGATCTTCGCAATGGGTCAACCCTCAATAGTGTTGATCGCTTCAGATATATGCGCCCTATGGATCAACATCAGCGAGGTTCACTGTAGCATCATGTAGTTACGCAACATAACTCACATAGACTGACTGGCATACACTTTGCATTCAGAGTGGTGAACTTGGAGAACGACACTATGGGCCTAATTTAAATGCATGCATGATGTCGTTGTACCACCCCCATGCCCCTACAGAGTTGGACGTTCTCTTTCTTTTCGCTTGAACAGGGTGAGGATTCTGAAGCGTTCTCTCTACTACGTATAGTCTGTGACGTACGTCGAACCCGTAGCAATGTATTACATTTAAACTGTACTATACTTCTGTAGTGTACGCTAGTAGTAGGAGGGCTTTTGATTGTATCACTTTGTTAAATAAAGTCGATAAACTGGTTTCATCACTCGATACTAACACATTTGGCAATAAAAGGGAGCTTAGCCACAGCATCTTACAAACTCACTGTGTTCACAGCCATCCGGCCTTTTGGTTTGGATCTGCCATTACAGGTATAGCTTATACAAGAGCCCCTGCCTTGCAAACAAGCTGATCGAGTCATTGCGGAACTCGACTATATAGACGAAAGGTATTTCATTTGATTTCTTTGTATTATTTGCAAGTATCTATAGATAAATTTCTTTATGCCTTCCTTTCAGAAATAGTAAATAAGAAAGATAGAAATAATTATACCGAGTTATATGACTATTGTACTGATTTTTTGTACATAGTGAGACTGTTTTGCGTAATATTCAATGTGTCAAGTTACTGTACGAAGATGTGACAATGTGGAACAGCAAGGAGATCCAATAAGATAATAAATACAACTTTAATCAATCTATACGAAGCATACTGTATTAAGGTTACAACAGACATAGGCTACTAAGTACACAACCACATATGTGCTACACCACCAGCATGATCGACGACAGAGGCAAGACTTCGACTAATAACACTGAGCTCCTATTGATTCTATCAAAGCGCATCCACTCGTGGGTAATTCCATTATATATACATCTGATTGCTTTGTGCATAGGTATACTTGACTCTTGGATATGACGATTGGTTGCGCAAAAGGAAAACATGGAAAGTAGCAACTAATACCTATATTGTGGCGCAGCCTTCCAAAACTTCTTATTTTTATCTACTCAGGCACTTCTTGTCGTCTGTTGCTGCAGGCGCTGTTTCCCACCAAATATTTCGACAGAATACGGTTAGATCACACATCAAGCATTCTAAAGAGAAAGGGTGAGAGTTGTAATTTGAGGCTTTGTTTGTACAACCGCGAAAAGAAAGAAGAAATCCTGTATAAAAGTATCAAGGAGAAATCACATAACCCGGGTTTCTAACACATTTAACAACTCTTTTATAACCTAAAACCAACAATCAAATATGAAGTCCAGCTTGGTCCTCTTGGTGGTCTCCGTTCTGGCCGTGATCCTTTCCATGGTTCCCCCAACCCAGGCAGCTGCTTTCCGCTGCGAGTGTAACTGTTATCTTGAGGCCGTTAACAGATACAAAAGATGTAGAAATGCCCACAAGACCAAGAGTTATTGTACAAGCAGTTCTGGAATCAACGAATGCGGTACTGGCTGCTCCGTTCCCCTCTGCGAAGGTGGCGATAATGACTCTGCCAACCCCTTCTAACGGATTTCGACAATGCAATAATAAAACAATCACTCCCAACGTAGTTCTTTTGATCCATCAAATGTGCTCTTTGGTCATAATATTCGGTTTATTTTTTGCCCAGTAACATGGCACGAAAATCATCTTGAGTCTTTGGTTTTGCGTCGGCTGGGAGACTGGGTCCTGCTTTTTGCTTTGTGCTATCCTGTTGTTTTTGTTGTTCACTGTTGTCGTCGTTGCTGCTGTTGCTTCCTTCTGCTGCTGTTGTCGATTTTCTGGCGTTAAATCCAAGGCCTACTCTCCCCCGGCCTCGGCTGCCACCACGACCTCTTCCTCTTCCTCGCCCAAGTGATCTTCCTCGGCCTCGGTCAGTTTGGTCTCGTCGGTTTTCTTCAGGATCGACGTGATCAATCTTTGTCTTTTTTAGTGTTGGTGCATCAATGGGTTCATCGCTTTGTGAAGAAGCTTGACGTTTCCTTGGTGGGGCCGGGATTTTGAATCCATCACTATCTTTCTGCGCTTCTTCCTCCTTTTCTTCTTTTAATACGTCTTCTTCTAGATCACGTTGGTCCCTCTTATTTGTCCGAGTTTGGGCCCGGCGCTGCGCTTTTAATTTCTTTTAAAGTCAAAGGTAAAATGAGTGGTTAGTTCTATGTATTTTTATTCGTTTGTACCATCTGTCCAATAAACTACCTTTTGTTTGATTTTCTTCTCCTCTTCTCTTTGCTTCTCAGCTTCCAATTCAACAGCTTGGCCCTATAAATCATGACGCATAGACCATGTGAGTATATTAAGCATAGACACGTTATTGGACACTAAACCTTTCCTTCTCTTTTATTACCTGCCACTGATGGAGAAGAGCGCCCTCCTTTTGTTTCACTTTGACAAGTGCATCTTCCAACATATCCAGAGTTCCAATTTCGTGTGTCATGTTCAACCATGCATTGATCAAGCGCTGTGGATCGTCTAAGTTCTTTACGATTGCTTGTTTGTACAGGCTCTGGCATTTTAATAAGTTACCACAAGAGCTAGAGTAAACCCAGAATATTAGCTTCAGCCTCTATGGAGAAACATTGTAGGTTCACTTTGTGGTATTTCCTTACCGTTCGAATTCAATATAGGATAGCCATGCATCTGTGCATCGGCCGTGTCGCTTGCTAACACGATTTTCCCATATTTCTCGAGCCTTGTCTTCATTATCCAATAGCTCGTTCTGATTAAATATGAGAAACGCCAACAGTAAATTATAAGTAGATAGCCATGTCAAATCCCAATAAAAAGTACTTACTTCAACAAATGCATAGTAGCGTTCAATACGAAAGTATGGATCTGGTGTTTTCGGGAATTCTATAATGAAAAAGTAGATATTTGTCGGAATCAGCAAAAAAAAAGGAAAGACCTACATCACTAGTACTTATTAGACTCTTACTCTCATCCAGATATACAAGGGCTTCTTCAAATGCGACGCGTAAATCCACCGTATCATCTTCAGACGCTATTTTTTGTAAAAATTATGAAGTTAGTAACCCATGCATCGCCGTCTTTAGATAGAAATGATCTTATTCTTTTTATCTTTAACACTTACGATCGGTCCAGTCAATACGACGCCGCAAATAATCACATTTAGCACGGAACAAATTCACCAAATCCTCGAGGCTTGATAACAAGATTTGGTTGCCGAGTGCAGTATCGAAGATTGCTACATAGAGAGAAATACCAGCATTAATCTTGCAATCTCATCAATTTTCAAAGTGTATATCCTTGTTTAGTACCAATGATTTCTTCTTTGGTTTTCTTATTAGCCTCTAGGCTTCGAGCATGATGGCCCCATAGGATTCCTGACCATGGGCAGTTTCGGATAGCCCGATGTGTTATCGATTCCATGAATACCGGGACACGGACACGTTCAAGCTACATATATTCAGTTTAACAAGTTTGATAATAACCGCTGACCGGATACGGCAAGTTTTTTTTTTTACTTACCAGAAAAGTGACGTAGTTATCCCATAAGGTTACATCTGTACAGTATATAGCTACTGCACGCTCATATAGATTACGGATGTTATTTAACGAGTACTTGTCCTTATTGATACTTTCATTACTAATGTACTCGTAAAACGTATCCAAGGCATTGTTTGTTTGTTTCTGTAGTTCAAAGATCAGCAATTTTATGCAAAATTAAATTTTCATTTCCTTTATTCTTACCAGTTGCAGCTCAAATTGGTCTCGAACTTCAGCAGCTTCCTTGACTTTTGAATAGATTTTGTTGGCTTTGAGCATGCTTTGTTCGTAGTTTTGATTATCGAAATTTGTGTTGAAAGTTGAATACTTGTTAAAAGTTTCTTCGGAAGCTAAAATCCAGACCAAAGATCGTTTCAAATCAGTATACACGTTGCATCATATCCTCCCCTCTCCCTAAACATTTAAGCCATAAATAACAGCTTACATGTGTGAAGTGTGTCTAGTCGATCACGATATAGCTGTTTTACCCGTTCGAGTTGCTTTGGATCAAAGTCCTGCTGCATGCTTTCCTCACTACAACTGTATTAGCAAAACTCGTGTCCCTCCTAAACAAAAAATAAATCTATAATTCGTTTTACCTATCATTTGGCTTATCATAAAAGTCAGTAAAATTTCGCCATAACATAGTTCATCACTAAAAAAATACTATCCTTTACCTTTAAAGCTTGGGTTTCAAACTCGATGAATTTTATCCAAATTCGTTGGCTCTATAAATCATGTAGTTTATGAGCATCACCAACATATGCCACTAATAGGTACAGCTGATTTTTTCTCTTGTGTGTAACTTACTTGAGATATGTGATGTTCGGTTGCTCGAACCGCTCGTACTAGATTTTCTCGCGTATCTTCAACTACCTGCTTGTCCTCCCACTTGTTGTCGAATTGCTCGAGCGTATAGTCAACAAAAGACTCCCAAATTGGTATCGCTAAAGCGAAGAGAAAAGCCGATAAGCTTACTCATTATCAACTACTCTAACAGCCTTCACCTCCTTCCCCCACCCAGGAACAAGAAAATCTTACAAAAGTAATCGCGAGTCGCTTCCACGTACAGCCACCGTAATCTCTCCTGCTTCTCTTCTGTGTTTTCCTTCTTCTTGAGGTCGTTAATCCAATCGAGCCACATGTCTTTTTTCCATAGAGAAACAGAACACACCAACTGTTAGTGTCACTCGCAAAAATGTATATATGCATAAAACGTATATGGTAGTCATCAAGCGTTACCTTCGCTTAACGGGTAAACCTCATGCATTTGTTCACGAGCACGTTCAAGTTCGTCCTCCATACTCATTTGCTGAAGCAATTCAATCAGTCGGACGTGTAGATCGTATCGACCTTTATCCTGGTCAAGCTATTGTGTATAACCTGCGTTAGCATAAGCCAAATTAAAAAAACCAAGATCTTACAAGCAGCTCCTTTGCTGTCTCAATCTACAAAACATTACCTCTTCCATGATTTTGGTCATTTCATCTAATGTGTTTAATGTCTGTTCATTCTGTTGTTCCTCCGTCAATTCTGCAGGCTTGTCGTCTTCCTGAGCTTTGTTACGCGATCCTTTTGTCACTTCCCAAACACCTGGTGCAGCATTTCCCTGATCATCGACATTCATGCCCGATTCTTTTGATACCACTGGTTGTTCTTGTTGCTCAATAGGCGATTGAGCGTTTTCTGGTTCCATTATCGAGAATTGCTTCAAATCAATGGCTGTGGTCTGTGGATCGCTTGCAGTCAAAGCAAATCCCTTCAGAAAGTCCGGCTGCTGCGAAATTCGGGCTTGATTTGAATATGCAGGGTGCTCCATATGTTCTCATTTGTAATTGAACAGAGTGATCCTGTACGAGCTAGAAAGATACAAGCTCTTTGACCATCGGATATCTTAGCTAGTTTAGTGAGCATTGTATCGTCCATGCAGTCAATACCTGCAAATCCGATTGATTCGATACAGGGGTGGATTGCAACTTGTCACAGAAGAACATCATGCTTCCAGCTTGAGGTCCTTCCATCCAGCACAGTCAATATGTTACAGCTTACGAATATCTGGAAGGCACTTTCACAAATGCATCTATACGATACCCTTTGTTACCGGATAGTTTGAATCGTTCCAACCTCGGTATGTTTTCTTCATTGCTAGATAACGTCTGGAATAGTTCGCGCATCTCGTGGTCGTTTGCTGTACAGTCTGCAATCTCAAGCATTTTTTTGCGACTCAACTTTGTAATTGCATCAATAATTTCTGATCCAAACAGTGTTCCATGAGAAACGAAGGCAGTGAAGACTGGGAGCGTTGCGTAATAGCTGTGCAAGGATAGGGCATAGTCTTGGGTCGCGTATGCAGATGGTAAGCGTCTGCAAGACGGTAAAGTGACGGGTATTTGTTAGTACAGTCCAATTGATAATCTCTGGCTCCCATAACGCAACTTTAGAGCTCGCAATGTTCTACAATTGTCCACGAGTAATGAAACAAGGTAAATTGGCCTATCCATATATACTGCAATATCTCGGATGTCTGTTGGTGATGATGACACGGTTTCTGTTTGAGAGTTTTCCTCATCGTCATCCTCAACCTCATCCATGAATTTCTCGACCCTTTCGAATTTGTAGGCGTCGCCGATCTCGTCATACATTCTACTGTCCAAGATAAAGCGATTGAGTTTCTTGCAGTGCTTGCTAACGAGGTCCACCACGGCAGATTCCCAATGGTTGAATGACAGGCTTGTAGAATTTCTTCCGCGTCGTATGTTTTGAGCTTCCCCATCGAGATGTTAAAAGCAGAGTTGCAAGTGGGATGTAGGAAGCCTGTTGCTTCTCCAGCAGCTCTCGCCGACATATTGTGATATCGCAGCTTGCCAAGGCGAGTACAAGTCGACAGCAATGTTTTGAAAGGCAAAGAACTGTGCTGTCATCTTCAATGCTTGGCGGTTCGATATCAAGTCCTGCCAATGACTGTGTAATCAGTGAGAGTGCAACGAAAAGGCCTGCGTTGCTTTGGTATGCACAGCCTAAAGAAGTAGACATACATTTATGTCACATGTTCGACAAAATAAAAAATAGCCAATATATAACAGTGGTGTGCAGCAGATCATATGGTAAACAGTTAAAACTATACGTTCTTCTGATGGTAAGCTTTTTCAAAGTTGAGAAAACGCTTTGTGCTTAAGAATAGGAGATAAATTCACAGAGCTTCGCGTCGTACAAGTACCGAAAGAAGCTGATGTATTGAATCGCCAAGATATCATCTACCGTGAGTCTTTCAGAGGCGAGAACAGTAGCGTGTTCCAGATCTGTGGACATTCTATGAGCTTGTTTCGCCAAGTGTTTGACACACCAAGTAGGTTCAGACGGTCCTTAAAGCGCAAGTATCCGACAATGAGCGTTACAGTTTCATAGGGCAGTAATGCAACGAGGGCAAAGGCTGTCTCGTGCTTTGTTTTGGCTGCTTCGTAGCATTGCTGAAACACTTGGGGATATACTTTGGGCGTGTTTTTGATTCCTTGAAGGCAGACGTCCAATGCTTCCAGGTGATTAAATCGCATCAAGTTCAACGCGTTTGCTCGGAAATAACCTAAAGGTGATGATGGTGCTCGGTGAATCATTTCAAAAGCATCCCGTAGACCCATCTAAAAGTTGGTCATTTTAACGCGGATTGCTGAGCGAAGATCGAGCAGTGCAGAGTACTTTTTGACAATGTCGTGCAGGCCAGCGCTGTCAAAATCGTTTAATCTTCAAACTGCTTGTCGGTAAACGCGTCGCGTGCGCGATTAAAGCTGTCACAAGCAAGACCGTCCTGATCGCATGCATGAAGAAAACCGGTGGACGCGGAAGGTATCTCGTCAGGATGGAATGGTTAGATATAATGTTGCTGAAAGCAGAGCTTGAATCTATGCCTGCCATTGTTCATCGGAAGCGAAAGTAGTGGAAAAAAGGCCGTTTAATTTTAATGCGCAGTCGCTTTGTCAATCTTTCATCTTTTTATGCGCCCTCGTCTAGTAGAAAGCCCGTTTCGTGATTTCAAAAACACTCGCGTAACATTCTCTTTTTTTTTTTTTTGCTTCTTTAAATTAAAAATGATGGAAACGATTATATTATCTATTATACAGGAAAGGCAAAAGGGAAAAAAACTTGCTTTTGTTTTTCTTTAAATACACCGAAAAAAAACACATCACGAATACACACGTCCAGCTCCAAATATGTTTACTGGAGCTTGCCCGACATCATAGAGTCCAACGAGGCACCACTCTCCATCTGTTCTCTGACAATCATTTCAAAGTACTATGGGAAATATGAAAGCAAAAGGTTAATAAGTCTTCTATCCATCAACAGTCGCATCCTCTTGCAAAAGATACTTTACCTGGTAGATAATGCAGACACACAAAAGAATGCCTGTGCCAGATCCAACAGCGCCAGAGATATCAGCAACGACCGAAACGGCGCCCAAGATGGCACCGCCAAACGATGCAGCAACGGGGATGACGCGCTTCAATTCCTTGTACATGGACGACTCACGGTATCCGACAATAACCAATTGTTGCTCCTTGAGTTCGTTAGCGACATCACGCACAGAAGAGCCCGAGATCTCCATCCACGTCTTAGACAACAAGGCCGAAACGGTAATGATGATAAGAGCGTACACAAGCGTATGCACGGGATCAAGTATAGCTTCAAGAATGGAGCGTGGAGGCGAGAGATAATAGACGATACCGCTCTTGGCAAAAAGCTGGTTCGAGCCTTCCAAGGGCTCCCACACACCCAAGAGTTGGACTACGGGGTTGGTACCGAAGCGCTGGTACAGCATGTGCGAGATCATCAAGATGTTAGAGGTCATGGTAGAGAAGAGCATGATGGGCATGCTCGAGGTGTACAAGAGACGGATGGGGTACTGGGCACGCTGGCCACGCATGCGGTTGGACTTGATCGACAATTCGACGCGGAAGCCTTGGAGATAAACGACGACGGCAAAGACGGCAAGCAAGCTCAAGACACCCATGACGTTGGGCAGATGGGGGCGGTAGAAGGCATCAATCAGAGCGCGGGCCTTGTCGCTGCGCTTGGTAAGCAATTGGAAAAGAGCAATGAGAGCGCCTTCAGACTCTGGACCACGGCCAACATCGACAGTCGTGGGCGACAGGACCTTCCAAAAGATGTTCACTGCAGTGCTGACAGCAGTGAACAGGTTGATACCCGAGCCGAATCCATATCCCTTTTGCAAAATCTCGTCCAAGAGCATCGTGACGAACGAAGCGGCAACGATCTGACCGACAAGCAAAACGCACACGGTGGTGCCAATCTCCTTGGGGTTGCCGTACAAGCCATTGAGCACAGTGATTGTAGCATGAATCACGGCAATCACGATCGCAAACACTAGTACATCCACAGCTGTTGTTCAGTTTCTTTTGCTCTTTTTCTTTCCCCCCTCCTCCCAAGTTCTGCAACCTTCCGATCTTGCTACTGTTTCTATAAAGAACAAAAATCAACGACTTACACTTTTGGGCACCGCTAAAGAGAGCACGATCTTCCTTCAAACTGTAATCGACGTGCAAGATACGGGCACCCGACAGCAATTGCAAAATCATACCCGAAGTAACAATAGGGATGATACCGAGTTCCATCAGCGTACCACGGTTGGAAGCCGAAATAGCACGCATCCAGTACAGAGGATCAGACGAGTCGGACGAAACAATACCATATAAGGGAACTTGCGACATGACCATAAAGATGATGAGCGATCCCACAGTCCACATGATTCTTTCATTGAAATCAACCTAGATGTTATTATTCACAGCCATCCCACACGTGTTAATAACAAATAATAGACTTTCAATTTCCAAAAAGAGGTTAAAATGAGAATCGAAAAAGAAAAAAACTTTGATTTAACCTTGTAGACGGGAGAGTCAATTTCCGGAAGAAGAGCCAAGAATGGCCGGACAAGATGGAGAGCCCTGACTAAACCATGAAAGTTAGTATACAAGTAGAAAGTCAAAGGTTCTTTTCTAAGGTAGAAGCTTGTACATACAACCCATGGCTACAAGAATAAAACAAAAGGGAAGACTGGGGGTAGAACTAGGAAGACTTCACGCGTTTCTTTCTTGATACAGCGGTACAAGAGCGGGGACAATATGTGATAAGATTTGATCCAATCAGATTGCTCCAGCTGAAGAGTGGGGTTTGCGGGTATGTGCGTGGCGCCCATAGCAGTATGCAGTAACAAGAGCAAAAAGCAAAATTAAGGATTGATGTCATAGATACTGCATACGTTATAGACTTTAAGCGCTATCTATCACCACCTTGTGCACTTTTACAGTATTAAATATTCCAATAAGGTAGGGTCATTGCTATGCAGGTGGTAATCTGCGTGCACTTGTTGGATGTCCGTGTGTTATTCTAGATTATTATTAATAATTTTCACACCAGTCGTCCACTTGCTCAACACAACAAAGCATGTATAGTTGTAGAAACAAGACAAGATGCATAATATATATATGAGAGAGATGAGGTTATATAAGGAGAGAGTGAGAGAGTTTGATTTTGTATGATGGGAGAAAAAAATAGGAAGAGAGATAGAAGAGTTACTAGGAACATATATATTAGATTACATTTAAGCAAAGACAAGAACAGCAAACAAGGCAGCAATGAACAATGGACCGTTGGTGAGCGAGTGGATTGAGAAGCCAGCGCTGTCAGCCGTGCCCGAGGCTGCGGGCTCAACACCGGAGCCAGTAGCGCTACCAGCACCCGACTTGGCAAACTGCTCAAAGGTGGGGAAGGTAATGCTTTCTTCAACGTAGGGGTGGGTGATGTTCATGCAGGTAGCCACATCAATAACGTGAGTGTAGGCTTCCTTGAGAGCGGGATAGTGCTGGATAGCAAACTCCATGGTCTGGTTGTTAATCTCGTGAGAAAGAATCAAAGCACCACTGTTGGCAAAAGTGCCGTTCTTGCCCATCTCAATGAAGTTCTTGTAGTTCTGGTCGACAGTCTCGGCAGTAATGCCAGGCATGGTACCAGCAGCCCAGTCATCGGTATCAATGTTCCAGAGGATAGCGGTCAAGTTGAGCTGGGTAGCGATCCATCGGACACGATCATCCAAATCACCTTGGGCCTATATTTCGCGAAAGAGGTATGCAAGGTTAGGTTAGAGAGGGAGAAAGTGGAAGAGAGGGAGTTGCACAAAGAATTGAACACAACTTACAGGTCGCCAGTAAAGAGGAGTCAAGCCGGTTACATACTTGATGGCCTTGGTGGTAAAGTAAAGTTCGGCAAGGACTTCTTTGTCGGACAAGGTGGTCATGAGCTGGTGAGACCAGGTGTGACCAGCAAGATGATGGCCGTCCTTGACACCACGGAGAGCGCCATAGGGCCAGGACAAGACGTTAGAGCCAATGTAGAACATGGATGCCTTTTGCTTGTTTTGTAAGAGGTAATCATAGAAAGCATTGTGCGAGCAATTGGGACCGTCATCGAAAGTCTATAATCTCAAGCTTATTAGCAAAAATGCTGGGTTCTCTTAATTATGGGACGTGTGGATAGAGAGAGAGAGAGAGAACAACTTACAAGACCGAGGGTTTCGGGCTCAGGGCACTCATAGATGTCAGCATTGATGCCAGAGGCCTTGGGCGTCATACAGCCACTGGCACTCCACCAACAGTCAGGATCTTCAGCGGTGTTGTAGCTGGTCATGTCGAGGCCACCACCGGCACCCAACTTTCTAGGCAGGATGTTTTTCGGCGCCTTTGTCCAGTCGATGGAGTTATACAAATCCTGGAACTCCTTGCTGGTGTTCATATTGTTAGAGGTAGCAATCTCCCAGGAGTTAGGCCACAGAGTTTTATCGTAGTTGGAGTACTCTGAATTGTAGTACTGGCACTCGGTGTTGACATCGTACGATGTTGTCTGGGGGATATCAGGGATGCTGATCTCTGTGGGATTCGTGGTGCTGGTGTAGTTGGTGGTTGCAGCGTTTGCTCCCAAGGCTGCGGTCGCGGCGACGAGTGCTACTTTCCAAGAAGGCATAGTCGAAGATAGTGAGAGGTGAGAGAGAGAGAGAGAGTGTGTGTGTGTGTGAGCGAGTCGCAGAGGAGATAAAGGAACGTAGTTTGAAGAAGAAGATGAAGAAGAAGAGAGTTAAAAAAAGAAAAAGAAACGCGAGGCAACTGGAAGTAAAGAAAGAAAAGGGGTCGGTTTATTTCTTTCAGGCCCATCAGGCTAATATATGTATATATATATATATATGTCTATATGTGTATATATATAAATTTAGCAGACGCTCGCGCACCCCCTCCTCTTTCTTCCTTCCTTTCTTCCTGCGCTCCTTCCTCTCTCTCTCTTTCCCGACAACGGTGCACAGAGCTTAAAAATAAAAAAGAACCAGATTTAGCAACTTTGAACGAGTCGACTTTCAAACTCCATAAGGATCTACCGTTCCATTTCTGGTAAAATACCTCTACCTTTTCCCAGCTAAAAATCAGCCTATTTGGTTTATTTATTATCGATGAAGATGATGATGGCCTTTGTCCAGGGACTTGAATATTTGATTTTGTACGCCCGAATCAGACAGACTGAAACTAGTGCGATTTGCTCTACCAGCGCTAAAACGCTGGCGCTTCTTGGCTAGGCCCTATAATTAGAAATCCAACCTGACATTTCTTTTCCCTTCTTTCTCGTAGTGTCTGCACTCTCTCTGTGTGTGTGCTCAATATTTTTCTTTTCTTTCTTTCTGCTAGTAAATCCGCCCTGACTCTTCTTGGAAGGATTAATCCGAGAGATCTAAAATGTTCAAACATGATGTTGGCACATGGCAACCAAGTGCTTATTATCATTACTCATATTCGGGCTTTGAAAACAGTTCTCAATCATCCATCATCTCTGGATTTCTTTAGTCTTTTTTTGCCCTGTAAAAAGATTGTACAACTGGTAAAGAAAAAGCTGAGCGCGGACGCGGACCGGAAAAGTGCATATTTTCTTTTTTTATCAGTTTTTTTTTTCTTAAATGTGGGTCCAGACTCGTGTAAATTATCCTCGGAGAAAAGTTTTTTTGCGTTCCCTGGCAATACCAAAAAAGATCGTCGTGATCACAGTTGCCATGGTGATGTGTGCAACAATACAGCATGCGCAGCACATGCTGGACAATAAATTGGAATTTGGGTCGGGGAGATCGCCACTTGAAAGGACGATGTCATTGAGTCCCCCATCACCCCCACCCCCCCCCAAAACAGCCGCTTTCGATTTCGGTGGGGCCCTGCAGAGGAAAAAAAAAAAACGACGGCTTTGCCCAAGGCTTACTAGTGCACAGAGGATCTATCGAGCACTTGGTTCTGCTATCATGTGTATACGGAGCCGGTTCGTCTGGTTGCTATTGTTGTGGCATGTACAGTACATCAGTATGGAATTGGTGAATGCAGTAATAAAAGTAAAATGGTATTCGTGCCACGCAGTGTGATAATTATGCGTGTCGCTTTTTTCCCTCTCTTCTTACCTTGATTAAGGTTTGATATTGATACAAAAGAAACACACGACGATCATTCTACTGCACTACTACTTTTCCCTTTGTTTGCATAGCACGCCCCGTCAAATGACGCTAAAATTTCTGCAACAAATATCGCTAGTCCCGAACAGTATCGTTCCTAAAATACAACACTTATGGAGAAAGGAGATGATATCAGGCTTTCGTGAAAAGGGATCATCACCCGTCATCACAGTGGACCTGCATTTTAGAGCAAGGCTAATACTAATACGCTTGCTGCATACACAAGAATGATGCCACATGAAACTCACCCTCTCACCAGGAGGGCCGCACTTTGTCTTTCGCCACTGCCAATGCAAAGACCAGAAAACAAGGAGTGGGGAATTGTGCATGAAGGGAAGCAATTTCACTGCAAACACTAATTCATGGATTTTATTATAATGTGCAGTATGCTACTTGTTTCAAATTGTATCGATCAATATCTATGGTTTGACCGCTGCTAAATGCGCGACAGTTTCCAAAGACAAATAATGAGCGCGTTTGAAAGAGTGTTCGTCACGATATTTCTCGTGCGCCATCAATCAACATGTCCTTCACCAAAAGATACTTGTGCTCATTGTTTTACTGCATATCATTACACACACAATGAATAAACGACAACTAGTTCATCGTATTTATTGTTCCTTGTATCGTCATTCGTGATGACGGATCCTGACTTGTCGTTATCTCTACTACTGTATAATGCACTCTTACTGATGATATGAGCGTGTTGATTGTCTCTTTTGCTTCTACTTAAACCATAATGAAAGAAACCATAATTAAAGAAGCTATTATTAGCTTCCACAATTTGATGCATACCGAGAGATCCGGGTGTCGGACGAGGTACACTACTTATAAACCCGCTTGTCCGAGGCAATATGTGCAGCAATAATCCCGAGTATCATAGTTCATTGTTATCTTGTACACAGACACTAAAAAAATAGGTAAAAATTTTCGATATTTGGTGACGCGCACCATATATCTTACATAATTGCTACTTTTTATATGAGACAGGGTTACTCAACATGCAGCTGCTTGGTTTACCAAGCAATGATTATAATGCATACTGCATTGAACTCCTCCTCCTCCTTCGCCTCGTATTTCTTTTGATTTACCTTTTCACATACATACACACTCCGGCAACCCATCGTTATTGGATGTGTCTCAGCTAGATGATTGCTGCTGCTATGATTAATCCAAACAAGTCTGTGAATGTTTTGAAAGTAAATATACGAAGCGTTAAGCAGTTGAGATCATATGCAGAAACATAGCGAATTTAATATGTCGCTGTCGACAGTGGAATCGGTTCCACTCTAATCACGACCGCTGCGACGATCTATTGGAATATTATAATCCCTTTCTTTTCTCAACGAGCTCCAACTACGCGCATAAAAGGTCGTGCTTCATTCAGTATAGTACCGGATCATATGCGTTTTTCGCTTTTTTTTCTAGGCCGCTGATTGTTATTATGATGGCTGGGGTCGATAACGAATGCGGGAAACGTTTTTCTCTCTCTCTTTCTTTCAAAAGCAGCGCCGTCCAGAATCGGATATCAAGATATTCACACAAACGACGGGTTATAGTATATCATTTTCGACGAAGGCCAAAACCGAGTTCTCCGCACAGAAGCTCGGAAGCAAAAAGAAAATTAATCTGTACTCTACGTAGAACAATTAATTAATTTGAGACGCACTCTCGGCGGTGGGAAATAGTGGTGATCAAGGGTGCATGACAAATAAACAACGATGACTTCATCAAGCGTGTTCTATCGTGATAAAACATTCCTTGGCTTTTGCCAGCTAAGCCGATTTACTACCTATTTCCTTACAGGTTCATTATGACAACAGTAGCAGCACTCATAATAGATCAAGTGGCGACTACTGCTTATAAAGATTGCCATTGCGTCAAAGGACGACTTGAATAAAATGGATCAGATAAAAGCTCAGCAAGTGTAATTGGCAAAAGATACTCATGACTTGTGAAGTTACACATAGAATGACTTATACACTAAATAGTCGCGTATGTGCGTATTATCACAACAGTTAACTATGTCACACATAAATTTAGGCGATATTAACTAGACTTGGTTAAAGTCTATTACTAGATTCATAATGTAAGTTATTAGACTAAGACGAGTCTTGGCACTTTTGTGCATGAACTATCTTTTTACACTATGTAAAAGGGACTTGGCTCAAGGTGGTCAAGAAGAAAACGGGTGATAATGGTTTATTCTCGAGGGTCTAGCTAATATAGACTGTACTCGACGTATACAAAATAAAACTACTAACAGAAGGTGCCTATTTAAGGACAATCAAACTTGCTATGTAACAGAAAGCAAAAGAAAAGCAGACGGGTTTATTTACTCTGGGAACAAAAGACTTTTTTTTACAGTGTGCGTTGTGAATCCGTAAGAGTGTGTGTGTGTGTGTGGCGTATATACTTGTACTTTAGATAAGATGTCGAAGACGTGTTGAGTGTGCGTGTGCAAGAGTGTGTCGTGATGGTTTGGACAGAAAGAGAGAAAGGAAGAAAATAAAACATAAGGTATATCAAACAGATGAACAAGGAGCTGAGCGGGTGCTTCTGGATTATTACTTGGCTTATCTAGTGACGGCAAAGCTTTTTGACACGAGGCGATGATGACACTATCGGGTTGGGTGAAGGGAATCCACCAAACTTGCGTTGAAACTGTACCAAGTCACGCGTAATGCGATCCATGATATCCATGGCCGTTTCCTGCTGCTGAACCGCTACTACGGGAATAGGGGTTGTCGGGCTTGTCATTGCTCCCAACGGAGAATATTTCTGTTGCTGTTGTTGCTGTTGCATGAGATGATGATGCTCATCATCCTCAGCCAAAGGTAACGTCGATGCGCTGCTTAGTGTAGACGAAGATGAGGATGTCGAATCCGACCGTGCACGTTGTCGCTTCACGCCGCCTCCTTTAGCAGCATCAGTAGCAGCCTTGGACTTCTTGCTGTCTTTTGTAAGATCCACCTGCAGCTTGCTGACATAGTCCATGATCTGTTTTGCGCGCTTGTTCATGTCAGATATCGACATTTTCGGGTTCGGATACTTTACTTTGGCTGGAGGCGATGGCTCTCGAGCAGGCAGTCCATCTTCATCCCAGTACATCTGTGGCGTGGCTATGGATCCATTGACAGAAGGAATGTCATCTTGTGCGAGGAGCGGAGTGGATTGCCTCGGTGATTCCTTATGTCTGCCGTTGCTCTGCCGCTGCGGTGATCCGTGCTGATGGTTGTTCCGCCGTCCTCCCGATTTCGTCTGCTTGCGTCCACGCGATGTTGGTGGTGACGCTAATGCTTCTTCAGGGAGTGGTGATAGTAATGGGTTGTTGTTGTCATCGCCACTCTTGCGACGCGTCCTTCGGGGTGTAGATTGTTGCTGTTGATCCTGTTGCTGCACCTGCACTTGTTGTTCTGGCTGTGATGGGGGTGGTGGTGGTGGTGGTGCTTGCGGTGGTGCTGCCTGCTGCTCTTCTTGATGGTTGTGATTTGCTTCGTCCGAAAGCGATTGGCAATCTTCATTATGCATGTCTGAGTCTGCCAACTCTTCGTCCTGCTTGTCCGTTCCGTTTTTGTGCGTGCGCGTCGCCATAGGTGTGGACGTTGTGGGCTGCCTTCGAGAAACCTTGTTAGCGTTGTTAGTTGTAGATCTTCGGTTGCCGTTGGTTTCTCGTTTCCGTCGTTTCGCCGCACGAGCCTCGGGCTCCTCCGTTTGCTTTTCTGTGGTGCCATTATTAGCTGGTTTGTTGATGGAAGAGGAAAAAGGAAAAAGGAAAAAAGGGGCGGCGAAAGGCGGGGCACAACACGTAAGTAAATAAACAAAGACGGAAAAAGAAGACAGATATGCAACAACTGCATGTTCGATAAGCCCCATTCCGCTGACGACTTACTGTGATGATGGTGATGGTCATGATGACTGCCTTCAATTTTGTTGTTGTTGTTGTTGTTGTTGTTGCTTCCGCTCGGGTTATACGCCCGCTTGTACCTACCTCGATCAGTTTTAGATAAGAACCATGTTTCTCCCTTTCTTTGCATGTTGCGCACGTCCCCACCCTTTCATCCTCTCTTTTCACTAGCACGATGCTTACCGGCCATGCGCTTTGTACACGACATGATTATCTGGCTGGCAATGGTCGCAGTAATACAGTTCAGGCACATCCTGTTCCGTCAGCCCAACGCAATCACAATGTTGCCATACTTCACACTTGTCGCATTGAACCATAAGACCAACATTATCTATCATACGTCATGAGCGATATCAGTCAATCCATAAGCCGTGGCTAAAACGCGCGTAAGGATGGGAGTTGAAGTGAATACTCACGCTGCTCGCCGCATAGACAACGGGTGACAGAAGCCCCGTCCGAGCTTTCTTCTGCTTCTTCGTCCTCCTCATCCTCCTCCTCGTCTTCTTCCTCGTCTTCTCGTGTTATTGCATCGTTTGCCCGCGTTTGCCGTGGCGAGGGCGGTACTGGCTCATGTCGTTGTTGCGGCAAACTCAACGATCGTGTGGTGGGTTTCCTGCCATTAGCAGCTTGAGTACGTCCACTTCGGCGCGCAGGTGCTAAATGACAAGTTTGTGAATTTGTTCAAATCAAGGGTTCTTTCTTGCGCCGCCTTACAGATATTGAGAAAACTTACTCATTCTTCTTTGATACGTTGTCGAGGTGAAATGTAGTTACTGTACGTGTGTGTGTGTGTGTGTGAAGCCGGGTTCTCTGCTTTCTAAATCGTACTGGTGCTTTGACAGGTACGGCTACCAAGGGTATATAAAAGGGTGGTAATGAAGAGGACCAAAAGTAGAGCGAAAAGAAGATTAAGCGGAAATAGAGTTATGAGAGGTTTGTAAAGAGAAAGGAAGAAGAAAAACTTTATGAATGGGAGAAGGGCAGGTTTTTCTTTGCTCTGTTCTCTCTTTCCAGCAGCCTTTTTCTCTAATGCGGTTTAACATACAGCGGACTTTCTGATCCGAGAGAGAGCGAGAGCGCAAACAAGGTGTATCATATGCGTCGGTGCGACGGCTAAAACAAAGAATGCAACTGAAAGAGGCCTTCTAGTAGAAGTCTTTGCCCTGACTGTGGGCATTGTAGCTCGTGCATGTGCTAAAGCCAATGGTCTTGAATTGTAGTGAATTGTGCAAGTGAATGGGGGTCGATGACGGCCGTTGTGTCGGGTCATCAAACCTTGCTATGAAAATGCTTCGTTTGCGGTGTTTTGCCTCACCTTCATCTCCGAGAGGTCGAGCACAAATGGAAAAAGGTGGAGTTATTTACCAGACCCAAACTTTGCCCACACCATCCATTGCTCCCCTGAGCGAGGAGATTGAAAAGAGAGAAAAAAAGGTGTGTATTTCATCATTGCGAAAAATCAATCCTGACGTGGATTTCGCCGTGTCCTGTGGGATAGAGGGGCAACCAGCGGTCGACGCTCGTCACTTGATCTTGTGGTCGCAGCAGGTCCCACAGGTTCCACTGGCACTGTCCAAGTTCAACCGATGTGCTGAATCGGTTATAGTCTTTAACCTTGATATTTAGCGGCGTTGGCTGCGCAGATACGCTGCTTTCGAAAGATTCGTTCCTACAATGGATGGCAAGGCTTGTGTAAGATGAAAGAAGTTCCTTTTTTGTGCGTGAGGGTAAATACGTTGAATGAGTAGTGAAAAGTGTTTACCATTGCGGCGTAAGCGTCTTCTTGATATGCTTCGTTTTGTGTACTTTCTTTCCCACACGCAGTCGGACAAACGGATCACTCGTCCCCGAGCGATCGACCCCTCGGAGGTTGCGTGCTTCGATCAGCTGTACTGTCGCCGTACCGTCCATTCCCGTGGCAGTGCCATCACCTTGCTGTGTTGCCAGTGCGTCTTCGTTTATCGACATGGTGTCAATGCTCCTTCGGTCCTGCATGGACACTATGGAGGATGCTTGCGATGGGGATCGGACATGGGAACTTGCATGAGTGCCGTTGCGAGACAGTGCAGCAGCCGGTGCTGGTTGTAGTGGAGGAGCGGGGGCCAATGAGGCCGATCGGGACACCGAAGGTGGTGCTGCCTGTGGCGGCCTCAGACCGGATGTAGGAGAGGGTCGCATGGTTGCTGCAGATGTAGGAGAGAGCATATTGCTGCTGCTGTTTGTTGACGTGTTCATATTCACAGTGGTAGTGCCAAGGATCGAAGTATGTGTCTTCTTGCGGATAAGCAGCTGGGGTTGCCATAAGAACCGCACGCGCACATGACCGCTCACCCCGGCAACGCCATCCAGGGGAATTCTGACCTGCTTGGCAACAAAGCTCTCGACAAAGTCGCCACGAATGGAGATACCGCCCGAGCCAAGCGGCGTATCACCGAGGAACTGATTCCAGTCAAAAACCTCGATTCTAAAACTGGCCGTGACCCGTGATTGCTATTGTTACACAGTTCGTACATTTTGAGTGGTGCTATCTTTTTTTTTTAAAGAACACAGACCACCACTACCATTATCAGCAGTTACTTACGATCGGCACCGTGAACGTTTCATTCTTCCATGCAGGATTTATTGTCTTTTTGATTGTGGCACTCTTGTGTACGCGCTCGCCGTTCACAGTGAATACAACATATGGGTCGCTGGTTCCGGATTTGTCTGCTGCCATGAGCTCCTTTGCGTCAAGCAACGTCACCGTCAACTGTCCTTGATTGTCAAGGCTTTCGTCTGGATTCAGGGTAAAGTTGACAAGAGGCGTGTAGTCAAAGCTGAGACGAATCCAGCCACCGGGGATCGTTGTCCCGAGCAGCTGGAACCATTCTCCTTCCTCGTCCTCGTTGCCACTGCGTCTGTTGGATTGGATGCGGCGCACAATGTTGGTCACTTGATCCACCCAGTAACCCAGTTTCAGATCGTCCTTGTCATCCGAATCAGCTGGCTTGATCTCGATAGCAACTCGCGAAAAGTCTGCTTCTTTCACAAATGCGTCGCCCGTTTCGTTAAAAGTCAAGGTTCGTCCCTTGAGCTTCTGGGTCTGGAACTGAGGCATCAGCGCGTCGATTAGTATTTGGCAGTAGGCATGGCTGACGGTAGGCATCTTGACTTCGTGAATTTTAACTGTCAGTACGCCGGAGTTGTACACAGAGAGGTCGACAATATCGTCGGGAGTGTAGCGGATCGGCACACCATGGAGATCAGCTGTTGGCAGCTCGGCTTGCCTCTTTGCTTCGACTTTGCCGTTCTCTTCAGCATGCTCCCCTCCCTCGAGTTCTTTGTATTCTTCTTCCTCTTCATCGTCAAGCTCCTCGACTCTTGGCAATGCAAGCGTAGGATGAAACTCGGCCGTGTATTGAAGCTCGCCTTTTGCTGTATTGCGGTCCGATGACTTGAGTGCTACCCATCTAATAGTACATCAATAATCACATTTTCAATAGTATGTTTAATTACACTCTTTTCCTGCGAGATACTTACTGATCAATTGGCTTGCCAACGTATTCATACCACTTGTCTGGATTCTTTGGCTGATTGCCTGTGCACTGCTTTACAAGATCAACCATACGCAATGTGGTAAAACCAAGCGACTTGTCCTTTGTCTTTGCATTCCAATCCATAACTTCAAGTTTGAGGTCTTCCTTGTTGGAATGGATCGGCACATATTGGGTCTCTCCCCACTCGGGGTCCAAGTTGTTATCAATGACTTCCGTACGTGTACGGATCTGCGATCCAGATAATACACGCACATACGGATCTGACTTGCCAGCAACACCATCAACGTTTTTGAGATCCCGGGCGCGCCAGAATGTTAATCGTACAACACCAATTGGTGGCACTATATGCAAGTAAATAGAAGAAAAAGGCTCATTATTGAATAGATACATTTACGCAAGCAAAATCAAAGGGGCATTTTTAGAAAAATATTCAAGACTTACTGTATAAACCGCGTCCACCCATTGCTTCGGACAGGCCAGTCATCACCACAGGCTTCCACTGGAATCCTAAACGAATACGGCCCATTGCTTTATTTCCATTATCAAGTGCGAGATCCCACCAGCCATCGGGATTATTGTCCATATCTTGGATCATGTCAACGAGATAGCTTCGCCACACACCAATGATCGGATCTTCAGCAAGACTGATACTGTCCTTGACTTCAACGCGAATAAACACTGCGGTCTGGTCCAGCACAACCACTTCACCCGAGCGTTCAAACTTGGGATTAGGGTTTCTCTTAAAAATGGGTGTATTGATTCGCTCTGCGCCATTGATAGTAACACGGACATACGGGTTTAAGCGCATGGATCCAAGTTTTCTGCACTCGTGCACAGTGAATCGTAAAATGCCAGAATCTAAATAGTACAGTGACAATTAGTAATTTATTAATCGCAACAAAAAAAAGAGAGAGAGAGAAGCTCGTACTTGATTCTGCTGCTGGTTCGACAGTGCCATCATCTCGGGGTATAGGTTTCGATACAGGCATGTAGCGCATATCCACTTTGATTTGTCCAATGGGCTTGCCATTGTGTCGTAAGTCAAGGTCCCTAAAAAGAAGTGAAACTGTTTGCAACCAGTATTCCTAACAACAACAACGGCAACACCACAAATACTTTATATCAAACTTACATATCCTGAAGACTATAATCATCGTCCTCGTCCAATTCTTTAAGCTCGAAATGCGCGCGTGCAATACGTCGATCTTTGGTGCCGCTTGATTGGTTTCGCAGCTCAAGTGACAGAGTGGAAGTCAAGCTATTCAGCATCAAAAAGTGAGTTTCGTTCCATCGAGGGTCAAGTGTATTTTCTTGTACAGAAGTGCGACCCAGCTCCTGTGCCTTATCCAGATAGAATCGGATATATGGGTTGACAGTTCCAGAGACATCCCGTGAATTGATGGTCGTGGTCGAATAAACAGTGACAGCAAGAACACCGTTGGCTTGTGCTGCATAAAGGCAAAGAAAAAAACGCATTAAGCAACTGGGTAAGAATACTATGCTTTCGTTACACATTGTACAACTTACTGATATCCAATTCGCCAGAAAAGAACTTTTCCACGTCAAAGGAAAAGACATTGGGGTAATACATCATCGGACCAAGGATAGCGTGTACTTGATCGCGAACAAAACTTTGGAGACCGGGTATCTAGCATAAAGTAGCAATCAACGATTGAGAAATCAGGTCGCTATCTCATTTTTCACCCGGTACTTACATTGGTTACATCCAGACCAAACGTCTCGCCACCGATAGGCTTGAGCACGTAATCAAAATGCGGCTTTTTCAAAAAGCAAGCTTCAACCATCTTGACGTGTGGGAAATTACTCATAAACTTGAGCTTGATACGCATGGCTCCTTGAAAGCTCATATCTTCAACGAGCACAGGGATACCAGCACCGACCATACCCTTTCCTAGTCGGATAGTGAGCATGACCTTTGGATTCACCTTGTGCTCGACCTGTTTTCTGGTCATATCGGAAATGTCGTTTGGCTTGAAGCTGACAATCCAATCCATTGTCTAATCATATCTCACCGATTTTAGTGCTGTCATCATTATTTTACACACAATGATGAAACAGAAACATACCACAGTATCTGGTTCTGGCTCCGGCAACATGCGAACGCTCTCGACACGAAATGGTTTAGTTCCCAGCGTAAAAGTCGTCAGACGCACGGAGTCGAGAAACCCAGGGAGGTAGTCAACGAGGTATGTATCGATGTTATCAATCACATAGGCGCTCATGACGGGTTCGAAGATGACCCAAAACTTTTGCAGAAAACTGTTGAGCCATTCTACTGATTCCTTGTCTTGTTCGAGAAACTGCAACATAGTCAATCCACGATCAATATCATCGCGTGCCTGCCGTCGGAAGCGACGTTGTGTTGTCTGCGAGTAAGTCACCACAAACAAACATCCGATAGCAAATGTGATGAATCCGCCACCTAGGGTGCCGAGCAACCAGAATACAACGCCAACCGTGAATATGGCCCCACCCTGGCCCCACCATTTGCTAAAGAATAAGAACGAGACCATACGCTCCAATGGTTCGTCTGTTTTGTTTTCTGCTGCTGCGAGTTGGATAGGTCCGCCAGGATTCGGTTGTGTTGAAAACGCTGTCCAGCCAACACGGTACCACTCTGGTATACGTGATTGCGACGCTGCTGCTGCTGTTGCTGTTGTAGTTCCTGCCGCACCGCCAGAAGAAGGCGTACGTGGCGTTCGAGGTGTGCGTGGACCACTTGACAGGCGTTTACCAAGACCAGTTGTTTTAACAGGCGCAATGGGTTTCTTTTGTGCTGCAGACAAGGCTTGTTTGATCTGGTCGACATCGCTGGTACCTAATTCGGTCTGCAGACCGGCACGCTTATTGCCAAGATTGCGGAAATCGGGTAGCAAGCCTTTGGGAATGGCACGCTCGGCTTCCTCCCGCTTGGCAGCCGGGCTTGCGTCAGGGTCAAACAGGTGTACGGGCGTCTCAGCCTCTTGTTTAATGTGTGCATTTGCGGCATTTGCAGCTGCAGCCATTTCGAGTTCTTCGTCGCGTTGTTGTTCCCGTTCAGTATTGCCGTTTATGCTGTTTTCACTCATACTGCTGCTGTGTATTTAACGGCCACAGGTAAAACGGAAACCGGTGGTCCCGAAAGACAATGCTCCGCGTGTGGTCTTGTAAATTTCGTAGCCCTTTCTTATTTAGGATGTGATCACATACACTGAAATACAACAGCATTGAAGATGTCTTTCTCTTTGTCTCTCTCTCTCTCTCTCTAAATTTACATAGTGTATACAATATATAATTATGAATAATTCTCTCCTTAACTGAAGGGGGCAATCCCTCCTTATGTTTATTATTGGAAAACATTCTTGTTGCTTAATTCAGACTCTTGGCCTTCAGAGTTCTTGATTCTGACCTTGCGCTCACCCATGGCTTGCTGACGCTTTGCGTATTTCTCCTTCTTTTCTTTCAACATGGCAGAACGGACCTAAATGAGTAAGATGACAAGAAAATAATGGTGAGTTTTTCTTTCTTTAGTCTCAAAGTTCGTGACATCCCATAATTCTTTTTTTTCTTTTTTCTTACAAAGTTGGGGTGCACAAATTCTGGATTCTCGAATACGGTAGGTCCGCCAAACGAGCCTTCAAATATACGGATCGTCGTTAAGCAGAATCGTGGGCCGATCTCAACAAGTGACACATCGCCCTTGTCTTTTGTGGTGAAGCCTGGAGTGTTTTCCTTGTTCTTTTCAACAATCTGTGTAGACCATCAATCTTGTTAGATAAATCCCTTTTTCTCCTTCTTCTTCTCCTCCTCCTCCTCGAAAATCCATACCTGATAATTTCTAAACCAAATTCTGTTATCAGCAATAGAGAACGTCAGGACGTGATCAATAAAAGGTTTCGATCGGCGCGATCCTTTGGGAACGTTGAAAACTTGAGATAACAATTCCTTTAATAATTGCCAATGTGGTGCAGAGTCGAACGTCTTATCGAACGAGAGGATATGGCGTGAGCCCTTCAAACAGTTGCCGGTCATTTTTAATTCGTCCATCGTGTGCACTTGAAAAAAATTGCTTATTTAGTATTTTCTAGCGTCCTCTTTTTTCTACCAAGGAAAGGAAACTTACAGTTTTGAACGTGGAATTTGACAGAAGGTCCATTGGGCGTCTTGGACATCCACAAATACAAATCTTTGCGTTTGCGCACTTCGAAAAAGATACAGTTGTTGCAGTTGTTTAGATCGGCAAGTTCATTCAAAACAAACAAGTTGTCCTTTGTGTCGAGTTTGGAATCTTTTTTGGAATGGGGCATAATGCCTTCGAGATCGGTAAGCAAATGACGGTAGCTGTAGGCAACATGAGCGGATCAGAATATTTTGTTGTTGTCAAAGACGTTTCTTTTTCCTGTTAATCCTTTCTTACCGGAAGACAATGCCACGCGAAGCAAGCAGCATTACTCGCTGCTTGTTAATTCGTTTGTCTTTTACTTTGTTCTCGGACGATCCTTTCGCCTTTTCGGCTGTTTTGAATACGGTGGCCATCTTTGTTGATGTGTATAAGTGATTCACAGGGAATATGGAAAAAAAGTCGGACCTGTCAGCTTTCCTGCGCTCAAAATCGCAAGCCACAGAGGTGTGCCGAATTAGGACATTCGTGTAACCTAATTATGGATGCTATGCAACATCGTGTTGTCTTTATTCGCGAAGGGTGTCATTAAGAGAACTAAAGTACATGCTAATAGTCACTCAATCTGATTGTACTAGCTAGCTTAAATGTTTTGGTATACGTGCTACAACTATTGAGAGGCTTCCGATCTCTGGACAGAAAAGCTGCATGAACGATTTATTTTGCAAAGAATAAAAGGGTGATCTTTGTCGGCTAGAGCACTGTCATTACATGGTAAAGAACTATAACAATTACCTTCTGGCAGGGTGCTATGGGCAATGGCATTATTTGGTGGTTTCTAATAGTAAAGGTTAGTGATAAAGTAAAAGTTTGCATTGAAGGTTCGGGATTCCGGCTCTCTGTCCGGGTAAAAGAGAGCGCTCGATATGGAAATCGGGATCCTCCTCTTCAGCGAATATCAAAAATGGTATGCATTGATGAAAAGGAAGAAGGGAGGGGGCGCAATACGAAATACGATGAATGACTGAACGGATGGAAGAACGGATGGATGGATGGATCAGAAAATTGATGGATTCAATATAAATGTTGAAAATATTAACCAGCCCATCGATCATTTATCACTATAGGGTCGCGTTAGGTACGAATATAACATCAGCAGCATCCTACGAGAAAAGTAACAAAAACAATGCTAATTTGTGAAATTTAGAACCAAGACTGTCAAGAAGGCCTCTCGTGTCTTGATCGAAAAGTACTACCCTCGCCTTACGTTGGATTTCCAAACCAACAAGAAGATCTGCGATGAGGTTGCCATCATTTCGTCCAAGCGTCTCCGCAACAAGATTGCCGGTTTCACCACTCACTTGATGAAGCGTATCTCGCGAGGTCCCGTCCGTGGTATCTCCTTCAAGTTGCAGGAAGAAGAGCGTGAGCGCCGTGACAACTTTGTCCCCGAACAGTCTGCTTTGGACACCTCTGCCATTGAGATTGATCCTGACACCAAGGTAAAGGGTTTAGAAAGACAAATACTCTTTTACTAATTATAGAGAAGCAGGAAAGATTATAGAACACATACTAAAACATAACAACTTTACGTTATACAGGACTTGCTCAAGTCGCTTAACTTTGAAGACTTGGCTGGCGTTCAGGTTACGCAGCCCGTTGCTGCTTCGGCTCACACTGACGTGCGTCGTCCCCGCCGTAGCGGTCCCCGTGCACCCCGTCAGGAGGCCAGCAACTAAAGATTTTTTCTTGTCAATATAATGCGATGGATAAATCTTGTCTAGCAGATCATATGTACACGCGGTTTTGAGATTATGCTATAGTATGTTGGAGGCTGGATCTTGGATAAGTGATTGTGTTTAGTGAATGGTGTTTGTATCATTTGGCACAAGAATGAACGTATGGTTTACAGTGACCTTTTTTTAAAGAAATACAATGTGAGGGACGATTTTGGGATATGTTTGAATCGATTAAGGATACAGCAGTCGTTGAAATGCTCTCTATTGGTATGCTAGGTCGCAATGCCGTTTGCATGGAAGAATGAGACACATCATATATTCAGCTTGTTAGACATTACCAAATCAGGGCACACATTCGTAGGATCGACTCCGCGCATCCAGTTTCACGAATTGAATTTGGTCGCGTTCTCTGTTGTTCCCTTCACAAATTCTTCTACATCATGGTAAATGATCGCTTTAGATGATGTCCATCGATTTGTTAAATGCAGCCGTTTCTAACGTTATAATAGAGCACAGGCACAGATAAAGCTGCGGGAGCTGTCGCATTTCTCAGTGCAGTGGCAATCTTCATATACTATACGTTATGGTCCCTTGTCATGGTACGCTTCTAGTGCTTCTTCTGATTAATATCCGTATCAAAAAGACACGATAAAGCTAACGTTCGCTTTAATAGCCATTTGTTGACGAAGATCATCCCCTTCAAAACTACTTCCCACCGTGGGAATATGCTATTCGTATACCACTTATCCTTCTTATCGTTGGTCTCACTGTCATTTTCACGTTCCTTGGCCTGGCAATGGCCAAAAGTAAAAACGCACAAACTAAAAAGGCAAAATAAAAAACCCCCCACGACTTTCGTTGCATATTTGTATTGTATTATTCATAATTATTTGTGTCTGTTTTGGTTTTTTGTTCTTTTCCTTTGCAGCGACCTTTTTAGATTAATACAGGGCATAGCTCTCTCTCTTTCTGTCAGTAATACGGGACTCCAGTAATTATACACTGCCAAGAATATCATATCTAAACGGATTGATCTTTTTTAAATGCGGTAGTCAAGCTACACGTCAACTCCGGTGGCATTTGAACATAAGCCTGGAAGGACGACTCACGAAAATCAGGGAGAGAGTATACATGCAAAAATGCTACGCTCCTCTATGTTACGAGAAACTAGTACTCAAGACAAAGTTTCTAGTCAAGTGTAAGCCATGCGCTTGTAATCATCGTTGGAGTTATTGGCCGTATCCTAATAGTGAACGCAGCATAGAAAATTACATGTATTGGCCCTGGTCTAGCGAGTCGTTTGATGCATATATCTAGAGAACGAAATACATTCATCGGTCGCTAGACAGACCCTGTAAATCTACACGTCATAATATAGATCTAGTAATTATCAAGTAAACAAAGGAGCACGTAGAGAGATATGTCGCAAACTAATGTACATTTTGCAGCATCTGCTTTTTAATGGAAAAGACAGGAGCTCAGTGCGTACGTACTTGAGGATTTCCCCAAAGAAATTCACAGGTATCATAGCGAGTAAGGAGATCGCTCACAATATCGTCGTAAACTTGACACACATAGTATGATATTTTAAGTCTGTTGTTTGCCTGTGTTTATACTGTCAAATGGGTTGCGTTGACAGAGAGATTATCATAGTGTTACACTACTAATAATCCAGCTGGGCCTATCAGCACACCAGCAGGTTTGTCTGTTGTGCTAAAGTAAAAACCAAGGAGTTCCTGATTACATTGTGCAATGCGGCAGTCCTTCTTGCCAAGTCACTATGAACCCTTACTTTAACCGGGTCGATGTGCTTACATGCTACAGCATGCATGAATAGGAGGTATTATGTGACATCTTTTGAAAAAGAAACGTTTACCACAAAATTAACATCCAATTGAGGAGTACAGTATTGCCACTAAAACAACAAGGCAAAGTGAAAAGAAGCCTTTGCCTCTGTAGTTACAGTACATGATAAATTTGTTATCAATATAGCAATGAACATGGCGTCATACATGGTTTCAATGTATAGCTTCGAATTAAAAAGCATAACAATAGGTCGGAAGACATGGAAAACAGACCGTTGATAGTACAACCCCCCCCCCCAAGGAGGGGCTTCCGAAGACTACCCCCGGGTTAGCATATGCTACAAGTTAAGTTGGTGGCGATCAGTTTAAAATGATCTGCGGCGCAAATTACTAATGCTAATGGGACTATGCATATTAATCGAAGGGCATCTACAGTACGAGAATTACCATATCACAGAACGCTGTGTATTCAATTGATAATCGGTGTTCATACAAAAAAAAATTGATAATCGGTGCAAGTTTGAAAGCCATCATTGTGTCAACTAAATTATTTCAGATCATAGTTTATCTTTTTTAACAACACAATGAAGGTAGCTGTTAACAGGAGAGTATTGACAGGTTTATACATAAACAAAGGGGGTGAAGAGAGAATGCCATAACTATGATAGGTCGAATGTTGGGTTTGGATGTGTCACTTTATCCACATACACGCTCTCGGTAATTACTCTGCAATAGGGGTAAATATGATGCACAAGAAGAAGCAGGAATATTGTGTATTATTCCACCGTTTTTTGTACAAGCTTTAACTCCTTTACTACACGCTCATTCATGACATTTGCGGCTGCTCGTTCCTGTCGACGCTTTTGAATTTTTTGCAAAGTTGGTCCTAGGATGAACAGAGACATCCAAGTAATGACATAGCCCCAAACATGGATATAATAGTAGCTGGCCCAAACTTTTAGAGTACGCGATACATAGAGTAATTCGAAAGGCGCCATCAATAATGCCATCGACTGCATTGTTGCAACATAGCTCACCGCATCATAGAGTGCTTTCCATACTGGCAACGGTTTTGAAGGGTCTTCGGCCGACATGACGAGCGGCCTTACGACACGACGCACATTGCGGCCCAGCGCTTGAAACAAACCAGTAGAAACTAGGAGTCCGTAGTAACCAGGATGGAATCCGTGCCACATTGAAGATGTGCCGTAGGTTGCCACCAATGTAAACGAAGTTGGTTTTGTTCCGGGAGGGCTAAGTCGCAAATAAACATAATTCTTGAGCCAAACATTTGCACCAAGGTTCCAGCCATTTGATAAATCCCTGAATGACTGTGCCATTTCAAGCAGATACCAGTCCACGTTTGAGAGTCGATCCCAGTTGTGTTTTCCCTTCTTGATTCCGTTGTATCCGAATCCTGAGAGCACACAACTTCCTTCAGTCAAAAGCCAGAGACAGCCGTACTTGCAGTGTTGTACCCGTCCAACTATTTCGAAAGCTATAACTCTGATAAATTGAAGAAGTTTCAGTCGAGTGAAATGGCTGACAGTGTCACATTGAGAAAACCGTGAATCATTACTTTTTGTATAGAGGTAGACTTGCAAACTCCGGCTCCATCATACGAAAATAGTTATAATAGTGTCCCAGATATACCACGATCCATGCGGTAAAGGCACCAAGTAGGATTTTTCTGAGAGCAGGCTTGTAGGGCGAAAGATTCTTGTCCGGCGACAGAAAGAAGAAATTGGTAAATCGATAGTAGTCCATGTATTCACACGTTGGTCCGACCAGAAAGCCACCAAAAAAGCAAAGCCATCCAAAGTACTCGATCAGACTGGGATATCTATCAATCTTCATGCGCTTGCTATAATCCGTCACTGCACCGAGCCGTCCATCCATCACGTTGAACCCGAAAGACGAAAACTTGACTGTGAGAATCATCAGTGCCCCTGAATAATCCAGTTTGCTTGACCCTTCAAATCCCTTTAGCTGACGGTCAATGTGGCTACAGGTAAAGATATAAGTACAGGTAATGACACTTTACGTCTCAAATGGACATTTATCTGATATTTACCATATCGACATGCTTAGCATCGCAACTGCAAAGTTGACGTAAGGTCCGCTATTGCCATGGTAATATTTCATAAATGTATAAGTGAAAAGCGCCGTAACGGCTATGTGTAAGATGCCCATATAGAGTTTAAGAACATAGCCCATTGCGAGTAACGTGTAGGCGATGGAGAAAATGTGCCTGCTGGTAGGGCTGTTCTCCGGTAGCCTTCGATAGACAAGTGCTAATGGATACGTCGCGACGATGCAGGCAATCAGTTTGATATGGTCCCCAGAGACTTGATCTCCCAAGTATCCTGCAACAGATTCAAAAAAGCTATCCATAGTAAAGGATGATCTTTAAAAGAAGAAAGTAGAGAAGAGAAACTGAAGGAAAAGCCAGTTGGTCTCTTATTTTGAAATTTATATACTTTGCACTGTTTCCCGAGCATGCAAATTTTACGGGGCTTGACAATTTCCCTTTTGGTTAATTCACTCGACCCCTCGAAACAGTGTACCTACATAGACGGAGGGCATATACGGTGGTACTGTAGGATACACCATGATAAGTGCACACTGAAAACGGCACAACAAACTATAATCTGCAGGAATTACTAACGTTGAGTGATTTTCAAAAAAAAAAAACCGTGTAAAACACCAGAACAGTATCGATGGCGCCTTGATAATGCTGTGCTACATCTGCAGTGTGATATGATTATTACGATCTCCCATATAAAATATATAATGGCAGCAAACGTTTATATACAAGTACATTTAACGCTTCCTCGATATCGTGACCACACTATATTCCCGCTTCTGTCAACTGCGGTTGCCTCTTCAAGAACGATATGTAAATTGAGTTAGTAAACATCAACACAAGCGTGGATATGACGACGTCCAAGGTTGACGAAGAATGGGAATTCACTGTATGTCTCCTTTTGTTTCCCTATATCAATATAACTTAGCTACCTTGATCTAAATGCAATACGGTAGGTGTAATGAGTAGCACACAAAACGGTCTATCGCCATACTTATGGCACATAACCAAGTAGCAGCTAATCTGCGAGTATAAAATAAATAATAACATCATGAATTGAATTGATTTATAACTATCGTTGTTCTCAAACAATCGCATGCGAAATACTCTTTTTGAGTAATATCTCAAGATCTATGTATCACTGCAGTCCTTCTATGATATTAACAAATAGGCCACAGAATAGCTTATTACAATACATACAGAAGTCTTTGATCAAATCTTGACAAAAACATCATTGAAACTGTAATTACAGTACAGTAGCAATTTTTTTTATTACAAAGTCTTTAAATTCATTTGCTTTTTCTGTGCATAGATATTATCTTTGTTTAGCGACTGATAGATCTGTTCGTTGTTTTTGGCTTTGAAGCAGTCTTGGTTCCAAGATAATCAAAGTCGACCACGCAAAGAAATATCCCCAAACATGGATATAATAAATGCTACCCCAAACTTTTAGGATATTAGTCAAGTGAAGTAGTTCGAATGGGACGACAAGTATGGCAATCAACTCCATGGAGAAAAGGTAACCCATGATATCGTAAACCATCTTTTGTACACGCAAAGGTACCGGATGATCGTCTGCGGTCATAACCAGAGGACGAACCACGCGACGAATGCGACGACTCAAGGCTTGGAACATACCGAAGGGAATAAAGAGCCAATAGTATCCTGGATAGAATCCGTGCCATATAGCAGACGTGAGATAGGTGATAAACAAAGTAAATGATGTGGGCTTGGTATTGGGTGGTGTTATTCTGTCGTAGACATAGTGTCTCAGCCAATTATTTGTGCTCAGGTTCCAGCCGTTGGATAGATCCTTAAAAGATTGTGCGGATTCGCAAGCTAGCCAGTTGACGTTTAAAAGTCGATTCCATTGATGTCTCCCATCCTTGTCGATGCCGTTGTATCCAAATCCGGAAAGAATGCAGCTGCCTTCAGCCAGCAACCAAATGCTGCTGAACTTGCAACGCTCTACGTATCCTGCTATTTTAAAGAACGCAAGCCTGTTCATACAAGAAGTATTAGTTATTAGTCTCTATATCATATGATATGGAACACGGATCACACAGCAACGTTACTTTTTGTATAAAGGCAATGTCAGGAAGACGTTGTCTAGCATGTTGACATAGTTGTATGTGCTTCCCACAACTACCATAACTATTGCAGCAGCAACGCCAAGTACAATATGACGAAGGGTGGGCATGTATGGCGATATATGCTTGTCAGACGAGAGGAAATAGTAATTTGTGAATCGGTAGTAATCCATGAATTCGCTAGATGGGCCGACAAAGAATCCGCCGAAAAAGCAGATCCAGCCAAAGTATTCGATTAGACTGGGGTAATGATCGATCTTCATACGCTGGTTGTACTCTGTGACAGCACCACCGCAGTAGCCGTCAGTTACATTGAAACCGAATGAAGAGAATTTGATGGTTGCAACCATCAATGCTCCAGAATAATCCAGTTTGCTGGATCCTTCAAAACCCTTGATTTGTCGATTGATATGGCTATTTTAAATTCGTAGCAGTTAATAACCTTACATATATATATACAGCCTAATAATCCAGCTATATATATCCATCGATGGTATTGCATAAGATGGTTTTACTTTTTTTCTTTACCATATTGACATACTGATCATCACAACTACAAAGTTAATGAAGGCGCTGTTTTTGTTGCTCCGGTAAAACTTCATAAAAATATAGGTAAACATGGCCGTAAAGCCAATGTGTATGGCACCGGTATAGAATTTGAGGACGTACACCAAGGCAACCAGTGTATAAATTATGGAGAATATGTGTCTGCTGGTAGGGCTTATTGCTGGTAATCTTCGATAAACAAGCGCCGATGGATACGCTGCTAGAACACATGCGACGAGTTTGATATGGTCGGCACTAATTTGATCACCCAATTCATTTGCAACAAGTTCGAAAAAGTCGTCCATCTCTACTAAAGATACCACAATCCTTTTGGAAAATACAGAGATAGAAAAGAAGAGCCTGAAAAACAGTCTCTTTCAAATCGTACTCAAACACAAAAAACATTTTGCGGATTCCGTTGGGCGTTACTCAAAACCCAGTAGAATGACCCACGTGCGAAATAGATGTAGAGAGCTGGATCACAAGTTGTTTCCATCTGACACTAGCAGTATAGATTGAGCAGACATTTTAAGGATAACTGTAAAAATGAGTTTGATTAGCAACACTGTTGGGAGCTTCCCATGTGGATGGATCAGAGCATCAATTCAATAGTACCGTGATTTGTTTCTTATTGAATCAAGAGCGTGATAGGAAGAATGAATGTTTATGCTGCACACCTCCATTGTACAGCAATTGATGTACAGGAACGAGTAGAAATAATACACATATACATACGTTGCGCGAAAAAAAGAGCTCCGAGATGAAGCAGAGTCATCCAAAGTATCCCACTAGGTTTGGATGACGACTAATTGTCATTTAATTGTGATAATCCGTGTCTGCATCATACCATCCACCGTCTACGCTAAAACAAAACGAGGAAATTCCTTGAGTTGTTGATCAACGTCGAAAATTCTTGATTTTTTCAAAGGCTTCAAAAAGCATCAGATTACAAGGACGAATATGTGCATCCCTTTTGTATATCCACAGTATGCGGTAACACATGTACACCCAACAAAAAGAACAAAAAGCATCAAATACACTACCTTGGCATATCAATAAGGACACCAAAGGCCTTGCATTTGTCAATATGGATTTGCTTCTTGTCTGTTGTAGTTAACTTAACCTTGTTTCTGACACCTGCTGCAGCAATTCATATGACGCGCTAAAATACAACCAACATATCTGTCATTAACTTTCCAGGTGCACATCATTTGATACTGCGCTGTGACAACGGAGCTACGTCCTAACGCAAAGAGAAGATAGAGGAGCAGGCTCTAGCAGATATAATGTACTTTTGCAAAACGATGCATGTTTTATTGAGTGCGTGGTAATGATACAGTTTGAGAATGACGAGTTGTAACTTCAAGTGGTTGATAGTAGTTGTGGTGGTGAATGATAGGGAAATGATGGTATACAGACAAAACGATTTTTTTTCTTTGTTTCTTACAGATGAGCCTTGGTAGCAGGGACATACCATGCCATCTCATACTCCTTCTGAGTGAACCCGCACTTTTCGTAGAAAGGAATATTCTTGGCCGAGCAATCCAAGATCACTAAATAATTTGTCGTTTCGTTTGACAGTTAGAACCCTCTGTAAATTTCATATCAACCTCCTTTGCCCTTTTTTTGCAGTAATGCCCTTTACCTTTGTAGCAACCCTTCTTTGCTCCAATGTACTTGAGAGTTTCAATGATGCGGAGACCCAACTTCTTGCCTTGTTGGTTACCATCAACAGCAATGTCTTCAATGTGACCCACTAAACCATTGTTGTGTACGAATTTACGCTCGACGAAGATGGTGCCTGCAGCAACAACTTTGTTCTGTCGATCATCACAGATCGCAATGGTGAAATCTATTACAGACACAAAGCAACCACAGTGAGTATTCAAGTACAGTTGCTCTCTCGTTCCTATTAGCTAGATTCGAAAAAACCCCTTCGTGTTGCTTACATTCGTGGTTGTGTTGCTTGAAGTAGTTAAAGCGTTCTATTTTAAGCAAGGCATGGTAATATGACAGTAATGAGCAAAACCATTCTTTGATAGATTTTACTGTATCGCCATAGATACTAGGTTTGCGTGCTTACCGAGCCACTGTTCTTTAGTCTGGGTACCGACCTCGGTCAGTACTTCAAGGACCTTGAGAAAGCCTCGCTCGTAGTCGTTTTCGCGCAGAGGCCGGACCGTGTAACCTTCGGGGAGAGCAGCCTGGACCTGGGGGGAGATGAAAGATTCTTCAAACAATGCAACTTCGGTAGACATGGTGGTAGTCAAATGGTAAGGCGGGTTCAGTACTGTTCGTTGTGTGTGCGGGGAAAAGGGTGGATGGTTGAAAGAAAGAAGCTTTTCTGTTCGAGCATCCTTTTATATATATGCTGTACCTCAATGATTTGACAACTTCCGCGGAACATGTTGATGATCCGCGGTATATTTTGCTGCTATTTTTGTTTTACTCTTCTCCACGTTCCAACCAGCCCTGGTGTCTCCACGATGCAATCCTAAGTTATAAGCTGAGTTTTTTTTTTCTGTCTGCAAAAAAAGGCACTCGAGTTTTTTTTTATCGCTAATGATCCGTGCAACCAACGGAGATGCTTGCAATATGCGTGAGAGAGAGAGAGAGAGACAGCTAATGCATTGTTAATGGTCCGGACTGCATGTTTTAATTTGGCATGGAATATTGAGACCAGACGCTACTATAGTATAATCATTGCTTGACTTGAAATATACCTCCCCGTCATCGTTGCAAGCATCATACTAGCTCGTGAGGATGTAGTTCTCTAATCATTTCTCTGCAATAGGTACGTTGCTAGATATATCTAATTCTGGCACTAACTGGTCTACTAGCAGTGTGGTATGTCACGAACGTAAGATGACACTGTTGAGTGACTTAATTGACGTCACAACAAGGATCTGCCAGGCTCAGGTGCGCCAGATAGGTACTGCAGATCGCAGGATATGGCACAAGCTAAGAATAGTAAATATAGTAGAAACATTTTATTGACATGACGTCCCAAAAAGCGTAAGACAGGAGAAAAGTTTGGAAGAGTCTTTTCAGCAGTTATTATAAGGAAAGGTTGTTGTAGTACATCAATTTGCCGGTTTGTTTTTTCTTTCATGGAGAGTAGAATTTTTATCATTTTTTATATCTTGTTGGGGTATATGAACTTTGGGAGGAAATAAGGAGGATATACGCGCTTAGAAGAATAATATAGTTCATTGGAGTAGTTTGACGAGACCATCAATTCTGTAATACTTTGCCTACGTAGAATCGATGAGTACATGGTGTTGTTTTCTCACTAACTTTGTAAAATCAATACTTACTTCTTGCAACAGCTCGTGACGACTATATGTAGTACATGGTTGGTTTCGAGTAAGAAAAAAAAGAGTTAGGTAAGTATTTTTAGTTATTACTGGGTCAAATCTTGTGCTTAAAAACAAGCAGACATGAGGAGGATGCACATACATAGATTTGTCTTGACTGACTGCTGCTGGAATCTATATGTAGTTAGATCACAGACTCAAGTTAATGTTTATGTGATTCTTGGAAATGATCTCCAAACAGAGTTATTACTTACTCTGAGATCTCTTAGATAGTTCAGTACTAATCGAAACCGTAACGGATCTCGGTCGATGAAATATGAGCCGTCGTGTTCAGGTTCGAGGGCATGACGGCCGGAAAACATGGTGGCTAGTAAGCTTGATTCTTCTCTCCGCAGTGTGCTCAAGGATGTCTGATATGACAGAATGTCACTCAAAATGTCGCTTTTGTTAATGCGTCGAACAGAAACAGTGATTACCTCAAAGATAGTACCGCCTACGTTTAGCTTGACTTTTTCGGTAAGAAACGTCGCTTTGTCTAAAAGGTTTACCCAACAATCGGGTGAGTGTTGCTATTCTGTGGGATGGATGGATGTGTGTGTGTGTGCGAGTGTGTGTGTGTGTTACCATTCCCGGCGCTGGCCGCGGCTTCAAACTCGGCTTTAGTCTTATCAATTCGGTTACGTTTCTGCACAAGGCCCTTGCACAGTTCCTTGTAATCAGTGGCAAGACGATTATGGAAACTGTCTTTTGCATGCTCGTAGTTCTTTTCGAGCAGCCGCAACTTTTCCATGGTGTGTTCGATATCTTTGAAAATGTCTATGGGAAAAAAAAGGGGGAGGGGAAACTTGTGAGCGTGCATGGGCCTTTGTTTTGAGTCACCGGGTTTTGCCTCTTATTGAACACTTCATATGCCATACCTTGCTTTTTGGATTGGTAGCTCTCGTGCAGCAGCTTGTATTCCGGCTGATAGTCTAGCAGCATCAACAGCCATTTGGTAATAAAACAGGGCTTAGTTTCCTTCTTCTTCTTCTTCTTTAGTTCTCTGTGTCATCCTGAAGCCCAACTTTACCGTCCCAAACGCTGCCCCATGCACTGTTATTGTTTAGGCTCGACAGCGCGCTCCGGGTAGTTGTTTGATACTCCTCCTTTGTTGTACTAGGCGTCACTACGCTATTATTCTCTTCATCGTCAGCGTCATCTTCATCGTCGTCGTCGTCCTCATCCTCATTAGCTTGGTGCCCGTGATAAGTAAATTTCAACTCGTCAAAGCTCCGGTACCGTGCGGTTTTGCCCGACGAGGATAGAGGCGAAGACAGCGAGGACGACGATTCAGTCGATTCGTAAATCTCATTATAAAGTGGTGTCTGCGGCTCGACCGCTCTTGTTGTTGTCGTCGTAGTGGTGGTGGTGGTGGCGGCGATGTTGTTATTGTTAGTGGCGGCATAGTTATCTTGAAAATTCATGGCTCCTGGCCGGATGCCTGGCCCACGGTCGTCTTGAAAACGTACACCGGGAGGACCATGGCTCTCCTCCTGGGCCTGGCTCTCTTGGTACCGTTGTATCATCTGTCGAATATATCTATTCTGTGCGCCACCGCACTCTTCCAGGCCAACGTCGGCTAGCGCGCGAGGCGGCTGCTCGGGAGATCGGTGTGTAGGAGAGTGTGGATCGTTGGTTGTCCTCCAGTATTCAGCCCGGTCCATACACGCTAGATACAGTGCGCTGGATGCGTGTGTGTGTGTGGAGGGGGTGCTGTGTGCAAGAGAAAGTGTGAGAGTGAGAGTGAAAGAGAGAGAGAGAGAGAGAGAGAAGAGAAAACAAAAACAAAAGCAGGTTCCCGTATTAAGTATCTGGGCCTATCTCACGCACTTTTTTGTGTGATGCACTCGAATTCGGGTCTGTGATCTAAGCATATGATCACCCGTGGTAACACGTCCAGTAAGTTGTTATTATTATTGGTATATACAGACTTTACATTTGCTTGAGAATAAACCATCATAGAAAAAGTATTAAAAGCTCTTTTACAAGTGCGAGCCTATACACACAAAAGAAGAAGAAGAAGAAGAAATTGCATATCGATGTGATGATGGTGATATTAAGTGTTGTTATTGTTCCTGTTCTGCCTTCCTGCCAGCGACCACTGGACTGTCGTCACCGTAGGCGCAGGTCGTCTTGTCTGCGTCGAGATCTGTAATAAGCGTGCGTACGAATGCCTGCTCGTACTTTGAGTTCTCAAACACCGTCGTTAACGATTCAGACGGACAGCGCAAGAAATTGGGAGCGTACACCATGGCCAGGTTATGCACGTTCATCCGCGTGTGCTTGATCACATCCCCTTGAGTGAATTCCTAATGTCAAATGATCAGTAAACGAATATCCATAAACAGAGCATGCTTTTCCTTTTGCTTATAGTGTCTCATTTTCTCTTACCTGCACGAAAGCAATCATGTACATGATGATACGTCGGTTCACTTCGGGGAGCGAGTTGACAATAGTAATGGCCTGGTCGGGATCTTCCGAGCATCGAATGCACCTGTCATAGTACTCGGATGTAATCAGGGGTTCTTCCAGATCGCGTAACCAGTATTTTAAAAGCGATGCAGGCACGTTTGGATCCGTGATGCCTGTTGCATCATACTTGCCGTTCTCAATGCGGATGCGCTAAGAATATATCAATAATTAAAAGAGTTACTTCTCACTCTTCATCACCCGGTTGGATCTCTCTGAACTGTGTTTACTAGATCGAGCACTTACCAGATCAGTCACTTCTTCCGCGTCACCAGGAACACGGAAAATGCCTTCCGATTGCTGGCCCTTCATTTGAAGCACAGCGTCAGCAAGGAAAGGCACAATCTTGGGTATCTTGAGACCATCATCACCACCGCAGTGACCGGGCAAATTGACAATCATGCCCAGAGACTCCCCAAAAATTGAAGGTTTAAAGGGTGCCTCCTGCAGAATAGCCCATACACATAAGAAGAAACGAGTTGTCAGTTATTGAAGGGGAGAGTAAAAGGAAAAGGGAGCAAGGAGAGAGAAGGTGTATTCTTCTCTCTCTCCTTGTAGACTTGTACCTTTGCGCGCTCAATCTCAGCAGCCGTCAACACCTTGCCTTTGGCGCCCCGCGCACAAATCCGCTTCAATCGTGTCGACACATACTCGCTCATCACATCTACTTGGTTGGTCGAGGTGTGTTGGCTTTGTTCCACAAAGTCGGTCAAGTAGGATTCGAGGTTCTTGGAGGGTGGGAACGTAACGCTAATCACGCACAAGATCTCCCAACCTTTTTTGATGCTTTTGCTATAAATATTGACATGTGTAGAAATGAGTCAAGGCACAAGATAAAGAAGTAGAGCGGAAAAATCAACTCCGTCTTTAACAAAGAATATGTGTGTATTCATCCCCATGAAATAGAGACTTACTTGGTGGGGTTATTATGCAACTGCTTGCAGACCTGAACGTAGATCTCATCCCGCATTTGACCCTTGCTAATACCGCAGCCCAGGAGCATGTGATACTCCTCAATCTCGTTTGACTGTCGGGAACGTGGCCGGTCGCCCATGATTGCTTGAACGAGCTTGAAGCATTTCAGCGCATCCTTGTAAAGATCCTTGTTGAGCATGATCAACGGCTGCTTGATCGAGTCCTTTGTCCACTGAAGCATTTCGTTCATTGGCACCCGGCGCCGAAAGATCAATCCACGTTTATGCGTGGCAAAGTACTTTTTGGCGAATCCATCAATAGCGAACTGATTAATTTCTTGTTTTAAGTTTGTAGGCAGAGCAGGTCTAATAAAACAGAGAGGGCAGATTAGGGAGATAGCTCGTGGGGTGAAGAGACGCACTGTGATGCAATGCCTTACTTTTCATCGGTCTGAGCCAGCGGACCTGTAGGAAACTCAACGACGCTATGGTTTTTTATCGGACTCATTGCATCAGCAGCGTCTAAAGTAACAACAGCCATTCGTCTAATGTGAGCACGTTTCCTGACTGTATGACTGAGTGGAGAGCGCTGTAGCATTTGATCATTAACTAAGCGTACCTGGATTGTTGACGGGTGTGCTGACTGCAACTGAGTTGCGTGGTGACGACTGTGAGCGAGTGACGAAGCTTTTCCATGGAGATGATGAAGAGTGTTTGCTGCGAAAGCCTGATAATGCCGAAAAGTTGGATAATCGTCGAGAGCGTCCTGACATATCATCAGACTAGAGCACAGTAAAATAATGATAAGCTTTTCACCTTCCTCTTTTCCAACATGGACATACGCTTTTCATTTAGAGGCAGTAAACGTACCAGGCTTTGTTTTCGAGACCATCTGAACCCGAACAAGCCCATCGAGCTACCCGATAAGGCAGCCGACAGGGAGTCCTGCGATTCTTCTCTTGTGCATAACGATGATGCAGAATCGTTAGGTTGTCGAATGATACTTGCACCATCTGATGTCGAGCGAACATGATGAACCATAAGTTGAGGTGGAGACCGCATAGATGGTAAGTCGAGCGATCGGCTGTTGCGTTTTGTTGTTGTTGAGGGACCAGCCTCAAGCATATTCGGTGTAGCGAGTGTAAGATCGACCGTTGACTACAAAAGATCAAGGTCTGCTTTAGTATATTATGCATATATTGAGAAAACATCGTAGACTATCATTACTTCTTGTTGTATCTTGATAAGAGATATCACTGGTTTCTCAGCCGGCTGAGTCCAGTGGGTTTGGCCCGAGAGCGTATGGTAATAATAAGGTATCTGGTTTTTATCATCCCATAGCTCCCACCATTCACCTTCTGGGTCGAATGGTTTTCTATCATACAACAACAAAAGCGTGAGTACAATGCCCAAATCATGAGGCTCGATGCAAGTGGAGAAAAGGAAAGTGAAATGCTCACATTGTTCCTGATTCGGGTTTATCTGTCAGACACTCGCCCGTATCCTAGGGGAAAGAAGAAGAGCATAGACTGTGAATGAGTTGAATCGTAAGACGAGTGTGACAAAAAAAAACTGACAAGAGCAGATACTGTACAGGATTCGCAAAGAATGTGCGGTTGGTACCGGGATCGACAACCTGAACCCAATCGTAGGCTGTGATCGTCATGCCAACGTTAGCGTGTGAGTGTACGGGATGGAGGAAAGTGTGGTGGTTTAAGGGAAGGAAGAGGGAAGGAAGAAAGGAAGAAAAGGAAGGAAGGAAGGAAGGAAGGGAAGGAGCAAGTAGAGAAAAAGACTGAAAAAGGAGGGAAAAAGAAGGTTATGTCGAGGGCAATGAATGGCAGCAGCAGCAGCTTACAACACTCTCACTCACACCCTAATTTACCACAGCCAGAATGGTATGACTTTTGCTGGTAATTGTTTCGATAGACCTTCGTTGCACACGCGCTAAGGTCCAATTTGCTAAACTAGGGATAGATTGGTTGCCAGTGTGTACGACATGGAGTCTGCTTTGTCCACAACAAGCTCTCATCTCATGAAACAAATACGCTATTTGTTTGCCATACCTGGTCGATCTCAACTGGAGCGCTCCAACATGCTGCTCTCGTCTGACGACTGTCCTGTATGCGAAAATGCACTCAGATTTGTGCAGCTCATGTTGTTAGTAGGTTGTCCTTTTGTTTACGTTCTAAAACACAGGGAAAAATAAAGGCAAAGCACTTAGCTCAATCACCATTCAAGTTCCGGTGTAAGCGATGCAGGTGTCGTACACATAGCATTTACACACATGAACTTTTTATCCCGCTTGATCTGTTGTCTCTACTAATTGCCATCCTATCAGAGGATCACAAGTAAGGCTCATATGTACACTTGCTCAGAATCCATCTTAGCCATGCGCGTATAACTTTCCTGCTACTAGCCGCGCACTATGTGGTTATTGTTGCGAAACAGGCTTTTGAGTTTATCTTCTTTTCTCTTTGAGCAAAACAAGCCTGTGTCACAACGCTAATCTTATTTACGCTTGAAACTCAACCACTTGGAACAAAAGATTTTTGATCGCAGACGCTGTCTGTGCGAAATCCATCATGATATCATCAAAAGAAGCTCCACTTTTTCTTCGTCGTCTTAAAATTGCTTTCCGCATATTAATTCAATGGAAAGCGCAAATTGGATATTAACTTTAGCATGTTTTTTGAAAACATCGGTTCCCGTCAAAAGCACATCTTATTCTTGCCTCTACTCTTACTCTCTCTCTCACATGGACATTGTCTTACCTATTTTGTGTTGGGCTGCGACTGCTTCGTTTAGCGGCCTGCCCCAAGGTTTCCCAGCTCTTCTCCGAACCAATACCCCATTCCTATCTCATGACCATCCACTTAACCCTTGATGTCTAGTATGCCGAATTTCGCCACATTGGTGAGACGAATGCAGAAGGGCGATCGATGCATTATTTTGAACGAATAGGAGCAGGTTGAAACATGTCCCGATAGTGCCGGCTGGCTACACACAGGTCAACAATGCATCTTCTCCTACTTTTCTCGCATAGCATCGTATCAGCTGTTATATAAATGGGGAAAACTTTTGTGATCTTCCAATACAATCTGCTGAGCGGAAGCACTTATTTTAGGAAAAGTAACAGCGGATATGTATAGGCTGCGTAGATAGTATTAGTATCATAGACCCTTCTATTTCAATTAGTCCATCTTCGCACAGCTGAATATCAAGATCCATTGTCAATTTGATGACAACAAACAGAGAATAAACAATTTACTGTTAACAGGGCAAGGTGTATTACTGAGCTGCCAATGTGATACGCCTTTACTCAGTTACTTTAACAGCAAACCGCCCCAAAAGCATCTAGCCGAGCACTTACGTATCACCCATTGCAGTGTAATAGACATGGTGAAAGCCTCATCAAATTATGACGACTCTCCTCTGATAAGAGACCCGTGACCTTTATTGCTGCTGCAAAAATTTATGCATGCTGTACTCCGAGTAACATTCTCTGGAAACACTTAGCTTTGTTCAACAGTGTCGAAAGAATAGGAAGTTTTACGAGTCAGGAATTGACGATTAACTGTTTCGTATATATTGATTGTTGCTGTTATAGCAGTAATAGTAGTAAACATAAAGGTACAAGGTATACATGACAACTATAAGCAAGGAGAAGGAAAGAAAGATTACGTTTTAGTTTGTACATCTGGGTTCATTTGCAGTCTGAAGATGCTTTGATAATTGGCCTGATCCGCGCGAACAATGCATCCTTCAATAACGAGCGGCTCTCCTGTGTTTCCATTGCCATTGTAATACGTAAGACGACAGTCGTTGCCTGGTATCATTTGAACAAGATCACCCTGAATTTTGATTTGTAAGAGTTAGATGCTTTGTTCTTTGATGACTTTTAATGAAAAAATGGTGTGCTTACCGTTTCAACATGGCGAATTTCGATAAAGCGCTGGTCGAAAGCAAGCACATATGGATGCTGGTACACAATATTGTCAGGATGGCTTTCAAATTCGCACAATAGCTCCGATCTGTTGTTTGCATAAAACAGTCTTGGGTTAAAACAAACGTTGCATATATTACATACGAGTTAATTTGATATAGCACTTACGTTTCATCGCGTGGAACGAGTTGTTGGTTACGGTTATTGACGTAGAATGCAAACTTGTTGTAGCACATCAGGAACTTCCCTTGCACACGATACATGGCCAGTGGTCTAAGGCCATCTCTTCGCTTTTCCAAGAAATCGAACTGAGGATCCTGTTCGTCAGGGATTGTGTGTCCATCTACTAGGTCTTCTGGATCAATGATTTCAAACGCCCGTTCGCACACCACTGCAAATTTGGATTTCAAAAAGTGAATATTGGTTGCGCGAGCACCCACCGAGAATTCCTAAATGCGATTAATTAGCTTTTTGTCCATTTTGGCTACAACGAAGAAAAAAGAATAATTTACTCTGTAGGTAGAGAACCACGAGCTCTTGCTTCCATGGGTGCTGAAAAGCGATCTATGCGATCGCAGATAGCCTCTACTGGTGCTGGACGCATTTGGATCGCGAGCAGGTTTGCAAGCAGTGAAAATGGTCGAAACCGTCTTTTGTCTTGCATATACTAGCATGTCCTCGCCGTTGCACACACCGACTTGGAAAAAGTGCACCGGGTCACTGATTACGTGCTTGAAATGATCCGGTGCTTTGATATTCTTTGGATCATCCAGCACATCCAAAGGATAGGCATGAAGCTCCTTGTCTGTTGTGTCACATTAAACATATGGTTCTAACGTTAGAATAAAGGAGAGGATCCTTCCCATGCCCTTCCTTCCTCTTTTCTTTTTTCTCATACCAGCCAGTACAAGCAAGATTTGGTATTTTTGCATGACTCCCACTTGCATAACGTTCTTCAGTGAAAGGATAGTTCGAGGACGGCCTCCGCCAACCGTCTTAAAGTAAACACCCGCTGTTGTACCAATTGCTACTTTTTGAGAGCCTTTTGCAGAAACTATTGAACATAGTAAGCATTGTCAGGCAAGCAATCGTTACTAGTGCTTTTTAAACGTCACACAACTTACCAAATGGCACAGAACAGGTAACCTTGCCAGGACCTTCGGTCGTAGTCACTGCTTCATATTCGCGTCGGAAAAATGAAGAATCGATGTTGATTGGACCGAAAGCATCCACCTGACCCTTCAAGTTCTCCTTGGCGAGTCTTACAGCCGAGAGCCACTCTTTCTTTTCTTCTGGATTGCTGCACAAGAGATAATAGGTCCCTCCATGTCGACCCGGATGAACCAGTGTCAAGGACAGCGACGGGATCTGACCACGCGTGGTAGTTTGCGAACGAATCGAGGTATATGTGCTATGCATTGTGCTTGTACGCGACGAGAGCAATGAAGGCAAGGTGAATTCGTTGGTGACGCCTTGGATATAGAGCATCTGAAGGGGAATCGGTTGTCGCCAGATCTTGTACTCTGTGTTCTCGCTTGTTTTGCGTGCCTTGGTCAACAGGACAAGATGGTCAAGCACGACGACGTGGATATATTTTTCGCTGACTTCGAGTGTCGAGTTATCGCGCTTGAGATCACCACGGAAATAGATTTTACGCTGTGGATCGGTGAGTTTGAGATCATAAAACTCGCCCTGTCGACAGGTCAGTGCGCTGTTCAGGGTCAAAATCTCAACACGGTTCTTGACGTTGACAGACAGCTGGTCGCACAGTGCTGCCACACCGCCAATTATCTCTTTACATTTCTGTAGCGTCTCATAATCCTCATGATCCTCGTCCGTCTTTTTGATAATGGCCGAGAGCAGCAAGGGATAACGCTGCAAACGCATCACCGGACGAAGCAAAAAGTGGCGGAAGGTCTGTCTGTTCAGCTGTGGATTGGACTGAAGCGACTGCAGAAATTGACTGAATCTGTCGTTGGAACGTCGAGAAAGGGCGACAATGTATTCTGCTAGGTGGACATTGGGTACATAGCGTGCATACGGCTCGGTGAATCGTTCGAAATGTTTCAGCAAAATATCAGCGATGCCAGGCATACACTCCTGGTCGTACTCTTGCTGACGTTCATAAAGATCTTCGAATAGATCTGAGCTGACCTTCTCCACTTCTTGATAGTTGTTGAAGACGTCTCTTGCAAATAGTGGCCACATGTCGGGCTCAATTGCATCGGATTCACTAAGAGGACCAACAATAGCCTTCAAACCCCAGCAATTAGAAGCTTGCCATATATGTTATCATTTGGGCTTAACAATCCTGTATGTACCTCATGCAGTATCTCTAGGTCCTTCAAATATTGCTCTTCACCGTATATCACTTCGTTCATGGCTTCCTGACGATCACGTTCCCGCGGCTCTACCGATTCATGGAACTCTGGAGAAACACGCATTCCCCAATTTTCTGTTGTACGCATCTAATGATCCCACCGTCAATTATTTTTTCCCTTTTCCACAAATGCCACCTCCTTCCAAATAAATAACACTGTTAGCACGTACTCCTTCTGTGTAGATGATCGAGGATCGCATGGATGCACTTCGTCCCAAAGATTCTTGTGCCTGTTTTTCTCGAAATGAGTTAACACATCGCAAATATATAACAAGCAACTAAACAATTCTTTCACTACCTCTACATCTTTTTCGTAAACTGTAGGTTTGTTTGGACAGCGGGGTGCATAACAGCCACCGTAACCAGGTTCACAGCCATGGACATAACATTTTGCAATACCAGTGAAGACACCAACTGGTGTGACCGATCGTAAACGGTAAGTCTCATCAGGTGAGTCGTACACTACACGGCGATACGATGACTTTTGTGAGGCCTCCGTCACTGCCTCTAATAGACCTGCAGGCTTGCATTGCATCATGGCATTGAGCACTTTGAGACAGTGCTCACGAGGATACTGTCCACCCAAGAGCTCGAATACGGTATCCTATGTGCGAAACAAAAGTTAGAAATAATTGTAAGATTCTTTAACGAGGAAGACCAAAGCTACGTACCACTGCTTCAAAACCAGTAAATGCATCTCGATACTCCGTTGAGCAACTGAGTTCTCTCAAACTCACAACCTCCTTCATCTTCATTGCAAATGCTTTGGACAACACTGACAATAGTGCAGGGTCTGTCGATCCTTCTGCAGGCACCGTTTCTTCTTGAGCCGACTCGCTTGGAATGGAAGCAGGAGCGGTGGCGGCGGCAGGAGCAGCAACAGATGGAGCGGGTGGCAATGGTTTGCTTGAGAGGTAATCTTCCTCCTCTTTAACATCTTCCTGCTCGATATCTGACTCGTCACTCGAATCATCAGAGTCTGCATGATGCTTCGAACTATCAGCACGATGGAGTGACTTTCGCATTGATTCGCGGTGGTGAGCATCAGCGGCCCGTGCAGTTGAGGGTTGCACTGTAGATGGACGGTATGTGCTGATAAAGTCCTGGGCTGGCGGCTTCATGTAATCGAGAGGTGGATACGGAGCAGCCTGATGGTAAGTCTGCGTTCGAGTCCAGCGTTCAGGTGCAGGCATACGGAATGCGAAAGCGGTAGCTGCTCTTTGAGGAAACATGTTTTCCTGATGTAACGGCACACGAGGTGGCAGTGGAGGATACGGCTGTTGCTGCTGGTGTTGATGCGGTGGAGGATAAGGTGCCAATGATTCCTTTTGGTGTAGAGGAGGATACGGCGGATTGGACTCGAGAGGGTATGGAGGTGGCTGGTCTGGGTGCATTGGTGGATACGGTGATGCTGGTTCCGGCGGTTGCTGATGCACTGGCGGGTACGGAGATGGAGGCTCGTGCTGATGCATAGGTAGATAGGGCGATGTTGGTTCCTGATGCAGAGGCGGGTATGGTGATTGCGGTTCCTGTTGCATTGGAGGATACGGAGAGTGCGGTTCCAAGTGGACCGGTGGGTACGGTGATGTTGGTTCCTGCGGTTGTGCTGGAGGATACTTTGGACTACTGTGCTCGGGTTGAGGCGGGGAATGATACGGCCCTGGCGGTTGAGAACGTGGCGGATAAGGCGATGGATATCCTTGCGAAGAAGGAGGGCCCCCACTAGGAGGACCACCCATGGGTGGATACGCTCCCATCGATTGAGGTGGGTAGGGTGGATACGCTGGTTGCGGAGGAGGAAACGCTTGAGGCATTGGCATAGCCATGTGCTGTGGCTGGCGAGATTGAGAATATTTCCACTGTTCAGGATGGGGCTGATGATGGTGAAGGGGTGGTGGCGGTTGATGTGGTCTGGGCATTGGTGGAGGCGGATATCCACCCGTGCTTCCTCCAGAGTAGCTGCGAGTATGCTGATGATTTATGGGCATTGGCATATCGAGCCCATCGCTGTTCCTTTCAAAGCCCTGATAATACTGCTAGAAAGAACGGGTTGCTTAGTTTTCATATTTCACATGTGACCCAGCATAAGGTTGCCTTGGCATAGTGCTGAACTTACGTTTCCAGTTTCCGGAGGGGTGATTTGAGCTGGTGTGGCATGAGGACTGCTATGGTTGGAATGGGTAAATCCATTCGCTTCAGGCACACCGTCATTACGGTTTAACCCACGGTCAGGCGGTTCTTGGTAATCTGCCATCGTTGAGCTCAAATTTCTTTCTTTGACGCAGAGTTTATGCAATGGATGCTTGAGAGTTTCGATCGAGTAATATAAATGGCAAGAAGAGATTTAATGAAATTCAGTTTTCGTTTAGTTGGTTATGGTTGCTGACAATTTAATTTCGAGATTTTCCAAGGTGCTGCATTACTTTTTGTTTCCCACTAAACAGACCACCCGAGGTTTCTTTATCTTGAGCCACGAAAGTGTAAACGCAAAACGCGCCGAGAGAAAGAAAAATGGAAAAAGAGAAATATGAAAGAGCTTATTCGTCGACTTCCTACAGTCCCGAAATATTTTTTGTGCGTCATGCGCGACTGTCCTAACAGCAAAGGCACTTGGTGTACACTGCACGGCGAGGCGCAGTTTTCTAATAGATCTACAAGGCTCAAGCTGAGTATCTCCCGATAGGAATTGCTAGTTACGAATGTGTCCTTCATATTGTCTTTTAGTTATCAACCATGCTTTGAAACATGGCACAAATTAAATATTTCATATATCGATCAAAGTGTATTAATATACAGTATTATAGTACCACATGCAAGCAAAGGGAACATATTATCCAGTCACCTTTCCAATCAGTTTGGAGTACGGCTGCCTGGTCACGCAGAAGTTCCCTCGCCATTGCCCCGTACTTTATAGTATGGGTAACATGAACAACTATCTTTATAGTTACAGCCAATCTTATTCGCGCCTTACGATGAAATGCACTCGGGATAATTTCCATTTTACGTAGAGCCAACTACTGGGAAGTAAGAATCAGGCACGCTTACTGATACATTATGTAATCAATCGCGAGCTACTGGGTCCTTTAATATGAAGCAGTAGATATTTGTTACAGCTTGTACACACAAGTCAAATATTATTAGCAACCGGTCCTTTTACAAGACTGGTATACGACTCCTAACTTTCTTTTACAAAACTGCATAAGTTTGTTATTATTATGCCATAGTACAAACACCATGATCGATCGACTATAAGCACATTGAGAATCATTGTGTATGACCAGCAATTTTTCATCTTATGGGTGACATGATTAGATCAATACTTTATACACACGGTAACGCAAAAAGATTAGAATTGTTTAGGTTACGTTGAGCACCCTCTTGTACATACATTTCTTTCAGTATCGCAGCATCGGGCATGATGAATTTGTTTCAACCCTTGCTCTTCTATACGACTTTTTATAGTGAGTGTCAGTGACAGACTTTCGCCATTTTATTCGCCAATTCCAAAACAGAATCAAACAGTGTAACGGTGCACCGAACACGCAGGCGTCGCAAATTTGTAGATATTGTCATCGATGAGCTTGCAACTATTGACATACCATATCAAGCCCTACTAAGTTTTATGATTTTATTAGTTTCAAGTGTATCATGTCATCCAAATGTTACTTAGTACCATGCAGATATGTGTTCATCTATTACCGTTTGATAAGGGAAGGCATAACCAATATCTGGAACATTAATTTTATGACATAATATCTTTATGAACAAAACCAAATAAGCAATCTAAATCAGGTCCAATCCAGGCAAAGAAGTATTTAGTTCATGCGAGTGTTGTGGCTTTATTTGTATAAGCCAAGAAAAGGGATTGTGAGTATGATATGTGGTTGCTCAATACAGTCTTTAAGCGTGACCTCGACAGATGTGTGTACATATATGTTTGTACTGGCGACATGACGATGCAAAGACATAGCAGGAGGGCATTCAAAAAACCTTGGTGCCTGCTTCCCAATACTTTCATCGCATACCACGAATATGATGAAAGGGATTTACCAGTAATGAAGCAAGTCTTCCTGTGTATGCTGCTAACGGGATGCGGAATGTATCGTTGCGACGGGCAAAAGAAACATTTACGTGGTTGCTATATTATAGTAGTGTTTATATGAGTTAGAGGAAGGAAAGAAGAGAAATTGCCATGTGCGAACTAGTCTACGAACTAAATCAATTAACGGATGCTCAATGAGCCTATGCATACCGAGAACAAGTTCGTAAAGGGGTGCACTCAACTATTCTTATCATATCTATTATGCTGTAGGTAGCGATGCTCTATGATAGTCATAGGTTTGCGTAATCATGAATTTCACAGCGCAGAAAAGAATCCATACGTGTATCGATCAGAAAGAGTGATATGTGTAAAGTTAAAATGCGTATAATAGATAATAAGGAGCTATTTGCGGAACAAAATTTGATCCATAAGCGTAATACAGCTACGATAAGCATTTTTACCCAAAATTGCTCAGTAACATTAACAGTAAGATTTGCTTGCTAGATTATGGCCACGCACAAAAACATTGATGATGAAAAAGATTAATTAGCATTCATAGTTTTTCTTTCTTTGGGTTGCGCACGTAAAAAAGTAAGCAATTGTGGCGCATTACATAATTTGTATAGTGGACATTTGAAAACCCTATTTGAATTATCAGAGAAGATTGACCGTACTGGGATTTCCAGAAACTAGTTGCTTGTGTCAAAAAATATGTTTCTCGGGAAGGATGCGAGCAGTATGCACTTGCTACTAGAAGACCAAGCTCAAAGTTGTATTGATGAATAAAGATGCATCAAGGAAGGGCAGGTGTTGGCAGTTTTTGCGCCACACAAACCGAACATTTTATACATATTTGAGTAGTAGACCTTGCCATTTATCATTACACCAAGATTGACAGCCATGGCGTTGATGTTGCAAAGTCGTGATTAGTATTTATAGTATCTTCATCTCATGCAAATTCGAAGGAATTTTGTTGATGTCTTATTCATGACTCATATCATACGAAATATATTACTGATGATGATCTTAGTAAACGTCTAACAATGAACCGAATTCTGTTGTAAGTAGGGTATCTTACCTACGATAGTGAAAGGAAATGCCTGAAACCGATGAGATGAATGCAGTGTGGGGCGGACGGTACGGTCCGTTCGGTACATGCATGATATAGCTTGTATATGACTGGTACACCTTCATATCTGAGAAAGATGGAAAAAGTTCCGCTACGACAACAATAAGTTCTTTCATAATTCTGTGCACTGTAAATAAGGAAGGTGGGACAAAGTATTCTTTTTGACCCGTTTGTTCGGGCCACTAGAGGAGGGTGTTTTGCTCTATGATACAAGGTTACTTGCCCGACAAACCTCACTTCGCCTAAACTTTACCTGTGGGGAAGATCGAGTTTAACAATTGAAAGAACGCTCGATCCGTTATGCCCGGCACATGTCAGCAACGTGTAAATCATGACACTGCCTTGGTAACATCTTCATGCACTACTATATGCTTGCCCTTGTACTCTATTGCTTCAGCCGTTCTCAATGTCGTACAAACGTGTGTCAGCATCTTTTTTTTATTTCTGCAGATCTTGGTTCTATCTTCCAGCTATGACGGCATCATCGAAATTGGGTATGAAGTGGATGATGTACATAACCATAACAATGCTGCAATGGCCTTCTACATGAGAACATGCGGTAGAGAGAAAAAGGGAGGGGCAGCAGAGCGAGAATGAAAAGGTTCCAGACTTGCGAAAGATGCCAATAGAGATTCTTGAAAGGATACAAAGGCACATCATTGTGCATATGAGCAATGTTTTTGCAAGTGTAATCCGCATCAAACCATGATCACGATATTACCCGGCTGCATCGACTCCGATTTCGTTTCTGTGGTTTTTAAGATGTTGTGAGGGCAGCTAAAAAGTTTATTTTTCTGCTGTTACTCGATAGCGTCCCATATGATATGTCTTTGCTCTCTGAAAAGGGAAAAGGGCATCATACTTTTAGTACAGATCATATGCAAGGTACTGTAACTTTTTTTATTTTCTTCTGCTATATGAAAAGTAGCCAGGCCAAATCAAAATCTTCTGTATGGGCGGAGCTTACGGAAAAAACATTTACGGGTGAGTTCCCTAATTAGAGTTATTTCTCCGATTGGGAAGGAAGAGAGAGATTGGAGCTCAGGGCAAGAACGATGAGGCAAACGAACAGGGATGAAGGCGATGATGCGTTTCTGAAGAAACAAGGGGGTGTGGGGGGGTGAGAGAAGAGGAGAGAGCTTGTTATTATTACAGCAAGAAACACAAGGCGGCTCGGCCTATACGGATCACCGAAATTTCCCACGAATAAACTATGTCGCTGACGCAAAGTTACATTTCTTTGATGTGTGTTGCCCAGAAAGGCTTCCTGTCATCGTGTCTTTCCAATCAAGTCGTGTCTTGGTGCGTTGCGAGTTGCGAGCCCACTTGACAAATATAATATTCTCAGTTTTCTCAGCAGATCTTAATCGATAAATACAGCAGATTAGTATGCGATAACACTCCCCAGGAATGAAGCCCAGTTGGTGCGACTTCAAAAAGCGTTTCTTCTACCGAGACCCCCCCCTCCCTTCTGACTCTTGACAGTGCATTGTCGCTGTATGGATAATAGGCGCTGTATACATGGATGTTGTGTTCATTGATAAGGCATAAGATAGTTATCGCAGAGGCAGAGGCAGAGGCACAGGCAGAGGCAGAGGCAGAGACAAGACACCAATGGCGTCAATGCAAATAGGTCGGGTTGCTAGGAGGACCTAAAAAATTATGGTGTGTCATGGTATTAATGTCGCCCGCTCTCTCCTCAAGCCGTGTGTCACATGACTGGGGTAGCTTCCAGCAGCCGGAAACTCCGCATTGATTTGATTCGTGCCAGCCCGTCCTTCAGGCAACTTTACCTTTTCGATCAACCAAACGGGAACAAGGCCTTGTTTTTTTTTCTGTCTTTCATTTTACCACTCTCCATTCATACCAAAAGCAATGCATGATGGATCGCCCAGAAAAAAAGCGGCCTAGCTTACATTTAAACGACCTCGAGCAGCGACCGCCGTCGGAAAAGGAGATAAAGAACGCAGCACTGTCGCCTTCAACCCCTTCTGGAGTCGCTGCCTCGCTCTTGTCAGATTCACTCTTTCCTCCCAGAAAGCCCAAGACTACAGTGGACGACGAAACCCTCACGGCAAACAACAACGGCTCTGACGAAGAGGATGGTCTGGAAGGACGGAGCAAAAAGGATCCTTTAGCGACCCAAGTATGGCGATTGTACACCAAGGCAAAGGACACTCTTCCAAACGCTTCACGCATGGAGAATTTGACCTGGCGCATGATGGCCATGACGCTCAACAAAGCCAAATCCAAGTCGTCAACGCCATCAACACCAGCGACAGAAAAAACAGCCGACGATTTTGAGGATAGTAAAATGTTTGTCGATTCTGATTACAATTACAATAGCAACAACAACAACAACAACGACTACAACACTACGACTACCCCCGAACCATCATCAGCATCTGCGGCAGCCGCCTCACCACCTGCACCGGATGACACCACTGAACTGTTGTCGTCCTCTGCACCGCCGTATATGTTCGACTTTTTCAGCGGTGGACCTCCATTCCAAAAGTCAGGCGCCAGTCCAGTTGCCACTACACCTCGCCAGAGCAGACAATCACCGCATCTCCGCAACAAGAGCGTGTTTGTGTATGGTTCAGCTCGTGCTACATCCTCGTCTTCATGCGCAGCAACCCCATCCTCCCCTTCAATCGCGTCTCCGCACGTTGCAGAGCAAAGTGTATGTAGCTAGCTTCATGTCGTCGTCGCCTCTTTACACACTCGCATGGTCCCCCTTTTTTTTCTGGGGATTAGGGAAAAGAGAAAGCGCCCCCCTGTGATTTTTTGTCCATCTTCATGTAAGCTATTGCAGCAGCAGCAGCAGCTAACTTATCGAATTCATTACATATTTGTTGTTCATAGGTTGCAGAATCCAGCAGCTCGTATTTCCCTCAAGTCAATGGTTCGAACAGCATCACCATTCCCGTCGACATGCCTGTCGACTCGGATATGGAAGACAGTATCAGCAGCCATCACGAACCCGCCTCGCCACTCTCCATGTCGTCGCCATTCGCTGGATCGCTCGACGCGACAGGAGCATTCCTCAGTCATTCGTTACCGAACTATCACCACCCACACCAACAACAACAACAACAGCACCCTCACCATCACCAAATACCAGTGCACGGTCAGAATGGCGGCAATGCGGGCATGCTTCCACAGCACTTGAATTCCATGTCAACGACGACTGCCACGCAGGCGCGGCCTTCGTCTCTCTATATGAATCGTACTTCAGCGACTACACCGACTGCAACAGATACGGGAGCAACACCACCGTCATCATTTAGTCCGCGTCTTAGCGTGCCACAGGTCAATAACCCGGGCGCGATGAGCTTTGAGGAATTACTTTCCATGTACTACGCCGGAGGAGCAGGAGCAGGAGGAGGTGGCAGTCCAGCAGTGGACACACCACCTGCCACAAGTGCATCGTTTGACGGAAACATGCTATCATCACTGATGGCCAGCCAGGGCGCTGACGGCTCTTTGTCACACATTGATCCGAGCCAGCTTGTTTCTGGGAACGACAGTGCCACGAGCAGTAGTAGCAGTGGGCCATTCGGAATAGCTTCAGGTGAGCTTTATTTACTTTGATCTGTTTCATAGCGATGGGCGATGAGTGCGTGCGTATGATAATAAATTACTTATAAAAACAACAACAACAACAACAAAACGATGTTTATACGTAGCGCCACATCCATTACAATCTCCACCTGCATTATTGCCACAGACACCACCAGCATCTTCCAGCGATGTTCCGCAAACGCCCATCAAATCAGGTTCGCCCAAATTTGCGATCGCTTCCAAACCGTCGAGTGCGGGTAAGAGATCAGACGATGCTTCCAAAAAGGAAGGTGCACCTACAAGATGCACCAATTGTAGCACTTCGACAACACCATTATGGCGTCGTAATCCTGAGGGCCAGCCACTGTGTAACGCCTGTGGATTGTTCCTGAAACTTCACGGCGTTGTGCGGCCCTTGAGTCTCAAAACAGATGTCATCAAAAAGCGTAACCGAAGTGGAACCGCCAATACGCACGGTCGAGGTGTCAATGGACCTGGCAATGATGGCCGAGGTAGCGTGAGTGGAGGTAGCAGCGGCGCAGGCGGCACAAACAAGGGGAAGTCCACTTTCCTTCAGGCGAATTCATCGGGCACTTCAAGCGGAGGAGGCGGTATGACAGTGACAGCTGCAGCGGCAGCAGCACAAGGATCGACCATGGGAGTCATTGGGAAGCGGTCAAGTGGCACGGGGATGATCAACATTGCTCCAAACAGCAGCAGCAAGATGTCAGTGGTGGCAGGTCCCGCAAGTGGTGGAGGCTCCGGGTTACCGCCGAACGGCCGACCCATCGTTTTTGCAACACAGCGTATTGGTACCACCAAACGTCAGCGGCGGCATTCATTAAGTAACGATAGCAAAAAGAACGGTCTGCAACAACAGCAACAGCAACAAGATAAACAGCCACATGCGTCAGCAATCACGATATCCGGTTCAATGCCTAATCAATCCATGTCTGCCAGTGATGGTTTCCGGCACATGCTGCTACCACAGCAACAGCTGCCACGAAACATATTACCTAGCAACCAGCGACCACCACAGCACCCACCCTCGGCTGGCGTTCTACCCACAGTAGGTAGTGCTCCCAACCTGTCATGGATGGGCATGATGGGTGGCGAGTCACCTCGTTCGTTCAGCGGCAACTCTGCCTCCTTGGGATCCTTGTCACCCGATCAATTACAACGGCTACTCATACTTCAACAAGCTGCAGCAGCCGCAGCCGCATCCTCCCCGACCTCCACGACGCCCTCCTCTTCAGCCACGCTAGTATCATCATCCACCATTCCTACTACTACTACTACTCCTATAGACGATGTACATGTCATGGATCACGATCACTCACCTTCACAAAGCTGGTCCTGAAAAACGACCTTTTTTTCTTACCTCTCTTGTCTCTTATATTTTCCGTTACCCGAAGCTTTTTATTGTAATGTAACGTCTTTTCTTCCATCATACTTCCTAACAATTTACCCGCTTCGTTTTTCACTCTTTTAATCCACTGTATATGCTTTTTTCTTGCTTTCTTTTCCCTTTTTCTTCTCCTACCCAATCACTACTTTTCTTTGATGCATATGTTGTATACTTTTTTTGTATCTAGAATTGTGTGTTACTCAAAGGACCAACTTTTTAATGTACACATTGTTTCAATCTCGTCGAAAAAGTCGTTCGTCATATATATAGTTATTTACTTATCATCACTCTAAATGTCTCAGCATCATGCAACAAAGTGTGCGACTTCCAGGTCTTTGCACAGGTCATATTGCAGTACTGTACATCGTATACAAGTTGATTAATGAGCACCATGATGTAGAGAATCCAAAAACATGTGCTATATCGTCAATATCAAAGGTATTATGCTGTTAAGAGTTTTGTTGTATTCAGGTCTTCATTGAGTTGAAGACATTCTATCAAATTAATAGAGGCTGGCTCTCAAAGTCTCCTGATTCTCCTTTTAATATATAACAAAAAGCTCACTTGTATAAAGTGTAGGTGATCAAAGTTTAGTAAGTACAGTAGGCGATAACTTTGGCCCCGTCTTTATATTTCCTCTCATATGTCCCAGTATAAAGTAGAGCCAAAAGTGACTCCTTGACATTTATCATGGGAAATTATATACGTTATCGTCTTAGTGTCATTGAAGTTACTTGACAACTGACAACAAGTGGTTAATGTAGTTTCTCCTGATGCCTGTAAATAAATTCAACAGCATTTAGAAATATCTAAACACTTTGCCAGATATAAAACTTCACCCTAGCGCTTGAATTATATTTTAGTCTTCTGGCATAGTTTATACAGGTATCATTGTTTATTCGTATAAATCATGTTCATCGCGGTCGACAGTATTGCTACATTCTTTGTAACGGATAGCAATCCTTTTCTAATGTCATGATACGACGCGAACTGATCACACCTTTCACTGTAAGAAAAGCATTGACGTAAACAATAAACAGCCGTTATTAAAAGTACACACTGTGAGACTTGGTAACTTTTTGACTACTGTAAAGTTTCACGTCGTTGAGCATTAAAGTAAATATCAAGCACAGAAGTCAAACCAGCAGACGTGCTGCCGCTGATCAAGGCGCGCTTAGTAGTAGATCAAGGTTGTGCCAGCTACATCACCTCTTTCATGCAGCATATTTTGACCAAACTCGTTTATAAATCCTTTGAGTATCAAGCCATCGTAATGAATCTATGTCTTTGTATCATATCTTTTTGATTATTACGAGAATTATGTTTAAGAAAACGTGATTGAGGTAGTGACATACACGATCATCAACTCGCTTTATGTAGAATGTACACTTGGGATGGTGATTATTTTTGGATATCACAGGTGTTGCTGTCAAATACTGGTCGACCGGATCGCTGCTTTAACGTGCACAATAACCGGAGTTTAAGAGTCTGTGAGTTATGAAGGCAAGTAAAACGCCACGTTTAAAGCGCAAGTTGCTTTATATATTCGATCGCGCGTTCCCCTTCATCATGTTAGGGACGTGGATTCGAACCAAGCTAGCATCAAGACGATCCTCACCAAAGTATGATGCTGATCGAAAAGAAAAAATTATTCGAGTCGTCCAAACATACAATGTTCCATTGAGGTAATTTCACTTCACTCATCCAGTGCATCGAATCACTGCTCAACAAGACACTGACGATACTCATTTGCGGGGACACTATTTTACCTTGGAAAGCATATTGTTGTTCTTTGTTGGCATTGTATGGATCCTCCTTTTACCTTATGAGGGATTCAATAGGACGACGTACATTTCAGAAAACGCACTGTTACCCGGTCAGGTATTTAAACTTCTCGAGTTGTTCGTTGGTGGCGATATATATAATCTTTTATTATTAAAAAAAAAAGGAGTTCTCAGGAGTGAGACAGAAGAGAAATGGATTATAAGTCGCTGTTGTAGTTTAATTAATCGACAACTCTGATAGGTGAACGTATATTTTGGCTACAATGACATTCGTACAGCAGAAGACTATCGATACCAGCTTACGCACCAAGAACGCCAAGACAGCGAAGTGTAACTATAAATATCTATACACACCACGCATTGATGTTTCCAAACGAAGAAATGAATATGCATAACCATGCATTCCCGTTTTCTCTTTCTTGTATTATAGACGAGCAACCTATATCATGAACGAATTCCGAGGTTTAGGTTTTGATTCCGCATTACAGCGTTTCAACACATCTGATGATGGTATGGGCGTCAATGCATTTGCCGTATATCGAGCACCAAGAAGCGATGGGAAAGAAGCGTTGATTTTGAGTGCGCCCTGGCAATCTCGCACTGGTGACTGTAGGTATTCAAAAGGACAAGTATGAGGTGATGCATTAAGCATGTTCTACCCTCCCCCCTCTTTCCTCGGGAATAGCAATCAAAAATGGTATTTCGTTGCTTAAACTGTCTCCACCGTTACATATGCGCTTGTACTTAGATAATACCAACGGTATCGCAGCATTGCTATCGTTAGCCAAACTGTTCAAGCGTAAGCACATGCAGTAGTACATATTTATGTGCATCAAATGTAGTATGTGTGCTAAAAAAAAGGGTTACATGCTTTTGCTTTGCTTGTAAATGTTTTCCAGGAAACGTATATTGGTCCAAAGATATTATCCTATTAGTAACGGATAAGGGTATGGTAGGCACTCGATCTTGGGTGGATGCATACCACGGAACCGGGCCAGCCAGCTTCTCATCCCTAGTGATGCCACGATCCGGTGCTATCCAAGGCGTTGTCAATCTTGACTTTCCTGGAACCCAAGACTATGAAAATCTAGGAATCTTTTTTGGTAAGAGAAGGGAATAATTGGCATTTGACTTTTGGGGACCTTACGTTGACGATCGCCAACCGTGTATCTTAAGCAGCAACAAAACTTACGATTATTTTGATATTTTGCAAATATTTCATGGCTTAGAGGGCGTCAACGGACAGTTACCCAATCTTGATCTGATCAATACCATTGTTACTGTTTGTACCCGAACTGCACGCGTACCTCTTACGCTTCACGACGATTCAGCTCGTCCATTCAATGACAAACCTTGGGGACCCTATGTTCAATCACTTCTTCATATGACCCGCACAATGCAATACCAGGCGCTAGGACATCCATCGAGTGATGCAGGGCTCTACCTGAGGTAATGTAGCATCGGCGAATCGGTAAATGTGCGAGCGTGGGAGAAGCGTGGTTATACTTTTCACCCTGCTGATTTAATAAGCATAATAATGATTTAGGTACAAAATCGATGCAGTTACTGTTCATGGTGTTCGTGGCAGTGACAATCTCCATGCGTTGTTTGGATTTCACAAAATTGGAATGTAAGTTTACGATTACTCAAGCCAATATGCCGAATAGAGTCGATTGTCCGCTAGCACCCCTCCCTACCACTACTGTTCAAAAAGCTTAAACCTACACAATGTATACTCTGTACACTCACAAATACACATACACATGGCTGTTACATTTTTAGTATGCTAGAATCGACGTTCCGAAGCTTGAACAATCTTCTCGAGCATTTCCACCAGTCGTTCTTCTTTTACCTTTTGCTAAGGCCAAATCGTTATGTGTCGATAGGCGATTATATGCCACCCATCATTTTGTTTGCTTGCAGCCTGATTTTCCAAATATCCTTTTTTTATCGCACATATTTCCATACGATTATGGAGTTGCATGATCTGGCATCACCCGCATGGATATGTCACATTCCTTAACCGCTTCTATGTTTTCTTTCTTTTGATTACTCGCTCGCTCTGTATTATATTAGACCAAGTACGGCCCCAGGTAGCCCCGAAAAAAAGGCAGTAGCGTCTCATGCGGTAACGACTAACAGCAGCAGCAGCTCGAGAAGCGTGTCCTCTGCGCTTACGGTGATGATTGTAACACACTTGATGGGATTTGCGATTTTCTATATCATGCAGACAACATCACTACTGGGTTATACAGCAAACGACAGCGAGGTAGGACAGCATGACAGTGTGCTACAATAACCCCCTCACCCCCCAATTAAAATATTTTTTTTACTGATTTTTCTTTCTCTATGTGCGTGTGCGTGCGCGTGTGTACGTGCCCCTTCCTTTCTCACAACTTTGCCCCCTCCTCATAAAGGCACTGGTGGTGGTACAATTCGCATTGTCATGCTGTATTGCGGTGATCACTGTAATATGCACAATCTCCAGCCACCGTGGGGGTTCTCGCCATGCTACGGATACTCCTAATAATGGACGCACATTAAAATCATTCTGTTTGGCATTCAGTGGTTTGGTGATATCCACGGTCTCGCTCCTGAACTTTAGCTTGGCTGTGGTGACAGCCGTGCTGATCGTGTTGCCATACACCTTTATTCGATCATCGTCGTCCTGGATCGCCAGAGTACTACAATGCGTCATTTTAACTCTTATATCACCTCCTGGTCTTGCTGCGCTAGCAGTGGCAGTGGGGGGACTGCCGCTTTCAAAATTACTCTCAATGCTTATTGAGGATTATCAAGTAGTAGGCTCATGGCTTCTTTTGTACATTTGCGTAGCCTATTGGCCTGTTAACTTGGCAATGCAAATTCTTGTCTTTACATAGTAACAACAACAACAATCCTAATGATATACTACTTGTAATGAATACTTCTTGTTAAACAAAGGGGATAAAAGCATTTTGGCTGTTTTTTTTTATACACAAAAAAGAAGAAAACATACTACAGAATATATTTTATATATGATATGTAAATTTAGAAAGGGTTGAGAAATGAAATTACAGTTGTTGTTGTTGATAAGGTTTCTGTGCGGTAGCACAATGCCAATTAATATACGTTTGTCCAATTCGCCAGCTTTCGGGCAAGCCCATGATGTGGTTGTTGAATTTTTCGATGGTTAGATCCATGACGAGTGAGAGCCAAGGCCGTAAAGATTGCAGTAAGAAGAGGTGTTGACTAGCGGCAAGCCTGGAGAGTTCGGAGCACTTTCTGTTGTTGTTAGCAGCTGTTTTTGATGGTTGTGGTTGTGGTTGATTGGGTGGTGCTGATTCATCGACTGGGTCCCAGCCCAGTGGAAGTGATTGAAATTGACTTTGTACACGACGGAAACCATTGCTGGCTAGTAAAGTAGAGAGATGGCGAGCCATGTATGGATTCTGTTGACGAAGAATCATTCCTTCGAGAACTTTTAAAATAGAAACAACAGCAACAGGAAATAAGTAAGAATGTACAGTATTACGTAGTGCAATATAAACAAATCAAAGCAGTAATAGTAAACAAAGAGTTAATAAAGGATCAATTACTCACTTTTGTCATTCATGGCACATTCATTTGGCAAGGTGCTCTGAGTTTCGAGATCCGGCTCGACAAGCTCGACCCATCCGCCTGGTTTTAATACACGCATGTACTCGCGCATCAACGCTTTCCACATGCCAGTGGACAGACCCCAGTTCATGTCGCGCTGATAGATGTAATCGATGCTGTTGTCCGGGAATGGCAGGCCCTCCTCAACATTGTACTGGCGGAAATGGCAGTTTTTGGGCTTGATGTCTTGGGGGAAGAACCGATCTTGGTCAATACCGATAAACGTGGCCTTGGGAAACATCGACGCCATTTCCATGGTCCACGCGCCAGCACCACAACCAATGTCAAGCACCACGGCCGAAGAAGACTTGGCTTCCAAAGTACTGGCAATACCAGGTGCGCAGAAATCGCCACCAAAGATCATCCGGAGCAAGTAGTGCTGGGCCACCAGCCGATCTTGTTCGTTGTGATCTTGGGCCAAGATATAGCCCCATCCGTCTTGCATCTGCTGTTTACGTTTCTTGGGTGACATGGCGAGTGTGGTGGTGCTCATCATGTGCTTCCATGTCATTTTTAGGTTGGTCGAGGTGGTCTGGATGGTCTCTGTGGTGCTCATGGCGGTACTGGGCCGTGGAATATGAGCCAGCAGGGTGGCAACGGAAGGGGGTCTCCGTTGCATCTGATCTGCTGGCACTGAAGGTGATACTGGTCTGATGGTGATATTGCTGCTGCTATTAATGATATCATTGTTGTTGTTGGTATTGGCTTGCGGTAATGATGGTGATGGCGAGGATGATGTAGGAATGGGTGGCAGTGGCGCTCGAGGTGGCGGTGTCATTGTCCGACTCTCGGCACTGTTGTTCCGTCGAAGGCTGCTGCTGTTGCTGATAGTGGATAATGAAGGGGAGATTTCACTGGATGTGACAGACGAGGATCGAGTGCGCATCATCAACGGAGGTAATTTGGGGCTACTGTTGCTACTGACAACCCTGCCATGTTTGGCCCCTGGCATGGATGCAGATTTCGACAGCTTCACTACCACTTGCTGCTGCTGCTGCTCCATAGGTACCCGGCGTTGGTGATGATGATTCAGTCTGTGGGTAGATCGACTGGTACGAAGACGATTGTATTGCTGGGTGTCTGGTAATAAAGGCTTTTGCTGGATCATGATGGGCTCTTGAAGAAAAGGACGATGAGAGGGGAGATCAATTACAGAGAAGTTATGGGTGGCAGTAGTAAACATGTTGGGAGAAGAAGAAAAGAAAATAGAAATGCAGAGAACGGGGATGAAAGAGCACCGTACTTTTATTGTTTTTGACAATTCATTATCAGGGGTGTGCGCAAGCGAAATGGGGGAGGAGGGAAAGGGGGAGCGGTGTGAATATACGGGAAGTATGGAAACGGGGGTGGACGAGTGGGTGGGTGGGTGGGTGGGTGGGTGGTAAATGCGAGAAGACGCATGCTGTGCACAGGTGCTGTTTGCACATCATTTGCAGGCAGATCGGACATTGCGTATAATTGTCCACCACCAAATTGTGACACTGCATGCATCGTCGGTTGCTACTTTTAATGGGTAAAAAGCGAGAAAATCGTCTAGCCCTCCTACTAAGTACATACTGTGCTGTGCTATGCTAATATGATACTCGCTCATAACACTGGTTTTTTGAAGACTATTTCATCAACAGACACGCATGATTTTTACATCCGATCTGTGCATTTTTCTTGTTTTGTTGCAATGTGTCTTAGCTTGTTCTTACTTTCTTTGTCAGCTTCGGCCTGGTCTGTTCAGTTTTGCAAGTAGAAAGTGTTTCATCTTGATTGTTGCTCTTTAATGCCCTGCTTTGTATTGCTGACGATGATGACGATGGTGGCGTCCAGGAGACCTAGGAGCACCATCCTCATCACCACCGCTGCTTCCGTGCTTTTCCTTTTTAGTCGGAGAAGAATATGTGATGCTATTGCTGCTGCTACTACTATCACTGTTGTGACGAGACGACGACGGCGATCTCGACCTCTCGTTGTTGCTGCTTTCTTGGTCACGACGTTTTAATGAAACTGCACGATACAGTCTTGAAAAGTGACTTGCCTCGCTGCCATCGCTTCTACGCTTATGATGACGAGTGCTAGAGCCGCGACGACGACTACGACGACCTACAGGTGAGCGAGAATCAGAGTTGCCCTTGCTGTTATAATCACGACGAGACGAGCGACCATAGTGACTACCATAGCGTAGATGTTAGCGAGATGAAGGTGATCACGAGCTGGAGTAGCAGCTCTGCTGTTTTTCTCGTCGTCTTGTACTCAAGTGGCGAATATCATACAATAACGAGGAGATGAGGGTGAGCGAGAGCGTGAGTGGACGCGGTAGTAGTAGTTGTGGTTGCTTCTTCTTCCCTCGTAATTATAGTTGTAGCAATGACTCGGCCTATCGTTACGGGTGTCGTGCTTGTAATAGCCGGACCCAAGAAACAACAACAATGTCAGATAAGGTGCATAAGCTATGATCGTTGGCTTTGACGCTTTTGGTAATAAACGACCCCCACACAAACACCACCACCCTTTCAACTGTCCCCCCAAAAAAGAGCATGAATCCAGACTGAGCGGTTGTCAAAAGAAGGTTATATGACGCTACGTTGCATTGACCAACTAGGCTCTCGTCATAACCGGGTTTCGTTCTCCAGTTGAAACACGAACTCATTACACCTCTAACCACTACCAACGCACTGTTTACTAGTAAGAGCAGCAGTAGCGGCACTAACTCTTTCTCTTACTCCTTGGCCGATGCCGCTATTTCCTCCCCGATTACACCCCGATAATAATGACGACGATGATTGCCTGTTGTGATTTAGACAATATCGTGCATAATGGCCTAAACGTTTTGCCAAAAGCAGCCACTTACAACAGCAACAACTCCTTATTAATAATGGCGCAAATATAATAACGATGGTAGTAATATTTCTGCAAATAACGACGATGAACAATTATGGTGTATTACATCAACAGACAACCATCATCGCCGCCGCCGCCTTTCCTCCCCTTTCCTATTCTCTCCATGATTTTCCCCTAAATAGATCGTTGTTTCATTCTGCATACCTTCTTTCCCACACGTGAAGCAAGTATTCCTGCTCACAAGTTGCTGGAGATTACTTTTTATAGCTTGCTCCACAATGGTCTGCTTGCCGTTTACGTCCTGTAGTAGAGAAGATGACCATAGAGCCGATCTTGTCTTTGTGTACTTATATGCATGTCAATCTATTCCCACCCAAACAAAAAGGTCACTCACCATGCTTGTCGTATCTTGGATTGCATCATGCATGTGTTGGCGGTCGAAAGATTCCACAAAGCCATAATGAATCGTTTCTTCCCCAGAAGAGTACAGTGTGAGCCTTTGCACATTTCCTTTCCGCAGCCGACATAAGCAGTATATTCTCAAAAAAAAGAATAATACCAAAGTGATGACCATGCTGTTGTAACAAAAGAAAGTAAATCCGGGCGTGGGGATTTGCGCATACAGACAAGTAGCCACCGGAGCAAATCCGCTGACACCCTTCTCACCCCACCCCCATTTACAATGTCAATGCCGCCAAAACTTCACAGAAGAAAGTTTCACGTACCTTGGCACTGCGACGAATGATCGTACCGTACCTGCCAAAGATCTGATCGAGATCAAATTTAACAATGTGTGGCGGCAATCTACCTGTATACAACGCCATAGTGCTGAGACTCGGTGTAAGTGGTTACACAAAGAGTCCCTCTTTCACTCTGGCTCTTTGTTGCACTTTATGCAGCAGAGTTCTTTTTTCCCTATGACTTGGCACTGCACGTTAGGATCGTATGTACCAAATGCTTCTCCATGGCTGTATCTCCCACATACTTCTCACGATAGGCAGCATTGCATCTACCAATAGGTTACATATGGTAGACGCGGTTCATTATCCACCTTAGTTTATTGTTTGTTTGTATATTGACCTACATACTAGGTTCGGCAACATATATACTTTATATTGCCTTAGTCTACTGAAATGCACAGACAATCACAAACTGATAAGCTCTGCCCAACCAACGACTTTAAAAAGCAAATGTATACGGTATAAACTATCATGTTCGTAAACTATTGTATAAACTGGTTTCATGCCGTACTTTTTGCCTTAAAAGGCTTATGTCCGTGCAAACAACGTCGTATAGGGCATAATGATCGGCCCAATGTTTGCGTGAATACAGACCTTGATATTGCTTGATATACATTTCCACATTAAAGTCCATATTCATTGTCTCTTTCTTTCTTGTTATCATCAACGGCCATCATTGCAAATGAAGGCTTAGCGTGTATACACCAATCGTGGCATTTTAATGCGATGCGAGGCTGCTCAACATATTAGTATGACACGCGCACACAAGTGCTCCATTAAGCGCATTATTGGTAAATGACCAGTCCAAATTTTAAGCAGCATACTGTATAGTGATTTATACGCGGCAGTATTTATCGCGGTATGCATTGTGTATCTCGATCTATTGCATATAGCTAATACGCGTGTATAAACTTGGTGGTATGTAAGTGGGTTATACATTATTCTAAATTTTCAGTCATGCGATTCATGATATACTGATTTTATTCGCTTTTGAAAGTATCCCTGATATCCCTGTCCTGTTGTCCCCGTGGTAATTCAAACTTTGAAGTGTGACAACAATTCGCAGAAGTAGTACAGTAAAGTTTGTTTTATGTAATTTGATTGTCTTCTGTGATGATTATAATGGTGATACGATTAGAGCAATCTCTTGTTCCCTTATTTTGTTGTTGTGGGGTGATCATTTGTAATTAAGCTCAGTTTCTTAGCAAACAGTTTGGGTCACTGTATGTTGGGAAATTTCCGATATGCATACAGTGTTTCGTGTAGTGCACCATTAGTAAACGGGCTCATCATTTTGTTAGCATATTTACTCGCATGACACAAAAGTTTACTTTTTAGATGGCAGTAGCCCCTGATGCACGGACACTCATCAACCGATCGGCCTCATTCCCGAAAAAGCTTGTTTTCCTACCACATAAGAAGGCACATCTCCGTGCGCTACCTACTGCTACTATATCTGATGTATTCTTCTCTTTGCATACTATCATCGAACGAACTTTTCGTATCGCACGTACTTTTCGTATCGCACGTACTTTTCGTATCGCACGTACTTACATACCATGTACATTCTACATGCACTAGTAACATCTACCATAGACTTACGCACGCAAGCGCGATATGCAGGTAGTGTGCCCTGCTGCTTGTTATTCTTTCGATTGTGGTATACGAAGGAGCTATATTCACTCTATTCCATTACAGGAAGGCGAGAAAAGTGCTACATAATGTAGAGCTTTCTACATGACTGCTCCTTTTCCTTTTTGTTGTGCTGATGACACGTACATGTGCAAACGCACCGGTGTACTTTGTGCATATACATTGGCCGTGTATACTGCTGCAGACTTTATGTAGCAATGACGCTAGCATAGTACGAAAAATACTGTTTACCCTTCGTTTTATACACGTGAGAATCATTGTGTTTTTCACTATGTGTCACATACACATCGATCGAGAAAGATCCAAGTGTAGAGGCCATCGCCGCAAAAAGAAAAAAGTATATAATAAGCAAGGGTGCATAGGATATACAAGCATTATTAAAATTACCGACAATGACTTTCATGCGTCGACTCTAGTGATTATAGACTCACTGTCATGCGTGTTATCTGCAAATAAAAGCACTAAAATTATTTTATTGGAACATTTAGTCGGGAAAAAAAAGTTATTACACATTCGTTATTTGACACTTCTCTTTTGGGAGGAGAGTATGTGCGAAGAAACAAGGGAAAAAGAGCATGAATTAAAAATAAACTGGCTGGAAATCAGTTTATGAAGCGAATTTCCACTTGATATTGGTGCGTTGGGTACTGAAATCCGCTATTTTCTCAAACACTATTATATACGAGAAAGAAAGGTTAGTTTAACAGGGGTCAGTTAATATGTTTGATGGGTAGGAAGAAAGATAGAATGGATAAACTTACCTGCTGGAGTCATATCAAGACCATCTAATAGTCACAGAACGATAAAAGAAGTTACACGTTAAAAATTGATTTGTACTCACTTATTTGCACACGACAGGAAACAGATTGAAAAAAAGCTTACCGTCATCACAGGTCATACAATAATCAACGACTTCGGCTTGAACTTGCTGACCAGAGGGTCCGACCACTTCGACATGCTTGCCGCAGTTCTCGTTCTTGCTGCTCCTGTCTTCACCCATTTGCTTCGCGCTCAAAGCAACCACCAAGTCGTGGTTGGTATGCACCTTACCACATGAAGCGGTTCGCGTCTCGGCATCATAAAATGTACCGCTGCCTTGGTTATATTGACTATCGTTTGCTCCTTGTTGCTGGGCCATACTGTTGGGTAGGATGATACCACCTTCACTTGTATACGAGATACCATCATTCTGTTGTCCGGGTGCTTGCCGCATCTTGCCACTGTTACTACTGCCACCGCTGCTTCCTTCGCCTCCAATGTTGCTACTACCTCCATCGGTCATACGATAAGGCATATCCAGCATCCCACCACTGCCACTGCCCGCAGCCATATGGCTTGGTAGAACAATACCACCTTCGCTATTGTAGGACACCCCACCGCCTTTGTTATTGTCTGCTGCTCGAGCTAAACTGTTTGGCAAAACAATACCGCCTTCGCTTGTATAAGATACGCCAATATTGTTGCTTGCTGCTTGGGCCGCCATACTATTGGGAAAAACGATACCACCTTCACTCGTGTAAGATACTCCACCCTGACCAGGCGCCTGCCGTAGCTTGTCACCACTGTTGCTACTGCCGTCATTACCGCCATGGTTCATATGATAAGGCATTTGGAGCATATCCCCATCACTATCCGCAGCCATGTGGTAAGGCATAACAAGTCCGCCTTCGCTGTTGTAGCTGACAGCACCACCGGGACCGGTCGCCATCTTGTTGGGCAGCTCGATGCCACCTTCACTGTTGTACATAACATCACCATAGGCTTTTTGTGATGCGGCGATCACAGCAAACGTGCAAAACGACAGGAGCGATCTCATCAGTTGCGTGTTGTTTTTTGTTTTGTGTTACTTGAACGAGGTAATATAGAGGCAGTAGTAGTAATAGATAGTAAGATTAAACAAAAGAAATAAAGAGGAAAAAAATAGAGGGCGCTAGATAGCCAGAATTGCTGGTTCGAGGGTTCTTTACTATCCCTTGCTTTTTCTTCTTTTTTCCAACTTGAATTTCCAGGGCCCAAGAATTATTTCTTTTGATTATTAACCCATGCCTTTACTGGAAAATGTGGGGAAACAAGCGATTTGGATTGACTGAAAACGGTAGACTAGGTGTTATTTTCCAGCGGCTACAAACAATAATGATCGTGGTATTGCTAATTTGCATTCGTTGGTGGTTCCCAGCGAGAACTCAAAAGACTTACCCAGCCTGTGCTAAACGCTGCGTAATAAAAGCCTTTGATGCTGTCAATCAAGATGTGTATCAAGGTCGCTGTTTGTCCATTTTTCTTCCCTGGTAATCGCTGTCAGTGTGAGAAATATACATAGTGCGGGGGGTAAATGGTAGTGGGAGGGGGAGGGGTTAAAAGAAGACGTCTTATTGACAGGGCTATATCATTAAAATAGCGATAAGCAGGAAGATGTAGACTTCGTCTTTTATCAATGAAACAATGACAGATAATAGTGGCTCAATGAGCAAGTAAAAAAGATGAGAGATCCGCTCCACTGTGTTAGTGGATCGCACGCACCACTTATACTACACACGTGCTCATACCATTTTGACATGACCACCGCACGTCCGACGGAACTGAATTTATAACAGAGACAAAAGCAAAGACCGCAAAATGCTACTCGCTTGCTTGTTCACTTAAACTTCATGGAGGATCAGGTACTTGTCTTTCATATAACTTCCCCGTCTAATGCGCCTCCCCCTTCTTCCTGTATTCTCAATTTAATGAGAGCAGAAGAAAAGGAATGTAGAATTCTTTGCTTTCCTTCTCTTTTCATTACGAAAAGAATAAGTGAAAGCACTGGAGAAGAGAGACTCTATGCGTGGGTGTAAAATGGGGTTGTTGGGGACAGGAGAAGGGAAAAGCAAAATTGAACAAGAGTGAAGGAAAGAAAAAAGAGAGTTGCTGTCTGTCCGGCCTTAATCTCACTTTGCTGTTCATGCTTAGTGGATCTTTACGGCTCAAGAGTTACAACAAGTCCCATCCATTGCTTCTGGAGCCATGTCAGTTGCCGAAGAGCGCAAACATCGAATATATGGTTGTACTTTTATTCAGGCCATCGGGTGTCGACTTGAATTGTAAGTTGTTCTAAGCGTTACTCGTCTCGTTCAACGTCGTTTGCTATACAAAGAAAAGAAAATTAAAACACAAAGTGGGTATGATTTCCTGTAGAGCACAATTGACCATTAGCACTGCAATGGTATATTTTCACCGCTTTTTTGCGCGAGAGTCGTTTACTGTTTATAAATACGAGGTCGGTTTAGAACGTTTCTTCTTCTTTTTTTTTGGTTTTGGCAGGGGGTTGTCCTTCCCTTCTTGGTGACTGATCTATGATAATTATGTCATATACAGTATATTGCTGCTACATGTGTTTATCTGGCGTGCAAAGTCGAGGAATCATCTCGTAAAGCAAGCGATGTTGCAACTGCATGTATACAATACCGTCCCAATCGAGGGAGCAGCGATGAGGAAAAGGCCAAGGTATAAAGGAATATAATATTAATGACAATAATGATAAGGTTAATGAATAAGGGGAGACGAGGAAAAAATGGGGCGAGGAGATATAGACAAAGCTCGAAAAGTAAAATGGGTGAATCAGTGCTTAATTACACATTTTGTAGATAATCCGTGCTATCCTTTGGCATGAACATATTCTGCTAGACATATTGTGTTTTGATTTCACAGTAGAGCACCCGTATCGGTTTTTGATTGACTTTGCCGAGGAATTAGGAAGTAAGCTTGTTTTGCAGGATCCACCTGATATACCTTTTTTTCTTTGTTCTCACCTCTCGTTTTGTTTATCATCACACACCAGCTTCAGAAACAACTTTACAGGCGGCTTGGGCGTTTGCAAATGATAGGTAGGAGAAAGAGAGGATAATTGTTTCGGCCATTATGTGGCATTAATCACTCACCTATTTAACTTTTATGGATCTTTAGTTTACGGCTGACATTATGTTTGCTGTATCCGCCTCATGTAATTGCAGCTGGATGTCTTCTACTTGCCTATCGACTAAACAGCGAGCAGCTACCAAGGGATGGAGATTTGGGTAAGATGACGGAAGATAATTACGATGCGTTGCAAGGTACGTACCTAGTGACAATGGATGTGTTATGTTGGTTATGAAATGGACAAAGGGCGATGCTGAAAAAGAACCCTCTTATTGACAACGGTTTCTTTGCGAATCTTGTAGATATCGTGCGAAGTCTAATGAAATCATACTCGATCATGAGGTCGCTTGTTGGATCACCGTCCCAACATCACCGTAGTAGTCAGGTTGGCACAAGAACAAGAACAACGTCCATTCCAACTATACAAGTCTTTCCCAACACTTTATTTTCGATTTAGTCAAGTAGTACAGGTTCTTCGGCAAACCCAAATCCTTCTCCGAGTATACGAACGAACGGACACCGACCACATCATAGTAATCACCGCCATCAACAACACCACCATAGTAATAGCTATCATTATCACGAACGACCTCTGACCAACGGTACTAGTAGCAGTAGTAGTAGTCATAGCCATAATCATAGCAACAGCGCTACCACGGCAACAGCAACAGCAGCAACATCGTCCCGAAGATGAGCATCACCCAAGTTTTAAGCAAGACACACTAACCATCCATTCGAACCAAAATTTACATTCGCGCGTTCTCAAACGCAAATACCATCAATCCTTCTCTTGTAAAACTCGACCATGTCCACCACCGTCACCACCAATCATCATGCACGATCAATTTGCTCTCAACTCATCCATCCATCCATCAATCAAACGATCGCTCAATACACCTAGCACTAACACACACACTCACAAACAACAACATATACAATCGCTCTATTTTAAACTTCTCTTATGCTGTCTCTGTTGTAGCACAGCTCACTTTGGATCTTTCAAACATTATACATATATAAGATACCTTTTTCTTTCTTATTCTTCATGATCTTTTTCTGGTTTTTTTGACGCTATCAAAAAAGTTGTAGTATATTATCTCTTTGTAAAACTTTCTTCCCTTTTTCTTTTTCGTATATATTCTCTTATTTTCCCCCTCTCATTTCCACTCTTTCTCTAATAAAAAAAGGAGCACGCATACATAAAGATTTTATTCAATATATATCATGTATTGGAACCGTGTACCTTTAATATTCCCGCACAAGCCATACCCCTTCTCCCCAAAAGACACCCTCCCTTATCTTTGAGAAAAAAGAAGTGCTACGTGCGTGTACAGAACTTCGATATTCAGGGGTTTTGTTCTTCGCGTGTGAGATTCACAATAAGGATACAAAACTAAAGGGACATTTCTTTTTGATTTTAGCTCAGTACACCCCAATGATCTGCAGATCCTTATTCCTTAAATGTGTTAGGTTGATAGCAAGGGCAATCCAATTAGAAATAAACAAAAAACAAACATTTCATTTATAAGACAGTCGTACATGTATATAGTAATCAGATAGAAGCAGGTACGGCAGTCAGTTAATTACTAGCAATTATTCTCTGCTTTTATAAGTAAAAGCCTTACTTCAGGAATGGAATGGAATGAAAATTAAGATGTATATATGGACTGGAGATGTGTAATGATTTTCACCAAGTGGTAGAAATTGTAATACGCAGCACTAGGTACAGAACCATAGCCTCAAAGTTCAAGGATATATTGGTTTCGTGTCGGGGAACGCGCATTAGCGCAAGAGTCAATTCTGTTCACCCTCGCGACAAAACAAATATGTACGTTATATAGAAGTGACCGTTTATAGTGTGAATTCAGCTCGCAATTACTTCTCCTCCTCCCCCCCTACATCGTTTCAAAAGAAACGCGATCCTTAAATTTTTAGCTAGGCGTGTGGGTGTGTAGACGTTGCAACTATGTATAGTTTCACTGTATCAAGCGTCGTGTACAGTAACAAAATGATCAGCATGATATACACCGTCTTCAATTGAAGTGGGATCATCGTCATCATCATTACCGTATCACAAACGCATTCCTTGTACATATTTACTAATATGCCCATAGCATGTATATCGATTGTCCAATCAATTACTCAAGAGAAGCATATAATCACACATTTTTGATAATTTATCACGCACATCTATATACATTAAAACTGTCTGGATTCTGCCAAACATTGTTTGAAAAAAGGCTGGTAAAGGGCGACTTGAAAATTGAATACCGCAAGTATGTATTATGTAAGTGACGATATAGAGAATGGTAGAGCACCATGTACTGTACGCTCACTGGAAATCGGGGATTTCGAAGAAAGGAGCGTAGTTTCTTTGCTTGTTCAATACATTGCGCGTGTGTTGGTTGTACCCACTTTGAGACTACACAACTTGATTCAAACACTGTAGACTGCTGCTTGTAATCTGCAACGTGCTGTACAACCCTTAGAGTTGCGTAACCATGCAATTGACAACTAAATGTTGTACACGTGCTTTTGAATTTTCAGTAATAAGTATGCAATGAGAGGACGCACACTTTTTTATTCTTACCCACAATATGAAAAAAGGCCTGGCAAGTTGTAAAAAGTACAAAGTTCAAATGGAGAATAAACTATATATGTACATTTTTCCTTGCTGTAGATGTCTACCCAACAGCTTGAGGCCTTGCGGAGGGAGAAAAGTGTAATATCATACTGCTGATAGTAGTAGCAATAGGGGGCATAACCTAGCCCAATACCGTTACACAGCGCACTCGAGATCTCCGGGAATGACGGTTACAATTACCGCCACACTGTACGTAGCATATCATCAGAATACTGATGTTTCCATCATAACGGAGACCCCATCATTAGAGAATGACAATGTTTGTATTCGTATGGTAGCAAATTTTTACACAATCGTCAAATACTTTATGTACTAGTAGTTATTGAATTAGAGGAGTTATCAGACATTCTACGTACGTACAACTACAACCATAACAACTGACGCAGTCATCATGATTTATGTGATTTATCTATATCTGCGACATCAGCAAAATACGCGATGTTTGTCTGTGTTATACAGTCAAAAGTACTGGCAACAGATATAGCAAAAGGATACATTTACAGTAAAAGCAAATAAGAATCGGTTAAATAAATGCGTGCGGCTATGAACAAGTGACTTTGTAAAAGAAACATGGAGAAGGCCAGTTGCTCCAGTATAATGTGGCAGTAAAATGTTTACGCATCAAAATTCTCGACGACATCAAATCAACGACAGATGGATACCTCGCTAGTACTTTGCGTGATATATATTTAAGAAAGAGTAGTTAGCATGGCCTTGGACAATTCTTTTTTGACAACAATACAAGAGCATTTGCATATTGATCATCGCTTTTCTTCGGTCTCATAATATAAGAAAAAGAATGACTAAATATAGGTTGGTCACCTAGTCTCATCGATCTAGGAAACCAAACCTTCATATAAGCAAGCGTGACCAATGTACAGTATGTCATTAGCGACATGAGCAATTGCAAAGTCTTATTGAAAATTCAAACTATATACCTACAAAGATTCTTTAAAGCAACTACTAAACCTTTTTTGAGGTGACAGTACCACTTGATGGTCCATATCGATATTATGTGATGGTGTAGTATCCATAGCAAGAAATACCATAATTATCGGTTATCACCACCACCCTCTTCTCGCACATTGATCTAGCATACGCCCCAATAATAAGAGATATGGTTTAGTCGTTGTTTATGTGTATCATTTTGAATCTGGCATCATTATTTGATCTAAAATATATTTTAGCATACATAAAGTACATTGCTGCAAAAAACAATGACTTCTTCTACACTATGTGTATATGATGTGGTAGCGCACTGCGTGCTTGTACAAGCATATTACACAGCCTTGTTCGAGTAACCACGCAGCAGTCGTCCATACTCAGTTGTCAAGAAGCCAAGCAATGCGATATAAAGAAGTGGTCTTTTGTATATCCGAAAATGGGGTATTATTCGGCGAGTGTTGTTTAATTTAGCCAAAGAAATTGGGATGTATGTACTAGCTGACGAAGAGTCGTGGCATGTTGCTACTGCTGCTGCTGGTGTGTGCGGTGCTATGCGTGTCTAATGCCGTGCCCAGGATTTAGGAGAAGGGGCGAAGCATGTGAGATCTAGTGTGTGCTGCACCCAAACTAAATAAGAATAAGCATTTGGTGATACAAAGAAGAGACACATATGATAGCAGCATGAAACAAACAGGCAGATCATTGTTGTACAGACTGAAAGCTCGCTTTCCCTTTCCGAAGAAAATGCAGCAGCTAAAAGATGCTGTCTATCGCAGTATAGTACTACATTGCTCTCCTTTCCCCCTCCTTGCTTTGTTAACCTTTTTTTTCGTGCACTAACCCCCCCCTCCCTCCTCCCCCCCTCCTTCCCGTTACTTTTTTTTTCTCGATATGCAAGGCATAAAGTAAGGCATTTGCTACGACTATTACTGGTAACCAAGCATTACACTGCGGCACACATGCTTCTTGCAAGAAGAGTGCTGCAAAGAAAGAGGCTACACGTTAAAGAAAGAAATTCCGAGAATTCATAGCCTCATAGCTACAGTACTATTGGGTCGTAGTCGGATGCTTCGTCTTATTTTCCACGACATAGCACATAAGCACAGTAGGTAGCATGGACAGTTGCCCTTTTTCGACATTCGGGTCGAGCTCCGCCTGCCATTTCTGCGCGATGTATTGACTTGGTGCAACCCCAGAGCCTTTGGAGGTTGGAGAAACACACTCGGGCACCAAGTATGTGAGCGTGTGGCCCTCTTTCTTTTTTATCTCTCTTCTCTCTCTCTCTCGCTCTCTCCACTCTTTTTTTTCCCTTCTTTCCTTTCTTCATCTCCTCAAATTGCCCGCCATGTCGCCAGCCCCTTCAGTAGCCGTTGCCGCTACTGCTTCGCAACAGTTCCCGCCTACTCCACAAAGCACACCCCGCAATTCCTCTTCCTCGTCAGCTCTACCGCGATTTAGCGTCAACTCAAATCTCATGAATTACTCAATACCGAAAAACGGAACAGAGGTAAGCTGTCTCCCTCTCTCTCTCTCTCTCTCTCTCTCTTTTTCGTACTATGTGTTGTGTGCAAGGAAGAGGGAGGTGGCGGCGGTGGCAGAAAAGAAAACAGTAACAAACGCTATTTTTAAAACTATAGGATGCAACACAAAACAACAATAAGAAATTAGCAGCAGCAGCAGCAACAGCAACAGCAACACCACCACAACTATCATCGTCACCAACACATTCAACCGATTCTGCTTCCAGGGCAGGCGAGAAACGAGAAATCCGACGAGGCAATTCAAGTACACGGACGCGACAACTCGAAGCACAAATCGAGTCACTGACACTCCAGAACGTTAAATTACAACGTACCAACCGACTGCTCAAGGTCGATACAGACAACCTCATTAAACAAAAGACACAACCGCTCCAGGGAACAATCCGTGACCTCACCCTCGCCAATGTGCAATTACAACGTGCAACACGCCTATTACAGCAAGATCTCGACGAGAAAGCGACAGAAATGGAGAACTTTAAGCGAGACCAAATCATGCAAATGAAATCCGTTGGTCCAGAATACGAGTATCTTGTTCAGATGGTCAATCTTTTACATCGTCAGGTAATCACTCGCATACACTTCACAGCAGTCGTGGATGACAAAGAGGAGAGATAGGGATAGAGAATGCGCTCGTATCGACATGGCTGTTGTATGTGTACGTGCGACAGGGTATACTTCTGATGGAAAACGGGCAAGTGGATCGGGTGAACCCGAGGAGGAAAAAAGCTGTGATGCAGTAATCTCCCTCTCTCTCTCTCGCGCGAGGCGCTTGCCATTTTACTTCTAGAGTGTCCTACTTGCTGTTTTCCCCATTTGAAGCCGAGAAATGTTTGACTAACGATACCATGCACACATAATAGATCAGTGGCAATCCAAATTGCGATGAAACATGCTGCTTCACGCTTGAGCCGATCAACCAGTCGACGATTGTAATGACGCTACCTCCGGAAAACGACCAGCAGGAGATGGAAGCACAACATATCTGCAGGCCCATTGTGCACTCATCCATCTCCCAGGGCTCGTACGCTATGGAGCTGGAAAACAAGATCCTGCGGCTAGAGCAGGTGATCGAGGAGCTCGATGTCGAGAAGGAGCAAATGTTACGTCAGCAAGCCTACAAGGACAATGACATTGAGACGTTGAAAAGGGAGTTGCGCATCAAAGACGACATTGTGTCACAATTAGAAGGGGATTTTCTAAATCTCGAGGAGCAATTGGCACGCTTGCAACAGGTAACTTTCTATACAAACAATGGCGCATCTTACTCCTTCGCCTTTTCCCCCTTCATTGCTAGCAGTATTTGGCTGCTATGCCAGATGATTACTCCCAAACGTACACACACACACACACACACACTCGGAGAGGCTGTGTACTCATTTGAATAAAAAATCCAACTTGTACACAAAATTAGGAGTTGAACGACCGATGCGACATGTCTTACCGAGAAGGAACCCTTAGGCCGCAGCCAGCCCCTCAACCGAGAGTAGAGGAGCAAGTGCATGATCCAAAACGACAATCGCAGCTGCTTATGGCAACCAAACGACGGTCACTGGCCATTAAAGATACCGAGGTACTTGAACGGATGCTTCGCGGCGATCTGCAACAACCAGCCGCAAAAGATCATCACCAAGATGGTATCAACGCAGTTAATGATGAAGACGACGACGACGACGACGACGACGACGACGACGACGATGACGATGATAACGCTAGCACAGAAACGGATCGAGACACCAACATGACAACGCCTCCACGATCAAACAGCCCGCGAGAGCAACTCGACGATGAGGTGGTGTTGCTGGCAACGGAAAAGCAGCCGGCCCAAGACCGACAACGGGTGCTGTCATTTTTATCATGTGGCGTTCTGCCGTGCGCCTATCCGGTGCAATCATCACAGCCGATTTCCAGATTGGAAGACAACGATCCGTTTGCTCCGTTTACGGTGATGACCGTCTTCCTAGGCCTGGCTGCGCAGATGGGGATCACGGACGACTGGACGGTGCCCATCACTTTGGCGGCCCTCGTATCTGGCTTCTTGTGGTCCGGTGCTGCACAGGGCGTGCAGTTGAAGCTCAAATTCAAGTAGACGATGAAGAAGGAAGAACAACGGACCGAGAAGATCGGCAATGTACACTTGACAGAAACTGACCTGACCTCTTTCACAACACCAACAAGCAGCAGCAGCAACAACAGCCCCCCCCCCCTTATCTTTCTCGATTACACTCTGCACACATACATCTCCACGAACAAGAAGAGCACATGTTCTCCCTCCTCCACCGAACCCTGCCCTCTGTCTCCCTCTCTCTCTCTCTCTTGCACCATCTCAACCTCCCTTCATATCCGCGGCGTCATTGCAGCCGCTGTCACCGACGCCGCTTCTTCCTCTTCCTCTTCTTCTTCGCAAACGAACCCCTAGCGAATCAACCTTTTTTTCCTAATTACTGACGGGGCCGGTCTATATACTCTCTTCCTTTTTTGGTGATGACCTACTAACACGACCTTCCTTTCACTTCTACTCTTACTTCTTCCTCCTTTTATTCCATACCCTGCATAGAGCATTATTCTTTAATTGTTATACATTTGATCTCATGTAAATATTATCTGTACCCTTTAGTAAAAGACTCACAAAAGAACAAAACAGACTACGAGAAAAGAAGACAAGAAGACAGTTATTTTTCGATATGATATTCAGGAGACAAAAGAAAAGAAGGGGAAACGCTACATGCACCGTGGTATGTACGTGTGAAATGATGTTATGTATGTGCATGCGCATCAATTGTAGTTAAAAAGCACCGTAATGTATCAACAGTACTCTCGCTTAAATCTCGTGACTCAGTTTAGCTTTCTTTGCTGCACTCGATCCATCTTGCAAGCCACGCAAGCTAATGTCGTAAACAACCTCCTCAATCTTCTTTACATCATATTTGATGCCATCGAATCTGTCAAATTTTTCAAAAGGTGGTGAGAAAAATTAGTTAGCATAATTGCCCTCTTGTTCGCTCACCGTCTCAGAGCACACACACTGCCATACAAGAGACATACCTCTTTCGCAGCATATCATTCTTCAAGTTCAGAAGCTGAAATCCACCGCTAAGATCTTTGACGAACTTGCTTAATCGCATAGGGCGCGTATAATCACCTACAGTCACTGCATTGACGGCCAATCGAGACTAGATCAAATGCAAAACAAGGTTGTCAGCCAACACTCTTAAGCAACAGTCTGACAAAGCTCCCCAATCGTTCTCTACGCCAATTGCATCAACCCTCTACTTACGAGTTCATTAACTAGCGAAATGTATGCATGAAGAACATCCTCGAGCTGAATATGAAAATCATTGAAGCTGTTATCCAGATCAACTTTGACTGTGTGCATAATGCGATAGTTCATGCTTTGTTTAGTAAGCTAAGCATAACAATAACAGCAATATCAGCCATGCTATTACCTCCAATGGCTTCTTCAATCTTGTTTATCTGGACCAGCTCTTCGGTTTCGAGATAATACTTGAAAACAACCAGAAACACGGCTTGCTGCATCGAGCGCGACCACAAATCACAGTATCTTTTTCACGCAAACACAGTAATAACAGCAATTTAAGGAGATAGCCACATAGAAAAATAAAGTTACAGGATAAGATAGTAAGATTTACTTGTAGAACTGGTTTTCGGGTATCAAAGTAGCGAGGGTTTGGACGCGTTCTCGGACTTCGTTAAAAGCGATTTCTGGCACTGTAATATACACCAGACTTTAGTAAGCTTCTTTTTGCTGCAGTATCATTATTCTTTCTTTGTCCGTACCTGGACCCGTAGGATCTGCGTGAATCATGTTAAGGATGGCATTAAGCTTTCGACAGGTTCGTTCGAATTCCCGTACCTTGACACGAATCTCCTATAGTGCAAAAAAAAAAAAGAAACTATCAGGATAAATAAGGGGGCTCTAAAGAGCTCCACTCTTACGTCTTTACGATCCGATTCTTGTTCCAAGGATTGTTGAATGTCGCTAAAAAATTGAAGATCGATCGAGTTTGAGGCCATGGCAAATAACGCGTATATAATGTGTGTGTGTGTGTGTGCGCAAATGAAAGAATTATATTGAGCAAAACGCGAGCGGAACTAGTAAGTAGAAGATTTTATTGGCTACTGCCAGCAAAGCTAACTAGTATGTATGAGTATGATGATGAATTGTTATATAGGAGTGTTTTATTGATGGTGATGGTGATGATGACGATGCTCCTCAAACTTCGAGAGGACATCGAATGGATTTGTGTTGCTTTGCTTCCAAGACTCTTGCATTGTTCGTTTTGTATCATTGTCAGCATTTTGATAGATTTCACGGGCTACGGCGTCCATGCTAGGAGATGTCGTCGTTGTTGTTGTGTCGGTAGTAGTACAAATTCCAGCTGCAGATGTGTTACTGCTGCTATTGATCGTGCCTACATATACATAGATGCAAAGAAACATGTCATTTGAGGGCTGGGGACATTGTTAAAGGAGGTCTAGTTGGGCGCCAACTGCTAATAACAAGTGTAACGTACCTCTGTCCTCAGCTCGTTTTAGTTCGTCATACACATCCCTTGTTGTTTTTAGACGAAGATCGGCCCAGTGTTTTCCGACCTCAGCCTTTCGTAGGTATATGACAAAGCGAGTCTCTTTTACCTAATAATGATTACATGCATGAAACAGTTAACTTTGATCCTGAGAAATGCGGAGAAACATGAACGTGTTTTCTTCTTTTACAATAGCATTGCCACAGCCATATGCTAGGCCAACTAGCTGTTACATAAATATACCTTGGCTTTAGTTTGCTCAGGTGCAACGTAGCCATGGAGTTGAGATATACGAAAGTTATAGTTAACGCCCTCGTGTTCATTCTGCAACAAAAGCGGCGTTTTGTATATTTTTGTTGTGTGTACGTGTGTGTTGGATGTGTATATAGATGTGTAATAAGTGCAAATGTAAGTGTACATTGCTATATGCATGTGCTGCTGTTGTATCAGGCGCCAGTAAAACAATAATTATAATAACAAACTTGGGCTTTTGTGTCTAGAATGTTTGAGAACAAGATGATAATTACAATATCCAGCTGTATGGCTCGTGGTTGTACTTGGAGATTGTAGTGTTCCGTAGTGATCTTCTTTGCATCTTTGATCGGCAAGTATATACTTTGTACGTATAGTTTACAGATGAGCAGAGGTAAAAACGAGCTCTTCAATTATCATCTCGTTATCTCCCGTTTTACATACAGTTGAAGAATGAGGAAAGACCTTGTGTACTTACATGACAGACTGATCCGACTGATCCCAACCGTACCCGGATGTGATATATATGGTTTGGGTAGTAGCCTACAAGAATGCAGTGCCCAGCACCATGAGCCATCACCGTATACATGATTGCATACGAAAAGGCAAAGCTTATATCTGCTCTTGTAATCAAAAAGCACTTGACAATCATTACCTTGGTACGGCTTATGGGCTCACGCAGAGACGAAGATGAAGCATTTGACAGTCTTCTGGTCTGTGTTGTATGGTCTTGACAGTCTTCTAATATCTTCTCTATTGCACCTATGACTCCTGGACGAGAAGCAAGCGCCTTTAAACTCTCCAGTTCAGCTATATCGGCGGCGTCGTACTTGTTATCCCAGGTCATTAGTCGTAAGGAGTTGTGAAGTGTTTGAGATTAAGAATAGAAGGTGAGAAAGGAAAGAAGGGAAAGAAAAAGAGAAGAACAGGCCAAAATTGAACAATAAGCGGGCGGTGCTCCTGTCAAGACACACTAGAACGCTGTGAGAGAGGGAGAGAGAAAGAGAGAGAGAGAGAGAGAGTAACGGACATCCCCCAAAAAGAGAGAGTAGGACAACCAGATCTTTCGGTGTCCCCGACGCTCAGGTGGTTCAAGTGCTGCGATTCGCTGACTTTTACCATGGGACCCACATGTACAGTACACATCACTTCTTGTTCCCTCTCGCTGCCGTGCGAACGCACAAACCTTTTTCTTTTTACTAGTAATGTCCTTTTTCTAATGGCTAGACATCCCCTTCTCAAACAGCCCCTGCTCGTTTTGCATCTAATGACACCTAAAACTAAAGTTGCTTATTCTTTCTTCTATGGCCATCGATCTTTCTTTACATGCGTTGTCCAAAATTCTATCAATGCGTCGCGCATAGCATGATTTCTTTGCCGTTGTTCATCAGTTGCTTTGGCTCCGTATGCATCATTGCTGCTGTCATCGTCGTCAATACCGGAAGCAGGAGGAGAAGAAGGTTTTGGAAGACATGACCACTCGAGAGTAGTCTCTTGGAACACTTGGGACGTCGAGACCGGGTAAAACCCTAACTTTCTGGTAAACAAGTCAATGCTGGGTTCGTTTGTCAACGAAATTTTGGCATGAAAGGTCTTGAGCCCTAATTCGGTTGTTGCTAAGAAGACGAAATGTACGATATCAATTCCCTTTTCGTCAGTTTCCCGATCATCACACCCAGCATGATGGGATTGCACATATGCATATTCTCGGAAACAAGCTAAGCGTCATCTACGTTTAATCGCAAAGAGAAAACGCACGTATGCTTACTTGGCCGTCCGCTTTTCCCATCCAAGTCCCTATACTAACCATAAGCCATCGTGATCTTGAGTGCTTCTAACCCTCTTCCGCCGCGCCGATAACGTTCTTCGGCAATCATGATTTCAATTTCGCCGAATGTTGGATCGTCATCCTGGTCGTTTAGAAAGATATTGACATCTCCAATCATGACTTTATGATGTTATTGGTTTATTGCATGCAGAGTTAGATATCGTATCTACACATTTATACACGGATAAAGTACAACTCTGAAGTCGTATGTTTATGCTGTGCATAAGTCTATGTGTGCGTGTTTTGCAATAACGTACCGGAGCCCTCCTTCATATCTGCAAAAGACGACAGTGTGTTCTTGTCATCTGGTGCCGCCAGTAGAATAAATGTACATTCTAATATTGTAAAAAAAGTTGTACAAGTTAAAAATACGGGGAAAATCTTCTTCTTCCTATCGTCCCAACCCCCACACCCCCAAACCCCACAGACGCACGTATAACGCACGTCGTCGATGCGACATGTAAAGTGGAGTTATATGGAATGCATGGTTACGTTACTTTTTTCATCTTCGTGCCACGAGCGTTGCATAGCGTATTCCTCATCCAACGTAAGTGGCTCGGATGCCGTCATTTCTGTTATATTTGTTCCCCCCACCGTTAGATACGTCAATAAAATGATAACGCTATTCACGTCCTTGGACAACAGTGCTTTACCTTGAAGAAATGGCGATTGCATCCAGTCATGGTATTTTAACACATGCTCTTCTTTATATGGGACGAGAATGACTTTGGATCCAATCTAACGTTATATTTTTCCTTCTTTTCAGCAAGCCATGTTTCTCACTGTGTACATTTTCTCTTCCCATCTATTTTTTTTTCTCACCAACACTAAATTTTCGTTTTGTCGCATTTCCCCGAATCGATTTGCAAAATAAAGCAAATAAGTGGAAGCGAAAAAAAAAAGTGACGACGTCCTCCCCCTCTTGTTTCTTCTTTCGCGCGGTCCATGAGCACAGACACGAACACGACCCATGCCGAGGTGAGGAACCACTCGCGTGTTTTCTTCTTAGACTTTCCATCCCAATGCTGCTAAAAGGTACTAGAAGGCCAAAAACACGAATAACGTTTTCACTTGTATAGGATACGACGACGACATTGGTAGTCAAACAGGTGCCACCTGTCATTAGCGGATCGCGAGAACAAGCTTATGCATACTTTCGACAATATAACGCCATATCTGTAAGGCCCATGGAAGGCGTTGCCATGGTAAGTCCTTAGGGTGCTAGACAGCGGCTGTGGTGAGTGTGCGTCTTACAAATACTTTATATTCATTATATTAGCGAGGAACGATTTTTCTTGACTTTGCTAATCCAGCACAAGCTGGGGAAGCGTACAGTCGTTTACAGCAAATGCCTCAATTTGGTGAAGCATACAAAAAGATGCGCGTCGAATATGCGAAACCAAATCCAAAACGATCAACGTAGGTATATTGATTGATAGGGAAATGGGAACGTCAAGTCGCATGAATTCAAAATATCTTATTTCCAGAGGCAGAGAACGTGCAACGACAACACCATCACATAGTTTATCATCATCAACACAGTACCGTCCCTCTGTACCACAAACGTCACATCCATCTTCATCTTCTCCATCACCATTATCATTATCATCACCTTCATCGTCGTCAATTCTGCCACGACAAACGCCATTGCCGCCAAAGCCAGTCACCCAAGGGGAACCTGTCGCACCTCATCTTGGGTAAGCGGTTTCTAGCTATCCTAACTTAGCGAGAGATCAAGGAGCTGCACGTACTTTTCTATATTGCTGAACCGGTTATTATGTTTTATACATCCAGAATCAATTACCCGCCGAATCCTGATTTACACTACCGATACCCTGATCCTACTCCTGAGATCCTGACCAACATGATGCATGCTATAGCAAGTGTTCCACGACTCTATGTGCAAACATTGCATTTGATGAACAAGATGAATTTGCCTCCACCTTTTGGACCTGCAGAGAACGACAGCATTCCTGCCATATTGGTAAGTTCACTCATCTACTACATACACACGGAGAACGCAAGCAACTAAAGTCATATGTATGACATTAGTCTAAAAAACGAAAACATGACGAACTCGTAGCTAGTGACGAATCCGAGCTAGAATCGGACGAGGAACGAAAGGATAAAGAACAGGAAAAGCAAGAGACGCGGTCCAAGATACTGGCGGCGCAGGAACAGAAACGCGCCGCGTTACTCCAAGGCAAAAGTAGCAATGCTAGTGGCAGCGGCAGTGGCGGAATCAAAATGAGGCTGACAACCAAAAAAAAGTGACGAGCAAAAAAAAATTTTCTGAGCCCCGGCCGTGTCTATAAAAGAACCGATTCTTTTCTCTTTGAAGTGATTACAGCTTTCGCAACTTCAGGTAATTATCGGTTCTTTTCTTTGTGGTTTGGTTATATGTGATGGTACGGGTGAGTGGTATGTATACATTCGAAATGATGCACAAACCTTTGGACCCGAATTATCTATATGCATTTCCGATGTTCACACTTCACTAGTGTGTGGGTTTTCCGAGTGAACAATCTCTGAAGAAATATATACATATCACACGCCTGTGTTGTTTTGTGGTTGGGATTGGGGCTTGGTCGAGTTGTTTAAATGTCCAAACACATTAACTAACTCAACATTGGCACGCTGCTTGCAGGTTAAACAAGTTGCATCGATCTTAATCAAGCACTCGGATTACCTTAGTTTGCAATTTCTGTTTCCAAACCAATAAAAAAACCATTTGAAAATTACTCTTGTTTTTTGTGATCAATTTCATCTGAGTGGATAAGGAGGTGTCTATAATTGGGAAGAAGTACACCTTGTTATGACAACTATGCCTCTATAAGCTGCCACACGAAAGGCGATATACTCTGTGATAATAAGACCCATCCCATTCTCAATCTAAGCAATAATCAGAATAGTGGATAAGTCTTTGATTTATATGGATATGGGGGCAAACTGCTTGTTACCGATGATGATGATAAGCAAATGGTACTGTGCTATCTTCCAGTTAAGCAAGCACTGAGTTGTCCAATTTGATAAAATGGCTTCAAGTTTCTGTTGACAGCATCGAATACACCAAAATGACCTTCGACGCCGTTCTTGTATGGCTCATCGATTGCAGAGAACCAAGCATGTCAGTATTTATTTGTCGCGTACGATACAGAACTTCACGCAGATATCTATCCAAGCAATTGTACAAACAGCACTTGGCTTGATTACTCCTTCCAGCTTATAAAAATACATGGCACATAACGTATTAGTTTTGGTTTTCCAAAAAATGCTATGGCTTGTCCAAAGTTTGATCCATCTGAAGGGCACCCCGTTTCAATAAATTCGAACAATCTTGTTGCCACCCACGAGTCTCGTGGTCTCCTCGCATGTATGTAAGCAAAAATGCCCGATATGAGAGTTCTGATATTACGAAATATCACAGTTATGTACGCTGATTGCAAAGTCCAAGACCGATAATGCGCGTCCGGTTGGTATACTGTTTGATGATAGCGATTTCATTCCTCATGGCTTCATACGATGGTCACGCGTAAATATCCACACCATAATCAATGCCATAAAACGTAATGCCGGACTGCGCTATGACAAATTTGCTGTTGTAACCGACGAAAGAAAAAGGTCGAAAAGTGATATCACTAATAGGCAATTTAAAGACTTGAGCATGATTATATATGTGGTTTTTCAATGCCCAATAAGTAGTACAATATTGTAGCCTTGCTATATACATTGTATACCATGTCGATTGGACCTGGGGAACGATAAGACTGATGACCGTCCAGAATTCAATTAAGTAATCAAGCTAGTATTTGAACAAGCCTAGAAGAAGAGAATTTCCATGTGTTTAGCCTGATATAACCACTGAGTTCTTTTTCCTTGTCAAGAATGCCCTTTGATAATAGGGGAAATTCAAGTTTGTCTTTTAATGCTATTACTTTCGAAGGCTTCAAAAAGCATCAAATCACAATCTAAATTTCCGACGCCTGTATTGAAAAGATAAGTAAGATTAGTACATACAGCTGCGACATGATACACCATCTAATATGAAGCGACTGCTTTATTTCTTATTCCGTCATATTTTCCTATATACGATTCAAGCAGCGAATGATCTATTATTCCAGCCTGGTGATAGATTCAAAGTGACTTCACTGATAAAGAAAATCCGGATTTCATGTATCTGATAGCGGCACTACTGTGATTATGGGTCATGGGCTGTGCCATTCAAGCATACAGAACAACCATTCAAGATATAGAATAGATTTTATTTACTTGGTTCAAGTAGGTCCCTAATATGCATACATGCCTCTCGAGTAAATACAGCAGTTCCTTGCGGATACATTTTTGCAATATGGATTATGTGACGCACATTGTTGTTTAATACCGCGCAGTGGTGTTCTTGGTGATTATTTTGTATAGTATTAAACACAATGATGATGTACTGTAATTGACTATATTACTGGTGTTAAGGTGTTAACTACAGAACATACAGTATGTGCAAAACGCTATGCAAGTACTTAGCATAGCCCAATCTCAGTGTATCACTATGATGATGCAGTACAATGCATGCATGTGCATGAATAAAGGAGCTTTATGCACCACGTAAATCTTTAAACATCAAAACCGTTTTGAAAAGCTCTGAAATTGGGACTGAAGCTGCTTCAGACATTTTTCTTCTTATTGACAGAATCCTTCTTGCCTGTGACGTTTACAAGAAGAAGTCTCTGTCACTTTTTGCTCCTATATAGCATGCTATCCTCCCCAGAACCTTGAGAGCACAAATAAAATTGTTTACCTTGCGAACTGACGATAATGATAGAAGATTTGTACATACAATAGTTTATTTTACCATGCAGAGTCGAAGGTTCTATTATGCTGTTGCTCACCTCACCATAGACAAGTCATTCACGACGCCATGAAAGAAAAATCGATCGCTTTAGGGCACCAAACTGAAGAAGATCGTCTAAATCATGCGGCTAGTAACAACGAAGGCTTTAAAGTGGCTAAAGTGAACTATAGCCCCGAAGAAAAGAAACTTTTACGAAAAATCAATTTGACCACTGCTCCATTTATATTGATTATTATTTTCCTTCAGGTAAAGAAAAAAGGAACATTGTTGCTCAGTGCATTTTAAAGATCACATGATAATGATGATTCGAAGATGGATTTTTGTCTTTGCTTAGTTCCTAGACAAGACTGCATTGAACTTCTCTGCAGTTCTGGGTCTTTTTGACGATACTGCGATCACTGAATCTGAATTCGGCTGGTTGGGGTCAATATTTTTCATAGGATATCTTTTATTCCAGGTACGCCGTTATCAACAAAAGTTATGTTGTATAAATGATTCGTCTAATGAAATGGACTATATGTAGATTCCATGTCAGTACCTATTGCAGCAGTTGCCTATTTCAAAATTTCTGGGTGTGTTTCTGGTGCTGTGGGGTACTGTTACTGCTTGTGAATCACTCGCACGTAACTTTTCTCAGCTTCTAGGGCTGCGATTTCTGCAAGGATTCCTTGAAGGCGCGGCGCACCCTTGTAAGTAACTGTTTTCTGTGAGAATTCTTCAAGAGCAATATTCGCTCATACGTATACAAACAGGTATACAATTACTGTTTAGTACCATTTATCGACGCAATGAACAGCTGACATGGTTTGGAGCACTAGTCGCAACGAACAGTTTCGGATTTGCCATTGGCGGAATCATAGGCTTCGGATTCACAAATATAGATGACCTTTACGGTTTAAGTGGATGGAAATGGTATGTCTTGTCGTACAAAACTTCTTCTTATCATGGTGTGATGTAATTTGCATCTTTCGCATCCCTGCTGATCGCTGTACTATTGCAATCACAGGTGTATGATTATTCTGGGAAGCGCCACGGCCACTGTTGGCATCCTCACCTTTCTTTTCTTACCTGATACGCCAAAATCGAAATGGTATCGATTGAAACCGGAGGAAAACGACATTGTGGAAGAACGATTGCGTGATAATAAAATGGTCCATGACACTTGGATAAAGTGGGATCAAATATTGGAGGCGCTGGGCGAGTTTCGATTCTACTGCTATTTTCTGATTTGCTACCTAATGAACACGCTGAACGGATGTATAACATTCTTCAGTACACTTATCATCAAAAGTATGGGATTTTCTGTAAGTATTCTTGTCACTGAACAATTGATATAAACTACTCAATGTTTCTTTCATAATGTTCTTTCTTTCTACATTGCTCATATAATATGTGTCATATAGAATGGTTCATCAGTCCTGTTTAATATTCCCGCTGGTTGCTCTTCTGTTATTATTACTGTGATTGCCATCTATTTCAGCCATCGGTTCAACGAAAACGGCTATGTTGGCGCCATATGTTGTTTTGTTCCTTTCATTGGTTTGCTGCTGCTCATCTTGCTTCCCACTGGTGGTGTTCTGCTGATGGGGCTCTGCTTAACTACCGCTGCACCGGTGTATGCATTAGCTCTCTCAATGATTTCGAATAATGTTATCGGGTCCACGAAAAAGATATTCTACAATGGAGCTTATTTTGTTGCATACTGCCTTGGAAATTTTACTGGGCCACTCATGATGCGATCAGAAGAAGCACCTAGATACACGAGCAGTCTAATTGGCTATATGATTGCCGTCATCATTTCAGCTCTCTTATTCCTGTATCTACGCTGGACATATGCACGCGATAATCGGTATCGATTGCGATTAAAAAGGGAAGAAAGAAATTTGTCACCATCCTCTAGTAGGATAATACCAGCACATCAGCGACCCTCGATTTCAAACCAAAATAACAGAGGAAATCAAGAAGCAGCAGTAGTAGATCTTACGGATAGACAAAATTTGAATCTTTTGTATCGCCCATAACCAGTGCTACTCAGTACATATAGTCATTTCGTACAATCAAAAAGCCTCCAAGACATATGGCACATCGTACATGTTTAAATTTTCATTGGTTATAAATCCAGTCTCAGCCAAGTGGTCTTAAAACATAATTGAAGGCTACCATCTTTTTGTGATCAAGTAACAAAGTTTTTTATGCCGAATGTTGGGATTGGTGAATGTGCATAACTCCAAATTTATGTGAGGTAACACGAGATCTTGCTTTTGTTTACAGTAGTAGTCAACCACGTCTACCATACTATGGAAGAAAAAATGCTACTTTTTCCTTGTCAATGAATACGCCACTACTCTCCTTTAAGCGTCTTTGCTCAAAGCAAAAGCAAAAAAAATCAAAGGATATTGAATGAGATGTCACGGATAAATCTCCGGTGTATACAACTCTTCTTGAATTTCTCTTATTGCTCAATTAACCTCGGGGAGATCGGGGTGTAGAAAACCCGATCCACTGAAATGCAGGATTAGTGGCGCATGGACAACTTGAGTGCAACCCTGGATTGACAACAGTCAATGGCAGCATGTCCACGCGTCATGCCTGCCATCAGTATTAGATTTGTTTCCTGGTCGTCCATAGATATTGTGCTACATTGTACGCTAGTACATTATATAAAGCACGCGTCTTTCTTTGTTTTCTTCCAAACGTGAATCCTCGGGTTAGTGCTTTAATACACAAACATACAGGTAAAATGAAGTCGGCCGGTCTCTACAAGCTTGCTTCGTTGGCATTGATCTGCTCCACTGCATTGGCATCTGCTTGCCGTCCTAAGCCATACCGCCTGACCCCTGATCCTGAGGGCCAATATCCTCGTCTCGGTGCCTGCCCTGACGATCACAGCTGCATTTTCCCACCCGATTTGTAAGTTTACTACTTGTTGATACCATGTGATAAAACGTGTTTCCTGTAATAAGATTAACCGTTATTCAACGCTGTTACTTAAATAGATCCCAGTTCTTGCCCGGCTCGTATTTTGACCTGCGTGTCGAATTGCATGCTTATGATAAGAACACATCCAACCCTGCTCCTGAGGCTTACTCCAATTTCAAGACAATTGTGCGCAAGGACGGTGGCAAATGGGTCGATGTGGATGATTTCTTTGACTATGAGGAAACACCTGCTTTGGAAAACTGGGACTTTGAATGGGTCGACTCAATCAAGACTCTAATTTCTGAGGACGCTAAGCCTGTGGATGTCGCAGTGACCTCGCGTATTTGGCGCAAGCTTAAGTTCGATAAACCTGGTACTTATGATGTCTCGGTCCAGTATGGGTCCGAAGAAGGCTACACTGTTCGCTATACAGTCATTGAGGTAATTCAATTCAACATCCTTTAATCTTGCTGTTAGTTATTTATAGCTCTCCCTATAAATGTATGCTAACATTTATTATTACTCCTCATAGCCCAAGAAGCCCAAGAAGAAGGCAAAGAACGCCATTCTTTTCATTGCCGACGGTTGTAACGTTGGTGTAAGTACATATTCTTACTATTTCTCGAGCTGGTTTTATGTATTGTGTCAAAAGTAACTAAAGTTTCGGCTACCCATTATCACTTTCTCAGATGATCACTGCTGCTCGTGCACTGGCTCGCCAGCACACGTCTGGAAAGTATCACTCGCTTCTCTCTTTTGAGGATTTCGACAACTTGGGCCACGTTATTACCCACTCAATCGACGGCTTGGTCACCGACTCTGCCAATTCTGCTTCCTCGTATGCTAGTGGTCACAAGGGTAGTGTCTCCGCGATGGGTGTGTACGCCGACTCTTCAGCGGACCCACTTGATGATCCTAAGGTTGAATTAATCACTGAATTAATCCGTCGCCGCCAGCCCGGAAAAGCTGTCGGTGTTGTTTCGACTGCTGCTGGTCAAGATGCCACTCCCGCTGCATTCTACGCCCATACACGTCTTCGATTTATGTCTGATGTAATCGTTGACCAAATTATCAACGGTTTGCCTAATTGGGTTGATGCCGTTGCTCCTGATGTCTGGCTTGCCGGTGGCGCAGAGTACTTCAAGGGCGAAAGCGCTTTGAACGGCACCGACTACTACTCCTTGATGGAGGACAAGTATGGCTACCAGGTAGTCATGAACAAGAAGGATTTAAACAAGTATCACGACGATGACAAGCTTTTAGGTGTTTTCCGCACCGGTAACCTTGATGCGTAAGTCAAATATTTTGCTATCAAGATATGGTGGGATTATAATTCCTCAATATTCAAAATTTGCTATGCTATTGTCTGATAGCTGGATGGAACGCAACATCTTTGTCAACAATACTGTTGGTAACGGTGCTGCTCCTAACTTGAGCGGTAATGATGCTTTGGGCTCGGACCAACCTGGCTTAGATGACATGACTATCAAGGCCCTGGAGGTCTTAAAGAAGCGAGGTGGCGAGGATGGTTTCTTCTTGATGTCGGAAGCTGCCTCTGTTGACAAGCAGCTCCATCCTTTGGATTTCTCGCGCGCCTGGGCTGATTTGATTGAAATGGATGTTACCATTGGCAAGACTGTTGAATGGCTTAAGGTATATAATACATCGGCTTGTATTATATACCGCTTTTTAATTTAATAGTATGCTAAATTTGTTAATTTTGCTCTACTAGAAAAATGGTGAATACGAAGATACTTTAATATTATTCACAAGTGATCACTCGCACGCCTTTGATGTCTATGGCTCGGTCGATCAAAAGTACATGGCCGATCACTCTTCTAACAAGGACATGCGCAACTCTATTGGTCTCAACTCTGCTGCGGGATGGCCAGGCTATTCCGATAATGATAATGATGGCTTTCCGGATAACTGGACTCCCAAGATTACTTTGGCTGCTGCCACTAACAATGGTCCGGATCACTTTGAATCTTTTGCCATGGCCGACAGCCCTCGCACGCCTGCTGTGCCTAATGATGATGGTGCTTATGTTGCTAACAAGGAAGATCCTGCTGGAAAATATGGCGGTAATTTTCTCGTCATTTTGGTGTAAAGAAAGGAAGCTTACATAAAATATCATACATATTACTGATAATGTATAACCTTCACTTTTATTTAAATAGCTGGATTGCATATGGCCGGTAACCTTCCTGTTTCAAATCCTCTCGGCAGCCACACCATGGCTGATGTTTTCATTTACTCAAATGGACCTGGCTCAGACTCATTCAGAAACACCATTGAAAACTGGGAAGTCTTTTATGGCTTAACTGAGGCGCTGGACTTGCAAAGTCCTACTAAGCACGAGAAGTAGAATCGCAACTAAAGAGGATGGTTTGATAGTAAATTTAGAGTATTTAATTTTTACATAACACATAAAATAATAGAAATGACTTGTCTTTATCATCATTATCATCAGCTGTCTATTTTTGCACTACTCATATTCGAACCATGCCATTTTCATATTTCCAGTTGCCCTCATTCCATATTCAACACGTAACCTACTGAATAAGCTCATCGCCATCTCCAGTATATCAACAGGCTTGAGAATCATGAACATATACGTAATTAACAATCATACCGGACGAAAAATAGCTGACCAGAAGGGAAAAGCAGCCTTTGACGTGTTCCATAATACAAGACTCCCACAAGCAATATTTTTTTCTTTGATATAGCCTTGCACGATATATCAATTTGCAGCACTACTAGTCGGAAATCCGACAGATAAAGCATTTCCTTTCACTAGTAATGTCTACTATACAGTTAAAGCGGTAAAAAGTCTTCGGTGACTCAATGTGTTCGTTCGTTCGATCGTTTTTTATAGTAGTAGTACAGCCTGCATACAAATAACGTTAGCCAGGCATTTTTCTCCTTCCGGTCTTCACAATCTTATGTTCAAAGCGCAAAGTCGCAAATTATGAAAGAGGCAAGGACGTAAGTTGCTGCGGGGTTTTGGGCTAAACTATGAAGGGATGTGTGTAGTGAAGTGGGCTCAGCATGTACCTTCGGGTGATACAAAAGTTTAGCCCACCATCTCATGCTGAAACAACAATAACAAACTAACGTCTTTTTGTCACTATTTACTTTTTCTCTCCTTCTTTCTCCAAGATTATAAAAATACAGATGATCGATCTCAAAAAGATTGTAAGACTCTTCGCCTTTTTCTCATTTTTTTCCATTCAAATCGACGCTCGCCGCTCATGCTTAAAATCATGCTGGTTTATGAAAGAACGAACGGATAACGCGATCCAAATGGATCAAAATATATCTCGCACTTGTTGTGATTCAGGGGGTCCTGATTATCGCCTTAGAATCTGCTCTTGCCAGTCAAAATTTAGCACAAGCTCGTATCTTGCCAACTTTTCCGCCTGGACAGCGAGAACAGGAACCACTGGACGGTATTGCTAGACAGGTGAACCATGTCAGAATACGGTTAAATCGAGCTAAATGGGAGAATATCGCATTTGTCGCCATACAAATATGGTTTGTCGTTATGGCGTTTGACGCTGTGAGTATACGACATAGAAAAAGCAAAAAGCCTAGAGTACGGATCTAAATTTACTTATTGATCGCCGTATAACACGCTTTTCGTAGACTATATACCAAAATGCATCCGAAGTCATAGCGCTTGCGGTCATTAATTTGGTCTGTGCAGCTTTAGGCGGTCTGCAAGTTATACAGGCCGGACACCGGATAAAAACAATTCAGGGGATCAACCAGGATTTCGACCTGAATATCAATGTATACTCAATACGGACAGTCTACTATATGACGATCGTCGCAACGGCATGCTTGACCCTATTTGCATTTATATTTTTATATTTATCGATTTTGGTCGTACGTGAAATTGGTTGGGTGACCTATAAAAAGATCGGTCCGGATGTTGGTATACAAAGTAAGCATCAAAATTTGGGTCACACAAGTTTGGTGCTGCAAAAAAATCAATGACCCACTATTACGATCAGCATCCCTAACCGCAACAAAATGAGCAATGCTTAATAGAAATGTACACCGTCTTCCAGCTATTTGTATTAGCACTCAAGATCGATGTATTTGTCGAATTCTTGGTGTCATGCTTTTACGTCACGCAGTTTGCTACGGAAAGCGGGTTCGAATGGGAGACATGGGTCGAGCTGTGTATCACTGTTTCGATGTTGCCAATGCTATACTTTGCACGGATAGCTGTCGCTGCAGAAAAACGGTGGCAAATGATCATATTTATTCTTTTCCAGCTTCTCGTCGTAGCCGTATTTACTCTAATGATCTTCCAGACAATGGAGCCCGGTAACTTTTGGTACACATATATTGTTGCTATCGGCTTGGTGTTTGCAGTGGTAATAGATAGCGCCGCAATTATGAGCATATATTATCATATTATTACGTAATAGTCGAGTCTATTAACATATGAATCTTTATGTATATGCTGTAGGTCACACCTATGCTTGGATGTTGGACAATGTATAATTTCAACAAAGGACTCGCTCCATATATTCAACGTGGTAAAAAGAAGAAAGAATACCCGACAAAACAACAAGAACTCCATGAGCAAAGCCCACTCCAGTCATCATGGCAAATTGACGACGATTGAGTTCTTACAAACTTTTCATAGCTACATATACCCTTCCCAAACTTTGTCATTATCATCTTGTCTGCCTTTTGAAGACTCTTGTCAATAATCCTATTCTGCGTGACATCGTATTCTTTTTTAGTTTGGATGGGAAGGTCTTTCGTACGGAGTATTATACGCTGTAAGCAACTTCGAAAGATTGTGCATTAGTACTGTACGAAACTCAAAGCCTAGGAGAAGCCAAGCTTTTATAGCATGCCTTTTAAACGAGATAGCCATGTCTCTATGTTGACAATGTACCGAATTTAATAGATTGAAATATTGCTTACATGGCGACAATCGGTTATTTTGTGCAAGCTCTCTTCGATATTATACACGCTAGATGATTATTTATAGCAGTTAGAAACATCCTCATAATATATAATATATCACTGTTTTTAGTGATCCAATTGAAATATCTAATATATATTAAAAGACCTCACGACAAACGATTGCTTAGTAGATGGTAACAACAAAGATTTACATGATTTACACTCATATAAAGTTAGCACCAATAGGAAGCCTGTTTTTATGCTAATGCAGGCCAAGCTGACTCTTTTGCCGCAATGTCAAATGCGAACGTCCGCCGTTTCGTTCTCAAAATTTTCTTCGTTCCCTTACTTTTCAGTAACAAAATAACATGGCCCGCAGTTTAAGATCACAAACCAAAAAGAGATTCCGAGGTACGTTTCCAACTTTAATTGGGTTAATTCAAGGATATCTATACGTTTTATCACACTTATTTACAACTATTTTTTTGAAATTGCTGTTTAGCTATTAAGCGGGAAAATGTATTCAAGCCAGTTGAAGATCTGCGACTTCAACGATTAGCTGAAGCACAAGCCAAAGCAGCCGATAAACCCAAGGTTGGCGATCACATGGAGGAGGAAAAGCTGGATTCCGGTAATACAATGGACACTACCGACGAAACCAAAAAGATCTCGACGGGTGGTGCTCGTAACAACAAAGTGGCTCGCAAGTTGGCCAAAAAGAAGGCAAAGAAGGCTCATAAGCCAAAGTCGACCAAGAACCTCTTCTAAAAAAAGTTTTACTTTTCGACACGCACTTCATAACAACACATACACGACCGCACAACATCAATAATCCTCTTTTTTCTTCCGTTATCGCTCTGTATCTCTCATTTTTGCATTCTACATTGTTTTCTTTATGTATCCATGATATAAAATCGTATGCCATAAAAATATTTGCTTTTCTTGTTCAGACTGCGGTGTTTCAGAAGTGGGGTATAACTGGAAGCGCCTGCAACCATTGAACGCGTGGTAGCTCAACTCTTCTTTTTTCGTTTGTAAATCGATAATGACAGTAACATTACTCTCTTCTCCACCCGATCTTTCCGATCAGGCTGTTCGACACACACAATGCAACATTGATCTACTCATTTTACCACCGTTGTCAGGCGTTGACAGCACGATCCAAGGCGAATTAAACGTCTGTGAAAGGTAGAACAGAACAAACTCAATCGAGCGCACAACAGCATTTCCTACCTTATGAAAAACGATCAGACAAGCATTTAATAACAATTCGTTTACTCTGATACAGTCAAGTTTATTTCTATTCAGAATCAGCCGGATCGGGTATTGCCGTTGAATATCCAGACATCATAATCCATGCCATTTCGCGTCAAGACGGTCGACCAAGCATTTACTGTCAACTTGAAGCTGGCCGTTTCTTTCCCAACCAACAATTGCCTGAAGACGAAGAAGAACGAGAAGATGTTGTGACTGAACTCAAGTTTATGCCCCAAGATCCCGGCGCACGTAAGTTGGCACCGACGTTATTATGCGGAATAAGAAGGATAAGGGAGACAGTGATCGTTAGTAGTATTTGGCACATAAGCAGCGGTGGGCTAATAGGTCGTATGAAATTCATAGTGGAAGCTATTTACATGGCCATGTCAACATGCGCAGCGCTTCATCCAGACGAGGACTTTTTGGCCGAGCAAAAGGCGCTGGAAGAAGAAAACGACTTCTTTGCAGATCCAAGCGATGAAACCGAACTGAACGAAGTACAACAAGCCGCGTTACGCCACTTGGAATCTGTCTTTGTTTCTCCTGCACCTCAGCAGCAACAACAAAATGGAACAGCATCAGAAGAACAAGACCAAGATAAACAACACCAGTAGCAGCAATAATGAAATAGTGGTTTTATTATGATAAATTACTACTACAACCAATTTCAGCCATACGCCCTAATACATTCACTAAATCACCACTTGTCTTGACATGCCAATTTGCCATTGTTTTCTTTTCCGGTGGACCGATGGTGATAGAGTATAAGGCTTGCGCATGTGCTAATCGTGCAGTGCTCAGTGTTCGGAACATGTCTTCGTCCGTCTTGTCGTCGCCAGCGCAGATCACAAAGTCGGCATTGGCATGTTGTGCCAAAATGCGTTTTACAATCTCGCCTTTGTTCACTGAAGCAGGTCGTACTTCGATATTCTTTTTGCCGATCAGGACTTCAATGGGTAGCTTGGATACAATTGCGTTTTCAAGGTGGTTTTGACACTCCTTGGCTTGAAAAGCACTAGGGATAGAAAGAGAAAGTATTTGTAGAACATCAGCATCCAATCCGAGCAAGTTTGCAACAATTTCGACCACAGCAGCTGGTTCTTTACCCGTATTGTGCATCAGCCATACGATAGTGCCAGGTGATGGATGATTTTTTGAATTCGATGAAACTTCCTTGCGTTCTTTCAGTGTAGTACTCAAAGATCTCTGTAACGTCATGCTTCCAGCTCATATTGACATCGTCAAGAACATTTGTCCATTGTGTCGCTTTGGCGGGCTTCAGGAAACACCCATGTTCTGCGCTTAGGCCAATGTTGGTGACAGTACTGCCGAGCCAGTTATCTAATGTTTGCTGATCTCGTCCCGAGATAACCCAAACTTCGTTCCGTGGATCGTCGCACAAGGTTTGGAGATATTGCAGCATTTCCTTGGAGGGCCGTGCGTCGGATGGAACCGACACAATAGGCGTTAATGTACCCTGGAGAGATTCATGCCCGGTCATTATAAGATCTCTTTTTTCAAACTGCCTTTGAGAACGAGAGAAAAAGGACTTACATCATAGTCGAAAAACATAAGTCGCTTCTCAGCCTTATTATAAATATCCAATAGTAAATCACTATCAAGCGCAGGTGTGGCATGGGATTGTAACGATCGTTGCTCGGTGCAGCTTACAAGCTGCTTGACAAACGAATGTGCCCAGAAACTGGCGGTGTGCGCGGTAACATGTTCATACAATTGCTAGATATCTTCATTAGCATTGCTACTATCGAAACGCATCTTAGTGATGTGGAAATCTTTCAGCAAACAATAATACTGTACCATATGTCGGGTCAATTTCTCTTCTGGAGTCATAGACAATGCTTCGTTGATTGCCTTGGCGACACCAGCAAAATCCCACGGATTTACCATCATGGCTGCACTAAGCGAGCCGGCGGTTCCCGTAAATTCAGACAAGATTAACGGACTGTAACGTTCCTGCTCATGCTGACAAATAATAAACTCGAACGAAGTCGTATTCATGCCGTCGCGAACACTCGTAATTAAGCCGACATCCGCCGCCGACAGCAAAGCATAGTACTCATCGCGATCAATATCCTGATGATAATGGTGCACGGGTGTAAACTCGAGCGAGCCATAGATGCCATTGATCTGACTAACGAGCTCAGAGACCTTGCTTTCCAGCTTGTTGGCGCCATGGACAGTGGGTGTAGTGACCTGAATCAAAACGACCTGATTACGCCATTCCGGATAATCATGCAGGAACTGTTCAAACGAGCGTAGTTTTTGTAATACGCCTTTGGTTTGATCCAGTTTGTCACGTCCGATGATAATCTTTTTCCCCGCATACATACTACGGATGGCGTCCATTTTTGGCTGCACGCCGGGTTGTTTGCGGAAGCGGTTGACACGATCGACGTCGATGCCGATAGGGAATGTGCCGACTGAGACCTGGTGTGAGTTGGCGTTGACGCCTACGAGTGTGCTCTCATAGCCTAGCACACGCGTGCATGAGGATATAAAATGACGTGCATAGGAGTATGTCTGAATATTATAGAAAGCGAAAGAAAGGTTGATAGATGGTGATCAAGACGGCATTCCTTTTTTGTTGGGTAGCACAACCTTTCCCATGTTTTCCTTTTCTTTCCCTACCTGAAAGCCGACGAGATCAGCACCCGCCATCCCTCTGAGGATTTCCTTTCGTGCTATACGACGATAGCGATATATGAGCAAACAATGCTGCAGCAAGATGTATGATAGACGATGTATTCTTTGCATCTTTACCTGCCAGGCATCGGAAGATCTCTGAGCTAGGAAATGTAGCATGGATAAAAATACCAATGGCGGCATCTGGTATGTGTGCGCGGACCATTTCGGGAACCAATAGGAGATGATAATCCTGGATGCAAACTGTTGTTGTGCGAAAATGTGTTAGTATAAGAGAGAGGGTGCACCTCTGTTGCTGCTATATCTCCAGCCTCCACTGTCCCTTCACTCAGCCTTTTCCATAAGCTTACTAATATCGCCTTTCTTATACTGTGCTACAACCGTATCTGCAAACTGCTGATTGACTGCCACGTAATCCTTCCAGTATTGTTTTTCGTTACGTCCGTCCGTCGCATTCGTCCACACGAGATAATGAAACAACGGCCAAAGAACTAAGAAAATCGATCATCTCTGTGTTACACCATCACAATTCCATATATGTAACTTCTTCCGTGATCACATCATCATCACCACCGTATTTTTCAACACCCTATTGAGTATAGTCCTCCCCGTCAGGCGTCAGACGAAAATTGCTTACCCTCTTTGCAGTATCCTTCATAATGACCATGTGCCTTATTATCCAGAAAAATAGGTACAATCTTCCCTGTCTCCCGCAGTAATCCTTCCAACTTCTGCTTATCCTTTGGCTCTATGGATTCCGCGGAAACAATCTTTTTCGAATGCGCAACACGAATTGGCCCGGTCCAGCCAATATGGATCGTCTCCCAATGTTGAGCGAGACTCTGCAGGCCGGCGTACAGTGCTCCATGGCCACGACCTTGGACAACGGTCCAATCAGCTGCATGAAACTTGACGCGTAATGTTCCTTGACGTCGGTGATGGCGGGCCAGTTTGGAAATCGGGGCGCCGGATGGGTATGTTGCTGCTGCCTTTTTTTGTTGGTGCATTTTTCTGAACAGATCCACACTTTCGTGCTCTTCATCCGTCGTGGAATCGAGGGATGATGCAGCGGGAGAATAAGGTGGCGTTGGTGGTTGTTGTTGCTGATTTGCTTGTTGTTGTTGATCTTGGGTATTATCATAATCGTCAATGGGCGTCATAGTAGGTGGTGATCGCATAATGCTGTATGGAATTTGGTGCGTCACATTGATGATGCGACCTGGTATATTGGGTAAATGGCCCGATAGTGGTAGGAATTGAGCCACGTTTTCTGCCGTCAACAGATCGTTTAATGTCATCTTCCCCTTTACACCTTAGCCAATAGTAGTATAAAGATATGGGGTAAAGAAGTAGTATGAAGAAATAGAGAGAAGAAAGGGAGAGTTTGTGTGGTAGTGCGAGTGTGTGTTTGTGATATGAGAAAACGAGCTGGCTGGGATTTCGATCTTCTCTTTGCCTTTTTATAGGATCCAGAAGAAGTTATTTATCTCCCGAACAACGGGAAGAAGTGACCGGGCGCCAGCGCATTCAGGGTATCATCGTTGGGTCGGACAAAACCAATCTTGTCCGGCGGGTTGGTTGTGGGCGCTATTAATCTGTATGTACAATAACTTATTTTCACATTCCTAGAAGATAAACTAAGTCTTCTTTATTATACAACGCACATCTTCCTTTAGACAAAACAGAAACGGGGTTTGACACGTGGTCACAGAACAGCTGTGTGCCAGCACATTAGAAGCATCATGTGGATTTGCTATTGGTAAAGTAAAATTTAGGGAGTGGCCCATCTTCATCGGAAAAGGCTTGAACCTTGTCTTATCTCTGGGTTTGCTGCATATCCTCGCCAATCCTGTCAATCACCATAATACACTTTTTGAGGCGGAGCCGTTTATACCTTTCTTGACGTTTCTCAACATGTCCAAGTTTGGCATATCGATCTCTCTCTTTCTCTCGGCTGTCTGCTGTTCTTTCTATCATCACAAGATGATGATGATGATGATGATTACTACATGCACACACACATAAATATGGCTGTTTATATACATAAATACCCGCGCCAAAAACAAAATATTACAACATAAGTTTATAGTACAATGATGCTATTGGTAAAAATGTTTTACTGGCAATCCTTGCCGGGACAACCACACCGTTGTTGTTGTCATTCCCATGGTGAAAAAATTGGTTGTTACGCAACAGACCTATGGCTAGCGGATGCTGTTGTTGATGATGTTGCCACCGCATTTGCCGGTTTTTATCGTCACGATTGTCGTGTCGATGATGATTTACTTTAAGCGGTCGAGGAACGATGATGCTATTGTTGTCGTAGCTGTTTACATAGTAACAATACAACAAATTTTGTCTAGACCGATAATCCAAACATTTCGATACGTTCTTCGAAAACTCTATCATCATAGTTGCATACCAATGTCATCGTCTTTGATATGTTCAACATGGTGTATATTATACAATCGTCCGCGATGCGAAAGGTATGAGTGGCACTTACGTGAACAAGAAGATGAAGATAAAAGCGGTTTGGACTGGATCACAAGAACCAGACAACGTGTTGTTGTTGCCATCGCTATCCCCTCTTTACGTTGTCGCTTTTGTTGTTTCTTTTTAAGAATCATCACTGGGTGACGATGATTGGGCTTGAGGATCTTTTTAAAATAGGACAAGAGCAAATGATCATGCAACCACCCCTTCCTCAACCATTTCCGTCTTGCTGTGTTTGCCAGTAGCATAGTCGTAACAGCTAGTAAAACTGCTACAGCAATAAGAAAAGTTTTTGGGCGACGCTTTTTCATCAACCATTCCAAAAAATACATGATCCGTTAAGTGTGAATATCCGGGAAGAGGAGCAAAAAAAGAGTTCAATTAATCAATGAGATATAGATAGAAACGCGGAAAAATAAGGAGTTGGTATAATGTTGTTGTTGTTGTTGTGATGGTATAGGGTTGTTGGCTACTGTGCATGAAACCCTTTTTGCCAAGTTCATCCAATTTTTTTTGGCGGACGAGCATATAGTAGATGTAAACAAACCATACCCCTGTATTTATGATGATGATATGGAGAACCATTTACTGTACACTTTCCAAATGATAGTATAGTACATATTATGATGTGTAAGAATTAGACATAATTGGAATAAAAAGACGTATTAACAAAGAGGTGCTGCTATGTGGGTAAAGACTGAGACGTCATCTCGTGTATATCTACCATCGGGGGAGAGGGAGAATGCATGTGCTGTTCAGCTTCATAGGTTAACCGGCCGTGCTCATCCATGATTCCCAGGGCCCGTAACCGGATATCTAACCCATCCGCGTACATGCAGAGCCACATTACCCATGTAGGCATTAACGGCGTCGGCTGCCATGTCAAGAATTCGTACGTCGTATCTGCATCGAACGATGCCAACCGTGATCGGAATAGACTTCGAGTGGAGTGTCCTCGAAACGCAAACATGGTGCGTTTTGATGCCTCTAGAATAGTGTCCATGTACATGTACCATGCTGAATATGTGATATCTTTTTTTATAAAAGACGAAAATGGCGCATATAATAGCACGGCCCCCTTACGTTAGTTTCGTTCACTATGTGTAGGGTCTAGCTGTGCGTACTACTGCTTCATCTTCTTCTTGTCGCTTTCCCACGTCCATGCATGGGAACAAACACACAAAAGCACGAAAAATAACTTACAAACAGCCAAGAGTACATCAACGGTATAATGAAACCGAGTAAACAAGATCATAAGTAAAGCTGCAAGCACAATCAAATAGGCAATCCAGCTAAATATACGTCTTACGCGCGTATGAATGCGCCAGACCATCACGCAGGACATCATGGCCGATGTATGACCTGAAAAGATGTTGTCTGTGCACGGACTCAGCTGTCCACCGATTTGTCGAAACAGAAAACTGAATCGGGCACCTGCGGACCCGTTCAAGGCTATATCAGACGGCACGCAATTGTTGACACGAGATGAAGGCAAAGTTGTCACAGCCACACAGATGCCTCGAAAAATGTATATGGCGCCCATAATTACAAGCCATCGACGTAAAACAACTATCCTTGTCGTCCAATCTGGCGACTGCAGTGCGAAACCGAGTGTCGTATACAGTAAGGTGGTAAGCAGCAAGTAGTTGACAGTTAGATAGTTTTCAACGCGTGGGAATGCATCGTGCATCAAGTCGGCTAACGTATACTGATATTTTTGTGTGTGCATGTGTACATGGTTATTGTGTCATTATAATGTCAGTATGTAGGATAACCATGCAGCACACAGTGCCAAGAGAAAATCAACAGTGTCTTACCTTGTCATACGGAAAATGCGAATATCGAATTTCGCTCAACTGGGCAAGAAAAGACTCAATGAGTCCGCATACAATAAGCCAAATGACGGACAGTGCGAGTCGCAAGAAATCATGGTTGTAAAAGATATACAAAACATCGTGCCAGGTCCGAATTCGGCCCGGCGGCTCGAGTCGTAACTTGATAAATCCAATCCGCTGCCATGTACTATCCCAACGAGCGATTGATGCAGGTGGCTGTCGCCCCTTTGCGCTCGAACGGAGGAGGTATTGTATCATCAGAACTTATTTAAAGAGAAGAATTAAAAGAAAAAAAGAGTGAAACAAAAAAATGAGGTTCCATGTTTTCGGATTTAAGAGCTGTAGTGATATCTTGTTTGTTTTAAAGGAGTAAAAGCAAGGGTCGCATGTACGTAACACTGTTCGCTGACAGCAATACATCACAGTATGATAGCTGATCTCCATCATGCGTAACAGAACCGAAGTTTCAATGTCTATCAGTCCGGAAACAAGGAAGCTACATAGTAGACGTGCCCCTTCCTGTTCATCCTTGCTATCATTTTTTATTATACTACTAGAGCAATTTTTGATGTTTATAGACTATTATCATTAGCATTGCTATTTAATAGTTGCTGTTCTTTTTCATTTCATCTTGTATCTTCCGATGAAGGACACACATATAATCGACATAGGTTTGTACTTCGGCATTCCGGTCTTCGGTCATCCACGTTGAAAATGCAAATTCAACAGCATCCATCTCCTGCCGTACAATACGCAGTTGCAGACATCGTGCTCGTTCAGACTGTAATTGTCTTGAGATATCATGAATTCGTTCGGATAATGAGTTGTCCAGAATAGGTAACGTCGTCTATGAGCAAAGGGTCATTAGTTGCGCTCTTTATCCTTTCCTGCTTTTACTCTATTCATAATAAAAAATTACCATGTTGATATCAATTTGGTCTAGACGTGATACGCCAAAAACTTGCTCCAAGAACTCGGCAGGAATCCTGCTTCCAACCCAAAAGTAGAGGTCATAACCAGTATCTAGTAGTCGAGAAATAATGGCGTATAAGTTAGAAAGAATCGCCGTACGAAGCATGACAATGAATGTATTAGGCTAATAGTTTGTATACCGAGCAGATAAGCGCCCTTGGAGTCCAACCGTTCATAAGAAGCGCGAATCATGGGTGGCAACTTGACTTCACCCTTCAAGTTTGCCACACCGTCTTCTCCGGTCAATTGATGCACCGCGAACATTCGTGGATAGAGCGTCCAGACCAGTTCGCATACACTCATACAATTTAAAGATTTCATGCCAACTACTCTTGTATCCACGTTCATGTCCGCGCCCACTATTCAACAGCAAGTTATACTACATATCAGCAAAACGGTCAACTGGCTTTGATCCGAAATGAATAGCCTACTTACCGCCACGTAGAGAAGTCGATCGCAGGGCACCATGTACATAGACAGGCAACAGTTTGAATGCTTCAGGTAAAATTAATTGACCAGCCGACGTTGATGCTGCACAATTGGTTCTATATGCCGTAAGGATATTCACACATTCTTCTGACAGCTTGGTATGGATATCTCGCCTGTTTTTATGGTATGAATCAAAGATGGCTGATGGTGAACGGGATCGGTTAGTATCAGATTACATGCATTGACAATAGAAAAAATATTGCCTTTTTTCCGGTGCGTTTGCTTGAATTGGATTATATATCCCCTTTACCTTTGCGCACAATAATACTGATGGCAGTATCCTCATCACCTCCTCGGAACACATCTGCGATTTGATTTGTTGCTTGTAAATTCAGATTGTGGACACGAACACGTCGCTCACCGGACCGTGTGGTATATAATAAGGCTGCTTGGAAGTTGACACCCTTAGAAAGGTCCAGTTTGCTGTCATGTTTTAAAACGGCTGCAAACGCCTTATCCTGATCGACTCCCGCCAAGTCCATATCGGTATATGTGCTCATGTGACAGTTACCATAATGATCAATTACTTGAAGACCTGCATTTGTGATAATCAATACCCTGTTGAGTACTACAAACTTCCCAAATTTAAGCAGTCATATCACATGTATCAGTTTACCATCAGAGCATCGGACACGCATAACACCATCATAACCGGTTTCACGATGTACGTCGTGATCAAGTTGATAAGCAATCTTCGAGCTGTCCCGCGCAACATTGAATCCGGGATAGTAACGCAAATCACCCCCTGTTAAGCTGCTAATTGATCCCAGTGTGGCCGCATCGATAAACTCAGTCGGGAAGAGCCATGTGTTTACACAAAGTGCATTCTTGACACATTCGTTACCGAGCTCCTTATATACGTCGTTTTGTGGATTCAGTAGTTGTTTTTCCTTGTCAGTGTTGTATAACGCCTTGTCGTCTCGGGTTCTCAGTGCGTCGTTGCCATAGGTTGGTAAGCAAGATGAGAAAATGAACAATTGGCCACCCGTATTTTGCTGCATGGATACGAATGATATCGAAAGGTAAGAGCTCTGTTGCTTATTACGAGTGCAACAATTTTTTCTTTGATACGTACCAATGCTAGTAATCCTCCTCGAACAGCAGATGTGTATACAGCTTCAGGACGAACCGAATCCTTAAACATTGTTGGAAGATTATCCAGTAATTCAACAATTATATCCCTAAACATCAATTCATCCCACGTCAGTGCTTCGTTAAAAACTCAAATTTGGTTTAATAATGGTATACATACTGTGACTCTACCGGATCTACCGAAAATCCCTCCTGCAACGGCAAAAACATTTCATTGATATCGCCCACTACTAACATTTGTGCCTGAGACAATGCAGGCTAAAAAGAGGATAGAAAAAGTGTTAACAAAAAACTCACTTAACGGCAGTAAATCCCAATTGATACTATATATATTGCGAGACTTACCGATAAATTATAGAATTGCACACTGCGATCAAAAGTTATTAACCCAATACGATTGCCCGATGCCAATCGACTGTCACCCTGACCACTAGCACCATAAAGAGTATGTTTGAGAGCATCGCAACAAGCTTGCAACATACCGCTACGTACAGCCTGAGCGGAAACATCAATAGCAAACACGTAGCTTAAAGGGGCTGGTTTGCGCTGCGAGTGATAATCTGCCGGAACTCGAAACTCGACCGAACCGTAGCGCAATTCGGGCCGCTGGTCCACATCAATGCGTCGTCCCGACATATCAACATTGGCAAAGTACCACGAGGGGACTTGGTTTGAATGAGAGCAGATATTACAAATAAAATGAGATCCACCTTGAGCAAATGTGCACCATGGGTTGATATATGCACGGCACCGGGTACAACGAACAGGACCTTCTTCGCCTTGGTCGACTACTTGGATCGGCACCTCTTCTTTCTTTGGTTTGGCGAGTGGTTGAATAACCAAGCCCATTGGTAACTTTGATTGATCAGCAAGTTCTTTGCTATGCGGTATTTTATCCATGGTCGATCGCATAAAACGTGGATTGCAGTTTCCTTTATCATATAATTCGCTGCTGCTAAGTGTTTCTTTTCATTTTAAATTTTTCCCATACACACATCCTTTTTTTCTTTTCTTCCCGTGTAGGTCTTAATACCTTGGTCCAAACCAATGTAGTTGGTCGTCGCCAATGGAACGCGTTCTCGTTCAATTGTACCAAAGAATTTGTCGCCGAAAATCATTTGATCTTGTTCCCGTACCTGAACAGGGGCCGGCATTTGATCTGGATCAATACGCGGTCGTGGTTGCTGGGGAGGTCGCAGCTCTGGCGGTAATTGCTGGCCCGTGTGAGTAAATGGACCCTGGGTATATCCGACGCCCGGGGCTGCACTGCGTGCCGTGGGATTAGGTTGAGCAGGACTTGGCTGGGTAGGTGGTAAGCCATGGGGCCATGGTTTGTTGGATGGTGGTGACGCAGTTGTCGCAGCTGCTGCTTGTTTATTGTTGGTGACTGATGCAACGTCAGGAGCGACAGGATAAATACGTTTCGAATGGTGTGAAGCCGGTGGTGTCGTTGCTGGCGGAGGGGGTCTCTGCGTATCGAATCGTATTAGTTCGCTTTGATTTCAAACTTAAATTTTGCTCTTCTCCATGTTACCTGCGCCAAAGGTTGCTGCTGCTGTGCTGCCATAGATGGCTGCTGAGCAAAAGGTGGTTGTTGTTGCTGCTGATGTTGTAAAGAAGGTCGTTGTTGATACTGTTGTTGAGGCGAAAGAGGACGTTGCTGAGCTTGTGGCTGCTGCAAGTGCATATTTTGCATGGGCGATACCAAGTTGTTGGGCGTTTCTTGAGGAGGGCGTGGTGGTGAGTTGGCAGCAATCGGTCGCTGTTGTACGGGTCGCATCGGCATACCAAAAGCTGGTCGAGGAGGTGCTGCTAAAGAAGTTGCTGCTGTGTTACTTTTTTTAACCTAATTTTTGTCTACGATGTCTTTATTTTTTTCGCGTTGTGTGCGATTAAGAAAATTATGCACCTGCAGCTGGATTAGGCATGACGGGTCTTCCAGGCACTGGGTTCATGGGAGGTCTTGCGCCGGGAATGGGCGCCAATGGTCTCATCCCGGGCCTAACTGGCTCCTGTGGTCGTGGTGGCGCTCCCATGGGCGGCCGTTGATCACCATTCATTTTCGTTAATAAGTAATTTCGTTGCGCGATCCCAAAACGATACGGGAAACGTGTGCAAGTGCAGCGGCGAAAAAAAGTGTGCCTACAAAACCTATCTCCGCAAAGTACACGTTTTCGTTTATTACGGTGAAAGGCGGTGACAACAATAACATGTCGTTAAATAGCACTGAAGTTCGGCGTAAAATCCTGGTTTTCTACTAAACTTGCGATTATTTTATGCCATTGAATTGGCTCTGGCCACATTGTCACCGTTGACAAAAGCTATTTTCTGGATCGCCTCCTCGTAAATATTAGGTTGGGCATGTTATTAGTTCTTTTTCAGCAAAAGATAGAATTTATTACCCGTGGAGATCGATGCATATCCATGAGAAACCATTTTCACCAGTTGTTCCTGTTCATCTCTTTTTACAATACATGCGACACTATGAGTATTATGCATAAGGCTAGCTGATATTCTCTTTCTTTCTTTATCATAGCTTCATTGTTACTGTATGCTAATCAAGTAGTTCCATATATCTCTTCATCTCATAATGTTCAGTCACTGCATGTTGCCATGAATTCTTTTGATAAAATGATAGCAAATGGATTACCAAACACCTGACGAGCGCTGACAATTTGGCATCTATAACAGCTGCTGCTTCTGCTAAGCTTCTGGCTAACTCATTGCTTTTTCCATCTTCTTCAAAAGCTGCAACAGGTAGCATTTGCCCCAAATTCCACTTTGCAAAACTGCGCCAATGGCCAAGTGCGTTCTGCTCTTAGTACACGCTTTTTATATATCAAAAAAGGTGGGCATGATTTAGCCATCTAGTCTTTCCAAGCGAGCAACATATATAACCTCAGTAGTTTTGCCATTTGTAAGCAAATACTTTTAGGAGATATAGCTGGTGGCGCAAATCACTCCAACAGCAGCCATACCACATGATACATTGACAGGTGCCCAAAGATTGGGATCAAAACGCTTGTAACCATTGTATCAAGCAAAGTAACACCAGTCATGGTAGCCATTTGACAAGAAACAGACGGGAAGTGCTGAGACCAGCACTCTTTTTTATGCCATTGACCGCACATAAGCTCCCCTTCTTCATATGACTATAATTACCTACTGGCTGTAGGTGCTAGGATAGCAGCAAAGATACTTGGTAAGCCATGCAACACACCAGGCAAAAAAATGCACAAACGTTTCGTCACATGCGTATTGATTGATGATGCTTGACTCGGCTTGAAAGAACAGAGTATATTTTTGGCTTTTTGGCGGTAAAGTTGAAAATCACTTGCGCTGGCCCTCAAGAAAATTCTGTAAATGATCACACAGAAGACAAGACTTACACATGTATCTCTGCTGTTTTCCAGCGATACACGGCAACCTATCACATGCAGGCATGCAGTTAATGTAAGATAAAGGAAAGTCGAAATTTTGAACAATTTTTTTGTGCTTTTAAACCCGAACTCATATTTTTTGTTGCTGATTCCAATACAGTCGCTTTGCATTTATGTAAGAAAGTATCAGTGCATATCCAATAATTAGCACACACAGTATCAAGCAAAAGGGCGTGCCTCTCATCTTGTAACAAGGTGCTTTGTTTTGATTCATGTGGCAAATGGGCCACCTTCCAAAGATTACAGAAGGGAGATATATGTAATGCAATGCTGAGAGGTTTTTATTACGATGCTTTTACTTCTTCTGCAGTACCGGCAGTAGCAATGGTACTGGTAGTTGATGAGGAGGTAGTAGATTTTGCAAACAACATATCCAAAGCAGCCATAGCCTGGATAAGATCCTTCTGTAAGTCAATTTCACCATTGACTTTACGAGACAGTTTCCGCAACAGATCGTCAATAAGTGGTGACTGACCCAATACTGGTCCATAAATATCTATATATACAAACAATAAAATGTGAGCTTACCGTGCATCTTTTCTCCTCCCATGTGTATGTGCACAAGTACACCCAAAGGCGCAATTTACCTAGTAATACTTCGGATACATCCACCAACAAGTTTGTGTAGGCCGGCGTGTTGATATGTCGGATCAAGAAAGTGACCAAGGGTTCTAACGAGACATCATCACGACCTGATAACGCCGACACCAGCACCTGACGATGCATCAATTCCTGCAACATGGCTGTAACCAATGCTCCTTGTCGTTGTGTGGGCTCCAAAACGGCATCCAAAGCGTTATGGTACTCGTGTTGTTTCAGAAACTTGTCATACTTTGACAGCTTAGCCCGACGTCTACCTTCAACCGTAAAATCTGCTGCCTCTGCCGTACTTGATTGACCACGCATGAAGTATCGATAAGTACCCGATCCAATATAATCCCGGTTCTTCTTCTGTGATGCCTTTTCATCGCTCTTGTATTGTCGTTGACGAACCGATAATAATCCATTTGCCATACCAGCCACCAAATGGCTATCATCCGGTGAAAGTGCGACGCTCATGACAGGTGCTGGGTATTTAATGCTGTGAACAACCTTGTAATCTTGAACATTGTGAATCTTAACATGATGATCAAGCGAACCGGTCAATAAACGTGATCCGCTGCTGTTAAATGCCAAGCTCGTAATGGTCTTTTGATGATTAGAAATGGCATGAATGCATCGTCCGCCAGCCAATAAGTCCCAAACTTTAATCGTGGGTCCACCGGCAGAGACAACTGCAGATCCACCGCCAGGATACATCAGGATGGATTCGACAGGTGCGCCGTGTTGCATGGTCATGACGCTGCTGTTGGTTCTGGTGTCAAATAATTTGACGGTTTGGTCGTACGAGCCCGTCAGAATCAAGTTCGGGTTGTCGTCGCTTACTACACCGGCACGGACATAATCTTCGTGATCTTCAAACACATGCACACTGGATTCAGAGGGTATATCCCACAGACGGACTGTTTGATCGTCTGAGGCAGAAAGCACATGGGCCTTGTCGTTGGAAAATCGTGCCACATGGACGGGCCTAAAGTGACCAGTTGATTAGAAATTATGCCTGTTTGTAGTATATTGAAAAGTGTCGAATTAGTGCTTACATTGTGTGTGCTCGGAACGTTCGAAGAATCGCGCGAGAATTAACGTCAAACATTTGTACCAGACCAGTGCCATCGCCTGCGACGACCAGTTTACCGTCTTGTCGGAACGATCCGGAATAGGCCACTTCTTTGAATCGTGAAATGGTCTTTTTGGCTTGATGCGTTTTTGACGAATAGATCTGGACACGTGCGGACGATGTAACAGCAAAATCGTGTGGTGATACGGGTGAAAAGTTGATGGATGTGACACTGCCATATTCTTTAATCAGGATCGGTGACTAGAAGAGAGAAAATGAGTATACATAGACATTTAAATCCACTGTAGAGTTGAGGGGGGAAGGATCTATGTTGACAAGGTTGATAAGGCAAATCGAGGAAAGTGATGTACCTTGAATCGCTTCCAGTATTTTGCTTCGGGTGTTTCTTTGTACAAAACCCGAGGATTTTTTTTGATGACAAGTTTTTGATATTCCATGGTCTATAATTCTATGTGTATGTGTATGCGTGGGCAGCAGAGCTGGTAGTCTTCACTTTTTTTTGAAATGGCAGCATATCCACAAAAAAGCCACCTTATACGCTGTCGGTCTTTGAACGCTGTTACGGCGCGTGGTGTTGCCTTGGAAAGTTGAACCATTGTAGGAACTCCCCTTCTCTAATTATCGACCAACATGGTGAGTAGTTGAAAGGAGTGCTATATAATAAAAGCGGAAATGGGAAGCATGCTGGTGAAGAGAGCATGGATGGATGTAGCACGTACATAGATGGATGCAACAAATACAACTCAATGGATCGACGAAAAAAAAACGAACGGATGGATTATATACGCAACGACTCGATAACTTATTCATCGAAATTCTCTCCTGAATCGATTTACTATATAGCCTACCAGACTCCACCACAACAGAAAGAAGCGTGGACACGTTTCTGCCGGTCACGGTCGTGTTGGTAATTATCAATTGAAATAACGATCCATCCTTTCTCTCAACTTGAAAACGACACACTTAAAACCGCACCACAAGAAAAAATGGCAAGAAATGCTCAATTGTGACATTTAAATTAACTATATAGGCAAGCACCGTAAGCATCCCGGTGGTCGTGGTCTTGCTGGTGGTCAGCATCACCACCGCATCAACATGGACAAGTACCATCCTGGTTACTTCGGTAAGGTCGGTATGCGTCACTTCCACTTGAAGCCTAACGCCTACTGGAAGCCCATCGTCAACCTTGACAAGATCTGGTCTTTGGCCGGTGAAGGTGTCCGTGAAAAGTACAAGAACACGGAAAAGGTCCCCGTTGTTGATGCTTTGGAGAATGTACGTTATCATTGGTTTGCTTCCCTTCTTCTATCAGCAACTTCTCCTTCATACTTGCCTTCTCCTATAAAGCAAAAAGGCTAGACAAAGGATTTAATTGATTAACTGGCTTGTACCTTATCTACTTATTAGGGCTATGCTAAAGTGTTGGCTAAGGGTAACGTCTCCCAGCCCGTCATTGTCCGCACCCGTTTCGTCTCCCGCCGTGCTGAGGAGAAGATCAAGGAAGCTGGTGGTGGTACGTATAATCTCTATTGCCTTGTTACATGATGATCAGTGCAAATGTTTGGTCCTAATCCGCCCTTATAATAGCTGTCGAATTGATTGCTTAAGCTGCTTGCTTTCGTATTGGTTTTTCCCTTTGTACAAAAATAAATAATAATAAAAAACAGAAAAAGGCATGGTCTTTCTTTTTTCAGGAATATGTTGTTATGTATTCATGATCTATTAAAGATAGTAAGAGGGGTGGTGAAGAGGGGGAATGCAAGGGGAGTGGAAATTGTGCAGTGTGTGTGTTTGTATAATTGAAAGTGAGATTGATTGATTGATTGCTTGGAAATGATATATGTACTGTTTGGAATTGTGTAAAGTAGTGAGAGTGGAAAGGAGGGAGAAGTACTGAAGTCCCCATTGATAGTGGATCAACTGGAAAGGGGCTATGTGGTTGCTACTTGCAGGAGGAGAAAGAAGTGGAAAAAGGGAATGCATGCTAATGGACGGTTTGATTTACACTTTGCTTGCCACGCAACGCTCGCTCAACAACTTGACGCTGTTTCGTTCATGAGCTGCTTGCCGGCAGCTGACCAAGTTGACGCAAGCATGATCCTCGGGTAATCGATGGCGCGAGCAGTACTGAGACTGGCAGTAACGGCAAAGACCCACCACTTTGACCACCTTGTTTGAGCAGTGTTCAACTGCACACCGTCTCTTTCTTGGCTTCAACGCATCGTGCTGCTGCTGCTGCTGCTGCTGCTGTTGCTGTTGCTGCTTCTGCTCTTCATCAACTTCGGCAGCACCGCTTTCGCTTCCGCTGTCACTGCCACCGCGCAAGCGGAGCACCAAGTGCAAAGTGGATTCCTTTTGGATGTTGTAGTCCGACAACGTGCGGTTATCTTCAAGCTGCTTGCCGGCGAAAATGAGACGCTGCTGGTCCGGCGGGATACCCTCCTTGTCCTGAATCTTGGTCTTGACGTTTTCGATCGAGTCCGAGGACTCGACTTCCAAGGTGATTGTCTTGCCGGTCAAGGTCTTGACAAAGATCTGCATACCACCACGTAGACGAAGGACCAAGTGCAAGGTTGACTCCTTTTGGATGTTGTAGTCCGACAGGGTGCGGCCGTCTTCCAACTGCTTGCCAGCAAAGATCAACCGCTGCTGGTCTGGCGGGATGCCTTCCTTATCCTGGATCTTGGTCTTGACGTTATCGATCGTATCGCTCGACTCAACCTCCAAAGTAATTGTCTTGCCCGTTAACGTCTTGACAAAGATTTGCATACCGCCACGTAAGCGTAGCACCAAGTGCAACGTCGACTCTTTTTGAATGTTGTAGTCGGAAAGAGTGCGGCCGTCTTCAAGTTGCTTGCCGGCAAAAATCAATCGTTGCTGATCTGGTGGAATGCCTTCTTTATCCTGAATCTTGGTCTTGACATTGTCAATAGTGTCACTGGATTCAACCTCGAGGGTAATGGTCTTGCCGGTAAGAGTCTTGACGAAGATTTGCATATTGCTGTTGTAGTTGGTTGTTTGGAAGTTGGTTGCTGTGGTTGGTTTATCGAAGGAGAAAGGTGATGTGTGGAAGAGGAAGAAAAAGAAGAAATGCCAAGCAAGCAAAAGAGAGGTGGAGGTAGCCTTTATATATGCAAACGTAATCCAGAGTGATACGTAAGTGTTAAGTGGGTGTGCACGCTGCCATCGGATTGGCTCCGCCCTAGACTTATTGGTTTTGCCCTGAAGAGGAACCAATCAACAGCATTTTAAATTCGAAAATGCTGGAAAATTTGTAACACAGGCATTTACCCAAAGTAAATTCCGACCACAAAGAACAATAGAAATCCAGTCTTCTATTGTTCTGCCGACACTTTGTGAGCATAGCTTTTGGGGGTTGGGGATTGTATTTGTAAGAAATTTTTGATTGTTGTTGTTATTGTTGTTGCTTGCATCATTTCCTAAACAAAAAGTAAGGTTGCGTTCCACATAGCAGGAGACCCAGGTACTACTGCTATATCACAACAAAACTCTTATCTACTATCTCACTCCCCACAAACAGAAAAAGAATAGAAATAGCGTCATAAGACCACGTTGGCGGTTCAATGCGGCGGTGACTCACTATTTGTAGTAAGATGGCTGGACAAGCCCTGGCGCAGCAAGCGCAGAAGGCTGTTTGTCCAAAATGGATATAAAGTCCGTCTTCTGAGGCGGCATGATGATGAAATTATTGCCCTCTCTTCTCTGCTCTTGACGAAACATGGCTTTAGGTGTATGTACGCATATTACTATCTCAAATACGACCACTGTTTTCCTTGAGCTTATTTTTTTTTAAATATATTTTAGGTATTGAAATCCTATCCGAATAATCCAGACGTCGCAAAGGCACAGATCGCGGTAAGTAAAAATAGCAGTCTGGAGTGGCCCTGCTTCCTGCTGCTATTCCCCGCTTCCCTAATGTATGATGTACACTAGCACAGAAGAACGAAAAGCTGACAAATAGTTTGAAAAAACACTTAGGCGGCGTACAATGACCTTGAGTTCGACTTTGAAGCTCTCCCCATGGATCAAACTAAAACGCCCGAATATCTAGCCAAGTTTCCTATGGGCAAAGTGCCTGTCCTCTCTAGGTATTATATCTTTAGTAGCTGTCACAGTGATAGTGACAATAGTAGCGTTCGTAGTAGAAAGATCAACTTGACCACGAAATTTTTTTTTTTTTTTTTTTTGCCTGACAGTCCGACTGTGGATCTCTTCGAATCGTCTGCGATTGGTTACTACGGTATGTACGTTGTACTACATATGCAGCTAGCACGTAGTTTCTGCATTACATGATGGTGTACCTTCTATCCCAGAAGAAAGAACGTGGTAGAGCGGCAGGCGTGTACATGTGTGGGAGGAGGAGGGGCTGTGAAAGAGAGGAGGGGATGAAACTTAAATTTGCTCTAACGTGTATACATAACATATCATCTTTTAGCTGCATCTGCCAAGGACAACTCGCCACTCTTGGGCTTGACGCATGCCGATAAGGCGTTGATCATGCAATGGGTCATGTTTGCACAGGCTGAACTGTCGAACCACATTAGAGAGTGGGTGGCTCCCTTACGTGGCGTTCATCCGTACTTGAAACCGGCTGTGGACACGGCCATTGAGCGCGTGAAACGAGCTTTGGGTGCACTCAACTCGGCGCTTCAAACCAAGACGTACCTCGTGGGCGAATCTGTCACTTATGCGGACATTTGTATTGTTACCACACTCGTCCGCCTTTACACCAATGTCTTGGATAAGCCGTTGCGTGACCAGTACAAAAATGTGACCCGATACTATACTACGTTGATCAACAAGGACAAGTTCAAAAAGTACTTGGGTGACCTACCCCTGTGTGAGACGCCACTCAAGTATATGCCGCCCAAGAAAGAAAAGAAGCCTGCTGCTGCTGCTGAGAAAAAGAAGCAGAAGCAGAAGCAGCAGCAATCTGATGCTCCGAAGCAAAAGGACAAGGAGGAGGCGGCGGCTGCATCTAAAGAAGAAGAGAAAGAAGGGCAGCCTAAACCTGCACCTAAACCCAAGTCCGCATTGGATTCGCTGCCTCCGAGCAAGCTCAAAATGGACGACTGGAAGCGAATGTACAGGTAAGAGAAACATAATGAAAGAGACATGTAAAATGGTCAGAGCGACTCATAATCGTTTAAATCAGCAACAATGATACGGCGATAGCAATGCCATGGCTGTGGGAGCACTTGGACGATGGTTACAGCTTGTGGCGAGTCGATTATAAGTACAATGACGAGTTGACCTTGGTGTTCATGTCCAACAACTTGATCGGAGGATTTTTTGCTCGTTTGGAGCGTGCTCGCAAGTACGCCTTTGGCTCGATGATCGTCACTGGCACCAACAACAACAATGCCATCTCGGGTTATTTCTTGATTCGTGGTCAGGAGGTGCCTGAAGAAGTCTATGATGCAGCGGACTTTGATTCTTACACGTTCACCAAGGTCGATCCTTCGCAGTATGACGAGAAAAAGGATGAGATTTTCAAGTACATGGCTTGGGAAGTGGATGGCTTTGCTGATGGCAAGATCTTCAAATAAAAAGAAGCGGGCACGTATCTAGACATTTCCCTCCAACTTCAAATGAATGGAATAATAAATCATTTTCTATTGCTATCTATCATTTTTATGTGAATGAGCACTGTGCGGATCTTAACACCAGAATTCACACCGGGAACGGGTATCGGCAATACTTTACTCCGCAGTCCTTTTCCACAAGGGATGGCGGGAAGGAGGGGAAACGGATACAATCCCCTTAAATTACTAATAAATGATAAAGAAGCCCTGGTACCCGGTCCAAATCAATTGATGAGTGTAACTGCTCCTTTCTTTAGGTTATCTCTTCTTCCTCATTTACATTACTCTCCCCACCTCCCACAGTCCCAACCATTACTTCCTTTGAACGTACAAATGCAGCTTAAATACTCTTGAAAACACATGCATCCATCGCAAGAGATGTTACGTGTATTACGATGGCAAAACTGCATCATTTGTTTTACATAATACAAAAATGGTACACGATTCATGTGTCAATTCTGTTGTTTGTTTTGTTTGAGTGCACTATGACGCAATCTCTACCTAGCCTTTGCTACATAACATTACATACAGTCCACAAATAACGTCACTGCTAACAATTCAATAAATGATATACACTGACATGCATACATGTTTATTTTTAGCCTCTATCTCTCTCCCAAGTCGTCAATTCCTTTTCTTCTCTGACTTACACCATGTGCCACATTTATGTACATGCCACGAATAATGCTGCTCCAACCACGCAGGAGGGCTGGTGATGATGATCGTTATAGTGTGATACTTCTCCCACACCGCTTTAACATTTATTTTTTCCTTCTCTTCAATCTATGCACAGTAATGAATTCATATATTTAAAAAGCCTGCAAAATGAGTGTGTTTGTAGATCTGCCATTATAATAATTTATAGAGGTTCCAGATAATAATGATTAGTATGTAAGAGGTTTATTTGCCAAATGACACGCACGAGCTCCGGCTGCTGCTTTTCAGATGCTGAATTATCACTTTAACATTTTGCTATCATACAGAAATATATCTTTGTATTTTTTTCTGGATGTGCGGGTACGAAACAAATTTATTGACGCCATCATCGTCATCGTCGTGATTAGACCATCATGTGATAGATAAATGCATATGCACCTTTTTTGTTTATGCATTCGAGAACCTACGCCGAAGCATTCAACATTACATACATGTCTGTATCAGGTAATGATGATGGTCCAGTTAAAACAAACCCAGGATAAGGAATCAAAGAAGTGTATGCTTATGCCAGTTATTACGCCAGCAACCATCGCCTAAAACAGAAGCATGGCAGTTATTGATGATAGAGCACGTACTATGTAAAAGTATGTACTGTAGTCTTGCTTCTTTCAACTATCTTTTATAGTAGAATTACTAAGAAAGCTGGGTTTGTTGAGATATCGGATCGTTTGAAAGACAAAAAGTGAAGAAACTTTATCAATCCAACCAAGGCACGATATACGCATTTGCCGAGCCACTCTTTTATAATTATTATAGTGATTGGTAGTTTCATAGAGGTTAATTGTCCTAACCTCTTTTATCCCGCGCTCTTTTATATCTTCTCAAGAGGCGTAAAATATCGGGAAACAGCGAACATGTTGTCTGTCATCTTGAAAACGATATGATACTCTCGTTTTATTTTCTCGTCATTCGATATGTAATGAGTCGTATTATGATATTGACATTTCTTGCTCAATCAATGAATGATATGAGGTATAGGCGCAATCAGAGCTTCTTCTTTCATCCATCAAGGGGATCAAAGACCATATTCGCGCCATTGCTGGAGATATACTGGCATTGCTCCCTTGCAATTATAAATGTCGGCGTCGCTTCATCATTGTTGCTGCTACTGAGGCCTATATAGAGATAATACGAGAAGGGGACTACCAGTATAAGAGATAAGGCTAAAGAAGGGGATAGAAAAGAACTGTGGATCATCCTTCCTTTCAGCCAGGTGAACCCGCCGGTAGCCTCTTCCAAAACTCCACTGCTTTGGCCGAGATCCCCGTTGTAAATTCTGCTAATGTTGGATTGGTGTTCGTATAATTAAATAAGTAATAGCAGAGTAGTATGTACTTTTTTCTTGTATATTTAGAGAGAGATTAGTATGCACAGGCACCTTGCCGCAAGACCTTGTCCATTGAACGCGCATTAGGAAAGCGAGCAAACCACCGCCAGTACAGCCATAGCTCTTTTTGCTTGCTGGCTGAAGCCATGATCAGTCCGCCAGCCTATATAAGCATCAGCTACCAAAACAGTACATGAGGGTTGGGCTAATGCCATCGATGCTTTTGACTCTGTATACAAAGGTAAAAGAGAAACATACTAACGGGTCATATCTATTATGTCAACCAAGGCATGTATACGTCACAGTAAGCATCCAGGAACACCGACCATAATAAGTCGACAAAATCGCTTTTACGGTCTCGAATTGGCACTCAGTGAACAGGATACATTCAGGATACATTCAGGATCGATCAGTGAAGGGGGAATCCTGAATTTTTTTAGCGCTATACTAACGGGAAAAATTGGGGTGACTTAGGTCCCAGCTTTTACAGGCAACCGCCCTCTCTTCGCTACGTCGCCACTTTCTCACTTTCTCCAATACCAACGGTGTCCCAAAAGGTTTGCAACCGTTCAATAGGTACATTCAGTCTTTGGGATAGAATCGCAAACAACCAACCGTACTTGCTCATAGTAACCTCCCAATCCCACAGGTTGCCATACCCGTAATTGACGCGACAAGATCAAAGTGCCAACGTTTAAGAGATTACTTATTCACTTGCATGCTCATTTCAATGTGGAGCGAGAGTCGCCTGAGACTAAAACTCGGTCTGTCTTGTTGCTCTCTCATGAAAGGAGCCAGTACACAGAAAACCTTCCGTTCCTGGGGCAAAACGATAAGTGAGGAGAGACGCGCCCAAGCTTACCATGTTGGCTGGGTATTGGTTTGTATAAAGATCGTATGGCGTTCATGGTCCACCCGCGCTCTTTATCCGTCGACAATAAGATACCCTGAGGTGTAGATCTTATATCAATCTGCTTCTCATAATAACTCTGCTGCAGAGCTCAACTGTAGGCAGTATTCTTCTCGAGAAGCTTAATTTCGCAATTCTCTGTTGCTTGTGCGCATTGCCTGGTTGTCAAGAAATATACACCCTCTTTTCAAGATAAACAGGTGAGGTTGTCTGCTTAGATGATTACATAATGATACTGTGACAGCTGCTGCTTTATAATGCGTGGGTATTCACTACACACACGAAATCTTTTGTAAAAAAGAAAATCACTTGTAGGGTTCTTCATTCCGGGTAGTATGAGCTAAGCCTTGTGGCCATGCAGTATACACTTTGCTAATTCTGGTATAGTCTACCGGAATTTGCTGCTTAAAGTGAGACTGGTCGCCAGGGTTATCTGGAGGAGGAGGGAAGAAGCGTAAGAAACGAAAACATCCTTTTTCCTTTTTATTTTCTTTTTTGACCCTAGGTAAGAGCCACATTGCTTTTCCTTTCTCCCACTTCCCTTTCCTCAAGGAAGAGATGAAATAGTTACAGGTTGAACCTAGAAGATGAGAAGATTAAATCATTGTACTCAACTCTTCCAAACCACTGAAAAAAAAAACATGACCGTTGTGCTGTGGACTGTCATAAAGGATTTCCTGATGGTTCACCGAACACCTTTTCTCTTTTCATTCTTGGGCTAAGGGGAGGGGGAGATAAAGATATAATGGTGCCTTTGTATTAACGCGTTATTTCAAGTATAGTTGTGATGCCACGTCATCATCTCCCATTACCGGTACTAGTAGTAAAGTTATCGCTTCTTCTGTTTCTGTGTGTGAATATAAATATTTAAAATAAATATGTACAATCGTAATCTGTACAAGAATATAAAATATATGTGAGAGTGGTTCTGCACGTTTGCCGCACTTTCTTTGATGCAAAAAGAACAACCGGTCGTCCCCGATCGTCATCAACATTATCATCGTCCGAAGCAATCAGCTGGCCCTAGGTCATTCTTACTATGCATTGGGCTTACTCATCAAAAGTCCAGGGACCACAGAAAAAAAGATCATCCAACAATTCCTATGTGTTTGATATTCCCATTGATTTCTTGAAAAACAAAAAACCCGCTGGAATTCCTCCTTTCCCCCAACCCCCAACCGGAGCTCTATCAATATAGTAAAAGTACAGTAACTAACCCCATTCTTTCAAATCACACTACATACGCACCAGAGATTCGGCTCGCGATAGCCCTTTCACACACTAGCAAATAGACAGGTATCATAGCATATGTGGAAATCATTCATTTTAGGAGTAGAATGAATATGCTACAGTAGTACATGCACTGAGAACATTGTAGTTTTTTCTCTCTTCCACCCAACCCCCTTTACACAATCGCAAGACCTCTGCTCATCCTTACTAACACATGGCAGCTCGCAGTCGATGAAACAGTCAATGAATATGATTTTGGTCTGTGTTGAATTTTATATTCGAGCTACGACTACCTCAAGTATCTCTATTAATAAAGGATCGGCAGAGAAGATGGTCCACGACATATATTGCTCAATCGCATGTAATTACAAAGAGGAAAGTTGACAAACCAACAAAAGAGTAATCTCTCTTGACGGAAGAGGGTGGGGGAGACGACGTTTGACAGCTAAGCCTCGAGATAACAATGCCATATGAAGTATAGTCTGGGTGCACAACGCTAAAATGCAAACAGGCATCATCTATATTTGCATTGAAAAAGAATGAATACATACGAAAGAGCTCTGTATACCGCCCTACCTATATCGAACGCAGTGCGTCAAATCAACATGCTACTCGATCTGTTGTAGTGGTCATTTGTTTCTAAAGGTGTGTGTCAAGAAAGTAGCCTAACGACGTTGTCCACTTTTGGGACTATCAAAATAAAAGCAAGTTCCTTTTTATGCAGACCTCCTAAAAAACTGGTGTTCCTTTCAGCTGATAGTACAAGTTAGAAATAAATAGATCATAGTTGTACAACTTGGTTACTACTACTACTACTACTACTACTATACCGTTGATCAGCTAAAAAGTAATGTTTTCAGAAGATGGGCGTCATATTATGGCCCGGTGCGAACATGATGGAGAAGCTTGGATGACCGATGATGATAAATGATTTGTGTAAAGAACTACAGTAATATACCGCCGACTCATCCCCCCCTTTTTTGGGTGGGCTATCTTTTTATTCCCGAGCTAATCGCAAAGAGATATGCCAATATGGGAGGAAATCCTCTTATCAAATGACATGTTGTTGTTTTGATCTTATAATAACGCAACCATACTAGTTAGCATTATGTAGGTGGTTTGTAACCTCTATTTTCTTTCCCAAATCGTAGTGGTAAGGGCCCATCCCCCCCCGCCGAATAACCGTTCTCAAAAGGAGGCTTTTACTACTTACTACTACGTACATTTCTTCTTCTTTGCTTCCCCATTACCGTAGCAGACGATATGCGATAACGAAGAAAGAAAAGAAAGAAATAACCTAGCCCGCGGCAAAAGGTGTATGTTGGGGGTGTCGGGTGAATTCGAACGATTGCTATTACCCACACCAAAAAAGAAAAAACGCCATCTTGAACAATGCCCGATTGGCAGCCCGCAGTCGCAGGAACAAGCGGGTTTGCAATGCATCATTATGTATCTTGGTCAATGATTGGCATCAGTGTTTTCCACAAGGCTTAATAAATCGGTTGCACAAGATCCCGGGGATGGTTACAGAAGACAAAGAACAAGATTGGGTGGGTGTGAATTGTGTTCTCACACAGAAAATTTCCCTTTCGACGCTGCTTTTTCAGTATAAAAAAAAGAATAAGAGTAATGGTAGAGCAGTAGTAGGAAGCAAAGATGACTCATGACGATGATTAGCATGGTGAGCGTCAGGAAGACTTGTCGTTTCTCTATTTGACCGCACCCCACTGTGTGTGTAAACAATTGAGTTATCTAATATCTATCAAGGACCTATTCCCAAATCCAGATATCTGGATCGAGGAGGGTAAAACAAAACTTCCGCTGGTTATCTGCACAAAAAAAAAACACATTACATAATATGATAACTAACATATCCGTGACAAAGCTGTCATATATTTCAGGAAAATAGGACCGTGTGCGTCTGCCCTGTCTGAATGCTTCTGCGGCTGTGGGTACAGTATGTATACAAGGAAAGCTTGACAAGTGCACGAAACAAACAAGTATTTTACACGTTCTGGCTGTCTATATCGAGAACAAGCATACTTTTCATTGCAGCTTGTTGCTTTTTCAGCAAAGCAAACGAGAGCACGTCCAGCTAATAGGATTATTTAGTATGCTCCACCGCCTCTAACAAAGACTTATTTGTACTTGTCCACTATTTCGAAAATGCTATCTTATCATGAGCTCATGAGTTCATGAGTGTGTAGTAGTAGTAGTAGTAGTAGTCGCTGCAGTGCGTATGGATACACAGGCAGGAGCAGCTTGTGTAAAGCATAAAGTCAACGGGATCACGCAAGATTTCTATTTTGGGATACTTGAAGAAGAAACGACGTACTGTAATAATGTGGCGTTTTTCCAAGCTGCACTTGATGTATACTACATCCACATTGGAGAGAGAGAGAAACACGCACCCGCGCACATAAACACACATGTAAGTAATCATAAGAAAAGGGCCGGGAAAAACGCACTCACAAAGAGAGGGAAGATCATTTGATAATTGCTCTCGTGGTAATATTTGCCATGTAACCTCCAACCTTTGATTCCCAAAGAGGCCAGCTTGACCAAAAACGGGATCTGCTCAGATGGTCAAAGCGTTGACCCTCCGACACACACGCTCGTTCTCCCCATTAGCGCAACGGCGGGTTCTCGCTCTTCAATCTGTAATAAGCGGTATAAGCAGCAAAGGACCCCTCCCCTCCCCCCCCCCCAACATTTATTTTAACGTTTGGTCCACCCGCCGTTGCTCTATTTTATCTTCCCGCTAAACGCTTTTGCAGATGACCACAAAAAGCCCATCAAAAAAAATGGACTGGTTTGATTCCTCCATGAAAGCCCAAGTGAGGGAGTGAGCTGATCCCATAGCATAGTAATGCGATATCTAATATGCATGTTTCAGATAAACGACCCAAGGCGGGATGTATCCTACTAAAACAGGACACACATAACAAAGAAAAAAGAAAAGGGCGCGCGAACCACCTCTAAGGCTACTACTCATATGATCCACATGTCACTTTCGGGTTTTTCATCGATAGGTCACGCGTCGCACAGGTGGCTTTGTCATATAAAGGCCTCTCAAACCTTCTCAAGATGAATGTTGCCTTTGGAACTCGTCTCTTTTTTTTTGAGCTTAACACACCTTTCACACACGCACACACACACTCTCTCTCTTTCTCTCAACATCTTCACCTCTTGTCGAAACCATTTTTCTCGCTCATACAAATCCATGCGATAGAAGAGAAACCCCGGCTCACCATAAGGCCTAAATCGTGTTATACCGAATATATCTTAACTGTTACTCCTGCCAAACAATCATTGTCTTTATTGACAGGTCGCCACAGAAACGCATAATTCCACCCTCTCAAAAAACAACACACACACAGCTTCTCTACTTGAACATGTCAAACTATATTATTGCAACGTCACCCACGTCTACAAGAGTAAGTGATGCATGCGAGCGTGCTTCGTTATATACCATGCTCTAACTCTTACTCTTCTTTACGTTAGTCACGCATGTTCAGCCCAGTGATTCTGTTTCATGACCATCAGTTTGTCAAAGATGGCAATGGAAGTCTCGAACACATTCACATTCCATATGGTGATCCTCATTACGGGCGGTTTATTGAAAACCACAAGAAACGTATTCACCGTATGCTCGAGCATAATGAACGGTTCTGGACTGATATTCGAGGTAACATAACTTTAAAAAGAAAGAGTTCAGAGCCTAAAAAGCCTAACGTGCTGCGTGTGAGAGCGAGCGTGTGTACAAAAGGTTCTGATCTCTCTCTCTTTCTCTCTTTCTTTCTTTTTGCTGCTGCGTATGACAGAATATACCGAAACACAGACGTCTCCGATAGCCTCTGTGGCATCTTCACCTACCCCGCCCTTGTATTCACATGACGAATTATCACCGCGCAGATATCGACCCTACTATTTGCCTCGACGGACGTCGACGGCTACACAACTTACTGCCACTGCTGGTTCAGTGGTGGGTGAAGATTCGATTTCTGTATCATCCTCGTCGTCATCAGCACCTGCATCACCTCATTCTTCGTCCATCATGATGGTAGACCCCACTGTTGCACCGCAGCCAACCACGCCCACTACACCACTTCATCAACACCATCATCATCACCACCTCCCTCCTCCCCCTTCTCATCATTCTCATAGTAGTCATCATCACAGCCACAACCGAAAAGCTTCTCTTATGCAACAACAACAACAACCATCACCTAGTAGTAACAACAACGGCGGTAATCTTGTAAAGCGTCGTCGAGGCAATCTTCCCAAAGCTGTCACGGCCATTTTGCGTGAATGGCTATCGAGACACAAGAAACATCCGTATCCAACCGAGGACGAAAAGGCTACTCTTGCACGACAGACAAATCTCACGCTCAATCAGATCAGTAATTGGTTTATCAATGCCCGACGTCGTATTCTCCAGCCGATGCTTCAAAAAGAGCGCCAGGCACGCATGCTAGGTGTGGAAGAAGAAGATCATGGCACCTTGGACATTCTGCCTTATGCTGCTGGAGGTATGTATTGACATACAGACACATTTATATATTCTTTCTTTTTACTTATTCGACGTCCCTATTGAAATGGATGGTAACAAGTTGTATAATTATATATGTTATGTACAGACGAATCAGCAAGTCGACGCGGCCGTAAACGATCTGGTTCATCGTCATTGGACGTGTCTTCTATTAGTACCAAGTACGCAGCAACTCATGCAGCTGCTGCTGTAAAACGACGCACTGGCCATCACCCAGGATTACGGCGACGATGATGATATTCATCATTTCACACACACACAGTCTCTCTTTCACGCCTTCTATATTATCTAGTAGTTTACCCACTTTATTTATATGACAGACCTAACCCTGGTGTGGCACATGCAAGTCATTATTTATAACTCATCACATACCCTGTATCCACCCCACCCCCCCCCACAAACATCAACATATCATATCATCTCTTTCTGTCTTTCTCTGTGTATTATATTTTACCCATACCAACAACAACAACAACAACAACTGAATCACCCACGATTTCACTTAGCAAGCCTTTCCTTTTATTATATAATATACTCTCTTCTACCATTACTACTACTACTACTACTCCTCCTCCTAGCGAAACACACATACAACCAACCATGCTTGTTCTCTATGTATTCTTTTGTATATTATCTATTAGAAGGAACAAAGAAAAGATATCTCTCTTTCTGGGCGTTTTCCATTTCCACTCTTGAAGTCTTCTTGTATTCGAATAAGACGGTAGTTGTTTAAGTGATGATGATCTGTCGTATGACTTGATTTATCCATTGTCCAGTGGGTGCACAGCAGCATTTCAAACACAAAGGGTACACTACATACTATCACTAACGTTTGAATTGGAGCGGGGGGTTTTGAGCAGAAAAAGGTACAACCCGTTGTGCACTTGTCTACTTTCACCCACTAAAGTAAACTTCATCCTCTCTATCTTCTTTTGTGCTTTTACACTTGTCAAACAGTGTGCAAGATTGCCTTATAAGGGTGTGTGCCTACTTGGAAGCGGGGGGGGAGGTGAGATCAGCACGATTCTTAGTTCAAATTTTGATAACGCCACACATCACATTCCATTCATTCATCCTTTCCCATATGTACACTCTTTCCGGAAAGTAAATTCACTCAATGGCGAAAACAAATTCAGGTTGCACGAAAAACGAATTCGCCCTGAAGGAAAATCAATTCACCTGATGACAGGAACAAATTCGTGTTGTACAAAGTATAAATTCGTCTTGGCTGACAAATCATATGTCGATTGTTTTGTAGGGCAAAGTCTTGGCAACTTTAAATATAAAAGAGCACGCCTAGTGCTTGTCTTTGTTTTATTTCTTTTTCACAATCACATCACAAATCACCGATAATGAACATTCAATTCTTGTTTGAAAACGGGAAAGGATCTGTCGTCGACGAGTATGGCAGACCTGAACCAATGGATTATATTGTTGATGAGGAACAGTTTCGTCTTGAAACGTTGAGTTCTCATACACAATATTTAGCTCAACTGCCTCTGGAGAGCTAGAAAAGGATAGATGCAATGCAGTTAGAAAAGGAGGTAAAGCCTAATGGTGATGTCATTATGAGGGAAACTTCAGTGAAGCGAAATTATACGCGCTATTCTGATCAGGACAAAGTGAGGTTCTTCAAGCTATTGTTTGAGAGGTGTTTGAGTGCGGCCGCAGCTGCAGAACAACTTGGGATTCATGTTCGTACAGCACAAAAATGGGCTGCGCAATACGAGAAAGATCCTGACAGTATCTTTGAGAAACGGAGAAAGTCTGGCCGTCCACGTATTCTCCAAGACGAACACAAAAATGCTATTCTCGAGTGCATTGATGAGAATCCTTCCATCGTCCTAGATGAAGTAATGAAGAAGTTATAGCAAGTGTTTACAGAATTAAAACTATCTAAAACTACCTTGTTCGATTTTGTAAAACAACATTGCAATTTATCTCTCAAAAAAGCTCGGCTTCAACCCATAGACCGGTATAGCGAAGAAAAAATCCAGGAGCGCTTGAATTGGGTTCGTAAGTGGGACAAAACAGATCTAGATTTTACGAGAAACTGTGTCTTTCTTGACGAATCTGCTTTCCACATTAATTTGAAACGTAGTATGGCTTGGTCAAAGAAAGGTGCACCGGCAGTGGTCACAGTTCCCAAAACACGAGCGACAACAACAATCATTTTGGGCGCGATTTCTGCTGAAGGTGTAATCAAATGTAGCCTTAGACTTCCTCAGTCTCCATCTAATAAAAAGAGAAAGCGGGGAGATGGCGTTGGGCAAATGAGCAAAGGAACGGTTACGGGACACTATATCAGCTTTCTAAAAGCTACAATGGATGAAATGAACCGCTATCCGCACATGAAAGGTCACTACCTCGTAATGGATAATGCTCCTATCCATACGTCCGAGGACATAGCTAAATACGTAGAATCTCGGGGATACCGCTGCGCTTATTTACCTCCATATTCTCCTGAGCTCAATCCAATTGAGCAATTCTGGTCAGTGGTCAAAAGTAAAGTGAAACGCAACAAGTTTTTTGAGAAGGAAACGCTGATGACTCGGATTAGTGAAGCTTCTAATAGTTTGAAGCTGAGTGATTTCAAAGGAATCGTTAGACATTCTCATAAATGTTTGGACAGGTGTCGTAATGGACAAGCACTCTGAAGAAGTTTTCTTTCTACGGAAACGAGGTGTTTGTAACGACAACAACAACAACAACAACAACAAAAAATCGCCATTTGCAGTCGTTGAAGTTAGGTTTGGGCAAAGTGAGAAAGAAATTGGCCAGAGTCTCCGAGTTTCGTCAAATCGTGGTTGAGGATTGAAAAATGGCCTGGCCTGGTTAGATTCAACTTATGGTGGCCAATTTCCAAAGTGTTTGGCCAAATTCAAAAAAAAAAAAAAAAGTTGTGAGACTTTTCGTGAGACTTATTTTGAAGACTTCTGACCAATCAGGAAAGCCCTAATATCTCATATCCTGTATCATGATTTGGCCAGAAGACCCGTTAAAAAAAAGTCTCACGAAAAGTCTCACGAAAAGTCTCACAAAAAGTCTCACGAAAGAAAATTTTCTTTGAGTTTTTGATTCTGCATTTTTCTGTGTTGTGATGACATCAGTTTTGAAACTTGGTTGCCACTTGTGCAAAAAAGTGGAAAACGTGCCAAAGAAAGCGAATCTTCGTAGACATTATAAGCTTGTACACGACATTGTTCTTCCAGCAGGCAAACAAAAACAAACAATTAAGGCAAATGCCATTCCGGTCAACCATGATATCATTTGTCCTTCCTGCCTGGAAACTTTTGAATCACATGAAGACCAAGGTATTCATTTAAAGAGCCACATCATCACGTAAGAAAGCGCTTCATTAATATGCATTTTAACGGTACTCAAAACACGCTTCCTGTTGATTTTTATAGCAGCGTTTTAGATACACCAAACGAAGGCGATGGTTTAGCACCGACAAACTCTTTAGGCGAATCGGTGTCAAAAATTGATCCACGTTTGCCTCATTATTCAGTTTCGAAGCCCATTACAGTAGTAACACAAGGTCGAACATATGATGAGGCTGTTTTGCACGCCTGTAACGTCTCCAATGCAAGCGATCAAGAAAAATGTAAAACATTGTACGTGGTGGATTCACTGTCATTGCGACCATTTTCCAACGTGGATGCAAACGGTTGTGAAGAAAATGGACTTGCCAGTCAACGTCTTGTGAATAATGTCTGGAGAGTATCAAGCCATTAAATCTATTCTGCCATTGAAGCGGTCCTTCGAGTCCATGAACGCGAGCATCTGCATCAACTGTTCTCCAGAGATTGTTCCTGCCCTTACCAACATAATCTCATCATCGCCATACAGCAAACTCCTCATGCAGCATCAGTATACAGAGTTGACTCCTGATGTGTGCGCAATCATCAACAAGGATTGGGATTTTTTTCCACAAATCAAGTTTGCCACGGTCCAGATATTCGCAGGAGCTATTCTATACAACACAACAAATAGATAGGCAATTATGCTTAGTACTGTCGAAGCATATGGCCGCACGAAATCGATTGATCCACACCGTGAACCATTTGGCAAGCTCAAAGGATTCACCAAGCTGACGTCACTGCCGTCACCAGGAAAGATCCCTTACCCAGATATTTGGCCAGTCTCACTGCACACATCGGAAGTCAGTAAATTGGTCATTGGAACATTGGGGGTAATTCAGAAAATAGTTCACAGATTTCTCAGATGTTTATTACATGTGTTTTATTCATATCATTATCAAAATTTATTTTTCTTTTTTTCTTACTATAGATAAAAACAATTTATTTTTTTACTTTGTACATCTTCTATTAAAAATAAGTTGGTACTTAGATAATCTAAAAGATAATCAACCCAATTGGGAAATCGTTGCCATTTTAAGCATAACTTTTGAAGGGTCCGCTCTCTTTGTCGCGTTACTGTCACGTTCAAACTTAAAAATTTGTTGTCAATCTCCAATTATTTTGCTAAGCTATGAGTTCTCAAGGAGATCATCAGGAAGAGGTGTGTTGCGTTGTGTTACCCGCCATTTACCAAGACGAGCAAAAATCTCGGGCATAATTGGCTTCACCTGCAGATCGCAAAAACGTTCGTCGTATAAGTACTAATTCACTTCTGTAAAACCAGACGGAAATGCCCATTCGAACTTGCATTTGCGGGTCTACCACCCATTCTCGAAGAAGTTTCCACGGTTGTCCGCTGAATGAGCGTAATGTTCGACGCAGAATTGAGGAAAATGATGATAATAACGTACTGTCTTTTTGAAAATGATGTATAATTGCTTTAGCTTCAGCTGCTTTTTGTGTACTTATGAGCTATACCTTTTGTGTGGTTGCCAAACACTTTTCGTTTAGAATATTGACCCTATCCGCTGTTCTGGGTGTGGCTCTACTACCCATAATAACCCTTCTGATTCTGAATGTCCAGATAGTCTTGATAACATGGTGGAAGGTATACTTATTATTATACCTGTCCATGTTTTTTAGATCTACTATTAATACTAGACATATTTAGAAACTTTGGAAACGTTTGATGACGACATTTTAACTGTCACTACAACTGCAGAGGAGACAATGTCAGATGATATACTTGAGCATGACAATGCTGATGACGGCGTGGTAAATCTTCCAACAGCTTTTGAAGTTCCTCCTGTTCCTGCACGCCGATGTGCCAGCTGCGGATCGCCGGACCATAGACGTTCTTCGCACGCTAATTGCCCGTTCAATTCACGCAATGTCACCTCTGGACATGGTGCCCAATACCAGATTGCATGCAGGGTACCTTTTGTACCTCAAAATGTATTTGGCTCCAATATTTGCTTCACGCCTAACAACAACTACTATCGTCGTCATATCTTCGAGTCTATGAATGTCGAATGCTCTTTTTGTCACGCTAAAATGTGGATTGATGAGCGCTTAGTTGCATCGTCTGTATCCAACCCTCGCTTTGGTATTTGCTGTACTTCTGGCAAGATACGCTTACCCCTCCCTCGCGCACCACCACAAGAGCTGTTATCACTTATCACTAATCACGATTCATCCGACCCTATTGCCACCAATTTCCACACCAATATCCGAGCCTATAACAGCATGTTTGCTTTCGCATCCATTCGCGCCAATCACGATCCCAACTTGGCGAGTGGACGAAATGGTGTTTCAACTTTTCGGATCAATGGCACCATGTATCACTGTCTCGGGCCACTTAGAGCCGACAATCCAACACGCGCTAATTTCGCTCAAATTTACTTTTGCGATACCCAAGAGCAAACAACTCGACGCAGCACAATGTTCACGGGATTAAACAATGATATCATCAACACGATTCAGGCAGTTATGCAGCGCCATAACGCGTTCGCACGTACACTCATTGCTGCAGCAGATGCATACCGTAATCAACCCGTAGGCACTATCCAGGTGGTTATCCGCGCTGCGCGTGAAATGGGTCGACGATATGATGTGCAGGCTCACCCGGAGGTTGCAGCTATGGTTGTCGAAGACAGCGTAGATGGCACGGCACAACCTCATGATATCGTTATCCATGATCGTGAGCGCGGCCTGCAGCAAATTAGCTCTCTACACGCATCATATATGCCCCTCCATTACGTCCTCATGTTCCCACACGGCGATAACGGATGGTACCTTGGATTGCGATGCGACTCTCATGACGGCAACAACGTTTCAGTTACCCTTTTGGATTATTGTGCATATATGCTAATGGTTCGGGACGGAGAGCATCAGACCTACAACCATCATTTCGGTCGACTATTCCAGCAGCTCATAGTCGACAATTATGCACGCATTGAGACATCACGCCTACAGTATATCCTGACGCACCAACGCGAGATTCGTGCTGAGGTGTACAGCGGTGTTGTCGACAATGTAAACGCACGTCAAATCGGAAGGTCGATTATTTTGCCGTCATCCTTTACAGGTGGTCCACGCTATATGAAGCAGATGCTTCAAGACGGCCTTGCTATCATTCGTCAACGGGGTAATCCAACTCTCTTCATCACCTTCACATGCAACCCCAAATGGCCCGAGATTACTTCCGAGCTGGAGCCTGGCCAGCACGCTTATGATCGACCTGATTTGTGCACCCGTGTCTTTAAAATGAAACTCGATGAGCTGCTTCATCACATTAACGACTCGAGCATTTTCGGCCGTGTTGCTGGGTACATGGCGACTGTTGAGTTCCAAAAACGAGGGTTGCCACACGTTCACATTCTTTTGATCCTGGATGAAAGCGAGCGCCCACACACACCCAATGATTATGATCGATTTGTATGTGCGGAGCTGCCTGATCCTGTGACCCAGCCTCAATTATATCGTACAGTGACAAGTTGCATGATCCATGGCCCCTGTAGTCGTGACAAACCTGATGCAGTGTGTATGTTGAACGGTCAGTGCCAACAACGATATCCAAAGCCATTTTCCAACGAGACCAGGGTCAATGGTGACGGATATCCTATATATAGACGGCGTCGTAATGGTGCAAGCCATCGCTTCGCACGCAGTGGCTTCACAGCCAACAACAGCCATGTTGTTCCATACAACCCGTATCTGAGCCACAAATACGACGCACATATCAATGTGGAAATATGCACATCCTCGCGTGCGATCAAATATCTGTGTAAATATATCACCAAGGGATCAGATAGAGCACAACTGCAAGCAATGCGTTCTGCTGCGCCTGCAAACAATGCTCCTGCTACAACCACCACCACCACCACCACAGCAATCAGCAACCCACCACCACCAACAGCTAATACCACTGCCGCACCTGCCCCTGCTGATGTAGAGCAAGAAGCAATTGATGAGGTGGTTCAATACCAGAACGCTCGGTATATCGGCCCTTGCGAGGCAGCATGGAGAACTCTACAGTTTTCAGTCCATATGCACCGTCCGACTGTTATGCGCCTAGATTTGCACTTGCCTGGAGAGGAAGTCGTTCGTTTTCGTGAGGACGTAACACAAAATGAGCTGACGAACATCCGGGAAGCATCAACTCACACCAAGCTAAATGCGTTTTTTCAGCTTTGCGACGGTGATGAAACAGAAAACGGAGCACGCCAATATCGGTACCATGATATTCCTGCTCATTACACATGGGATGCTCGAGCACGCCAATGGAGACAACGTACGAACCCGCCAATTGCCAATGTTGTGACACGCATCTATAATGCCTCTCTGTCCAACATGCCCCTCTACTGTCTTCGCCTCCTTCTTCTTACCGTTCGTGGCCCTGCAAGCTTTGAGTCATTGCGAACGATCAATGGCACTGTTTACGAAACATTCCAAGAAGCTGCTCTCGCACATGGTCTTCTTGAATCTGACCAAGAATGGGACCGATGCATGGAAGAAACGTGCCTATATTCACCATCAGCATCAGCGATTAGAGCACTTTTTGTGTATATATTGATCAATTGCTCCCCAGCAGATCCGCTCTCACTTTGGACCAAGTATCGAGAGAGAATGGCAGATGATTACTTTTTCTCCTTACGGGCAAGCCTTCCTGCTGGCCAAGACGAGCTCAGCAATGATCAGATCAATCAAATGTATCAGCGCACCCTTGGTGACATCGAAACGCGTCTGCAAACCACTGGCCATCATCTGTCAGAATTCCCGTCTCTGCCGCAACAATTTGTCACAGAACTCGATGCCCTACCCCGCCTAGAAGCTTTGGAGATTGTCGAACGACGTGAATATGACGTAGAGAGTCAACAGCAACTCTTAAATACATTGCTACCTACGTTAAACGACGGACAACGCCACGCTTTTGACACTATCACCGACTCTATTACTGCAGCCACTCATCACCACACATCGCGCCTTTTCTTTGTGAATGGTCCAGGTGGTACGGGTAAATCTCAACTGTTTAAGGCTATATTGAGCCATGTTCGGTCCCGTGATCAAATCGCACTTCCTGTCGCTTCCTCTGGCATTGCAGCTATCTTGCTCCCGGGTGGCCGAACAGCACATGGTCGTTTCAAGATTCCGTTGAACGCGGATGCTTATACTTCGTGCAATCTTCGCCTTGGCGGTCCTCACGCACACCTTATCGCAAGTGCGTCAGTTATCATCTGGGACGAAGCTGTCATGTGCAGCAAATATAATTTTGATGCTGTTGACCGTGCTCTTCGGGACATTATGGGTGCTCTGGACCCGCTGTTGCGTGAACTACCTTTCGGAGGCAAGGTTGTTGTTTTTGGAGGGGACTTTCGTCAGATGCTTCCGGTGGTAAAAAAAGGGAATCGATCTCAAATCGTTGCCGAGTCCATCCAATCTGCCTCTTTTTGGCGACATGTTCAAGTCCTCCATTTGACTGAAAACATGCGCGTGAGGAATGCAGGCCCTAATGCTGCTGCTTTTGCTGACACTCTTTTGGCTATTGGTGATGGACGTGCCCCGTATCAAGAAAGCGTGGAGATTCCGCAAGAATGGCAGATCGATACAAGCGATACCATGGGATTGATTGATGCCATCTATCCATCAATTCGCTCTACTGAGCCACAGTCAGAGCATTATCATGGTCGCGCAATCTTGGCTGCCAAAAATGCTGACGTCGATGCCATCAATGATGCAGCATATGACATCTTCCCCGGCATAGGCAGAACATATGCTTCCAATGATCGTATACTTGATGCTGATGATCCTGACGCAGCTGCAGCCAGCTATCCTGTTGAATTTCTACGGAGTATAACTACCGGTGGTATTCCTAACCATGAGCTATGTCTCAAGGTCGGTATGCCATTGGTGCTTTTACGCAATATGGATCCTGATGCCGGTCTTTGCAACGGAACAAAACTCTTCGTATCAGGCCTTTACGACAACAGCATCTCTGTAAGACGGATCGACCAAGGTTACACGGGTGAAGAGTTTTTCCTTCCCCGTATCAACATGTGCACTACTGAGGGTGAATATCCCTTCGTCCTTTGCCGCCGGCAATTCCCTGTGCGCGCCGCCTTTGCAATGACTATACATAAGTCACAGGGACAGACGTTATCTGATGTCGGCATCCTTCTCAACGAACCTGTTTTTGCTCATGGACAACTATATGTTGCATTATCCAGAGCAACAAATCCTCAAAACCTTAGGGTTGCAGTCGATCTGTCAACAGCCGCCACATCCCCACCACTTACTACTAATATCGTCTACCATGAAATTCTTTTGTCTCCACAAACCGTAAATTCACCACCTGCTTCTCCTACAACCACCGCCTCTCTACCTCCATCATCTTAACTCTTATTTTTGCTCTTTTTCTTTTTTTTGCTATAATTATCCTATTTTAACTGATCACCATTTTACGTACAATAGAATATTCGTACCTTTTCACTGTTTTTTTTGGTAAGTAGATCTGATGCGAAAAATATGATATAGAACTACGCGAGTGTCAACTCAGTCCTGCTGTCGTCTTTCAGCTAATTACGACAAGCAGCAGTAATCTACTACGATAACTAATGAAAGCGAGTGTATTGATGAACTTGCAAATTACTGTAAGAGCTGTCGATAGCAGCAAAAGAGCGGTCAAAACTCTCTATGTCCCTTTTGAATTTGGCAAACCAATCTGTAGTAGGGTTTCGTGTCATAGCAATAATGATAACGTTTAGGGTTATATGTAGACATAGCAATCAATAAGCTCGCGAAGCGAGCAGTTTCGGGTTTAGAAGGGGGGGTGTGGGGGGAACCCCCCACCTTGGGGGTCTGGGGGAAACCCCCAGGAAACATCCAATCCGTTGAATGACCCGGAGCGCAGCGAAGGGGCTCATTCAGCCGAGCGAAGCGAGGCAGGTGGATGTTGATATATATTAAAAGGTCTTCCTGTTTATTACTTTTTCTTGTATTTTCTCTTATTCATGTTGTTTTATATTAATATAAGATATATAAATTATCTCTGAAGGAATTATAATATTTGTGATGATAGAGGTTTAATAAAGATAATAAGGGACAAGATTAAGTATCTTTGAGATGATGTTTTATTCCAACAAAAGATAAAGCTCTTTTATACAGTGGTCCCCCGCTTTTTGCAGCAGCGGTTTTTAGTGGAAAAAACTGCAAAAAGTGGGGAACTGCAAAAAGTGAGGATGAGTATGAGATGTTACACAGACTGAGTCTATTATGTTAATCAAGTGTCAATGATAGTAAACCAATTAAAAGATATCGGTGTTGTACTGAGGCTACTTAATAAAAATCAACTCTTATATAAAAGGCTGTCATCTCATTCTTGATGTTTATATACTGCACTAGCGACACCTCCACACCACTATGGTAAATGCAAAATACCCAAAGCTTACTGACGAGCAAAAGGACACTATCTATTAACATTACATGTAGATGTCACTGGTTCAAGACTCTGTGTCCCAGGCTCTCGAGTTAATAGCGGAAAATTGCAGGTCCCCATTTTTGGCCTGCAAAATGCAAAAAGTGAGGAAACTGCAATTTTATTAAGTGATGAGCGGGTATGCTCCAAAAAAATCTGCAAAAACTGAGGATCTGCAAAAAGTGGGGCTGCAAAAAGCGGGGGACCACTGTATTCTAGCTATTAAGACGGCGATATCAATTCATCCGACTAATGGATAAGCTATGTGATAGAGGATAGATCAAGGACGTATCAGAACTTCTATTGAAGTCGCTATGTTAATCAGGCACATCTTTGAAACCGGCGTTAGCTGATGTAATGGCCGAGGTACCTGTTGATAGGTTCATTGTCCTGTTCACGTAAGGTGGATCATCTGAGTGAGAGATTTTATTCAATAGTGTTTAGCCGAAATGCCGTAGTGTTCATACGTATGTGCTATGATGTTTAACCGAATATCTTATTGTTGATATCTTGAGCAGTGTATTAATGTGGTTCACCACAATATTAGCACTTTTTCCATTTTATTCTTTTATTCCAAGTTATTATTATTTGATTATTATATTATTTATTAAAGTCTAAAAAATTGTTTTTTTTTGGATAAAATGTTCTGTTATTATGATTTCTATAAATAAAATAATATAATAAAAAGAATTCCTTCTTTATTTTTAAATCTTTACTATTATTAGTTTTAATAACTTTATTATATTTTTTTTGAATATATTGTTTCTATTGTTATAATTATTAGTATATTTACTTTTTTTATTTATTATGGTAATAATTTTAAGATTGAAAAATTTGATAACATTTATTAAATGGATATCAAAATTATTTATCTTATATATTAAATTGTTTATCTTTAATTCATTTATAATAAAAGCAAACTTTATATTTATAGCAAATGATATATTTTCCATTGTATTTTGAATGTTGTTGAAAATATATTTTCTATTATATGTTTTATGTTTTTTACAAATCTGTGAATTATCTTGGGATAACTCTGAACATTGGTGTCAAACATCTTGGTGACTTCCAATATGAGACTCGATGCTGTTAGCAAGCCATTGATCGGTGCTGTCACCCTCAACTTCAAATTGGACAAAAAAGACGCCCTTGCAACTAAGATCTTCTTAGATCATGATAATCTCTAAGTTGCTTTATCCATGGCCACGGATCCAGCAGTCACACAAACATCAGATACCAACATTGTGTATCAACTTCGCCAAATTCGTAGCAAATTCGATGCAGACAATGCATACTCTCTTTGCTGTGCATCAGGTCCTTTCACCAAATTTCACGTATGCCAACCATTTACCATTTTTACATTAGCAGACTATGACCATGGAACCTCGCCTTTATCATCACTATTTCGGTATATGGCAACGATTGTGCTGCGACTCGAAGTATGTGCTACTCTAGCAAAGGCATTTGAATCTTGCTTAGGTCAAGGGAACCTTAACACCCAAAATGCGTTTACAGCCATCATTGCTTTGTATGGAGAAAGCAATGAGATTCCCATCCTCGGCAATAGCGAATTGAGCAAGAGACTCGAGATTGTAGCCAACTCGTTGGCGCCGTCACTGGTTGCCACGAATGACTATGTGGCAAAGGAAATTGTGCTGGCCTTCCAGTTCTATAACTAACCTGAATCTGTATCTTCGTATAGTATATCCCTTCTTCCTGAATTCACCCAATGAGCATTCTACAAATGCCCAATCTCTCTTCTCCCAATTCCAATGCATTTTTTGCTGTTATTTTTTTATTCAATCACCTCCTCTAATACTTTGCGGAACTCATCTCATACCTATCTCCTTCAGCTGTGCATTTATAAATACCCTTCTTCCCATACTCATGTTTTCCCAATTACTTTTATCCGGTCACAGCAACCAGGTTTATCTTCACTATAAAAAATGCTCGTTTTGTGTGATACCGGTATTTTGCGAAAACGTCAACCTGTCAATGCATTTTCTTTTCAGTCTCATCTGAGGTATTGATCAGTAAAAAGAACAGTAATTACAAAATAGAAAGTCGATGAGTCTCTATGTAATCTCTTTGTTAAAGATCAAGATGAGAGAGGACCAAATATTACAAACAGCGTCTTTTTATATGAGAACGTTATTAAGGAGCCGATAGAAATCATGATCAATGGTAGTTGAGCATGATCCTATTTAGGTTGAGAAGTATAAAGACAGACTTATTATTATCATATCTTAAAGTACAGATATTATGGAATCTCATACGATAAGATTAAGTATTTATATGGTAAATACGACATCATCCAAGGCATTAATCAATCAAGTGTGTTTATCAGGTGTTCATGGCATGAAAACAATGGTGCCTTTTTGTTTCTTATAAAGAACAATGCTAATCTACATTCTAATGTAGAAATCATTAGTAAAAAAAATGTTGCGAAGAAATCAATCAGAATCCCACTGGAGATCGAGGATTCTGTAAACTTTCTTATACTCATTTAAACGAGAAGTTGCCTTAATTGTTTGTTTTTGTTTGCCTGCTGGAAGAACAATGTCGTGTACAAGCTTATAATGTCTACGAAGATTCGCTTTCTTTGGCACGTTTTCCACTTTTTTGCACAAGTGGCAACCAAGTTTCAGAACTGATGTGAATCAAATAATCAAGAAAATTTTCTTTCGTGAGACTTTTTGTGAGACTTTTCAGGAGATTTTTTTTAACGGGTCTTCTGGCCAAATCATGATACAGGATATGAGATATTTGGGCTTTCCTGATTGGTTAGAAGTCTTCAAAATAAGTCTCACGAAAAGTCTCACAACTTTTTTTTTTTTTGGAATTTGGCCAAACACTTTGGAAATTGGCCACCATTAGTTGAATTTAACCAGGCCAGGCCATTTTTCAATCCTCAACCACGATTTGACGAAACTCGGAGACTCTGGCCAATTTCTTTCTCACTTTGCCCAAACCTAACTTCAACGACTGTAAATGGCGATTTTTTGTTGTTGTTGTTGTTGTTGTTGTTGTTGTTGTCGTTACAAACACCTCGTTTCCGTAGAAAGAAAACTTCTTCAGAGTGCTTGTCCATTACGACACCTGTCCAAACATTTATGAGAATGTCTAACGATTCCTTTGAAATCACTCAGCTTCAAACTATTAGAAGCTTCACTAATCCGAGTCATCAACGTTTCCTTCTCAAGAAACTTGTTGCGTTTCACTTTACTTTTGACCACTGACCAGAATTGCTCAATTGGATTGAGCTCAGGAGAATATGGAGGTAAATAAGCGCAGCGGTATCCCCGAGATTCTACGTATTTAGCTATGTCCTCGGACGTATGGATAGGAGCATTATCCATTACGAGGTAGTGACCTTTCATGTGCGGATAGCGGTCCATTTCATCCATTGTAGCTTTTAGAAAGCTGATATAGTGTCCCGTAACCGTTCCTTTGCTCATTTGCCCAACGCCATCTCCCCCGCTTTCTCTTTTTATTAGATGGAGACTGAGGAAGTCTAAGGCTACATTTGATTACACCTTCAGCAGAAATCGCGCCCAAAACGGTTGTTGTTGTCGCTCGTGTTTTGGGAACTGTGACCACTGCCGGTGCACCTTTCTTTGACCAAGCCATACTACGTTTCAAATCAATGTGGAAAGCAGATTCGTCAAGAAAGACACAGTTTCTCGTAAAATCTAGATCTGTCTTGTCCCACTTACGAACCCAATCCAAGCGCTCCTGGATTTTTTCTTCGCTATTCCGGTCTATGGGTTGAAGCCGAGCTTTTTTGAGAGATAAATTGCAATGTTGTTTTACAAAATCGAACAAAGTAGTTTTAGATACTTTTAATTCTGTAAACACTTGCTTTAACTTCTTCATTACTTCATCTAGGACGATGGAAGGATTCTCATCAATGCACTCGAGAATAGCATTTTTGTGTTCGTCTTGGAGAATACGTGGACGGCCAGACTTTCTCCGTTTCTCAAAGATACTGTCAGGATCTTTCTCGTATTGCGCAGCCCATTTTTGTGCTGTACGAACATGAATCCCAAGTTGTTCTGCAGCTGCGGCCGCACTCAAACACCTCTCAAACAACAGCTTGAAGAACCTCACTTTGTCCTGATCAGAATAGCGCGTATAATTTCGCTTCACTGAAGTTTCCCTCATAATGACATCACCATTAGGCTTTACCTCCTTTTCTAACTGCATTGCATCTATCCTTTTCTCGCTCTCCAGAGGCAGTTGAGCTAAATATTGTGTATGAGAACTCAACGTTTCAAGACGAAACTGTTCCTCATCAACAATATAATCCATTGGTTCAGGTCTGCCATACTCGTCGACGACAGATCCTTTCCCGTTTTCAAACAAGAATTGAATGTTCATTATCGGTGATTTGTGATGTAATTGTGAAAAAGAAATAAAACAAAGACAAGCACTAGGCGTGCTCTTTTATATTTAAAGTTGCCAAGACTTTGCCCTACAAAACAATCGACATATGATTTGTCAGCCAAGACGAATTTATACTTTGTACAACACGAATTTGTTCCTGTCATCAGGTGAATTGATTTTCCTTCAGGGCGAATTCGTTTTTCGTGCAACCTGAATTTGTTTTCGCCATTGAGTGAATTTACTTTCCGGAAAGAGTGTACACGCACACGCAACGTAATATTAGCCAGCAAAAATAGTGGATCGGAAGAATTCTATTACCCCCCCCCAAAAGCCTTCCCACGATGGCGGGATGAATGACTAACTCCACTTTTCTTTCCATGAGAGTTGTGATCGGCTAGTAGGAGGGATGCGTCTGTGTGTTTGTGTATGCGTGTGTGTATGTGTGTGAGGGGGAGGAGCAAGTGCTGCAATAAAAGGGAGGAGTGATTTCTTGAGCCCATTACTACTACAATGTAATTTCTATTATTGACCGGTATATATGCGCTACAGGCACATAGCAGGCTAGTCGACAAAACAAACTTTTACCCAACAGGAAGAGGTCTAGAAGGAGAGAGAGAGAGAGTGAGGGGGGGGGGATGGGAGGACTGCAGAAATGACGTTTGTGTTTTTTTTTTGTGCCTATATAGAATGATAATCACAAACAACGCGGATCTGAGAAGGAGAGGAAGGACGAGGGGGCTAAAACGATGTAATGTGAAGCAAAAGAGAGACGGGGGTGGTGGGGGAGTTGGAGGGGAACAGTAAAAGCGCGTGCGTCAAAATGTACGTGAACGTCACACCGCATCAAAGAGAGTGCGTGCTATGGATATACAGTCGAAATGAGGGGGTGGGGGAGGAGAGGAAGGGGGCTTTAAACAAAGAGAACGGCCTTATTTTGTTTTTTTAATACACGACACCTTTTTTGAACTTCCCCTTCACGTTTTCTGTCATCTGTCATCTAATCTCTCCCTCTCTCTTTTCTCTCAATCTCAAATACTTTCTCTCGTTTTCTTTTTTTTTTCACATTTCGGGACAACCTTTGATTAAAGAAGGTAAACAAAAAAGTGACTCGCTTTGGAGTAAGTAATGGTCGACGCAAAGAACATTGACGACTCATTATAACGTACATACATATATGCACTTGATGCACACACATACACACACATACACACGCGCACGCGTTTTTTTACCACTAAAGAAGCAAAACCATGTCGGATACAAAGGCAGTCATCAAGAGTGCAGACATGAGCGAAGAGATGCAGCAGGAGGCCATCGAATGCAGCACCCAAGCTCTCGAAAAGTTCAACATTGAAAAGGACATTGCTTCGCACATTAAGCGTGAATTCGACAAGAAATATGGTAATTGCTGTCTACACATTGGTTATTACTCTAAAGCTTATACCGATGGTGGAGGAAGAAGAGGAAGAGGAAATAGTAATAAAAGAGAAAGAGAGCCTTGCAGATTGCTGATCGCACGACGCTTCTTATTATATCAAATAACTTTTTAGGCAACACTTGGCACTGTGTTGTCGGTCGCAATTTTGGCAGCTACGTGACCCATGGTAAGTTTGCAGTAGTAGAGTTGGAAAAAGGGGTGTATGGAATTAGAGAGATATGACTATAAGGGAGAGAAAGAAGGGAACGATGGAATAGCAAAGGCGTAAAGAAGAGGGAGAACGAGAAATACGAAAAGGGTCATTTGATCCATTGATTCGTTGCTAAATGCTGTACGTACATCCACACTGTGTAGAATCCAAGCACTTTATCTACTTTTATCATGGCCAGATCGCTATTTTGCTGTTCAAGTCGGCTTAGAGGAAGACTATGTCTCCCTCCCTTTTTTTCTCTCTCTCTCTCGGCCCTTCCCCTCCCCTTCCTACGCACACATGCTCTCTAACTCACACTTGCAAAGATAACACACGCCAGATCACAGACACAAAAAGAAAAATACCTTTTGTTACGCATGCAAACTCGTGTAGTAGTAGCGCAGCAGCCATACAATATATACGCAAACCAACAACTCTTTCTGACTGAAAAAGGGCTCCTCCCTCTTTATATATGTGTTTGTTGTGTTTTTTTATTATTATGTTGTGGGCAAATGACCAATTGGGAAGTTTTATATACATTACACAAGAATAGAGAGAGCTGGCCCTTGCACGAAACAGTAAGCAAAATTCTAGAATTGTATGAGGGCGAATGATGAAACACCAAACAACAGCCCACAAAGGGGGAGGGAGGGAGGAGCGACATTTACTAGTAGCAAGAGATCAACGAACGTTCGCGGGAAAAAAATTTATCGGCAGCACCCAAAACCAAAATAGCTGCTAAGCAAACGGCCAATCCGAGCAAAAAAAAAAAAAAAGACATAAAAAGGCCGGATCGGAGGGGTGTGGGTGGCGGAACAAAGTGGCGGTCCCAAAGCGCATATCTCTTTTCTTTTCCACTCTTCATCTCTTTTCTTTCTTCCTCGCATATCCATCACATAACACAATAAAAACTAAGCATGCTTCTGCTCATTGTCTCGGCAATCCAGGTTCGTTTTGAACAATCAAACCCGCATTGCCTTTTTTTTTATAATCACACCCCTGGCATGTAAAATGCTAACCTTCCTTGGTCCTTTTTTTTTTCTGTTTTCTACAATAATGCAAATATAGGCTGTATTACAAGTCATGATCATTGTATCCTTTGGCTTTTGCCTGACAAAACTAGGATACTTTACCAACGACAAGCAAAAGGTAAAACGCATGGCAACAAATAAAAAGCGGTTACCCACAGCAACAAAGAAAAAAAGAAGGGTTCTCATAGCAACACAGAAATGGTTCTCAAGACAACACATTGATTTCGTCTGATTTATCATTTACAGTGGCTGTCCAAAGTAAACATGGTGTTTTTCACCCCGTGCTTGTTATTCAGTAACATTGCATCCACCATTTCTCTCGAGAAACTCTTGGCTTTCTGGCCCATCCCAGCCTTTTACATCATCTTTGCCGGCACATCGTACATTTTAAGCCAATTGACCTCACATGCAGTCGGCTTGAAACGGCCCTATCGACGCTTCGTTACCGCATGTGTAATGTTCAGCAACACTAATTCGCTGCCTATCGCGATCATATCAAGCTTGGCAGTTTCCGAAGCCGGGATAATTCTGTTTTGGGATGCCGACGATACTCAGGATTCAGTAGCAGCAAGGTAAAAAAAAAAAATAGTTGGGTTATTCGAAATTCGAGAAAGGGAGTTAATAGTGTGGCTGATAATTTATTTATTAAACATCATCATCATCATCAATCCCCCCTCCAAAATAATAATAATAGAGGTATCTCGTACACTCTTTTTTTCGCAATCTTTGGCAATCTTCTTCGTTGGTCGTATGGTTACAGCCTGTTGCGGAAGGAAGAAGCGGATGAAGAAGAGATCGTGGAATCAGATAGCGATACATTGGACGAGGAGCAGCGATTGGTGGTACCGGGCTACGGCGCCACAAACAACGAACAGCGCCAAGGCATGCCCGACCGACAATCGAGCTCGTTGACATTGACCGCCCAGCCCGACGACACGATGAAAAAACCACAAGAAGAAACGAGCAATCTGTTGTCGACGTTCCCTACGCTGCCGACGGATCAGAATAACACTATAAATCAGCCGCGTGACCATGTATTGATGCGTGTAGTCAAACGCATCCACCGTTTCATGTCGCCCCCTCTGTACGCCGCATTTCTCGGTCTGCTTGTTGGCCTGACACCGTTAAAACACCTCATGTTTGACCAAGACTCGTTCCTGTATCCATGCTTTACAAAGGCAATCCAAGTGTGCGGTCGCGCTGCAGTGCCGCTCATCTTGACCTGCCTTGGCGCCCAGCTCACAATGATCTCGCAGTCGCAACAGCCCGCCGACCCTGCAATCAAGGCGCCAGTGTTTACCGCCATCTTTGTCCGCATGATTCTAATGCCTTTTGTGGCTATCCCGATCGCTATTGCATTTGTCGTCTATGGTGCCCAGTGGTCCCTGCTCGCAACCGATCCAGTCTTTATCACCATGATGATCGTTCTCGGATGTACTCCGACGGCTATCAACCTGGTCCAGATCACGCAGGTCAACGGCCTCTTTGAAGAGGAAATGCTTAGAATGCTCTTTTGGAGTTACGGTGTTGTTTGTGTTCCTGTTTGTACCTTCTTGGTGTTTGTGGCGCTCAGTATTGTTGATAAGCTTGTCTAAAACAGCAGCAACAACAACAACAGCAACATCAGCATCAACAAGAACTGCAACATGTGCAAAACAAACAATACAATATACATTATGCATACCCCCATCATCATCCTTTCCCCCCCACACACACACAAAAAAAAGAAAACAAAACGCAACCCCGTGTACATATACTACAGCATATCTCCATCTTCTAACAAGTAGTATTTTTTTTTTGCTTTCTTTTCTCATGTAACCAACATTCTTAGTATATACTATCGTAGCCCTATCTTACCCACCATTGTAGCCGTTGTTTTTGTACGTTGTGCATTAGTCTTAGAATAAAGATGATCATGTGTTTGAATCTGTCACTTTCTATGTTATTGTAATCGTGCTTTTTCTTCAGCACTGTATAAATATTTGCATGATTACAACAAAGAAGCTGTTTCGATCTTTGTTCCATCTATGTGAAGACTGAATCAGCGTCGACCACTTGTTAAAACGCTCGAGTGTTATCAGAAATGAATAAAAGTAGTGCGGTTACTACTCTACACTTGGCATGCATTCCTGATCTAGTAGTGCATTTTTATGTACGTTTTTTGGCTGTCAATACATCCAATTTGCAAAACAAAACGAATGTAATCTCTGCATGCTGTCCCTTTGAGGAAAAAAAAAGTTATGTTTTTGTTTTGTTTTTAATTAGGCATTCACGTAAGGATCATTAAACTTTCGTTACGGCCATGTATAAAACTAAGTGTTTAAACAACAACATTACTTGATGACAAAGAGAATTTTTTCTTTTTGCCAGCGCAAATAAAGAGATAGTGATGTGGGTCACGGGGGGAGGAGGGGTGAACATAACGCAGAAATTATGGTGATCGAGTATAAACAAAAATGCATGACCTTTTTGTTTACCTGTTACAAAATAAACCTAGACCGTTTCACTGTGGTACATTTGCTGGCGTATTATGCCTGGATACACATTGATGTTATCGTATTCGGGGCTCTCTCCCAAAAAAATCAGACACTAAATCAAAAAAGAAGTTTCTACCGAGACTTCTTGTAGCTTTCTTTTTTAACTGGTCTGTGACACATCCTGAAACAGGTAAGTTGCACCAAGTTGCTTTTTTAAATAAGACAGCGCAGCAGGGGGAAAGGCGTTTTGACAAAAAGTAACAACAACAACAACAACGATAGAAATCGAGCGATGAACGAAGAGCAATGACACATGCTATGCAGGAATATCATCTGCTGTGTCTTTAAGGGAAAAAAGCAAAACTTAATGTTCGGCTGCACCTTTAAGGAACTGCAGCAGGAGCGAGCAATTCAGTAGGTTATCTTTAAAAAGGCTTGCATAAAATCACAAAATAGAAAAAAGATTGGCGTAAAACGATGCATATACGACTACACAGAAGGGTAACAACACTTATGCGCATCAGTATGTACTACGTACAAAACAGATTAGGTTATTGACTTTGGTACGATGAGCACAATGGGTATAACATACTGATTACTTTCCCGGGTATAAACAGCATAATACTTTCATGCTGTCCCTAAAGGCAAAAAAATATATTCTATCGTTTTTATTACAGCAGTATACGTAATATGCAGCCAGCAACACCGTACAACTTTATAAAGAATGTGGATCAAGAATGTACGTTGTATATATACATCCGCGTTGAAGCTCAGGTAATAAATATCGTCGTCGACCGAGATATACTACTCATAAAGTACATTCAAGACGCAAATGATGATGTCTTGCTACACAACCACGATGAACATTCTGATCGAGACACAGTAATCATCTGATAGTACTACTGTATCTGATAGCATTACTGAGTAGAGCTCCACTACTTATGCTCCAAATCCGTTGATGATTACATACTACCGGATCAGTATGAGGAAAACAAACGATTCATGCAGTCGTTGGCGGTTGTGTCACCGAACATTATCATTAATTAACTGATTCGTCTTAATCAATAGGGTATTGGTATTTTGAACCGCCAGTACACCACCTCTAGTCGTATCATATATTACATAAACGACGAAGATTTTTTTCTTCGCGCTAAATGCTGCATTGGGTATGGTGAACGAACCTTGATTTATTTAATTTTTCAGGAACAGTAGTTTTTATAAAAGTACGTAAATCGTCAATTACTACTTTTTTGGTTTAACGCGAAGTTACATCTATTATAATAGCTCAACAGCTTTTGGTAAAGTACAAATAGTAAAAAATTCGATCTCGTCGGTTGATGGAGATTTATAATGTTTCTCTTGGTCCTATGACATGAGTTTCTTTCTTTGCTCGTTGCGAGATCAAGAAAATACCTTCAAAATAAAATGGCATCATAGACTTCTTTTACCCACAATTCAAGTTGTTTCTTCTTTTTACACATATTCAATATTGACGTGAACGGTCTCCTGAAAGTCTACTTTATATATCATCTTCCTGCCGTTCATTCCTCCTGTCGTTACGTTTCTCCGTATCATCAGTGAGCTTGTGCAGTGAAAAACAAGTAAGACAGCAGTAAACAGCACTAGATCTACAACAAGCGAATGTTATCTGATGTACTGTACGTAATGGTATTATTCGTTGTATATCATAGGTAAATAATGATGTGCTTAATGGTACTATTCGCTGTAGACAAAAAATAAATAAAGAGATGGAATCTAGCTGTTCTCATCAAATACAAAATGGCTATATAATTGCTCACACATGGCAGCGAGCAGTGATTTGTTGTTTTATATGTAGTAAGCTGGCTACTGATGCAAAGCCCATATATCACGCAGCACATCGATCATGTGTGTAGCTCGTGTTAGCGTGGGAAGTGGGGCTGGGACGATGATGTGTGTACACGTATGCCTGCCGTACTTGTTCATATGCGCAGAAACTCTTTCTCGACAATCTTCCGCGATAAGGCACCGAACATTATCATCTTGTTTTTACAACATTAGGTCGTCTATTTAATGTTATCAACAGCGAAACTGTTGTCCTTCATAGCTTAAACCATAAGACTGGTAAAAAGAATATATAAGATGCTGTTGAAGAAAGATGCGCTACACCGCGCTTCCACGAAATAATAAAAATGTATGAGAAATGCTCACAATTGAATCATATAGATTGTATCTACAAGAAGAATTATAGTTGTTGCTGAGCAGCAATATGATAGTTGGTATTAATGGTGCCTATTGTAGTACAACACTCTCGTGGCCACGCATTTTTGACAGACGTACTAGTGCCAAAATTGAATCGGAGAAGCAGCACCAACCCCGGACTAATGAATAGTAAGCGACGCGTTGGCATCAGTTGTATAAGTCTTATTGTGGAAGTCTCTTCATTCATACATAATAACTTTTTTTAACAATGTTCGCTTTGCGTCGTGTCGTTACTGCTGCTGTCACTCCCCGTGTTGCCCTTGCAACTCGCGCTGCTGCTACTACTACTGCCCGTATGGGCGCTATGCGTCCTGCTGCAATTGCCGCTACCCGCAACGCGTTCTACTCGTCAGCTGCTGCTCCCGAGCCTAGAAAGACTGCTACCGTCCAACGTAAGAGATCATATTTATTTGTGAATGATAGCTTACAAAAAGGACATGGCGGATCTATAATACTGAAGATCGAACTTTATAGATGCTGCTCCTCAATGGACGGCTCAAGCTGTTGTTGACGGCACGTTCAAAGACTTGTCCCTTTCTGATTACAAGGGCAAATTCCTCGTCATGGTAAAATAATCATTATTTTTATAAAAGCACTTTTTGAGTACTTTCTAGAACTGATATGTTATGGCTGCTTATACTAGGTCTTCTATCCCGCCGACTTTACCTTTGTTTGCCCCACTGAATTGCTTGCCTTCAGCGACCGCATCGAAGATTTCCGCAAGCTTGGTGCTGAAGTTGTCGGTATCAGTGTCGAGTAAGTCTTTTCTTGTCTCTTCTTTCATGCTATCAATGACGGTTGGGGAATAAAAACTCTAAACTGTGGTTTTTTTTCTAAAACGATTTCATTCAGCAACGCACACTCCCACTTGGGTAGGTTCTCACAAAAAATAAAGGATTAGGTCAAGAGAGAAAAACTCGTTGAAAGGGGCGGTATACTAACATTTCTCTTCTTCCAGCATGGACCAACGTACCCCGCAAGCACGGTGGTCTCGGAGATATCAAGATCCCTCTTGTCAGTGATATCAAGAAGGAATTGGCCACTGACTATGGTGGTAAGTGCTGTACTGGATCAAAAAATTCACTGGATTAAGGGGAGGGAGCGAGCACACAGGTTTATTGAAATTGTTTATTACATTATAGTTTTGATTCCTGAGGAAGGCTTGGCTTTGCGTGGTCTCTTTGTCATTGATCCCACACAGACCCTTCGTGTCGCTCACATCCACGATTTGCCTATTGGCCGTTCGGTTGATGAGACTTTGCGTGTCATCGAAGCCATCAAATTCACTGATGAGCATGGCGAGGTAATATTTCAAATCAAAATGAAAGAAAGGACAGTTGATGGAGTCTTTAGAATGAGATATGTGTGCTTACACCCATTATCCTTGCTCGGACCTTATAGGTTTGCCCTGCTAACTGGCAGAAGGGTGACAAGACCATCAAACCTAATCCCAAGGATTCGCAGGAATACTTCAGCGCTGTCAACTAAGAAAAACCTAATTTTTTTTTGATAATTAATAATAAAAACACAAGAATTAAAACAGCAGGCGTGTGATCACACTAGATTGCTGGCGGAAGAGGAAGAAAGGTTTGTGTGTGACCAAGAAGCAGGGAACCTTTCTGACCCAGTCATTGCTAATGCCGAATCCCTTGACGGGGTAACAAAAATCCGGTTAATCATTATTTCAACGCACCGCCTTGGTCACATCTCGGCACAGATGTGATATCTGTAAGCAAAGCCTATACATGGGCTATTAGTAATAGAGCCAGTCATATGCATCGAGTGGTGGTATTGTTTTTTCTGGGGTTGCGAAGGAAAACGTGTGCGGTATAGCTGTGCATCTTCGAATAAAGCACCTTGACGGTATTTTGCGGGGTATTAGTTGGAAATTGCATTACAAAGTCTAAATCAAAAGTATAAAAGAGTCCTGCTCGACTCCCACCAGGAACACAGAACTCAGTTTTCTTTTCAAAATCGATCAATAACCCACATTTATACAAGCAATGGCACAATCTCCCAGATACCAATACGAAACAGTCAAGGTTCAAGTTTTCCCTGATGGCGTTGCTCATGTCGAGCTGAATCGCCCCAAGGTGTGTGTGTGTTATAAATTTTCTGTTACGGCCGAGTTTCCCCATATATGCTGACAATCCAATTCTCTTTTTGATGTGTGCCTAAGCGTCTGAATGCTTTCAACCATGCGTACGTTCATATTTTAAAGTGCAACACAATCACGTAGCAGTACAAATTTTATTCACATCCGCTCACTCTTATGGTGGCCATGATGTATATCATATATGTAGATTGATTCGCGATATTCTTCAAGCTTTCACGGATATTGGTAATGACAGCAACATTCGTGCTGTTGTTCTTTCCGGCTCAGGCCGCTTGTTTACTGCCGGATTAGATCGTAAGTCTTATTAATCAAAAAATATCATTAGCATTGGCGTTACTCACAGTCTAACTTATTGTCATAAAAAATAATCGAAACCTAGTGATGGAAGGTTCTGCCAAGGAAAAGATTCCCGAAGATCTAGATGTTGCCAGAAAGGCTTTCGCAAAACAAGCTGGTCTCAGAGTAAGCGTTCAAACTATTATTTAAAGTATGATACCTGTTCGCACATTCATTGTCAATAACTAACGATACGGACTTTATGGTAGCATTTCCAAAACTCAATTTCTTCCTTAGAGAAATGCCCAAAGCCTGTCATTGTCGCTTTGCATAATGGTGTCATCGGCGCCGGTGTCGATTTGTGCACCGCCGGTGACATTCGTTATGGTACCAAGGATTCATACTACTGTGTCAAGGTATATTTTATAATATCTCAAAGTTTATGCGCATCGATCAAGTCTACTGTAAAGCTTATGTACACCTTATAACATGCATCTGTGTCTCCACTTCTCATTGATTACTAGGAAGTCGATGTTGGTCTTGCTGCTGATGTTGGTACTTTGCAACGTTTGCCTAAGGTCATTGGCAATGCCAGTTTAATTCGCGAACTAGCTTACACTAGCAGAAAGTAAGAAACACTCCCAAAGCTTGATACTATCTCCATAATCTACGAAAAGAAGATTTCGATAACTTTACATTATTGTGATAATCGTTGTTGATGAAAATTATGTAGCATGTACGCCGAAGAAGCCCTCCAATGTGGCCTTATTAGCAAAATCTTTGAAACCAAGGAGAAGCTTATTGGTAAACACAATATTTTCATGGTTTTTTTCTCTACTATGCAATACCTCAGTTCTTAATGTCACATTTGATATTTTCCCTAACATTTGAACAGCTGGAGCTCTCGAAACTGCAAGACTTATCGCGTCCAAGTCACCTGTTGCTGTCGTTAGTACTAAGTAAATATCAATCACACTTCTTCTATCATATTGTTATATCGTATGTATCTCACACAGTAACACAAAAAACTGTAGGCACCTATTGAATTACTCGCGTGACCACTCTGTCGATGAAGGCTTGCAATACACTGCAGTCTGGAATGGCGCCATGCTCAATACTGAGGTAAGAATTCTCTATTTCCACAAGCAGATTATATTATGTACATCTTTGTCGCACTGTAGTCGAATGATATCTTACTACATAGTCAACAACAAGAAGGGTCAGATGCTAATATCATTTCCCTGTTCCTCTTTTAAAGGATATTCCCAAGTCCGTTGAAGCTTTCATGAAGAAGAAACCTGCTGTCTATGCTAACCTTTAGATTGCTCCGACTACACCGCATACGCTCACTAAAATGTCCAAGTCAAAGTGCCTTGTGCTCATTTACATGTAATCTGTAGCACAACACATCACCATTTGTGTAAGAACAAGAAACTTAAATATGACATAGATCTCTACCCCTTGATTGTACGTATGCCCATAATTAATATTAAAACATACCGTCACAAAATTATAGGTTGCATGGAACCGATAAGAAGTGGTTTATTAACATAGAAGAAGAAAAAAGAAAAAGAGAAAGCTTCAAACTACTAGGCAGGGTATTCTTCTCTTTCACACTCAAATACTACGAGTAAATCTGGGGTCGCATTCTGGTTGCATTCTGTGGTAGACATTTGTAATACATAATACATTTGTTCGATCTCTTGTTAAAAAAGTATCATAGCGGTGACATTTTTTCGGATATGTAAAACCGTGCCCTTGGAGGTTGTCTGGAGTTGTTTATTTAAGGGCAGAATATGTACCATGTCTGAAATAAGAAGCACGCCGTGAGGTGGTGCTAACTTATTGGCTTGTTTGACAGCTTCGTTACTTACATATACAGTAAGGAAGTGTTAGACAATGATTTTGTGTTGGATTAATACTGTAAAGCAATTCTTTCGTTGTTACTGTTATGAAAATACAATTGTCTTTGAAAATCATGTCTACTGGAGAGTACTTAAGTGCCTTATCCACATTTAGCTCAATTAGCACGCATTTGTGCTGCCGGTTTTCGCCAACGACAATACAGTTCTTAAACAGTATCCTTATTGTGAATCTCATTTTCTATGGCCGTCGGCCACAGTTTTTATCCACTCTCCTATAACAAATATAGCTTTCGTGAATATTTAAAATAGCAAGGACAGTTTAAGACGATGCAATAAACGCTCCAGTTTGCAGCACCTTACATCATCATCATATCATCCATTACTTCCATGCACCTGATCCTATTTAGTCTTAATAAACAAATCTCTAGTAGCGTGATCGCCATTAGGTCGGTTGCCCACATTTTAGCAAATGGAGGACAATTTGCGTGCACAAAAAGCTAATGTATATCTTGAGCTAACGGCCCAAAAGACAAATAGCGCATTAAATCAGTGCTTGGATTGATGCTATTCCAGTTTTTGTTGCCTCTTGTAATATTAAATAAGCAAAAGGATCCGGTCCCTAATGTTTTTTCTTGTTACTGTAAATAGTGGAAAGGTATGTTTAAAAGTGATGAGGATCCTATATGACAAATGTTCAACGTATACCGATCGGAGCAATACACATGCGGAATAAAATACAGTACCTGTAGAAAAAAGAATAATTACCATGGTGTCTGCTGCTATTTTTAAAACACGAGTTCGAAACGTTGAAAGTACTGGCGCATCTCGACGGTGTAGCACACGTTGAACTGAGTCGTCCCAAGTCGTTGAACAGTTTCAGTGAAAGGTAATGACAAGACCTAGTGCAGTAATTTATGCGTCATAGTTTTTTTTATACTTACATTATGCAATGCTCGTATCATTTACAGCTTGTTTGACCATGCATGATTATTGTCGCAAAGGTCATCCCGTAATCTGTCGAAGCTTTCATTACAAAGAAGCCAGCTGCCTAACATAAATCTATCAAAAGGAACATACCCAAGACCGGTCTTGCATGAATCTACAAGTGAAGCTACCTATATTCCATGTTAGAGAAAAGTAGTAGCCAAAGTCTTTCCAACCGCCAATTATCCATGTCAAACCAAGGATTGCAATGCTTTTATACTTGCCTTTCAAAGGTACAATGTTCCCTATTCTTCACACATGTCGTCAGCTACTGTAGCGAAATGCATATATCATCACATCCATACTATATTTTCGGTTATAGTTGCTCAAACAGTTTTCACTGCTTTATACACTCATATCATGTAAGGAGACATCCTTACCTTCTCAAGCACTAATATTTGTATAGCCAGGAAGCTGTTTGTACGATCACTGTTATTACTTTGACCAGTAGCCTTTTTTCTTCATTTATCGGACCTCTTCCTCTCAAGAAGTGCTGTCGACATAATAAACCAATAATGTAGCAGCTGACACGCCTTCGCGACCATCAACATCTAGAAATGCATTCGATAAGTACACCTTGAGCATCGTCTTTTCTCCATCTGAGAATCGATCCGAAAATTTAGCCAAGGCTCGAAGGAATAGATTACCAACCCCCAGCATCCTTCAAGTTCCTTCATTAAGATTCGGTGAATTACCGCCAAAATGAGAACCAGAAAGCGACCGGAAGTTGAATCGGCGTTTGCGATTGGCTAATGAAGGTACTGGATAAAAGTTTCGCGTTAAGCGAAGCATGCGCAGATTATCAATGACAAATTACTTATGAGTGGGGAATCCCTTTCTATATCACTTTTCTTCCCTTCTTTCTCCACGCATACTTTCTCTCAATAATGGCAGCATCTGCAAAATACCAATACAAGAATCTGAGAGTTCAAGTCGTTTCTGATGGCGTTGCCCACGTAGAGCTACACCGCCCTGAACGGCTCAATGCAATCAACGAAGCGTAAGTCCTGTCACTTCTTCACCCGTTTTCAAGAAGCTGTTATAGCTTATTTTTTATATTAGCCTAGTTGAAGATATTCGTGTATGCTTCAATGACCTTGGCAAAGATTCCAGCATCCGTTGTATTATTCTATCGGGATCTGGCCGTACTTTCACAGCTGGTCTTGATTGTAAGTTACACCCTTCTATTCTTTTGCAAGTACGCTATCCAAATAAAGAAATGCGTTTTTCTGACCAATCAATTTTAGTCAAAGATAACTTTTTGCTCAAGGAGGAACCTGCTGTCGATGTTGCCAGAAGAGCTTACCACAAGCGGTTTCATATTGAAGTGAGTAGCATCTTTTAGAGAAATGAAAAGCATGAGTTCATTATTATTCTCATCAGCGTGTATGTCTTTGATAATGACCAGTGGTTCCAAAGCGCCATGTCTGCACTTGAAAAGTGCCCGCAACCAGTCATTGTTGCCATGCATCAGGGAGTTTATGGCGTCGCTGTTGACTTGTGCACTGCTGGTGACATTCGCTATGGTACCAAGGATTCCTTCTATACTGTTAAGGTAACGTATTGCCGAGATTATATTTGCCATTAAACATTAGGACGGGGTACTTAACCATTTGGTATACTAGGAAGTAGATATGGGGTTGGCTCCAGATGTAGGTACTTTGCAGCGTTTGCCCAAGGTAATCAACAGCGAAAGCTTAGCGCGTGAATTATGCTTCACAGGACGCTTGTAAGTATTTCATCATTTTATGCTGCAGCTTTGCTAAACTGGTGTACTAAATTGATATCCTATCTAATAGGATGTATGCCGACGAAGCTTACAAATGTGGTCTCATTAGTAGAATTTTCGAAAACAAGGAGCAAATGATTGGTATGAGTTGTTTTAATCACTTCTTCTAGAGTAGAATAAGCCAGAAATTATATCGATATGATATCCTTATCATGCATTTATAGCTCATAACCTTCTTTTTGAACTCTATTAGAGGCCGCTTTGGAGACAGCTCGTATAATTGCCAGCAAGTCGCCTGTTGCCGTCGTCAGCTCCAAGTAAGTTGTTAAAGCAGGCCTAAATATCTTATAGGCGAACCCTTATATACTCATGTTAAGCGTTGGAGATGTTGTGATGTTTTCATTGTGCTCACCGTCTATGACCAAATTGTCTAGACATCTGTTGAATTATTCCCGCGATCACAGCGTCGACGAAGGCTTACAATACACCGCCGTTTGGAATAGTGCCATGTTGCAGACTGAGGTAGTACACCTTGTTTCGTCCTCTTAATCGGATGATGACAATTGATGCCTTTCTCTTTGTAGGATATTCCTAAATCCATTGAAGCCTTCCTGAAGAAGAAGCCAGCTTCGTACTCTAAGCTTTAAAAATCAGCATTGACCGAATTTAAAATTAACATTGATTGAAAGCGAGCTACTAGATGTCTTGTGCTCATAATAACGTCAAGATTTACACTCCTCTTTTAACAGAAATCTACTATTGAGCAGTTTTTTTTTATTGAATCAATAAAGTACGACGCAGTTGCACAGCATACATGGTTATGGTCTCTATTGTATCATTTAAGTACTGTATATACACATACTGTATTAACTAGGTCTTATCGATACGCTCGGCATGATTATCATACTGACAGAAGCCGGATGATGTCTAATTTCTCGCTATTTCACGATATCTCATAGCACGAAAGTGATTTTCTCATTCTCGTTTTTCTCATTCTCGTGTGCCACACTTCAATAAAAGCTGAGCCAAGGGGTAAGTTAAGTCGTACTTTTTTCAATTTAACTATTCGACATTGTGTTTTCGAAATCGTGTATTTATAGCAATAATGAAGTTTGTTTACTGGTATCATTGCTCACTTTTTACGGGTATTCCACTTCCAAAACCTCATTTCCATATGCTGGATAACGCAGTTGACGGATTGGGTGGATGAACGACAGCTGGTTGATTTCCAATGTGAAGATTATAAGCAAAGGAGAGCATTACATATCTATCTAGTATTACAAAAATATAAGCATTGTGCCTGGCAACTGAAGATTCAATGGTGTGCCGATCACATATAGCACTACTATTTTTACGTAGGGTAGCAGACGAGACAAGAGGGAATACTGTAACTGGACGAAACATGAACAACATGCACTGTGTCACGTTTACAATACAATTTGGTAAGACTCGGTTGCATTAACCGTTGCCTGGTTGTATAAGACGACAAGTGCTCCCAGGTAGTTTTTTGTGATTGTTTAGTAAAGTTAAGACTTGCTCACCATCAGCCGGTAGATTGCGTATAACAACGTAATGTGCCATTGCTGCTGTCGCTGTTAAGCTGTCGTGCTTTCTATCCAGCTGGGATACCACACAGGAGACCTTGTTAACGTCAAAGTACGAGGTTTCGAGTACGTTAAGAGACCCGACTTTGACAATCGAGACGCATGGTAGTCTCTGGCAAAGGGGGATGATGTTCAGATGGCTGATATTCGGTTTTCCCGTAAGAATGCGGTTGGACTCTTCGTTTTATAGAATAAATTTGTCGTATGAATGGATCAGTCAATGCGGAAGCAGTAAAACGACGGATAGGTTGGTACCTTAGCATATGCCCAGCGTTTCTTCATAAACGAGCTCTAAGCGATTCGAGACAGATTTGTGAACGATGAAAGGATATTTCCTAGTTGTGGTTTTTGTTCGCACTCGAGCACAAGCTCTGTAAGCGCTTCCGCCACATATAATTATGTAATACTTAAAAACGATGCCCATATAAAAAAAACCAACAATTTCGTTTATGAGATAACATATCCTTGATAGCTTTATAGCTATTCTCGCTGCGAAAACTTCGAAAATTGTCATTGCTTACATCACTTAGAGACACAGTTCGAGACAAGCGTAGTTCATACAGCAGTCCATTGCATTCAAAACAAACGCCGGTTCCCAATAACTGCAATGGCTATGAACTTTGTCCACTTAAGCCGTTGAACGTGTGAAGCGATGTTGCAGAGGAATTGAATGATATTAGATTAATGCCTTTTCCGACAAATTTTGACATATTGCCAGCCAACAGAGGAGCACGATTTTTATTCTATATGCTTTTAAACAAATCTATATTTAATAGTACTATGGTAGAGCTAGTTTTCATCATTTTCAAAAGTTACCGTGGAGCAGTCTTTGTAAACTTCAACACGTACTAGTATATGCCATTCTCAACACGCAAACATCACAACAGATGAAACATATATCGTGATATCTGATTTCTATACGCGCAAAATATGGTAGTTTAATTTTTATAGAACAATGGTAGTGTGATTACAGTAGAGTTTTTCTGTCTTGACGGATCAAGAAAGGAGGGGGTAGTGGATATCGTAGTTGTCGTGATAGAGGTGACCTTCATATTTATATGTTCATACAACTTGTATAAGCAAGTTTGACGGGGAGTGATTGATAACTAAATGTTGCGTTAAAGTGGATCGTCGGGAAAACGGCGGCTAAAGCTTGAAACAGTAATGATACCACGCTTCTTACATGCCGGTAAAGTTGGGAGATTGCATCATAGTGGCACCAGTAGGAGCAGCTGTCAACATCAATGGATTACCTAATCCCATAGCGGGTGCCATAGCTTGGGTATTGTTGGCATCCTGTTCCTTCTTTTCAGCCTTCTCCTTCAGTCCGTTCACATCCTTGCCTAGTACATCGATCTAGTTATAGCAATAAGACAAAGTAAGTTTCAATTCGTTATCAATATGCTCATTTATAACAGCTAAAGAACAGAAACCTGGTCCGATGTATATACCTTGTTGGTCTGTTCGCTGAGAAAGTTGATCATATAGGGCATAGAGAAGTCACTCAAGCCATGACGCCACGACAGCTCCATGACGGTATCCGGGCGCATCAAGTCGTAGCAAGTGTATAACATGGCGGCAAAGCACTCACGCTTACCGACTTCGATGAAGTAGCGCAGCAGTTCCTCTGCAACCTCCGCATCCTTGGAGTCCGCAGCTGTTTCCATAGCATCCTTGAATAGACGGTCTTGCTTGGACAAGGCAATTGACTGGCGCCAGCGTCGGTTCTTCTTGTACATATGTGCAGCAATGCGTCGGAACTCCAACAGCTGGTGCTTTTCCAAACGCTGAGCAATATCAATGGTATCAACATTGTCATAATGATCGATTGAGTCCCGGAGGGCTTCGTAGTCTTCTTCTTCAATAAACAGCTCGTTCAATGCACCGTTTACAGCTTTGTTGTTGACATGCTGAACAGATTGCAAGTATGCCCGAATCAAAGGTATGTTGTCAGATTTTTCAAACAACTGGACCACACGTGTATGGTTGATACGGGGTACCATGGATGCCAACAGATCGTTCAACAACATGGGCTGTTCGTTCAAGTAGAAGCGCAAAGCCTTGTAATACAATTCGACGTTGGATACCTTGACAATAATTTCCTTGAATGCAGAGTGCTCCCACGAGTCGGCAGCATGGTCCATCATGGCCTGAACAGCATTGTCAAATTCGTCATAGTGCACATACAAGAACACCAGTTCGCGCCACAAGTGGGTGTCGTTGCAGGCACGAATCACCTTGGGAATATTTATCCGCGAAACGAACAGCTTGAGGTGCTCCATCATTTTTCCGGGTGCATACTTGGAGTACAGGACAGCTAGTTCGGTGAACATGCCCATGTGTGCCCGTTCGAGACCGAGGCCGTCTTCCAACAGCGAAATCAGTTGGTCAAAGTAGCCGTTGCGCTCATAGGTGCGAGCCACTTGTTCCAGTTCTTCGGCGTGGACGATGATATGGAGACCGCAGATCTTGGCCAGACGGAACTCTTGTTGCTCGATACAAACTGCGTTGACCTCCTTCCATACCTTGGTACTGTTAGCCTTGCGTGCGCAATCCACAGCTCCTTGGTAGTCGTTCAAGTGGACCAAGGTGGTGGCCAGGCTGGCATAGTTGGAAATACTTGTATACAAGATCTTGGCAGCCTCAAGCATGTGAGCCTGGAAACACCGGTCACCGACTTGCTGGACTTGAGCAATGTTGGGCGAAGCAATAAAGTCTTCCATATCGGCCAAGCGATCGGTCTTGGCATAGGCGAAGAGCAGCTCGGTTTCGATGTAAGGCTCGCGAGAGTTCTTGCGCGCCAATTGCAAGTAGCGCACCAAGTCATCGTACTTGCCATCCATTTCAGCATGTCGCGTGACCTCCATGTAGTTGGCCGTATCGTTGGCACGAATGTACGAATCAATGGAGTCCTTGATACGCATGTTATCCAACTGGGCCTTGGCAAGCTTGCTCCAGACATCCGCTTCATCGCAACGCTCAGCAAACTCGAATGCACGATCCAAATCACCAATCTTGTCGATCAGAACCATAATAGCATCGCCATTGGCCTTGTACTTCTTGAGGATGGCAAATGCTTCCTCGAACAAGTTTTCGCCAATACAGACTTCAGCAACCTCAGGTGCCTCAAAGTTGTCCAATCGAGAGATATAATCCATGACTTTGTCTTGGTCGGCCTACAGTCAAATTCGAAATTTGAGCAAAAGAATACTTTCTCAGGCTTAATTTTAACCTGAAGTTTACCTTGACAGCAGTAAAGATGAGCAAGTTCTGAAGTATCTTGTAGTCGCTGAAAGCACTTTGTTCCAAAATAATACGTTCCAGCAATTCAATGAGCTCGTTGGGCAAGTCTGCAGCCATAAACGCCTTGACAGTGACCGACACATCTTCAGGATCAGTGCATTCAGGCAAAGCAGTAGCAACGATCTACATGTAGTCATATAATTAGTTAGTGACCAACTCGTATAATCACGCCAAGACCAATCTTTGTATGTCATTATCTCCCATCCTTTTGGTTTGTTTGTGTACCTGATCAATGACTTCACGGCGGTTTTCATTGGTCTCCTTCAAGACATATTGCCAAAGAGACAAGTCACGACGACGAACAAGGTATCGGGCTTGGTGCTTGAACATGGCGTTTTCACTTGTGATATGGATCAGCTCATAATCGCATTGTCCCTTTTCATAAGCAATGAAGGCCAGGTAAGGATCACGCTTTTCGCAGTATTTGCCAATTGTGCGCGGTTCGTAGGATTCGTTCTCCTTCAAGAAGGGCTCGGGGTTGTTGTTTGTGTCAATGAAAATCTTGGCCAAGGCATTGTAAACTGCGCGGTCAGTGCTACCGTCGGTTACGCGCATGTTGAGCCAAGGCAACAACAGCTTCAAGCGATTGCGTTGTTCGACTTCATCGCACAGTTTGCCCACATCCAAATCGCCCTTGACAGACATTAACAGGCCTTTGATAACGTCTTCGTCGCAGCCCACATCCAACAGGCCACCAATGACTTCAGGGGTACGCGAAGGGTTGACTTTTTGCACGTAAACTTCAATATACTTTTGAAGGTTGTTGTGATACAAATAGAGGACCAGATCGTGGACAAAGTTGAATCGGTCGCACACAATGATTAATGGCAGCTGGTCGGAAAGGCGGGCTTCCTAAGAGGTGCATATCATGGTCAGTTCCAGTATCTCTCACAAGCATTACCATCAGCACAGATAATTTACCTTGAGGAAGTTCTTGACTTTTTCAGCGTCATAGAAATTGCTCTCGCGACAAATGCGTTCAGCTTCACGAACGTTGCCAGTGCGGCAAGCAGCCTGGATGTACTTGAAGTGTACCAAGGGATCCTGGCTGACATTAACGATAGATCCCAAGTAGTAATACAAGCCTAAGATTCCCACATACACACATGTTGCCTATTAGTTTTCTGTCCCCTGATACCATTACTCAACCACCGTTACTATCCAGCTCTAATATACCTTCGTTGCTCTTGTAGCTTTCCAAGAGATCGATCAAGTTGTGTGGTTGCAACTGCTCAGAGTACTTAATTGCGACCTGGACTACCACCTGCAAGTTTTGACGCAAGTTCAAGTTCAACATTTCCCTCAAGCATTCCAAAGTTTGATCCACAGAAAGTGTGCCAAAGTAGCTGACAAGCCACTCCGTATTCATGGTGTGAGTGTATGGAATTACACGCTTGATATCCATAATATCGGTAAAATGCTCCAATGCCTATAGTGAACCGTAATGTTTACACGACATTATAAGTAATTTTAAACACATGAATATGTATATAAGCATACGTGTTTTCTTGTATCCTAACAGTTCTTAGAAAAAGCACTTACACGTTGATATAATCCGGCCTTTTCACACATGGTACCGACAATGACGCGATCATAATGGGTGAGCATACCGGCGCCCAAAATGGCATCTGCAACTTGAGGCGCACGTTCCAAGTTCATTTGAAGGACACGTGTTTGCAGATGAGCATTCTTCTCGTTATTATCTCCCAAGTAGTCCACCAGGAAGGAAGTGGCTTCTTGAAGATAATTTTGCGACATGAGCACATCCACGACCTGATTTAAAAGAGAATGGAAGTGGTTAGACCAAATGATTAGAAAGAATACATAAACATAACAATAGTAAACATGTAAACAAACATGCAGGTCCGAAAAAACAACGCCGAACGTAGCTTTTCAATTACCTTATCAGCCTCAATTAATGGTCCATTTTCATCATTGATCAATTTCTGGGCGAAGTCGACAACGCTATCCTTATCGCTGCGACAAATGTTAAAGAGCAACGAAGAGTAGTCGGGAGTGTAACCGACGGTCTTTGCATATGCGACAATCTTGTCGTATTGGCGGTTTTCAGCGAAACAGACCACTACCTTGTGTGGGACATTGGCGCGCAAGTAAACGGATAAAGCCAACTTGGAATCATACTGACGAACATAATCACCCAATTCTTCACTGCACTCCAGCTTGTCTTCCTTGAGCCATTTTTCAAGCAACGGTTTGCGGTTTTGTTGCAAAATGGGCTTTGCCATTTCCAAGGATTCATAGCGGTTCAGACCACCCTTCTCCAACAACATGCCAAAGTACTGGAGGATTGGCGAGAGCTGATTGGGCATGGCTGACAGTTGGCGGAATCGTTCAATGGTGTCGACAGTACGCAAGATACCCTGAATCGTAATGTTCTTCTTGTTAGCTTTCTTGAACATCCCATACTCTTGATCCGTTTAACTCTATCTGTACTCTCAATTTTTTATTTACTACCCTTGGTGAGTTGGCGGCAATTTTAGCGGCATCGCCATAAGCGCCCGACGAAAACAGTTGGTTAAATCGGCTGATGCAAAGATCATCTGCACCTGGAAGGCCGCCACGACCTGCGAGCTTAAGAGCCAGTTCCGTGTTGTTCAGCGTATTGACAATGTAAGGGATGATGGTATTTTCATCGAGAGAAACCGACAGGACCTGTCCCTTCTTGTTGACACCAATGATACCAGATGTAGATTCGTGATCGGCCGTGACAAACATGGTATCGCCGCTGATGCGGTTCATGAACAAGCAAGTACCCGTCTCAAGATCGTAGATGTGGATAAAGCCCATTTTTGTGACAAGGTACACTACGCCGTACTTGGCACCGACTTGCATCGATACCGGGAAATCTGCATTGGCTTCAGGGGGGAAAAAGACCTCGACAGTCTTCTTTTGGAATGGCGGGTTGCCCTCTGAATGATCCACTTCAATGATTTGGAGCTATTAATCATAGTTAGAAAAAATAGGTTCACGCCGCTTGTTGACTGGATGCTTATAATATATGCCTATATATATATATGCATATATATATATATACCTTGGCAGCACCGGTTGCTGATCGAACGGCAAAGGCAAACAATTTGGTTGGATGAGGAGCGTCTTCCATCTGGATGGAAGCAAAAGCAGCAGCATGACCTTCGATAGGCTGGCTAACGCCACGCTCTTTGGAATAGAGCTGCATAGAACCGACCACGCGTCCTTGTTGAGCCGCAATGCCGACCAAAACCATCCATTTTCCATCCTCGGAAGCGCGATAATTGATAATCTGGCAGCCAGCTAAATTGGCATGTCGATCGAAGACTTTGACCGGACCCGACGTTCCCTCAATGGACCAGTGATACACCGAGGTGGGTGTGACAAGTCCAATTGTCTTTAAATCGAGCCATTTCCAAAAGGTAACGTCCTCGTGCATTAAATGCGACTTGATTTTACTTCTTGTTTCGAGATTGAATACTTGTAACTGTTGCTGGGCTATTTTAAAAATGTCGATACATGAGAATGTTGACACCTCCATCACTCAATCCAGACGAGCACGTGTCATTTACCTTTCAACGCCATGATTTTGCTAGTTGGATGCATAATCACAGAGTCCGCCGTTATCGGTCGTCGCATCATTTCGTTATTGTTGGCCAAGTCAATAATAACAACATGGTTGGCACCGTTTACTTGCTCGCGTACGCATACGAAGCGCTCGGATTCCAGCGTAAGCGTGCTAAAGCTAATGCTCGCAGCATTGACACCTAATGCTTGTAGCTAGAAAAGTCACGGTGGTCCAACACCGAGATGAAACGACCCCTCTCGACGTTAGTCACGGTTATCTTCGAGAGACTCAATGTTGCCGTTTTCTTGTTTTTCATAAAGAGGCATACGGTTTCCATACCTGAGCATGCTCCTGAAATTTGATGGGCAGCTGTTCGGCCATGGTTCCGGGGAGTGGAGTTGTATAAATGTGTGTGGTCGAGATGTGTGGTATGAAAATGAATAAAACGCGTGTTTAAGTAAACGATATACCCGGGGAAATTATACTATCAAGTGGCAACGATAGGTAGGGAAAGAGGGTAGGGTTCTAATGGTCCCTGCAAATCTGCCAAGAACGACGAGTTTATGTGGAAGAGCTGTCTGCTGTTGTTGCAGGCTCGTTCACGAAGTCTCGAAATCCCGCCTTTTTTCCTTGTTTGGAATGGCCCGCTTTTATTTTCTCCAGCCCACACGTTCATCTCCAGCCTTATTTTGCCCCGAATCCACTCAACTAGACTGTATGTACTGCTTACTACTAAAATGACAGTGATGGCGCGACCGTTCTTCTTTTTTTTCTACAACAAACATCGTATTTCAAAACTATCAAATAAATAGTAGGTTTAATTGGGCAGTAACGGTTCATCTTTATTGTTCGGCCATTCTATTCTACGACTGCTGTTGTCAAAACAAGCAACTATCTTTAATTGCTATATCTAGTGCTATATAGTCGATCAAAGAGAATGTAAGCTTAGCGAAAAATAAGTTCTTTGTGAAGCAAAGATATAATGTTTGGAAAAGACGAAGTTGCGGCAAAATTCGTTTACATATTTTGGTAGTCCAATTAGTCATGGAATACATAGCACCGCGCAGGAAAAAACCACTCCTCATAATAATATCAAGAGTAGTACCGGTAACACCTTCATGAAGTATAAAGTACAGCGGAAGATGCATCGTTATTAGCTGAGAAAACTTGATAAGAAAGTAGAAAAGTCTCTTTTTCCTCCCTACCACTCATTATGGAGAAAACAACTTTTATAAATAAACATCCGTAACACGACATAATAGCTCCTCGTTAAAGTTCAGGCTTTCAGTAACGTCAGCCCTCAATTATTTCAACAATTTCAAGGATCCCCTTTACGCGTTTAAATTTGTTTAAGGCTCTCTCACTTTGTGCCAGCCCTCAGATGTTTCAAGTCTTCCGGACACCCTTTCATGTTGAGTCCAGTGGGGAACGTATCAGTAAAAGTCGCTGCATATAGTTAGCTACAGCGGATAACACAGGACACAGCAATTGTCATCATTTTTTACGATGATTACCTTCAATCAATACCAAAATGCTAATAGCAATTTTAAGGGTAAGGATCAGTATCTACTCGTTACATGGGATTTTAAGGCATGCCCAGTCGCTAAATATAAGCACGCATTATATGTTCTCGCTTGACAGTGATTGTCAGCTACAATCATTAACCATACATGTATATCATCAACCTTATATAATGTATTCAAAAGGTCGCAATATGATGCATATGTTTAGTATATATACGTAGTCATTGGAATAGTGATAAAAATCAGGGAAGAAAATCAAATATATTAGCTAGTGGTAGTTGGGGTGGTGTTTGGTAACTTTTCAGAACAGCTTTTACATATACGGACCAGGCGGTCATGTGAAAACTGATGATGATTTACGATACAATTGGAGCAAATAACGGCTATTTAAATGACGTTAGTAAAACATAATATTTCCAAGATGATTTATTTTGTACAAAAAGGCCAACTTACCTCCACAAGTACGACAATTATATTTCCGTTCTATGGCAGCAGCAGTAATGGTAATAGTGGTATAGTAAATTAAGTTAGGAACACAGAGCCAATGTTGACCGCCGCGCACGAAGGAATGTGCCTCATCTTCTTACCTAGTACGGAAAATGCACGCCTACAAAGCATGCAATCTTTATGTCGGTCATCTCGTACATAGTGTAAGGTGTCAGTAGAGTCGGGTGCCACAAATGTATACACCTCTCCGTAGCTATTGCCAGTCAGCAATGTTCGCTTGCTTGATCTACGCCATAATATAAGCACACACACTACGGTTTAGTTCCACGATTTGTGTAACTTTACTTCAAAGCAATTTGCTCGTTCTTACCCAGCAAAAGCAAGTGCTGTAATATCAGGTTCTCCATTTGAATGATCATGGTGCTGGATTTGTCGTTTCAAAACTAGTCCCCATTGAGCCTTGCCGTTCTTATCTTTGACAAGCTCTTTACTCCAGAACTATGAATTTTTAAAAATATAAAAAAAAACTCGTTATTAGATGCTGTACACATATTCTGGAGGCTTTCTTTCAACATGTTACATACCTTAATGATACCTCGTCTGTGACCAGTAACAAGGAAGTCATTCTTACACCATTCGTTCAGGGTTCCTTCATAATATACAGCAGAGAGAATAGCTTCAGAACTTGGACATGCCGATTTGGTCAGATAGAGATCGCCATTGATGGTCCATACGCGCAAAGTATGTCCAGAGCAGGTAATGATATCGCCCTATAAAACATAGATATAAGTAAAATTATTTTAGTTTGGTGATTTCTTCGAATGACGGCTCTATCTTTTCTTTGCATGCATAACACTCACAGTAGAATCGTTCACTTGAACAGTATCTACAGGACCATCATGACCTTGTAATGTCCGCACATACTCCATACGATTCAGATCCCAAATGATTGCGGTTTTGTCCTATACAGACAGTATCGGTTTTCCTCTATTAACAACAACTTTGGCAAACGTCTACTAATCGTATAACTTACATTAGAGCCACTGACAAGGACACTATAAGATCTAGAAGCTGCTAAAGACACAACTGAAGAGGAATGACCGCGCAAGCATTCTAACAATGTGAAATCCATGGCTTTCTCGTGTTTGACTTTCCACATGCACACAGTCTTACCAGAAAATTAATAATAAAGAATTAACGATAGCTCAGCCTTTTGAACTTTATGATCAGTTATGTACTTACGCCATCAGTGCTCCCAGTTGCCAGTATACGGCTATCTGGAAAGCAAGCCGTGCTGACATATCCCATATGCATATTTTCAAACACTCGAAGAAGCTATTAATTTTTTCCCGTTTTTTCATCGATCAGCTAGTTAGTTCCCGTAAAAAAAAACAGTTCCCGCGTCTCCACCAGCATTTTAACACTACTTTTTACATGCCATCCCCATATGCATACCTTGCCAGAATCAGTTGATAGTAATCGGAGACTGTTATCCGAGAATCCCCATTCTATATATCGAGTGCCATCAGAAGGCACAAACCTTTGCTGACATGACGTGACACCCAGCCGCTCATTGAAAACGCCAATCTCGGCAACTTGTCGTTTGATGTCACGAATAGGAACGATCGACTGGATCATGCTTTGTGAATTCACCTGGATACGATCCATAATCGAGTGACTATTGGCAGGCTGTCGGGCTGGATGGGGTTTTTTGAATAATTGGCGTGGTGTCTGACCAAAGTTGTTGATGATACCAATCGTGGCTGTTTTCTCGACGACATTGGTGATGGAGTCCAGGTCTATCAATGTATTTGTATTTCCCATGCAATATGAGTTAGTTTCATAAGACTTAAAGAGAAGTTATATCACCACACCTACCAACAGCGCCCTCATAAGACACATGATGAAAAACGTTCAGGGCGTCAATGGCCGCTTGACCTTGTTGCTTATGACCGAAAATTAAGTCGATCCAATGGCACAAATTCTCACTGACATAATCACTTTCCAACGCCTTTCAAATAGTCAGCAGTTAAGTATTCTGGTATCTTCTTATCTCAAAATTGACAATGGCCTGCTTCAACTAAAAAGAAAACGTTGCTTACCTCACGATGACGCTGGACAAAAATCTTTGGATCGCCATTAGCCCACGGGGGTAGTAAAACAGAGTCAATTGTCTCGCCTGTGCCTTGCTTTGCGCCAAAGTCAAATTTGTTGACGTTTTCCAGGAACTCGGGTAGATAGAAGAATTCAGGGATCAATTCGCGGACATCACCCATATTTTTCTCTGATGCAGATTCCCAAGCCTTCCCTACTGAATCGAAAAGACGATCTGCATGATCAAAGGTGCCACCCTAAAACATTACAATTATTGTTAATAACGCCTAAACATTGAAAATTTAAGGGAGTCATACATTTATACATACGAAGAAGACCAAAAATAAACTTTACCTGTAGGTTGAGGTAATGCTGAGTGAATGGTTCTAATCGAATAAGGAACGAGCATACAATCATCGCAGATGAATAATGGGTTCCATAATGGAATGCAGGATCAGGATTGTTTGTCTCTCCCCACTGCTTATATCGATCCGCAAACTCGACTAATAACCACGTTTAGTGTTTCAATATAAACATTCATGCAGCATCTCCAGGGCTATTCATGCATTGTTACCTCGTCGTTCACGGGTTTGTGCGCCCATTGGTTTGGTTAAATCCCTAAAACTACTCGGATTCGTGAGATCAAGCTATGTTACACGAGTTAGTACTCGATTCCTTTCACGATTTGAGCTTATATCCTTCCTTCCATCTATGATAATAAATTACCTCGCTGCTTTCATAATCTGCCAGAATCCATGGGAATACTGGATACTGTGTCAAGTCTAATACACAAGCGGATGATTAGCTTATTGTCATTTATCTCACCACGTGCATACTAAACGAACCATTGTATGATCGACCAGCGATTGCATTTAGATACATAAGGTACTGGAAATTAGTAATCTCGCGACGTTCCCATTTGGCGGTCAAGTCGGTCAACGTAGAACTTCCGAATAAATTGGATAACTTGAATGATCCGCTTGCCATTTCCATTTCTGCAGAAGTTCCAAGGATGGAGTCAGAGGGGCGCTCATAAAGCGATACCCGGCTAGCAAGCTTGCTGTAGAGCTCATCCCGTTCTTCCTTGGCAACAGTGATTAGCGCGTTTCGACCATCACCAAAGAAGATTTCCAAAGCAACATCTCTTTAAGCATGAAAACTGTGTAAGCTGTGTGCCTTTTAATTTACGACAGAAATGGGCGACTTTTACCTGAATAGAAAACGCCGCTTATAAACCTCCTTGATATCAACATTGCTCCACTTGCGGCATGCATGTAAGTCACCAGACATGTCTGTAGTTGATTCTGTTTCCATGCCTGCTGCTTGTGCAAGAAGAATCAAATACTGATCACGCTCTTCTTTGGGTACATCCCATATTTCAACAACTTCGCCGTCTCTGCGCTGGAAAAAGTTGTCAACCAAATAGATGTTTTGCTTGCAAAGAAGTAACAGTCCCTCTAAGTTCAGATATCAGTGATGTTTGTTGATACGGGGTTGCTATATACTCTACTTTCCCTCAAATTTCAATCATGAAAGTTGTCACTGGAACGTGAACATTACCTCGAGCATCTAAACCAGCTATTTGGCTGACATTGTATACATCTAGTACCATGTCACCATAATCTAGCAGGCGCAAGACCTTACGATTTTTGTCCTCCTCATATGCAATTTTTTCTTCTTGTTCAAGTTGCTGGTCTTCGACATCTTGTTCAGGAACAGTAGCGCGTTGTTCTTTTTGTTCTGGCCTGCCAACTTGTGGACTACCGATCATATCATCCTCCTCGAGATCAATTAATGGTTTTGTATCTATATCAGTATGCGTCAGGTTAGTAGACCTATTTATACAATTTTTCTCTGTGTTAATTTTTAAATGAAGATAGAATTACCATTGTCTGGACCAACAGCAGCCATTTCATTTGATGCCTAGAAAATAGCTGGTTTAGCCTTAATAACTTCATCAGGAAAAGAAAGAAGACCATACTTTACCTTTGGTGCACAAGAAGCAGAAGCGCGTTTACTTGCTGTTGACGTAGTAGTATGTTTTGGTTTGTATTGTTGAGGATGGGTATCTGCGATCCTTTGGATTTTTTTGCGCATACGTTGACGGCCCTCGGTATAATCCAATCGCCATTTCGATGCTTTATTGTCCTTAGGTTCAGGGCCCCATAGACCACGCTCACGGAATAAATCAGCTGCCAATCTGGCCCATTCACTTTGAATAAAGTTGTCGTGACCATCGTTGTCTTGCAGTGCCTTTGTGAAGCGACTCATTTCCACTTCCTAATAAACATATATAAAATGCGTTTTAATATTACATGGTTCCTATTACTTACTCTTTCTTTCGCTGTTTCTATTTCGGCTTTTACCTGGATACTCTCTGACCACGTTGCAGTCTTGACAGTATAATCACGCAAAAGCTGGTCCTCATGAACTTCTCGTTTCTGTAACTTGCGCAACTTCGCAATACGCCGTATTTGCTGATCTTTAAGCATTTCTTGTGCGTATCGATTCTCGTGCAAGACAATGTTCTCCCACGTTTTAAACATGTGCTCCTTAAAAAGATGGTTGAGCTCGTGTGTTCTTGATTCAATCCAAACGAAAAATGAGTTTGTATCCTAGTGTATGTAGTGTACGTAGCAGAATACAAACAATCAATTCATCATCTTCAAATGATACTTATTCCCATTACTTTTCTTTCCTCCGATATTTACCATCTCGAGCATTTGTTTAAAACCAGAAATCACTTCATCGCTTTCTATAAAACTCATGAGTGTAAGCATTCTTTGCACAGCATAGTAGTCCCAGCAACTAACTGAAGGATGCATTTCTTACCGACACCCTTAGCGCGAATCTTGAACAGCGAATCCAGTACATCTGGTTTTTGCAAAACAAGCAACTTCCAAATCTATAGTAACATATGCATTCTTTTCATGAATCGTTTTTTCTGTCATTGCTAGATCATCAATACAAAAAGTAGCACTTACGTTAGCTGCATCGTTTTTCACTAGGTCATCATCTACCAGCAAGAACTGATAGAGATGATAACAGAAGCACTTCAAAAAGTTGATATCTGTGTTGCGCGTGCTAAGAATAATCTTTTGATGGTGGATACAATAGTTGAGGAAAGCAATGATCTGATCAGCTGCCATGTTTCCTTGTTCTAAATCCGAGATTTTGAGCAGAATCATTCGATTAAAGGAACGGTATAACTCGTTGATAGTCTGAGAACTGGTCTTGTGGCGTGCAAAGAAATCGCTCGTATGTAAGCTTTCAATGACAGATGCTAACAAATCGTAGGTCTGTTCTGCACCATTGGTAAAGCGTCCTTGAAGCACAGCATCAGCGGCCATTTGACAGAATCGAGCCACGTTGCTAACAACGCGACCATCTCCAAGCAAATTCTCGTCAAATTGGAGCGTGCTCTTGAGACTTTGGGCAATATGGACCATCAAGAAGCTTTCGTATCGAGTCTGTGCATCTTCAGTCGTGGGAGGACATGCCTATCATTTATATAGATTTCACAAAAACATGAACGTTAGGTCACTATCATGAAGAAAATAGACTGCAATACTTACAGTCAATACCAGCAATAATCCAGTCATGATTTTGTTGAGGGGATCGGTGATAGCTTGGACGCTGATGTTGACGACGAATTCCAACAAAGTCTGAAGTGTATCATCCTTTAGCACCGCCATACTGTTTGGTGAACCAGTTGAGTCTGATGATCCCGTTCTGTAAGAGGTGAAGCAACAGAATGAGTGCAAAGATAGAAAGAAAATAGAGTTAGATTACCTCAGCTTGGTGATCATTGCACCCAATCTCCTAGTCGAATGAGGTGAAGTCTTGGTTGCAATGGCGGAGGATCCACCGCGCCGAATAATGCTCGGCGCAGAATCCACAATCTCTTGTGGCTCGTCGGGAAAGTACGGGTCAATGTTATTCGTTAAGATTCTTGGTGTACTGCCAACTGATGACGGGCTTATTGGTGTCGATCCATCAGCCATCGTTAACTCATCTGCTACACTCGTCATGACCGACTGGGTCACTGAAGGGAACAAAATTCCAGACATGCAGTCAATCACATCTGACTTGCAACAAATGTCGCGAAAGTCAGATCTGGCTTTATAAAGCTCTTCGAAAAACTGAACAAATTCGTCTTGAACCTTGCTGGTATATTTGGCTGTTTCATCATCTACGCAGAACAAGTCATCAACGAAAAGTCCGTGATAGACTGCTATGTGTGTGCTTGTGTCCTTCGGGAAAGATATAGTCTTTACCTTGAGTATCAACAAGCAGCGGCTGAACGGCAGTATGCAATCCCTGGCGCCACAACGCCACAATGATCGGCATAAGATCCGGAATCAGAATTGCGGACTGCTGCTGTTGTTGTTGTAACACACACGCTCGGATATGCTGAATATCAAATGTCGAATGCATCGGGAACTGCGAAATATCAATACCCATCATGGCCACGATCAACGTTTCATGCAACTGTGTCAACGACCAATAACGAGGTAGCAACCGAGACAAAATCAAGAATCCTTCAGACGATGTGCGGAACTTGGTCACATAGCCAGGTCCTTGTGTGACCAGAATACGGGCTAGTATACGCGCAACAAGCACGACCGAGAATGGATGTAGATCCGGTCCAAAGAACAACAATGGCCACCGATTGGTAATGGTGGCTGCAAACTTGGTAACCAGGTCCTTGTGCTCATTGGGACCGCAGAGAATATCGTGCAGCATTTCAAGCACCACATTGCGCATTTGCACAGCTTTGGATGTGTGATTGTTGTTACATGTTTTAGCATCCGTAATAAGTGCTGGAGTGACGCCGATATCAGGATTTTCCTTGCCATTGCCGTTTGTAAAGTTCGTGACGATGTTGCTAAATTTACGTTGCTGGTGGTGTCCGTTGCGTTCGCCTCCATTTGCTACATCTGATAGAAAAATTGCCGCTTTAGGATATGATCTCACTTATTGTTTGTTGGACATTCACTAGGATTTACCTTTCGACACAGTAGATGCCAAAAATGTAGCAATCGCACGAATGCTTTCGGTGTTCCAGCTGCACAGTGTTACTGTTTTTAATGCAGTAACAACCTCTGGTGTCAGCTCCTTGGAGTAAATATGCATTCGGAACGCAAGAAGCATACGTTTCACAAGATCTGCATTTTCATCAAACCACCCTCAAATGTGTAAGCTTTATTGTAGCACCTAGAATGAATCTTTCAGACTGTGTATTAAAATGAGACTTACGGAACTTTTGTAGTCGCTTCAAGTTGAAATGACGCCGTTTGCTACTGCGCAGGAACAAAGTAAACTGGTCTAAATGGGCCTTTTGGACATCTACACTTGTCTTTTTCCAAACTTCAAAGTTCAAAATGACGTATCGGTAAGCGAATGGGTTGTTGATCAGTGATTCTCTGTTAATTTCAATGAAATACATCACAAATACATTAGTATACTACTCGCTCTCACACTGGTCTTTTTGTAACTTATTGGCTATACAACTTACTCTGGATGGAGCGGATCTTTTCCAATAAACATCAAGAGCTCCTCCATCATGTCGACCGTAATCAGTTCACGCTTTTGCTTGAGCACATACGCCAGAATTTCGTATCCATGACACCGTTCCATATCCTCTGAGTTTCGCCACGAGTAACGAATGGTTTCACATAGCACCTTGACAGCCTTAAACAACATCTCCGACGTCTACATAATAAACAAAGCATTTATATCATGTTTCTTGTAACTATCCTCTGTGAAAATAGACGCTTTTACCTCAGATCGCTCAACAAGTGTTAAAGCAACAGCTGAGCCACCAATACGCCAAAGCGATTCATCCACACCATAAGGATACGCTACAACTGGATTACCATCCAGATAACCCATGGCTCGAGGCGACGTCAATGCTGCTTCAACTTTAGGGATGGCCGCATTCAACACGAGCTGTGCCTGTTTGTTAGAAGCTGCGATCAACTGCTGAGCGGCGTTCGAGAGACCTGTACACGTCAATCCGGTATGTGGTCCTTCCATTAACGTATTACACGCAATATAGGCAAAAACAAACTTGCTTTCCTGAACTGATGCGCTCCCGGCACCCCGCATGACATTCGCGAGTAAGCTTTGGTCCATATCACGTCGACTAAACGCTTTGGTCATGGCCCGCAAGCTCAAAAACAACGTTGTGGATGCCTCGTAGGTCTGAAATTGCCGTAATGCGTCTTGAAACATGGATTTGTACCGTGCACCGAGATTAAAATACAGAATCAAAACATCGTCCTCGAGTGTTTCATCGACAAGATAGATCGGCCCCAGATCCCATATCAATGTTGACATTTGTCGGTGGTCACGTGGCGTGCCAATGATTGCACGTAAGCTGCCGGGTGGATGGGATGGATATGATATTCGTGCTTGTTCGACCCATGCACCATTGACAAACAGTGTTATGCTGCTTAGATTTAGACCAAGTCGTGCTCGTTGATGGACAATGCCAATATGATACCAATACCCAGGTTGGAATTCGAAAGCTGTCAATTCGACCGTTTGCTTGACGTGGACTTGGTGGATCTGGAGTCGTCGTGTTGTAGGGTCAATCAACAGTCTTGATACAGCGTTGCTGTCGCTGTCCAAAAGTGTCAACAAAGTCAATGGCACATGTTCATCCATACGCTCGATATGGAACCATGCCATCAACGTATAGCCTGGCGTCGACGGTGGGAAGTTAGGAATACTAGGCACCTCTAAACATGCATATCCACTGGAGCTCATGTCGAACTGAATAAAGTTGGGCCATCGGCTCCGGCTCGCACCATCCAAGATCAGATTCATTAGATGCTTGCCCACATCTTTGTGCATGTTGTCAAAGGACCCTCGGGCCCCAAACCCGCGGAAAATATGTCGCATTTCTTCATAGCTGATGCCCATCGTCATGAGTTTTTTGATGACTTGCAAAAGGATTTGATTTTCGTGTTGTAACCGATTGCTATCTTGCTGGTGTTGCTCTTCATCCAGGGGTAATATACGGTTTAGGGCAGCGAGAATGACACCGCATCGATTCAGTTTGACTTGGTTGCGTCGACTGCACCGTGCTAGAGAGTAGATGCCACTAAGGATGGCTCCAGACAGCTCTGGATCAAATGATATAGATTTTTGAAGATTTAAGATAGTGGTCGTTATTTCGGGATTGGCTACAGATACGGATGTTTGTTTCAAAACACGCTCGACTTGATGTGCGAGTTCCTGCTGGTGCTCTTGCTGATTATTGTTGTCACTGTTCTCTTTTTTGAGGACAAATAATTCATTCATGTGACCGTCATGATCGACCGCGAAGGCAAACAAAATGCCAAACACATGACGTGGTACACCATTCGAAGCCAGGGCACCTGTCAATTCCAATGCATTTTCGAGCGCAGCATAGCCGACTTGTGACTTGAAAAACTGTTTGTTGATATCATTATTTCGCATTGACGTTGCAAGCACATGGAATATTGCTTGCAAAATATTCAACAGCTGATCCGTAGTCGCATCGACACAATAGTTTGCTGGGTCCAAAAAGGCACCTTCCAAAGCGACAATCATGGATATCAAAGTGACATAGCCGCCCGATTGCCGGAAAATATCACGAGTCGCTGGATGTGCCGTAAATATCCGATTCATCGCCAATAACATCTGACGTCTGAAATCCAAATCGTCGCGCGGTATGGACTGGACAGCTTCAATTAATTTGCTAAAGGATGTCTCAATGTCCATAGTGGGAAGGACGCTGCTGCCGGCTGCAGATGGTGATGTCGGTGATGTGATACTGTTATCAGCGATCACTGCGGTGGTAGGAAAGCATTCGATAACGCGCAAGATCCCTTTTCGTGTTTGTGTATACCGTAAAAGATCAAATAGGTTGCCGCGATATCTAATATAGTTAAAGTGTCACTTAGCAGCAGAAAGCATACATCATGGTCCTCTCGGTGTTCCGTTTAAAAGTCATCCATCATTGCTCCTTATGTCTCTCCTTACGTTTTCTGAAAGAACACGAAGTTGGACGGATCTTTAAAGATTTCCACCAAACAACCTGCAATATCGTCGAAATCTTGGCTGACGCGTTGTACAAAGCCTTTATTCTCTCGTTGTTTCGTTTGTTGCCCATGTTGTTCTTCACCTTCTTCTGCATCATCATTTAATCCATCTGTCAAGTCTGTCAACATGAGACTCAACACGTTGAGAATTCCTGCTTCTCGTACAACAACGCGGAATTTTTGGAAATCCCTTAATAAACCAGCAAACCGTTGACATATTAACCCCACCAGGTTTCCTGTTGAACTACCTAGTAATATTGACTGTTAATAAATCATAGACACTTGCCTTTGCCGCTCCTCTTTCCCGTTTCAGTTCTAACAAAACACATACTTTGGAAATGGAGTGATAATACAGCAAGTTCCTTGAGCGGAACAAAATTGAGATCTTTGATGACATAGACAAGTACATCCATAATTCCATTCTTTGTATTGTTTTAGGAAGCCAAAAAAAGAAGAGATAACAAGAATACATCAGCTTCACTATGCTCTTTTTTAAAATTAATTTATACTCTTACCTGGATATCAGTGTCATAAAGTTCCATGGATTCAATCAGTAGCGGTAATACATTGGTACGTTCCAAAGTGAAATAATTGACTGCACTCATTTGGATGATCTGCTTCATCTCCATAAATAGTTTTCGGCGGATATCTTTGGGTAGTTGAGTTCTGTTGAGTCCAGCAGCAGCAGTGAGTCGTTGAGGGGTATGTGGATATGTAAATGCATCGAGCAACAATTGGAATGCATGAGTATTAGAGACGTTTTTATCTGAGAGACATAATAGCTTATTAGTATTAAAGGCATTGATAACAGCATAGTCCATCTCTTATATTTCTTCACCCATTTACCAGTATCTTTATCCGGTTTGGGAAAGATGAAGTCTATCGAATAATGCTTTGCTTTTAGATAATACAATCATGATATATCATCCCTGATCAATAAAGTCTTTCTTTTTTATAATTACCAGGATGTTGATATGGTAAACCTTCGGAGAGTGTTGGTGAGCTTCGATCTTTGCCAATATAGGTTAATCTGACGATAGCGTCAATCAGTTCAATCTGTAATCGAAATTGATTCGGTTTAGTATTGCTTCTTTTCCCCCTTCTGGACACGAAATAGCATACACATAAGCTTCATAACTAACCTTCAATTCTGCCACTTTGCTATTTGCTGGTGTAGCTAATACAACTGAGGTCAATGTATCCCATGCCTTGCCATGATTGAAGTCGTCATATAAGACGTGATAATCGGCTTCTAGCGAGGCCTACTTTATTGTAATTAGTGATATCTTTTTTCGAAAACATGCTTTTGATTCCTACCACCCCCACCCCCCAAATTTTAATTCACTTTTCCGATACCTTGAGCTGATATGTGGCCAAATCGAGTGCTATTAGATCCTCCCGCATATCGATTAATCCCAACTTTCCTTTGGTAATACTGTCATTCCACGCTTGTATCATCATATCCAAACATCGTCGAGATTTCAAATATTGGGACACTTCAGTTGTCATGGGAACTAGTTTCAAAACGTCTAATGCTCTTCGTTTCCATATCATGTATGCTGGCTCCACAGCCGATGACGATGATGACGTTGCTGGCGATGATGAGCTTGATGTCGTATCGTCATTATAAACATCATCACTACTACTGCTAAGCTGCGGCCAGTCTGCTGGTTTAACGGAAATAAGCCGAACCATCATGAAAAATGTATCTTCCGCAATCAAACGTCGTACAACCGATCGATTCTGTGCAAATCGCTTCAAAGTATCCGTCACAACAATGCCTGCCTCGTCAAAATATACCATATCACTGTCGTCATCGTCGTCGTCAACGTTGTCACCGTCAGAATCTTCATTGCTAGCAGATGATGATATAGCTTCATCTGGAACGGCATTGCTGTTATAGTATTCTGGTGGTAAGTCAATGAACGATCGAAAGAGTTTGATGATGACTGAAGGTATTCGTTGTTGGAGCATCAAATCGACCAGCGTATCCTACATGGTACAATTGTAACCAAGTCATTTTATCAAAAAACTTATGATTCTCACATACAGTGCAAGAGCCCATCAACATTCGAAAAGAAAAGATACTTACTGGACCATGAGCAACCACACGGATGGTTCGAATGATATTATACATATGCGACCGTGATCGAAGATTATCCATCAGCACTATTTAGAGATAAAAGCTGAATGATTATTTCTCTGGGTGATGTGCCACATATACACAATGCATGCACACAAATGTGTTTATTCCTATTTTCGATGCTGATGCTGTTGTTGTACCACCAATTACCTTGACTTGATTCGCCTTTGCTTTTCTGCTCAGGTACCCGTCGAATCCCTCCTAATAAGGAGCGAGTCAATTTGGCTATAAAGCTACGTGCATCGTCAATAGCTGCGAAGACATGGTCTTCCTTGTGTGCTTCCCAAATGGCACAAAACTTTGGCAGGAATTCCTGGAGGAACAAGTCGGAGCTCTCCTAGGTACGTCTTAAAGAGTCAATATTTCGCGTTCGCTTCGCTTCGCCTTTTTAATTTACTTCTTTTGAACAAGGTGATTAGTAGTGTTTGCCGTTATACCTTTTCGTCGATACGAGGATCGAGTGCTTGTGACAAAAGTTGACGCAATTCATTATGTTCCTGCTCGCGTCTAAAATAGAACAAGGTTTTGAAGGTTTGAATCAGCCCCGCCATTCTTACAGCAATTGTCCTCAGCCCCTCCCCGCCCACTTCTTTTTTAAAATGGTGTGCGCGTAAGCTCATATACAACGTGATTTACCGTTGCAGTACTTCTGGGGACACGGCGGGGACGTCCACGTCGCTCGATTGTTCCGACTCTTTGTTCGTTGCATTGATACGATCCACCCAAGATCTCCACATGTTCTCACTGGAAAAAGAACGAGTGAAAAATGAGAAAAAAAAAGGAAGAGAGAAAGTAGACTCTGAAAGTGAAAAGAGGAATTAAAGAGAAAGAGAGAGATAACACAAGCACAGCACAGCACACACGCTAAAACTGGCATATAAACAGGGCGGGTTATGAATATGCCGCCCGCACCCAGTTGCAGTGGGGCGCGCGTTCGCTGGCCTAGTTCTGATCCATCACCACCACCATTTTGTTTTCACACGTCAAAAAGGACGATTTTCTTTTATTCGGTAAACTTGTCAGCAACAAAATGCGCATCCAACCCCATGTAGCGCACGGTACTGTTCCTAACACTGAACGTGGCAGTAAAGTAAAAGAAGAAATCTGCACCCAAGATCAAATCGACCCTTCCGCCGTACAATGCAGGCATGACTTGGACCGCCAGCTCCGCTTCCAGGGATGGGTTGGCTGGATGCGAGACGAGACAAATGACAGAACCAATCGCGTCCTCGACCTGTCCGAATTCAGTCCCAATGTCGCACGCTTCGGATCGATTCAAGGGTAGTTTCATGTCTTGTTGCAACGCAACCGACATGGCTGAGGCGCCCCATCGCTTCTTTGCTAAGAGCGCCCGGACACGCTGTCCATTAATGGGTATATCCAAAAATGGTAAATTGACGTTGGTGTGTGCAGATGGCAGTTTGTAGCATACGCTGTTGGGGTCCGCCCCAGCTGGAATTTTAAGTTTGCCTCGTCGTTGTGTGTGCGTCAATGTTGATGGTGATGAGGAGGAGAATGATTTGGGTGATGGTGGTGACGACGACGACGATACTTCTTTTAAATCCTTCTTCTTTTCCTGCTGTTCCTGTTCTTTTCCTGGTCCTGCTGCTACTTTTGTAGAAGCAGACGACAACGACGACGATGTAGTTCTCGTTGATGTGACTTGCTGCTTTTCCTTTGACGTACTGGGCTCGACGTCAGCTTGTGCTTTGGCCGTACTATCGCTGTTGCTCCTGGTAGTAGCGGGTATATTCTCCTTTTCTTTCTTTTGTTGATCTTGCTGCTTCGCCTGTGCTGAAGCAGTGGGCGATGGTGACACTGTGTCATTTGAAACGGTGGGTTTAGCAGCGTCGTCAATACTGTAATTCACACTGCCGTCTATACTTTTGCTACTGTTTTTGTTGCGGGCGGCAATAACCGCTGGTGGTGGTTGCTGTTGTTGGTCAGGTTTGAAATACCCAGATGCAAGGATATCCTTTGCTTCCTTGGTTGTAAACATGGGATTATTATCCTCACGCTCTGCGCCCAGTATTGCTGAAAGTTTGATTGCATGATACCGAGCGGCTTTCGCGGCCTCCTCCCAAGTTTTGAAGCGGATCTCTTCAGGTTCAATCAAGCGTTTCCAGCGCGGATGCAAATGCAGAACAAACAAGACAATCAGCTCTTGATCATCAAGTGTGCCTGGCACTGCTTGCGCCTTGCTACGGAATTGATCAATGTACTCTTCTAATTCTTGACATAGTCGATGGTGTTCCTTGGCCGTTTCATTCTTGAGTTTGGTAGGTACTGCTAGTGCACTTTTGGCGTTTTTGACATTGGAACCGCTGTTGGTGTTGTCATTACAGGTCGCGCTGCTGGAAGAGGCTGCATGATGTGGTCTCGTCGCGCTACCATTATCGCCGCTCCTCGATTGCTTGTTGTGCTTCTTTTTCGTGTTGGGCATATTCTGTGGGTTGATAAAAAGCGTGAGTTACAGGTCGGGAACCCAAATCTTGCTTTCATGAATGCTCGTCAACAGTTTATGATATAGTTGCAGTCGTGTACTGTATTTATTAGTCAACAATACCTGCCCTTATTGAAAAAGATAAACAAATATTCCTTTCAAAGTGATAGGTATAGTGCCGGATTTAGTATGCACATCTGTATGGATCACTATTGCCTTTGCAGACACAATTGCTGGTTTTAGTCAGGGTGTTGCTAGTTAATGTAAGAAAAATCCAGCACATTTCAGTAGGTATTTATACGCTCCAGAGGACTCATAATACACCTGTCCTTGTCGATATTTTCTCTGCAACTTTTAAAAGTAAAGGTTGATTTGAAGTATCTTATGGTAAGTGTCTTGATTGAAAGTTTCACTTTCATACACTTTATACATTCGTTGTTGTCCCAATTCAATAGCACAAAAACATTCATCCTAATCAATGTCGGCAGTTATTCCAGTAAGCAACGTCATCTTGTTCGGCAGCCACCACTGTCTAGGTATCAGGACGATATCTAAGTGTAGTATTAGCACTACTTCTGTAACGTGTCAGTACACATTGATAACAAAGTAGGAGTGCTGGGTTTTCCTCCTACTAGCTTCTAAGTAAAAAAGAACAAGACCCACATCGTTGCGAGAGGGTCACCACAGAAACGGATTATAGTCAGCGTAGCTCCTTCTTTGAAATACAGTTGCGATCTTTTTTTTTTCATGGTGAGGATAGCAGATCATACAGTCTCCATTATACAACTCTACGACCCTGCCAAACAGACAGACATCAGATAATTACTCCATAAGAAAAATATACTCATAGAAGAAGGTTCATAGTCTTTAAAGCATTCAGTAAACTTACAAAATAGCACTAAAAGAGTGAACTTATGATACCCATCTAAAAAGAAGTAAGTAATCGATTCATCCACTGGAATAGAACGCACTTAATGATGGATGGCAACCGGTATATTTTATTACTGCCTAAAAGCTGGAAAATCAAGGGCAGGGATAATTTTGACCCGGACTGATCTAGTATGGCAGGCCCCTAAAAAAACCATGTGCCTGGAATAATAAAAGCATCGGGACAACATGTGACCTTGAACGAAAAAACTGGTGCAACCTCATTCAAAGTAAATCATTACGATACTGATAGATAGATCGCTTTCAGCAAGTATATATTATTACTTATTATCGACTCTGATGCTATGTGGAAAACGTCTCTCTATGTACTTTTAGACTTCGAGCGTATAATAATCATACAAAATATCTCTCTTTTTCTATCGATAAGCCAAACATGATAATAAAAAAGAAGCTACAGATCTGCTGGTGTTTCAATTGTTAATAAACTTCAGAGCACCCGTCTAACCTGGGTAAACAGATGGCAGTAAATAATGTTAAAAGAATGAGTTAATACAGTGGCACTTTCTCTTATCCCACACCCACATACACACTCTCTGCTACCATATTCAGCTTAAAAGCTACAAGTGGAGCTGAATTTGGATGCGAACACAATAAAAAGTACGTTTTTTTACGCACAAAGTGCTATGTACAGGGTTTTCAAAAATAATTTCGCAGCAAAATGAAATCAATGTCGCTAGCCAATAAATCAATATCGCTTGGCGGCAAAGTTAATTTCACATGTTGTAAAATCAAAGTCGTTTGCTTGGAAATCAAATGTCGTACTATTTAATAAGCTTGTCTAGTTGTTGTTATTGATGTCCCCTTTTTATAGATGCAGCTTTGCGAATGTTGGAATAAGCTGTCAATGATAACCATTTGAACATTAGTTTCATAAGGTTTTAATGCTTTACCTATAGATAGAGAAAAGAAAATTTTTACTTGACTTTTATACTTACAAGTATTTTGGAGGTCTGTTGCGGAAAGGAGCTTACAGGCTCTCTTTTCTATGACACTTATTTGAACATGTATGTAGATAAGAAATGAACGCAATGAAAGCCGTTGATTTTACGTTATTACATGCTTCACGGATTCTTGTCGACAAGGTCCTTGCTGTAAGAATCGTTGGCGTCTAATCTTGCTATTTGCGACAGATCAAATTGTTCTATTAAATTGAGCTCAGGAGAATATGAAGAACGATATACCACGATACTCAACATGTTTTGCAATATCTTTGGAAGTGTAAATTGGGGCATTGTCCATAATCAAATTGACGCCCATTCGTGTGTGGATATCTATCCATCGCATCTAATTTTTTCTTAAAAAAGCTGATCCAGTGACCTGTAACAGTTCCAGTGCTCATATTTCCAGCAGGGTTCCGCACAAGACGATTCCTACCGATTCTTTAAGGGAATCGAATCGGTACAGTCCAAGTGAGGAATCGAATCGAATCGTCTCGGTAAGAATCGGTAGAATCGAAGAATCGAATCGGATATATCATATGAAAGAGAAAAAAAATCTGTATCTTCGATTATAGACAAAATGTAGCTAAATATAATAATGAATATGAACGCTATTTGGAAAGAAAGAAGATTTCAATGCCGGGTACGAATAGCCAGCTCGAAAAAGCAACATATAAACTACTTCCAAAGAGCTGTAACATTCCACTATTAAAGAATCAAATTGCATTTCAAAATTAAAAGGATGGATAGTATTTAGAGTAAGATATCGTTTTCTAAGTGTAGGAAAAAATACTACAACACGTATTATGTATGGCTGCACATGCGCGTGCATTTCATGTCTGATAGAAGGTAAGGGAGGAAGCGAATAACAGAAATGCACCATGCCCGAATTGTGCAAACTTATTCGATGGGTCAATTGAAAATGGCAACATAAATCTCATAGTAGTACGTCATGAAAAAAAGCGCTGTGAGGGTGACGAACCGTGAAGCAATGAGATCATATTATATTGGAGGAATTGAACCACAACCGGTAGTACACACAGCTACTTTGTCTCTACGCGTGTATGGTGTCTCATGAAAGGCAAAGGGTGAATGAGTAAGATAATTCTCTTAATGGCCCCTGATTGCGCAATATCGGATGGAATGCACAAACTTGATCCAACTGATCGAGAAGCCATGCTAAATCTAGTAAAGTAGTACGTCATGGAGAAAAATACATTGTGAGTAGCATTGTAGAGGAAGAAGTAATGATGTGCGTCACAGTTACTTCAACGCCATCCAAACGCTGCTTCTCACTAAGCCGCCTCTTGCTCCCCCATACCCGTAATCTATTGAAGCCAGAGTCAATTCAAAGGCTAATGCTTCTGCATTCATGGCTCTCTTTAGATTTCGGCGTTTAGAATAGCATTTTGTCTCTTCTTCCTCTGTTAACCTTTTTCTTTTTGCACCGTTTTCTCTTTGTTTCTCGTCCCCTTCCTTTCATATATTATCTGGTATAAATGAAAACACGAATTAAGTGTGGAAGTCGCCTTTAAAGAAAGGAGCTAGTTTCAACTGTATTTTAGCGATATATAAATAAACGTTCTACATTATGCAAATTACTGAAATCATAGAATATAGAAAAGGACCGATTCTTCGATACTATGCAACCAAAGCTGAGACGATTCTGAGACGATTCTTGGTCGGAATCGTCTCGAGTTTTGACGACTCCTATTCGATTCGATTCTGATGCGGATCCCTAGTGAGATTGAGCTTAAAGTCTTCAACACAGATGCATGAATCAGAGAAGTTTACAAAGCACGATAAGGCAAGGATGGAGCCGAAAAAACTCTGGATGACAGTGAGCATCTGTATATAGGTGTAGATGACTACCGTCTATATAGAGTCCCACGTGACCCTATCATGATTTCTCAGACTAGGCAGCAGGTAAAATGTCAGGGATTGTATAAGATTGTCTCCTTCTCTTCATATCTTTTATGGTGCTGTTGTCACGTGTATTGGAACCTAATGCTTCTTATGAACCCGTATGGTATCATTATTGCTACACTTGTCCTTGGCATGGCGTATGGTGGTAATGCAGATGATACTATGGTGCATCCCTTTTATGATCGCCAAAAAGTGAACTCTAATAAAAGCTCAATAACACTGGGCAAACAGCAGAGGAATCAGGTACTACCTGATTCTTGGTCAAAACTTTTCTTCCGTAAGAATCAGGTACCTGATTCTTACAACTAAACAAGCCCTAAACTATGCTCTTTTTGGTCACGGCGATGGGGGGAGTACGATATGCAGTCAATATGCAGTATAATAGTATGCGCGACAACAACAATTGATGCTCCTCTAAATGGATTGATTAGAAAATAAAAGCGACAATACTGCATGCATTGTTTTATTTCAGAAAAAACGCATCTATAAAAAGGGGACATCAATAGCAACAAATGCGACAAAAAATGTGACATTTGATTTTGAAGCAAAAAACTTTGCTTGCGACATTGATTTCTGTTGGTTGCGACATCACTTTCCTGAAACCCTGTATATTGACAGGAGTACTGACGATCAGCTAGTATCCCATTTGTAAAGTTCAGAAGAACACCAATCGAGCCACGAAGTCTCCCGAAAGCACTACGCGCTGCTATCATATAAGAAATCCTTTCCGTACATACAGCTATATACAGTACTTTGGTTCTTTCTATTTATTAGTACAAGTACAAAAAATGGTGCAGTGGTGTGTACAATCAACTTCTTCTCTATATGCTGAATGATATGTATATAATATGTATAATTCCTACATTACTGTAATAGCAGAAGTAGTGTTAGTAGATTAAAAAGTAGATGTAACGTCTTAGGCAATACTTTATGCTGCAATGGCCTTCTTTGTGAAATCATAATAAAAGATGATGGCATCGACAAGCTGGTTGGGGCTGTTCGTTAATCTAGATAGAAAGAGTGTTAAGCCTTTCTGTATGTTGTATGGCACAACTTTAATCCGCGCAAAAATCATGCGGAGTAACAACAAAACAATTTTTTTACCTTGCAGCTTCAGGAATACGACCAGCTTCTTGGAAACCAAGACGACGCCAGATGCGGATCGAAGCTTCGTTGTTAGCAAAAACTAGGTTGAATACAGAAGCCTTGTAACCAAGGGCAGGGCCAATGATCATGTATGTTTCTGCCATGGCAACGCCAGAGCCGTAACCACGGTGATTAACCGAGGTAAAGAAACCAGCATTACAGATCTACGCATATCGCGGGAAAAAAAATTCCCTGTCAGTTATATAACCATTATCAACATTTGCGGGATATGTAACGTACATGAGAGCAGCGACCGGGGTAGTTGGGCTTGACGTAGTACATCCCCAAGACCTTATCTTCGTAATTGTACGATTGTCCCTTTTCGATGGGACCATCCTTGGTCAATACAAAGGCGTCGTATCTAACAAAACATTCCAAATCAGTTAAATGTGAACAATGCGAAAGGCATTCGAGAAAAAGTCCGAATCTCAAACTTTTTTGAATGAATCAAGAACGTACGACAAAAAGTAATCAGCGAACTGAGCCTCGGTGAGGGGTTCTTCTTGAGGATAGGTCGAACTATGATTGATGATAAGGAAAAAGCCATTTAGTTAACTACTAAAAGCATTCACCGGCCCAATTTTGACACTTAGTGGAGAGTGGTGGTAGTAGTCGCAGAAAGGAAACAGTCAGTTTTACCCGCGTTCCAATTCGCCATTGAACAATGAACGCAATTGTTCAACTAATTCAACATTCTCGGGATCAACAGCCTGCAAGACGGCCTCAGCACCATTACGCAGGGTCTTGCGAATAGGAAGAATTTTGTCTAGTGAGACGGTCGAAGCAGGCTTTGGAATTTTGCCGTAAGCAGAAGACATGATATGCAGAGGGGGTCACAGGAAGAAAAGGTGGCGAGAAAGAGAGAGAGATAGAGTGTGTGTGATATAAAAGGTACACACGGCTGTTCCGGGAACACGGAAAACTTCCCTTTTCGGTTGGCAGCAGTTTGATGATCGGGCTTTGATTCGTTCTTGGGTGAAAAACAATACCAACTTTAGGGCCTTTGGAGTAACATACAGACTTCTTTTTTAATCATTAATTAAACATTATCGTGAGAGTGTTGCTTTGAGTTACTTAAATTAATAAGAAGAAAGATTGTATACAGTGTGCATGTGTGTGAAAGAGGGTGCGCGTGAATGTGTGATGACGGAGAAGGGTAAGTGATGAAATGGAGACCTGATGTTGATATAATAAATCAAAATTTTTTGCTTTGAATGGAGTGAAGGTTAGATGAGCGAGAGAAAGGTTAATAATGTAAGGTATGTTGCTTAGGAGAAAGAGGTTGGATAGTGCAGGAGATGAGCATGCTCGTATCTCCAACAAACACTATGCTTCCCAGACATGGTCGCGAATGAATTCACCAATGGCCTCAAAGTATCCGTCCTGCATGCACGTATCATTGTGGGTGCCATTCTCAAAATCGCGCCATACCTTGCCACCACTCGTTTCGGCGGCTTTGTGCAACTTGGCCATGTGGAACGGCGGTACTAACTCGTCTTTTAAGCTGGATAAAAACAGTATTGGCACCCGCCGTATGAACTGGATTGTTTTATAGGATCGCCATTTCTGATGGCATAGGTAGACAAGGTGTCGCATGGGCGGAAAGATATGGGGAATCAGCAATGGCTAAGGATAAAAAAATTTTGAGTTAGTCACGCCTTTGGTTGAGTTATTTCTGCAGGAATTTTCTCTTTGGTAGGTGCTGTCAAAGAAAAAAAAACAGTTGGGGGCGAAGGGGAACTAATTCTGAAACATGGACAACAAACAAACACATTCGACCTTGTCGTTCAAAGATGCAAGTTTACTTACGATGCTGAGGAAGGTATTTTCAATGATCATGGCATCGAATTTGTCCTCGTTCCGAGCAACAAGATGAGTGGCGACAGCGCCTCCTAAGGACTGGCCATAGGCAACCAGTTTGGTATGTTTGAGAATGGGATGTCGTTTGATATAATCGAGTGCCGTCTAAAAGGAAAATTTGATTTGGGGTTAGAAAGTGAATTGAGATTGGGGACATTTTCTCACATCCGCAATTTTTCTTACCTGAGCATCAATTTGCAGGCCCTTCTCCGTTGCATTGCCTTCACTTAATCCGTACCTAAATACGGGTTATTGGTACCACAATCGAATATAATATATGCCTCTCTCTTTCTTTCTAACGATCCTCTTTATCACCAAAAATTGTCTGCAGTACCCTCGATACGATAGCATGACGACATTGTAGCCGAGCCGTTTGTAAAGTACTTGCGCAATTGGTAATCGATGACCCTATTCATAGTTTTGCATTGAGCGACCATTTTGCCTATTTCCCGGATCCATCTCAGTCCTCAAACATATAGCAAGATTGTTACCATATTGCCCGTATGTGCCTATACACATCATTTCAGTTTTAGTCAATCAAAGCTTCTTCTCTCTAGAAGGCAATTTTGACTTACATGAAGACACAGCACTGTTGGCGATTGTATTGCAACGTTATCCCCATACTGTATCAGTACATAACTTCGCAGTCGTACACCGTCTTTTGTAACTAGTATTTCCTCCTTGTCCGGCAACCCGTACTGTCCTGGTCGTGCGACCTATTTTTCGCTGACGTAAGAAAACAGGTGGGGTGGTGGCAAAACTTCAACAGTTGATGTTGAGGTAACTTACTGCTGATCTCGACCCTGGAGGAAAGAATCCGGCGTAAAGTATATCGCATTGGTATATGTACAGTAATGCCGATAAGCCCACTGTAATTACGGTTAAAATTATAAGAAAATACACAAAGTACACCGGAAAAAGCATATAGATGGTGTATAAAAATCAGAGAACGAGAAAATGAGCAATGAGAAAAGAGTTGAACGAGAGGGTTTAATCCCTATTACCCCAACTTTTTTTTGACTTTCACGAAAAAGTGGGCTGCGTTTCAAAAGTGGTCTCTGCTCACTTGCCTTTTCCATCTTTTCCGGAACACCCGTTCCCTCTTTGCGAGCGAGAAATGAAAAACGGTTTTTCTGTCTTCTGCACTGCTTCCGATCTTTCTGTTTCTGTTACATTTGTGAATAGACGTACTGGTGCAAATACTGAGTATATTGACAAGTGAAGCTACATTATTTATTTACTGGATAATGAATGGACTATTATCAAGACCAACAATCACGCCGTTGAAAGTATTGTTTTTTTTTTAAGTTTTTGTGGTACGTGCAAGCCGATCCCCCGCTTTTTGTAAGCCAATTCACCATACAGTACTATGCCCTGCCGGAAATTGACATATATTGAACAGGCTAAATAGCTCTCAAGTCATCCACCACACATTAGATTCTCGCACAGTAATTACTAATTTATGCATATCTACAATGATGAATCTGATGCCCTACAGCTAGTTCAGTGTTTTTGTATCTCGCTGCTTTTGCTGTGTTTATCAACTGACATTTACACAATAGCAATAACGAAGAAGAGCATTTTCTGTTCTCTGTCACCACCCAGAAACCTCAATGTAGTATAACTTTACATATATTGCGCTTTTTTACTCCCGTTTCTGATTTTTCTAATCAACAGCCAAATTATCAATCAGCTACTGCTAGAAGGGTGAAAAGCATTATTGTAAGAAGATGTTGTAGTTACCATCTACCTTCCTTTGTTTGGTTACAACTACTGCATACATCGTTGCCATATGCTATGCTACAATGTTGAAGAGCGACCTACTAGCATCCCACTGTCTTTGTGCGCGCGAGGAAAAAGCGAAATGAGGGTACAGCGTTTATTCTATCAATGAAGCAAAAACATGCCTAATCAATGTCACACAAAATAGGTGACACATGATGCTTGTTTCTCGTTTCATACACCGTGCTCCCGCCAAGCCAGCTAGTAAGAATCGACTACAATAAGCACTGTTTTTGTACATATATCTTGTTTGAGAAATGGTGCGTATGCGCTATATTATATGTCCTACATATAGACAAATTTTTGTTTTAATTAAAACATGTAGCTTTGGCTACTGGCAGTAGGCAGGAAGGTTCTACTTGCCGCACGCCAATGATAAAGACATGGTTATCCCTGCTGTACTTTATGTAGCCAAATTCACGATTACTGCGCCTTTTAGGAAATAACGGTAAACACGGCTGCCAGTCTGATTATACATGAAGTGAATAACCGCTTAATTTATTTTCTCTCGTGAGCGGCTTTGTTTCTTTTGTATCATGAGCAACTAATCACTACATATCCTTTTCATCTGTAGCTTATGCCGTATCCGATTGATACGGTGCTGATCATGGTGGTGATGCGAACCATTGTTACTTTTCCACTTTAGAAAATATCAGCTGAAAAAACAAAGTTTGTAGTATTACATGAAGCTGTTTCAAGACCGTTATGTATCATCGTCTCTTCAGACAGCATACAAAAGTTATGATAGTACGCGCTCCCCAAATTAAGGGCCTTAATATCAAGACAAAGAGAAAACAATAATAGCATGACTTTCGTTCTAATACACAAATGCCACATCATTTCAAAGGCAAGCATTTAATCCCGGGAAATAACATCTAATGCTGACTACTTATAACCACCGATTCGAAAGTGCATATTGACCGATGGTTTTGACATGACGTTCGGCACTCGTTTATACTGCTTTGCTTATCAATACTGCGGTGCTCAAAGGAAAAAGCATAAGAGCGGCTCTAGACCGAGCGGGTACTTGGGCCACCAGGTTTGTCTGCTGTTGGTATATACAGTATCTACTAAAAGAAGTGAGGTCGCAGTAAAACAACATAATTTAGACCATCCGTGCTAGATGAGCTTCCAAGAACGGGCGAATAGTAACCAACGATTCAAAAAATTCAGGTTCTTTGCACTTGTTGAAGACCGATGAAGAAAACGATGCTGAAGTGTTGCAGTAATGCTGTTGATTGGACACGGATCAATGAAGGCAAACATGTACATATCTATGCACAAAAGATTCAGTCATGGTAGCACATTGTCATATGAACAATGCAATGACTTTTGTGCTTCGGTTGAGGCCGTGTCTGTTGATGTGCATCTGCATACATTACAGTTGTTTTTAGTATATGATATATCTCAGATGGAACATGAGGGGAGATGGGCTGAATAAGTGAGAACAAAAGAATGATGTAGTCAGTAGTTCATCTTACTGATTGGTTTTGTATACTACAGTAACTATTCATACTACGCACAGGGTCTCATACTCTTCTTCTTCTTTGCCACGAGATGTGATGACAACTTGTCCAAGCTATTTTCTAATAGCAAATGCTCATTTAATGGGTGATACACACATTGCAAACAATTGTTCCAAAAACATTGTATTTCACTTGAATAGATGGTATACCTTCTTTACTTTGACGCTCTGAACTTTTTGCTGATTTAAAAATGAGTTGCAGCTAGAATACTCTGCAACCCTCCGTTGTTCAGTTTTGTTCATACCTGACACATCGTGGATCAACATACAATAACAGTAGCATATGAAACCCATAACGGCTGTGTTTAGTATAAAAAGAGGTAGTTTAAAATAATTTTGAATAAAATGGCGTTTGGATTTTTATTGAAGAAGTTTCTAGGGAACGTGTCTATTCTATTGTCTCCTCGTATTTTATCGTTATTGCTAATGAGCTCATCATTTACTAGTCCCTCCTGTCTGCTCTGATATTTATACCACGCTTTCCAACAAAAGTATTTTGCTTCTCCTCATTGAAACAATGATACCCGTCCAAGTCTTCATAAGCATCACAATAAGCTTGATAATTGTACCACATGCGGTGAATGCCTTCGAAAGGCTGATGCTGATAAATAAGCCAAAGAAAGACATCAGAAATTTGAGTGCAATAAGGTGTAACTGATCATACATTGACAATAACAACAGTTTTATGAATAGCAACGATACACCCAGATCTGTGTACTTCCATTAATTAGAAGGCGTCACCTTTTTTAAAGGTACATACGGCACTGATATTGAAGAAAAAGAGTTTCGATACTGCTGAAATAACACCTTGCATTTCAGTGTACTTTTTCCCCCTTGATAAATTAAAGCGAAAAAGTAATTTTTTGTATAGCTAGCAACGTAGGAGCTACCGGCTTTGATCTAAAGTTAGAGTGATGCATCGTCAGAAACAGACATCATGTCGTCGTATCTACAGTAATACACATTTACTAACTTGTCTCGCTTTAACTCCGCGAAAGATAATTAAGGCCTTCCCCTGACAAATGCAGGGGATCTCTCTCTCTCTAAGATTATGCGCTCTATCGAAAATTATCGCCCCAAGAGCAACGATATAATTGATACAGTGCTGCTGCTGCAATTTCTTTGTTTCAAAAAGTGTTAACTTCTTGTTCTTCAGAAAGGCATGTACCAGGAAATAGATTTGCGCGATCGATTAAATGCGATGATATATTATATTCTAATACGAACGTAAGGGGGCATAGAATGTTCTGGAGTGTGAAAGACGTTGAATCGGCTGCTTTCAATATATATTGCACTGTGTAGCAATTGTTTGTATAGTATCTGATAGTTTCTGATAGTTTCTGATTGTATATGACGCGTATAGCAATCTACCAATTAAAAGTAGAATGGTGCTTGTTTTCTTTCACTGTTTACACATATCGGTGACTGATGCAAACCATGATCTTGCCCTACTATTCTACTACAACTAAATTTTCTTTGCCTCTACTGCACACTTCTGATCCCCGTCAACACTCGATAATAATGATGAGTAGCTGTTTCTTTGAAGTTTTTTGTCTTTAGCTCAAAGCACCATGGTTCTGGATAGTCCCACAGCCATTAAAACAAAAAGTTGGCTTGAGCACTTGATTACAAAGTTCGCTGTTCTTCAGAATGCCGCATGTTTTAAAAAGGAAGTAATAGCAACGCCCACCTGCACCTTTCTCAGCAAACGTTTCAGTTTAATGCACACTAGGACGTATGATGCCGATCATTCCACAACTTTTAGAATTTTTTATCAACGCTCTACATAAAATGGCCGGATTCTTGTTGTTTCGAGGAGACAGCGGAAGCCTCGGGTCCACATCATGCATATGCACTTTTGCGTGATGTATAATTATAACTGCCCATAGTTACGGATCGCTGTACTTAAAAAAATCAAATCCTCTAACTATACCGAAAGAAGAACATGACAGTATCAACGCGAGTCGTTCTTACTACTAGAGTTGACTCTGTTAATCGTTGAGTGAGAAAGAGCTCGAGCTACTAGAATGAATAGTCCTTTTGAACATTTTTATTTTTAATTTGCAATATGAAAAGCTTTCACTAATTTTTAAGACTGTGAAATAGCAACAGCTATTCTCTACCGACGAAATTATATCCATCCGAAAAGCTGCTCTGTACAGAATATCATGCATTATTTCTCTTCTTTCCACTAGAAAATCCAGTATAAGAGAAAATATTATATTGATTAAAAAAGAACTGCCTTACATCGCGTCGAGCGATTATTATGCTTTAATAGTCGTTCAATATACAGAGGCAAAAAAATCAGCACAAAGCGGTAGGAATATTGAAGTATGAACTTTAAAGTATATAGCATCACTCACAGCTTTTGTATAAGTCTGATACGCTTCCAAAATATTAAATAGTGATTGATCTTCAAAGTGTGCGTGTGTAACGCTGTTGACACTCAATAGTGTTGGCGTCGTGATGCTGATGGCCATATTCTTACTTTTTATTTATTTCTAGTAGGACGACGTAGCACTTGCGCTGTGCTACAGGAGGCCGATTTCTGTTTGCTAGATCATATAATAATGTTTAACATGGATTCATGCATTTTTGTTGATGTCGGAAAACAACTCAACAACCTCGATGTGTTATGCAGCCGAGCCATCAAGTCCGGATGTTTATGCACAAATTTTACGTTCTATCAACACAACAACAGACTAAAAAAGCAGCATGAGGATAATTGTCGATGAGCGAAAAGAGAGAGAAAGCTGTTGTTTGTTAGTAAGTATGCAACACTAGCTACGGCCCTCAGTTCCCGGTCCATAATGAAATGCCAAAAAAAAGGTATAAAAAGGAAGTCTCCATCAATACATCATGCAACTACTACACACACACACATCCTTTACATATTTTTTACACTAAATACTACCTTCACAAATCAAGAAAAAAATGCAGAAAAGCTTCCTTGGTTTTACCATTGCCATCTTTTTGACACTCTTCGTCCTGGTTGCCCTCGGTCTTCCTCTTAATGAAAACAGCAAGGCATTGATTCAGAAGAAGCGGGATCAGGATTCGGTAGGCGATTTAGACGATTTAGGCGATTTAGGCGATTTAGGCGATTTAGGCGATTTAGGCGATTTGATTGATGGCCTCGGTGATGGCCTCGGTGATGGCCTCGGTGATGGCCTCGGTGACGGACTTGGAGACTTACTAGATCGTCGTGAAGTCGAAAAGCCTGGATTTGAAAAATAATGATTTATGTTGTAATTTGGACTAGTACCTCTGCCATTAAACCAGAACGAACATAACAAAGGAAAAAATGTTTAAATGATATATATCAATTGCGCTTCCTATGTTGTTATCATAAACTGGTTGTACTCAATTTACATATAATTTCTGTATTCAAGTTGTAATAATCAAGTTCTTCCTTATTCTATAACATAAAAACAAATGAAATAAAAAGTCGTTGTATCATTCCCATATCTTGATTTAACTTATTACATAATCTGTATTAATATAATAAGAGCTTGTTTGGCGTGTTGTAATGTGGTATGAGCATTCGATCTGGTAGCCGGACTCTGTCATCGGTGTTTGGCACCAACAGCTCAGCACCAACACCAATGCCAAGTAAATATTGCGCAAACTCGCGAAGCTCATTTGCATCATTGGTGTTGACAGCTTGTTGGACGCGCATGTTGGTTTCAAGGTGGTGATGACGCTGGGCCAAATTGATGAGCGATTTAAGCACTATTGTACGATTTGCGAGCGCTACGCATTTGGCATCACAGGAACGACCTATTATCTGATACTTTACTGTCAATACTACCGCTCAATAACAAAAGAATGCAAAGTAGAAGAGAGGATACAATGTTGAATACCTGGCGAAAGGCAACACCAAAGACCATGATTTTTTTACCAAATGGAACAGCGGCAAGCGCAGGATCGTCATGTCTCATGAGATCTTGGATATCCCTGTATACATAGTGTAGTGAATACGTTGATACTTGTATTGATACTTGTATTCAGCGTGTTTGAAGCGATGGCACTTCTCAGATGATGAAGGATTTGAAGTGAGCTTCATATCGTGTTAATGATGTTTATCCCTTGAGTCTTTCCTCGATGCGATACCCGTCTACTCACACAGTCATACATTCATGTAGAATAAATTCTCTGATCTGGAGGAGCCACACACCTCGGCGCGTCATATACATGAGAAAGTAATCTGATTGGAGAGAATGAACTGGCTCAAATGCCGCGTAGCATGCGTGTTCATTACTATAATATAACCACGCGGCCTCAGCAATCATGCCGCTCCTTTTCCTCCTCGTCAACGTTTCTAAACCAAAGCTATTCAATGTGAGTATCATTGGTACGGATTAGAGGATCGGTGAGTGTATGGTTATGTTAGTGAGTGAGAAGAGCGTATGCAACCGGTTGTGAATATAAAGTAATCACTCAAGATCCGTTTATCTCACTTTCTTTCTTTTTTGACACAGACCTTTTTCTCGTCTTAACCTGGTCCTTCTCCCCTTCACGTTGGCTCTAGAAGCACAAATACAAGTGTAAGTACAATATGGAAAGTGTGAAGTGTACTTTGAGGTTTGCATGTGGATGTGATATACGAAAGAAGATCCGAATTTTGACGTGTCTAAAGAAATGTGTGTACAGAATACAGCCGCTAATGTTATCCTCCTTTCTTCTCTGCTACTACTGTAAGATTCTGACTTTTGGTTCGGTTGGTTCGGGTTTGGAGTTTGCACCCCACTCTTAAGCACAAGCAGCGGCTGTAAGTACTGTATAAAAAGGAATGTGAGCATGAGCTGGAGAGAAGTCGAGTGTCTGTTGGGAGTGCTGATGCCATGACGTGTCAAAAGTAGCTGCATCTTTAGAACCATCTGCTTATGGCCTTACTTCTTTTCTTTCTATTTCAGGTTCCACCCTATGCTGTGTGGGCTAATCGTGTCCGGCAGACAAGTAACATATAGTAAGAATAAGCAAAAAGGGACTTGAACATTAGTAGGTGAGTTGGATTGCCTGGGTGCTGGGGATGACGTGTCAAAGGTGTGCAGTATGGCAGTCTCTCCCATTTCTTCTCTTATTCTTTTACGAATTGGTCGTGTCCTTCTTGCTTTTCCTCTCTTTAGCTCAAGGCTCTCTTCCTCCAACCCAAGGATGTCATAACAGTAAGTATAGCTGAAAAGGATTTTGTGCTTGTGTTTGTCTTTGCGTGTTTGAAAAACCAGAAAGATGTCTGCCCTGACATGTCAAAAAGTGTATGCAGCTGCTCATAGATGTTTTTTTTTTTTATTAGAGGATGGTTCTGCGATTATCTGTTTGGACTTGAATTGGCTTAGACCCCATCTCTCTCTCTGTCTATAACTTTGCTGTAAAACGACAAAACAAATGTAAGTATAGCTGGATCCAGCTTGGTAGAGGAGGATGGTAATGCCGTGTCAAAAATAAAGATAGCACAGTAGGTGCAGCCCTCTAATGATCTTTTTTTTCGCAGCTAGAAGAAGTGTTTCTGTCTTGGCTGCGATTCTCTGCTCTGCTCTGGCCGTGTGTTCGGTTCTCCCGTGTCTCATCATAGAAGTATGGGTAAGTATAGCACGATGGAATTTTTTGTGTGCGTGTGTGTGTAATTTAATAATTCCCATTATCTGTTCGTCTCTTTTGTTTTCGGAATGACGATAGTGCACAGACACCACCATGATGGTCAAGATTGATGCTTTACTGCCATCCCGCTCCTAGAAGCCGACCTGTCAAGTGGTCCATCGGCTGTGGTCAAGATCTATCCATCCATCTGGACGGTGGCGTGTGCTTTTGCTTTGACTTGGACCTGAGGAAGTCGTTAACAGCCTCACATTCTTCTTGCGTTTTTATAAATATCTTTTCTTTTTCTGTGTGTTTCTATTTTGCTTTGTATATATTATCGTTATTGCTGATCCCCTCCCCTTCCCTCCCCCACCTCTCTCTCTTGCACATCTGTATCGCCTAGTAGTCGCTGTTCCGTATCCATCTTCGGATGTTGCATCGCCTCATGCGAACAATAAGATATAGATACTGGATCGTCAAATAAAAACATTGCGCATACATCGTCCGTATTACATAAGAAACAGCCCAAAAAACCACTTCTTTCTGAGTTATGATAGACACTCGTAGTAGAAGAGTGACCGTATAAGCGATAGCAGGATACAACATAGCATCATTCCTCAGTGTACATCTCTTGTAATGAAAAGCTTGTTATATGTGATGCATATAGAGAAATGCTATCTTTTAAGTGCCCATCAAAGGTCGTGCACTTACCAGCACTGCCTTCATCGCACTATAATACATCCATTCCCAAAACGACGTAATTAACAGGACAGAATCAACGTTTTAGGCAGTGGTGAGGAATACTCTTGATATAGAACAACAGATTGACAACACGGCTGTCATACCAGTCAAATTCGCATTTTGTGCTGTTTAAACCATGCCAAGTTGTTATTTTATTGTCACAATCAGATTAATGAGAAATCGCTATTTAGGGCTGCCAAACAAGCTTTAAGATTTTACATAATATATTGCCCTTGATGTGTGCCACACAGCTGCATGTATGTATCTTCTGCTGTACTCTTTGTCAAACAGAGCTTACCCACAACATGCGCTTATTGTTGCTGTAATTGCAGTACATACAGTTATTTAGATTCCATATACCTACAGCATAAACATGGGCGCAGAATAAATCGATAATATGAAATCTTACCACGTTTCGTACGAGTAGGTCAATTAATAAATAGTACTTTTGTACAGTACGCGTTTTTAAAAGACACACAGGCACCGTATATATGCGAATTGTGTATAGCGAATAAATAAAGTTTTAACAGCATACCAAAAGTATACATATTATCGGTGATCAATGGGAAGAAGTAGCTTACTCAAATTTTACTTTCAAAAAATAAAACATGATAATCAGAATATTGCCTACGTAGGTTCTTTAAATCTACGTATATACAGTAATATGAAGGCTCAAAATCAAAAGGAAGAAAAAGTGGAATAAACGTTATGTATGCAACCACAATTAATATTCTTGCGCTAACTGATCCATGGTTCGTTCCCTTTGTTGAGTTTACACCTTCCCAGGACCATTAGTAATAGCAATTGCTTCGTCTTCGTCGTTGCGGCTGAATGAGCACCGATTAAGGCCAAAAATGATGATATCCACAATAGCAAGAACGCCAACGAAACGGGTAAGAACAAAAGTGGTCATTGATATCTCGAACGTTTAATTGGCAGGGCGGGCAGCAACCACTGCATCGAGTGTATGTCCAGCATTGGTCAGCAACCAGGAGCAAGACGTATGCATTTAAAATTTTCTGATACACGAACGGTCCATCAGGTAAAGCTATACCAGAAAGAAAGCAATATAAGCCCACAGCACATAGGCCGTGAAGTATACAATGTCTGTTATGTTGGCAATGGATTCAGCCGATATATAGCCTGCGCTGTTAACGGTAGTACTCAGTTGTGCGGACGATGACAATGGCGCAAATCACGAGGGTGAGTGTCCAAAGATAGCCGAGATGAATACCCACTCGTTTCCGAGTAAAAATCTGGCAGGCATCTTGATCCACTATCTCCTTTATATGCAGACTGTAAAGCGTCGAACGCATTGCACCAGAGTATCGGCCCGGTAAATGCGTGCAAGAAATGTTCACCAAAAATGTATGGCCAGTCGCATCCGGTTATAGAAGGTAGTGCTGCTTCAAACAAATATGCCAATGAAGCTATGATTACCAAAAAGTAGGTTGGAAACGTTTGGCCCGAGCCACGGCATTAAGTGCTGCTAAGAAAGCACAAGTACCGCCAAGTGCAATCAGAGCATAATTAGATTTCGTCCAGGCTGGTGCAAAGGATTCGACCATTTTTTACGTCTTCTTGCTGTTGCTTTTGCAAGTTTCTGCTTAGGCAATAGCCCTAGATCGTTGATGAAGGGATAACAAGTGAAAGAATTTGATTATGTACATGTTCACTTTTTAGCGCAGGTGTACAAGTTCAGTTCATGCAAAATAAGAATAGGCGTTTTATATATCGGCGAAGCCGCTTTTGTCTTCCTCCCTTTCTTTATCATAAAGGGACGTAGCTTTCAAACTACTGCTAAATGACCATTACTGTGTGCTACCAGGATCGGTCGCTTCTACGAGAATACCAAAGGTTACCCCTACTACATATTACCCTGCTGAGCAGGTTTCTCTGTATTACGCCATCAGGGGCAAGAAAAAAGCACATACCACAGAAGCGATCATTTCTGTTCAGCAGAATGCTGAATCACCTCACAGTTACTGCTTTTTTTTATTCTCAAATAATTTCATCAAGACACTATATAGTAAGTTTACTAACAAGGAAATTTCTTTAGAAAAGAGCAAGTTTAGTCTTCGAATTCTTCAAAATGACCTTTACCTCATTTTTTGCCGTTCTCGCAGCCTGATACATTGAGTAGCAGTATATGATGATTTTTATGCTATCATAAGCCAAACATAACGTTTGTCGGCGGATTCAACCCTCATTGTACTACTATTGTATCATGAGCCCGCTTTTTATTATATGATACCTTTGCTGTTGCTGCGAGAATCTGGAAGAGGAAAAACGTAGCACACTTCTTATTCAGAACCGTTTATGAGCACAAGCAGAGACAGCGAAATAAATAACACAATTTGGTCTTCTTTACCTATGCTGGTGCAAATCGGGAAAAAAAGATCCCGTGTTATTCTTATTCTTTTTGACACGTCTTCATGATTATAAATGCTAGGATTTATACATTGTACGTGCATAAAGAAGGACTAGATATAAAATCTGTTGGCTTCTTAGAGAGTAAAAGCTGTTACCAGTATTGAATTATCACTACCAGTCCATGATGCGAGCTGTCACTCACATAAGGCATAGCAGAGCTCACACATACTATGAACTAAACACCCAATCACGATCATTTTTCAATCGTGAAGTATGTTTAGCCACCACTAAGCATATGCTATATAAACGGATCCTTCATTGTATACACAAAGATATTGTATGCATTTTGAAAAGAAAAATAAGGAGAAAAAGGGAAGAAAATAAGAAAAGAGAGGAGTGAGAGTAACAAAAAATAACAACTCGACACATGGAAGAAACAAAGTGGCTAAGAAAAGTGGCGCGGTGCGGTGGTGCATGTGTGGGTTGTGAGTGAATAATAGGTAACGTTTTGCGTGTCAGTAGAAGAAGGTGAAAATTATAGAGTGAGAGAGAGAGAGAGAAGGCGGAAGGAAAACAAAGAATGATATAAAGGGGCCTATCACTAGACTTATTCTTGGCCGAAACCGAGGGTTTCTTCCACAGCAAGTGATAACTTGGCAACGAGAGCATCGTACGATTTATAGGGTGGCATATCGATACGGTTGAAGCTAAAAATCAGTTAAAGTCAGTGGAATCATCATAGTCTTTTAGCGGTTTTTTTTAGTTAAGATAGGACGCATTACCAGGTATGGGCTTTGGGAAGCTGAGTGACTTCACCGGCTTTTTCAATGGTAAATCGTCTGGGACCATCGCTTCCCTGAAGATCCTTGAATCCATTGACAGGGATACGTGACGTGCCGGTTGTAAACTGAAGCAAACGTGATTTCTTTTCACTGTCCCAGGAGCGCACGCACTTCCAAAACCACTGAATGACATCATCCTGCTCAGTGTATCCCCTATAGTCTGTATGTTTCTTCCAGTCATCCACATCGATTTCGGCAATACCGCCAATGAGCAATTCCAGTTCACGTTCGTCAAACACGTTGACCAGATCTTGAGGAATGAGCTGGTTGAAACCTTCCTTGAACGCCTTGAATTGTTCTTCAACACGCTTGGAGATACGCCATTCGGTGACCAAGCTATTTGAGTTATGGATAAGTTGGCATGTTAGTGTCCGCATATGCATGATCCACGTGCCTCACTCTCTTTTTCTTCCGCCTTTCATAATTTAGCCTATCATAGCAAAAATTAGTTGTACATACTTGACATATTCACGCTTATTCTCTTCAGTGACTTCAATGTCTCGGCCACCAGGCTTCAAGTCAACAGTCACCACATCACCAAATTGATCGTCGTCTGTGGAGAAGGTCAGATCAAGAACATCGGTGATATCATTGTCCCTATGAAATATTATACGTTATAAAGAGACGTTCTCTACTTGACCCGTGTTATAGCTACACTCCCTCTTCCTCATTTTCACTTACAAGATCCACTGCAGACTTCGGTGGAAGTCCGCATCCACACTCTCCATATCAGCGACAGTGACCTTCTTGTTCAGAATCATCTTGTAGAAGGACACAATAAAGAAAGCATCCAAGAAACGGCGATGGAAGATAGCCAAACCAACCACACGGCCAATGAATCGGAAGTAGTTGAGATGCTCAGGGTTGATGGCAGAGTGGGGGTTAATTTGAAGCGTATAATTGTCGTGAGCCGAGTATTCAAATAAGCTATACAAAATGTGATGGTGGTGAGTGTGATGTTTCTAAATAAAGCATCTTTTTTTTTTGTGATATCGTCACCAGGTAATTATCTTTTTGGAACTCACCAATAAAATGGATTGAACATTTCGTGCGACAACAAGAAAAAGAATTCTCTGTTTGATGATAGATTCAGAGTCAGTCTTTTATCTTCTACATGAAATTGGCTTTCAACGAGTGCATCTTACCTGGAGAGACCACCATAATCCAAACCATCTTCACCATCGAATTTGATCATCAGTCGCTTTCTCAAATCCGCAGGTGCTTGACGCATAACTTCTGCATAAGCATCTTCGAAAATGTGCTCACGGCGCACCTTGATATGGCATTGGCCAGGCACAGGTCGTAAGGCAGGTTGAGAACGGAAGTAGATCAACTTGCGACGGAAATCACGCTTGTATTGCGGTACGTTCTGATCAAGACTGCTCGGCAATCGCGGGTCTATTATAAAAACATAACAAATGATTTTTTGTCGTAGTTGTTGTTGTGGTACGTGTCAGTTCAATCATCAATTTAGATAGGGAGTGACTTTGTCGCTATAAAGATATAAACACTGACCATCCCACGTGGTTGTCTTGGTATTGTGATCCACAAAGTATACTCGACCCGTGCTCGTTAAACGCATTTCCCAACCTGACGGCAAAGGACCCAACTGTGATACCGGCTGCACTTGGACTTGCAGGTTAGATCCAGGACCAATTGTGCTAATGTACTGCTGTCTTCGTGGATCCACCCACGTAGTTGTTCGCGTGTTGTGATCCACGAAATAGGGTCGACCTTCAGGTGTTGTACGCATTTCTAGATAAAGCTTAACTCTGTTAGCACATCCTAACTGCTAGTAGCACTACTGATAGCAGTAGCAAAGTAAACTCAATGAGTATTGTACTTGCCCCATCCAGGAGGAAGCGGTCCAGTTCCTGCGGTTGTCATATTGTGCTGCAATGCCAAGACATTTGGCGAGTTAGAGCCGCTATTGCTGGCACTTGGCGCTTGTTGTGCGGGTTGTTGCGATGGCGATTGTTGCGGTTGTTGCTGTGGCGATCCCGATGCGGATTGGCTTTCTGATGCAGAGCCACCCGACGAAGCGTTCGGTCGATCTTCAGGCAATCCACGAGCATTGTGCCGTTGTCGTTCCATTTCGGTAACTTCCTGTTGTTCTTGTGCGCTCCGTGCTCTACAAAATTCAAGCAACCGTTAAATAATTTCTCTCCAGTGATTTCCCCTTTGCTACAATGGTATGAGAGACTTACGAAGGTCGTTTCCATGTGGTTGTTCGAGTGTTGTGATCAACGTAGTATGGACGACCAAGATGATCTACTCGCCGTTCCCAGCTAAAGTTGATGAATCGTGTGTTAGTAAGAAAGCAGGTATATCAACAAACGGTTGTTTTTTACCCTGGCGGCAAGTCACTTCGATCATCGGAATTTGTGTTTGCTGAGGCAGGTGGAGGATTATTCGGAGCAGACGTCGAAGGGGCTGACAACGGTGTGCTTTGTTCTGTAGATGAGGCGACTTGGGTGGCAGCAGGTCGCGCGAGTGAGGTGCTGGAGGCATTAAGTGGCGAATTGTGTGTTCCAGGGACGAGGGTATTGGTGCCGTTGCGAATGGGCACATTGACGTTGGTGGAGATATTAAGAATAAGTTTACCGTGAACCGTTACGTTGGCGTTGGATTTGTTTAAGTCGAGCGTGAGCATTTCTAGTGAAATTTCAGTCATGTTAGTATTACTTGACTGAGTGAAGTGTTGTTGAGTGTAGCTGTTGTTTGCTAGTATTTACCATCACCACCGACTTCAAGGTCAAATACATTGCTAACTTGGACATTGATGACACCAAGGAACCCTTGGTCTTTCTTTTTAAACTTTTTCTGGTCAAATACTTGAACAGTAATGACACTTTGGTTTGTCACTTGGCTATAGACGATAAGTTTTTCGTGAATTAATATCTCTACTTGATATAATCCATAGTGATCATGATGAAGCAACATATAGAAATAAAAGGGCACAACCAAACAGGCTACGCAGACTAAAAAATGAAAAAGCGCATTGGCTTGTTGTCACGTTATACATACAGGTCGAAGCTCTCGTTCCAATATGGGTTCAAAGTTTTCTTCATGACCGTTGTTGTGTGTGTTTGTTCACCATCGACTGTAACGACAGCTGATTTCAATAATGATAAAAATATAAACCAGTTTAGTTTCCTAATTGCACATATAAGAAGGTGTCTAATATGATAAGGATTATGTACCAAATGGGTCGGGTAACTTGAAAAATAAGTCCTTCTTGACCAGGCCATCCGCAGCGATGACGGTAAGACGAACCGTTTTCGTTTGTGCGGAACTCGACATTATTCTTCAAATGGCACAGGAAACTAGGCGAGGAGTATCAAGTTGCGCTCAAATGTCGAGAATAAAAAATATATAAAGAATAGTTTTTTATATCAGGAAAGATGCTTTTTTTTCTAAATCGTAAACTGTGAGGCAAGAAAATAAAGGAAAGAAAGGAAAAACAAAATTAGAAACAGCCAGCAGCGCTGGGTCAATTCTTCTCTGTGTGTGTGCTCTGCACGGCGGTAACAGAAATGTTTACCACACACAGGTATTGTTTGACTGTATTCAGTCAAAAGATTTGTCATCAATAGAAGCGCTATTGTCTCTTTCTCTCCTCACTCTCTTTGCTCTTCTTTAAAATTTTCCTGTCTTATGATGCAATTGATCTGTGTCGAAACGCAGTGGTATTGTTCTTAGTAGCAATCTTATATAGCTTTTAGCTATGTGTACATTGTTTTCCCGGTGTGCTGAGCCAATTAAGCGAATAAAAATTCCTCCACCCCCCTTTTCACCCCTTGAAAAGAGGATCGGCATTACCGTAGTAGCTACGACATTATTAAAAGGCGAAAGCTATAAAGAGAACAAATAGTCTTTTGCTTCGCTTGGGTCGTAACAGAGACAAACACGCATATTTTAGAAATTTGGAAGCCTGGGTCCTTAAAAAAAAAAGGCTCCGCAATATCTATTTTTTATCCGTCCCCCCTCGTAAGAACCACTCACAGTGTCCGTCTCTCTACTGTTCGATTAAAGAAAGCCGAAAGGCCGGCTCTTGGTTCCAAGTCTATTTTGCCATGGCAACTGATTCAAAAGACTGATTGAAATGATCCGTAACACTTTTGCCATCCGCACGAAGGAATGGTAGTAAAAGAACGGGAGTTTGGAAGTAATACGAGGAGTAGCAGCGCGTGGCAGAGACTTGAAACAGGGTTATACGAACAACGGGAAAATGCATCATTTGTCTGTGTTGTTAAGGAGGAGGCTCAGCCAGTGTTTGTGTGTATTTTATGTCTATGAGATCATAACACCATCCTTGTTATTCGTTCATATGCCACACCAACGCCACGTGAACTCTCACGTTCAGCTGACACACAATGGTAACAACAACAGTTGCCATGGTAACATGAGTTTTTGTTACCAGGTCGATAACAATTCTCTGTTGCCAAGGAAATTATGAATCGCTGCTGCTACGCCTTTTACAAGTAATAAATATGTTAAAAGTCTCAAGTTAAAGCGTCCCTGCAGATGATAATATGCCTGACAACTTGACGCAGCAAGAAAGTATTGATTGTTTTTCCGTGTACGGGACGTATGTCGTTTACAGCATAATTGGAAACGAGTAAACAAAAGGAAAGGGAGCGACCATTAATCTGATAATATTGAACCTATGAAGAGACAGTAAACGCAAATATAATATTCCTCATACAAGGTCCCAAAAAAAATCTGTGAGAGAAAGAGAGAGGTCCGTGCGCGCATATTATCCTATAAAGACCCCCAAATGCTTTTTATTATCGGGACTCTTTGACATGGAGCTTCTACCACTATTATCTTTTGATTGTACGCTTTATGCTGTTTGCTAGCTTTAAATAAACTTTGCGAGAAACTTGGTTGGATGGGATGAAGCCACTGATCCTCGCCGGCGAGAGTTCAATTCCCACGCATAAAGAATGTGACATAGCATAAATTGCTATTACCATCATCATTAATGTATCTTGATACACAGAGCAGTATTACAGGTCCCTTTCCCGTATTTGTTTCTTTTTCTTTTACCCTCTTACATTAGTGCTTACAAACGTAGTCAACGGTAACCCAATACGACGGAGGGCTTTATAACAGCAACAACAACAACAACCTTACTTGACCTCACCACCAAAAACGAATTCAGCACCAACAACGTAGACGACCATGTCCATTGTCAACTCGACTGATATTTTCAAAGACAATATTTTTAAAGGCAAAGTCCTTCTCTGTTCTGGAGGCGGTAGTGGTATCTGTCGAGGCATGACTGAAGCCGTTGTACGCCATGGTGCCAAGGCAGTTATTATCAGCCGAAAGCAAGTGTGGTGTTGTGTTCTCTCACTCCTTTGTTTGTTGCTTCACAGAACTAAATTATAATTTATATTGTAGTTTCGAAAAGCTTCAAAAAGCTGCTCAAGAAATGAGTCAGACCACTGGTGGTGAAGTTTTGTAAGTATTGAAAATTACTTAGTTAGCTAAGGGTTCATGCAAAATCTTTTTAAAATTGGTATCCTATATGACAAGGCAGGGAAGGGGGGGAGGATTTGACATAAATTACTATATCATGACTACTGATCTGATATATGTAAAACTATCTGATTTTTATACTATACACCACAGCCCTGTCCAAGCCGATGTACGTAGACCCGCCGAACTCGAAAAGGCAGTCGCTAAAACAGTTG